ATTTCGTTATGCCATTACTCTTTTCATAAATATAAGTTTGTTTACTGTTTACAAAATTTACGGTCAGTAAGCCAAATAATTTCCGCACAAATTTGTTTTATTTATAAGCAGACGTTGGGAAGTAGATACCAAAACAGTTTTTCTGTGGTTAAGAACTCTTATTGGATTTAATTGAAATGATACATTTCATTTGCATATCTAACTGCTTTTCTTACTGAAGCCCTAAATGTGAAGATAGCAAGGCACAACAAAATAATAAGAATAAAGTTGTTTCGAAGAATCTGACTTATAAAGAGGGCTATAAGTCTTAATGATTCAAATATCACAAGAAGATTGGCCAAAACCTTCTTCATTGGTAATAGCCGCAAGGATTGTGTGAAATTATTTAATTTACTCTAGTATTTTGAAGTATGATTTGAAGTATAACCAAATTTAATAAAACAATATTTATCACAACTCGAAGAACAATTCCATAACAGAGTTTAGCTTTATTTCATTTCTAAATTGAGTTATTTTCAAAAATTTAGATAAAAACTGTGTATTTCTCTGTGCAATTTTATTTTTAAAATATTAGACTAAATATTAGGTCTTTCTAATCCTTCTAAATAATTTCCCCAAAGAAGAATAGTCTTTAAATTTATTTCTTCATCTTCAAAAATAAAATTTAAATAATTTCCCAACTGTAAAACATATACAAATGCTTATGTATATGCATATGTTTTATTGCAAGCACAAATAAATAAAAAAAATATTAAAATTTAAATAAACTGCAAAAATCCGGCTGAATTCTACTGAATAAAGAAGAAAACAGAAGCTTGTGATCGTTTCTAAGCCTTCTATGTTTATTCTACAAGTAGATGGGGGTTGCCTGTCAATCTATCATGGTCCCCTTTCGTTATGGTTCATACTTGAATTCAAAATTATTATTCTAAAACATTTTCGTTGCAAATTCATATATTTCATGTCTTTTGAACTTACCCAGAACTCATTGCCGCTTCTGTTGTTATTGCACCAATTAGACTGTTTGAATTTGAATTATTGACGCCTACAGCAACAGCCTAGAGACCAAAATTTTGCTATTCTTTATTTTTTGGCAACGTTGTCGTAGGCGTTCGATTCGTTATTCACGATGATGTTTTTGCTAAAACGCACGCAAGTTCTACGGAAATGTTGCAATTAATTTGGCAATGCACACGAAAACACTGAAATGTTGTGGAGAAAATGAAATGAATTATGATATTTAAGACATTAGATATAAATGAAATTTATGGAGAGAGTTCTGGTGTGGATATATTTATAAATATTGCATAAAAATCACGCCTTATTATATAATGAAAAAGCCGAACGAGGCACGCGCACAAACACATACGCAGAGTAGTTTATTTTTTCATGTAGTTTTGTCTGCACACAGTTTTATTATTGTCTATAGGAAATATAGTTCCAAAATCGACGCGCACGCTATGCAATTTGTAGAGTCAACAATATGCGAGTATATATAGTAGCATTGTGTAGTGGGAACCTTTTTTCACAATTTTCGCGCAAGAATTTTGTAATTTTCTATTAATAAAACGCGACACAACGCATTGCTCACTTTTGCCAGCACTGCAGACTTGATCAGCCAAAATATATTTGCTCATATATATCGTATCTATATGTATCTATATATACCAATAGCCAGCCAGAGATATATATGTACGTTGGCGAGCTGATTGAATTGAATTTTCAAATTTCTATTCTATTCGGATGTTTTTCTCGTTTGCAACGCGTTCAAGTAAGCAGCCCAAGTCGCACTGAATTCGCACACGAAATTTTCTTGGTCGAAAAGCCGAAAAATTGAATTTCGAAATGATGTTTCCCTCCACACATATATATATATATATATATGTATATACGCTTATGTATATACGCGTATATATATACTTCTTCGACCAACATGTATGTGTTGTTCGCGTGGTTGTGTTGGCGGAAAAAGTGCGTCTGCTTGGAAAATTCTATGAATTTTGAGTTTATTTAAACGAACGAGTTGGGAAAGCGGCAGCAGACGTAGTTGTTTGTACTATTTTATTTATTTATTTCAATTTCTTAGCCACAATTGTTGTGCGGCTGTTCGGCTTTTCTTCTTTTTGCTTTTCTTTTTTGTCGGCTCTAGCCTTTTCTAAATTAATTTTTAGCGCTCCGAATTTCACACGAATTTTTGAGAGATTTTTTGCAAAACTTTGCACTATTTTGTTTTGTATTTTTCACTTTCCCTGTAAACTGTATGTGTGCAATAAAATAAGACAACTGTTAATCACAGCACAGGAAATTACTATGGAAAACCATTCGAAAAACATCCGGTTTTAGCCCTTCCGTTGAAAAAATGAAAATTTGTAAATGCCAAACTTTAAGTAAGATCTTTCAAATATTTTTCTTATACTGAAACTTTTGATTGCTGTCAAAACATGCTGTTTGGTTTTAAATATATTTTTGTAGCACACAAAATCTTGTTAATAAATGAATTAATTATCGTTGAGAAGCTTTCAAATCAAATTTACATATCTAGTAGCGTTCATGTAGAATTGTTGAGAATTTATTGATATTCTCCATAAAAGCTCAAGACACCACACTATAAAGTTAGCTTATGTTCAAATTTCAGACAATTGACAAAAGACAATTGTTAATCCAGCGTGTTCCATCATAATGTAAACAAAAATGTTTTCAAAAATTTTAATTTGTCAACAGCTTAGCAGAATATTAAAATGTTTTTTCCATAATCGAAAACAAATGCTTGTCTAGTGTGTGATGTTCTAATGCAAAAAACAAAGGATTACTTTTCTGCGTGAAAAGAAAAGAAAACTTAAATTTACATGATTTAATATTGTTTTTAAAAATAAGTTGGTTTTTCTGATAATAATAATTGTAATAAAATCGTATAAAATATGAATGTCATTGTGGTTCAGAATTGCATAAAATATAAATATATTTTTGATAAACCTAAAGAGTATCCCCCATCTTTTACACAGTGAAGAGCATCCGCCGAATGTGTTCTTATAATAATGTCTCTGAATGTCTGCTATGCTATATGCAATTAATACAGAAGAGTAGCAATCTGTTTCAGCATTTGTCTCGTTGATCGAGTGCCAAAAACAAAAATGAAAAAGCATTGCGAAAAAAAATAATAAAACAGAAAATATAATAAAAGAGGCGCATGCAGCGCCTTAAACACACGAGTCTCCTCTTTATTCCTGAACTAGCAACTACGAGAATTTTACGACTGCCTTGATGGAACAACAGCAGAATATCATGCACACCATATAGACGGGAATGATGTCAAGTTTGTGAATGATGGCGAGCTAAATGGCCAGCCAAGATGGCACTGTATTAGCCACATGTTGGGATAAATCATAATAAATCACACACACACTTGGCAAATAAATAAATAGAAAACTATAAGCAATCTTCGTACGTATGTGTTACTCGTGCTGGCAGCACTAAAACAAACATCAGATCTACATATATATATATATATATATATATATGATATATACTATATATAAATATACTATTGGAAACAAAACATAAGCGCTGCCAAATCTTAGACAAAACATAGAGATATGTTTGTGGCATTAGAAGATCATTCATCTTCATACAATTGGAAATAATATTTTCAAATATTTAAATATATCAAACCGATTCTTTGCAGTACTATATGCTCTTCAATTCATGCCCAACTTTGCCTTTCAGTCTTCACTTATCTTGGTATGTTAATAAATGATTTTCATGTTTTTATAAATAGCACTGCCACTTTGCCAATCTTACCTACAACACACCTATATATCGAATTATTTGTGTACTTTGCTTTATTTTTGTGCAAAATGCGCCATTAAATTGTATAAATAGCGTGCTGAAAAGCGCACAGAGCCGGTGAGTCAACAAACCTCGAACATTAACCTCATTAGAAAAGTGTAGAAAATATTGTATGCGAGGAATTAGCTGGAAGCCATCATACATATGCTACAAATTTTGGATATATGTATGTATAATTGTAGGTTTTTGTACACGTTCTAAATCAGTGAACAATATTTATTAGACTGATATTTAGAATGATCTGATGAGTGGCCCTAAAACTGCGAATTAGATTTAAAGCTGATCTAAACAATAATGGAAGCAGTGGGTCTATAGTTTTATGTTTTGTTGTTTCAATGGCTTTTTATTAATTTATAAAACCTCTACTAAATCGATCAATAATAATGTTAATAATTAAAGTGAAAATTTATTAAAGTCAACAGACATTTAAATGAATAGATTAAAGTTGTATAATTATGCCTTATAAGCAAAGATTTAGAAATCGTTTTCGATTGCAAAACAATACAATAGCTTAATTAATCTTGTTATTATAACGCACATTTCCCAATTCATTTACCCATAAAAAGTTCAATGCACCCGCCAAAAGCAATTCAGAACATACATAATATTGACAAAATCACTCAAACGAAAACTATATGGCAAAACCAGATGGAAGAGTCAATCTAATCTATATGTACCATACATATTTATGTGTGTATGACAAACACAGCATATGTACGAGTAGTTTAAAAACCATTTTCAAGAAATTCTGTCTGCTTTTCTTTGTGCTCGCTGCCCGAAATTTGAAAATCATTGCGCGTGTTTCAAACAAGTTGTACTCGCCCCAGCCCCCTCGCAGCTTAATACCCTGCCACTGCTGTTTTCAATTTGTTTGCGTTGAAAAATTTTGCTAATAAAATTGAAAAAACCAAGAATTACCAAACAAGAAAGCAACAAGAGCCTTGGTCATTCAACAATATGTTCGATGTTGTCGTTGCCAATGTTTTAAACTTTTCTGCAATTCAATTTGCAAAGCATTGGGAAGACACATAGATACAGTATATTTATCTGCGTCTGCGTATCTATATGCTTACCGCCCATTGTTTGCTCGCTGCCTGGCGCTACGTGCGTCAATGGAATTATTGCTGCCGCATGCTTTAGTTTTTTAGTTATAGTTTTAAAATTTAGCACAATTGATTTTGTATTTTCCCAAATTCGTGAAAACAAATGTAATCAGTCTTTAATGGTATTCCTGCTCTTCCTGCTCTGATAAGTATTCTGGCTGGGTAGAGATGTGGGCCACTGTGCCACCTTCGACATCGCGCGCCAAAGCCTTGCGCATATTGTATGCATTCTCTGGCGTCGTCCCTGGATAGTAATCCAAAAGCAAGCGTCTTTGTATATAGCCCAACGAGCTATACAGCTTATAGGCATTTACGTTACTCTGCCGTACAAATAGATCCACATACCAGGCCCTTTTCAAATCCAGTTCCAGGGCAAAAAGTGCCATCAAGGCGCTGGCCAAACCCAATCGACGATATTCAGCCGAGACGGTCAGGGCGCATATATGACCGTGCAACCGTTCCATATTGGGACCCGTGCATTTGCCAAAGATATAGCCCATCGATTGACCATTGGGGGCGAAGGCGATTCGGGTCAGCTCGGGCCATTGAATGATGTGCCGCAGAAAGAAGCCGAGCCCATAGACCTCGGTCAGCGGATCAAAGACGAGTGCATTGAATTTGAAAAGATCGTCGAAATTAATCTGTCGTATGCTGGTCATACTAAGCTCACAAATAATTTTATTGAATCAGAAGAAGTAATTTTTAAACAATATATACAAAAATAATATCGAAAACTAAAGCGCCAAATAAACGCCAGCTATGTTATTAAATGTTCAAATTGTAGAAATAATGCCAATAATTATCGATTCTTGGAATACGTGCATTCTTTATTGGTCCTTTTGCGACGGTTAGTTCATGTTATCAACCCACCATAAGACAAACCTATCAAACCAGCTTCCCTTTAGCGACTGTTTTCCAACATCGCATTTGAGGGGCTTTCGCATGTCATAGCCATTGTCGTCCCGATAGAAGTTCGGTAGCCAGCGATACTTCACAAAGCCAAGCGATTCGTAAAGTTTTATGGCTGCTTTATTTCTTTCGCGCGCATATAGATCCATATACCAAGCTCCGTGGGACTCGACGGTATCCGTAAAGCTCTCCATTAGTCGCGTGGCCAAGCCCAGACGCCGATAATTATCCGAAACGCTCAGAGCGCAAATATGACCATTCTCGATATTTGATTCAACGCTTTCGTTACTGTCTATCTTGCCTAAAATAAAACCTATGAGTTGACCACCGGGCGAAACAGCCGTATGTGATAGCTGTGGAAATTTCAGGAGTATGTTGAAAAAGAAAGACAGCGAATAAACCTCAGTGTATGGGTCCATCACAATGCAATTGAACTTCAGAAGATCATCCAAAAAGAATTCGCGTAAGCTAACCATTTTAGCTTCTCTTTGGAAAAAAGTGTGTACCGATAAATATTATAGAGTTGTTTAGCGAAGAAAACGTTGAAGGTACGAACACGGCCTTCTATAATGCTATATACAAGTAGTTTTCCAGCATTTTTCATGAGTTTTATCAAGTGGATTTCTGCAGCGTGAAGAGGATACAATTTAAGTGCAAAACCGACTGCCACTACGTCTATCTGCGTCTATTTAAGACTTTAATTTTACTCTTATTATTTACAATAACTTAAATTAAACTTATAGAAATATACAAATACCGCTTAAACTAGGAGTTTAGTCTTATTTAATTATTTATTTCATTTAATTATTAATTATTTATTCTTATATTAAATAAATCTATTGGGAAGATCAGCAGGGTGTGATCTCTTCAGCCTCCTTCTTACTACTCTTCTTCCTTTTCGTCGCCGTTTCAGCAGACGCCTTGCTAATACGTTCACATGGGTTCGCAGACGCTCCATGTATTAAGCAGCCTGCTTATTTAGCACGTAGTCACCAACTTTTTCTCCCCTAGATCCTTTTCTACGTGTGCCGTTTTCATGTACCAGGGGGCACCTGTTAGGAGACGAAGGGTTTTCGCTTGCAGGACCCGGATTTTCTGCAGGTGCGACTTTGCAGCGATTCCATAAACTTGTAAGCCATATCGCCAAGAGGGAGCGATGCAGGACTTATAAACACTCACTTTGTTTTTCAGTGACAGTTTTTTGTTGGTTAGGAGCCATCTCATATTGTTTATTCTAACACTTAGTGTCTTTACAACAGAGCATATGTGCTCTCGAAATGTGAGGCGTCTGTCCAAAAGTACGCCCAAATATCTGTAGCTCTTGGTGTGATTCAACAGCTGGTTCTGTAAGGAGACGCAAGGACAGCTCATCCTGCGCAGTGCGTAGGTGACATTGGCGCACTTGCTTAGTACGTCTATCGGATCAAATAAAACGTAGTCTTATTCAGTTAAAATGCAACTACAAATATTTGTAGCATACCTTTGATAAAGGTCTAATGAAACACAATATTTGCATACTTTTAGGCTGACTCAATACAGTAACATCCATTTACATATATATACTCATCTGCAGAGACCCATAAGAAAACATCTTCACACTTCACTTCTGCACACCTCTATATTTTCTTGCATACTCGTACATACATATCACGCCTTAAGCTAAACAAATACTAAGTGTATTACTTGATATTCTTGTAAATCCACGGCAGCAGTGAGGTGACACGGGTGTATACGCCCGGATACTGGCCCTTGCCGCAGCCAATGCCCCAAGAAACGATGCCAACTTGCGTGTAGCGTCCACCATCGCTTACTATCATTGGACCGCCAGAGTCACCCTGTAATGAATAACAAATTTATTGCTTTAGTATAGAATTGTTATCTAAGAAAGTAATTATCTCATAAACTATCCTTCTTCAGTCATCCTTAACCCCCACACTTACGCTGCACGAATCCTTAGAAGCCTGTCCGGCACAGATCATGGATTCAATGATGCCGCCGGGCGCTGCTCGTCCATATTTGCGCGCACACTCCAAATTTGGCCAGATGGGTATGTCAACTTTTTGCAAAATGGACGGCTGCGGTCCATTCTCCCGCAGACTGCCCCAGCCGGCCACAGTCGCCACTTGGCCGCTGTAGGAGCGGGTCTGTTGCGCGGCCGAGGTGGGCAGACAGACGGGTTGAATCTCTTGGGTGAACGGCACTGGTTCGCTCAGCGTCAGTATGGCAATGTCGTTGTGCTGCGAAGAGGAGTAACTGCTTGGTAGGATTGAGGGAATCGTTTAGATCGTTGGCTGGGCTTACCAATGTGCTGAACTCAAAGCCCTTGTGGCGCACCAGCCGCTTGATGCGACGCGACACATGTTGCACCTCAAAGTCTGTGCGTATGTTGTAATCGCCCAGATGGGCGGTCAGAGCGGCCACATCCCAAGAAGTCATGCTGCAGATAAATGGGAAATGAAAGAAAAGCTCATCGACTCAGTTGGTGGTAACATACCGCGCCACACAATGGGCTGCTGTGAGAATATGGTTGTTGGTTATTAAACTGCCGCCACAGAATTGCTTGCCGGACTTGAAGAGTACCGCCATCCAGGGGAATTCGTGAGGGCTGGCATTGATGCCACCCACAATTCGCTCCTGATCGGGAGAGACGGGATTTCTAATGCCGCATTGAAGTGGCAAACCCTCGGCACTGACCCCACCACCAGTTGCTGGGCGTCGTGTCGTAGTTGGCGTTGTTGTTGCTGGAGCCGTCGGTGACGGATAACCTGGATATGAGGGATAGCTAGGTCGCCGCGTTGTTGTGGGTCGTGTGGTTGGTCGCGGAGTTGTGCGCCTTGTGGTCAGAACAGTGCTCGGTGTGGTCGGCCGCTGTGCGCCAACCGTGCTCGGATGTGTGGGATAATGGTGATTGGGTGGATGTGTCGGTATTGGTGGCGGCCAACCGCCCAAGGTGGGCGGATGTGTAGGTATTGGTGGTGGCCATTGCGCCACACCACCAGCAAAGCTGCCAAACGGCCACTGATAGGGATAGACAGTAGTGTCGGGCTGGGCCGGCGCATGCGCCTCTATGGTGTTGATATCCTGGAAGTCTGGTGTATCCTCCACGCTGCTTCCGCTGTCCACAGGCAGCTCTGCTTCAACAAACGCCGGTTCATCCTCCTCTTCCACCTTGTCAAGCTCATCTGCTGACGCCGCTGGTCTTTCAGTTGTTGTTGTCGTTGTTGTAGTCGTAGGTGTTGTTGTTGTTGTCTCTGTCGGCGCTGGTATTGGAAACGCGCCAAAGGCCGGCGCATCCATGGTTGTGCAACAAATGCCGTTATTCACCCGTCCCAACTGATCGTAAAAGTTGCACAAATCAGCGCCCAAACTGAGCGCAGCCTGCGGCGGCCACTGCCTCAAAGCTATGAAGGTGAGCTGCCTGGCCACCCGGTAGTACTGCCGGCAGCTGTCGATGCGAACACAAACGCCCGACTGGCCGCGTGGCGTCAGACACTTGGAGCCTTCCCACGCACCGCCCCCTAGTCCCCCCTGCAGCAAAAACAGACTGGGATCGAAGAAGAGTTGGCGGTTATTGCGCGTGTGGGCGGTTGCTGCTGCGGCTATCGAGCAAGGAAAAGAGAGATGAGAATATAAATAAGTTTGGAAAATAGAACCATTTAGACCCCACTTTACGTTTGTCATTAATTATAGCGCCTTAAAAACGCAACTCATTTGTTGTTTGTTTTAATTTAAATAAATTTTAACAATATGTATCTCCTATTTCATTTTTCTCATTAACTCATTAGCGTCTCAGAAAAACAAACTAAAATATCAAAGTTGGAAATTATTTGTGTGCTTGGGGTAAAAAACCCAAATAATTATTTTTTTTTTTTTAACGAAGCGAGGAATTTACCAATTTTTAAGTTTTTATTCATTCTGTCAAAGTTTAATGATTGCTTTAGAGTTTTACTTTACAACTTAAAAATTATTTTATTATTGTTTTTGAGCAAAAACAAAACGCAACTCATAAAATAAAGAGTATTCTTTAAGTTTTCGTTTTATTTTATCAAATATAAAACTTAAGCTGTATATAATATTGATAATATTTTTTAAGGATGTTTTTGCTTATCCCAAAACTATACTATAGGGGATCGTCTTGGCTTTTTGTTCGAAGAAAATAAATTTTGTGCTTATTCTCTATGATAAAGGCAGGGGCAATGAAGTAAAAACGCCATTTTGTTCTGCACAATTAATGCCAGATTTAAAGCAAATTAGCTACTTGTGACCCATATAGTATACTACACTCAGCAGCTTAACAATATTAAATTGAATTCCAATTCTGCAAACGGTGTCAAATTCCACGAAATCCCTGTCAATCAAAAGGCCGAGCCTTTCTTTTGTCTGCGTGTGTGACAGCTGTCATAACAATTTAAAGCTCATCAAAGAAATGGGCTATAAAACAATCAAAACAAATTGTACGATATAATGTGCAACGATATGTATGAGTAATAATTGGGCTACTTGTGTGTGTAAACAAAATTCGTGACTCACTTTTATGTTACTAACATTTCTTCGCGGCTGTTTGGCTGTGCGTGCAAAAGTCGCCTTTGTAATATGCAAATACCAAGATTTACAAAATATTTACATTCCCAATGCCCGGCACGTCTTGAACGTATTTTTCATTACCCGCCAAACGTTCCGAAGCGAGAGCAACACGTGCACGGAGCCTGGCATTGCTTTTGGATATTTGGATACCATGGCTCGAAGCCAAACTTAATGCACTCTTAATTTATCAATAATTTTTACACCTCGCTGACATTTATGGGACGCATTTAAATTAATCGAACTATCTGAGATATCAGCTCGTAAAACACTCTAAACACAAAACCTAAATGGCTCGTTTAGGCGCAAGCTTTTTGCTTCCCCATAAATCAGAGCGACATCTGAAATAGATTCGAAATAGCACCACGCTATGCTAAATGGCCACAACAATGGCCAGGAAACAATAGACTAGACCAATTTTAAGAAGCTGCCAATGAGTCTGACAAATATGACAAATGACAGTAGAAAGTTGGTTGTATCGGATTGCCCGCCACAGAGAGACGAGGAACGCAAGGCAGGGCAGTTGCCATCCATACAAAGAAATGTTGTCAAAAACACACAGCAACGACAACAACAATTACAAAAATGGCACAGCAATTGTCATTCAGCTTGAAAAGCGCTTAAGTTTATTGTCAATATTCTGTTGTGTGTGTGCGTGTGTGTGTTTTTTTTTTGTTTTTTGGTGGGGGAACTCTGCAGTAATGTCAAAATATTGAGTAATCACTTGTAGCGTGGATGCGGCGAAATGTAAAAACGCTTTACCATAAGAAAGAACACAAAACGATAAAGAAATAGCTGAAACGCGTTGAGTCAATATTTGCTGATCTGCTTGAAGCTTACGAGTAGGTGCTTTGTCAATAGTGCCCAACAAAAAATAAGTATTGAGAACCTAGAATAGTTTAAGTACGGCAATTTTTTATCCATCTCAACAGCGTGTGACGTCTAAAGAGGGGTAATGAACTTGGTTTCTTAAATAAATGTCTATAAGTTTAAGGCAAACGTTTGCCTACACACCCACTGAAAGGGTAAATAAAGATGTCGTTAAGCCACACGAGCCCAGTTGAATAAACACGCGGCTTCCAATTTAAAGGCAAATTATATATTACGTATATTATGTTGTGCAATGTTAGAAATTGCCAAATTTTTGGACAACTCCTAGATGTGGGAGTAGAAGATTACTTATTAAAAAATATTTAGTTTTTCAACAAAATAGTTTATAATTACTTTTTAACTATTTTTTAGAAGAAATTCTAATGTTTTTATATTATTAATAAAAAATAATTCAATACATAATACATGTATAACAAGTGTCAAATTTTTGTGCAAGATGCTTAAAAAAAAAAACTACAACCAGTGCCAAGTTCAAGGCCTGCACGCACAAGCCCGCCCATGTCCATTAAAACAACTGCACGGAGGCAAAATGCAGATACGAAGTGAAGAGATAAAAGCAGAGCTCGCAGAGTGCAGCCACCAGCAAGCAGCTTAAGCCCCTGGTCATTTACTTTATGGCCGCTATCAACGTAATAAGAACAAATCACCTGGCCTTCATAAAATTAAACTGATGCTGTTAACAACCATTAAACAAATTGCCAACTTCTTGCCTGCCTGGCCTGGCCGCCAACGCCCAACGCCAAATAAAATTTAATTGCTTTCCAGAAGCCGCTCTTCAATTTAATGAAGATTGCATTATGGTGTGATGATATGTTGCTCAGCAATAAATGACTTGTAATGAAAGACGTATTAGCTAAGAATGTATTTCTAATTTATAGGAAAATCACCCTAATCTGCTTATATCGAGGACATTCGAATTTATAGCAATAGTTGCTTAAAAATATTTTATTTAAACGAAACATAAAGCTGGATGTGCTCAGTTTTTAATAATGTGGCCAAATAATCAGGTTTGTAAAAAGGGATAAACATTTGTACAAAAGTGTAAAATGCCTTCACATCTGTAATGATTATAGAACTTAAGAATATTTATAAATTGCTGCAAATAATAATTAAAACAATAGAATTGTAAGACTTCTAACAGAAAGAAAAGATACGATTGAAAGAACTTTAGAAGAAAAATATCAATATACATTATTTACTGCTGACATTTTTCTATTAAAACTATTTAAGACAATCACATCGCTTTCTAAAGAGGAACAATAATAATAATGCCTTTCAACAACCCTTTAATAAGCTTATTCTCCTGCCATACTTCTTCGATCGATCACGCCTCTTAATGGCTCTTTCCATAAAAAGTGCTGTCTAATTGTCTAATTGTTGGCCATAAATAAGAAGAACTCACGACAGCCGACATTTGGACTGAACGGGCATTGGCCATTGACAGCAAACGACGGGCGCGTCAAATGGATGTTAAAGTTAAAGCTTATCACGGCTCCTCTGTCTGTCAATTTTTGCGTTGAAGTGTGTTAATTTTAGAGCAATATACGCCTACAATTGATGCAAAACTTTTGTCGTTGCCGTTTGAGTTGTTACTGAAGTGTGAACATAGAAAGTTGCGTAGGCACTGAGTGTTGATTTACATTACTCAGCAAGTGGGGCAAAGGCTCACGGCTTGGTCAATTAGCTATAAACTATGTCCAACAGGCTATTAGTTCAACAGTCAACAAATTCTGGCTGGGCTACGATTACGATTTATAGAATTTTGAAGGTCAAACAAGTAATGTTTGACGCGTGCCAGGCATAAATTTCGATTTTACTTAGCGTTGTTTAAAGTCGTTGAACTGTTGGTTGACGTACAGCCGGGGAGCTGTTAGATTAGGCGAAAAGAACGTATATGAGATGATGAATATAGAACAATTAAAATTAATAATAATTATTTGAGTTGTTGCCTCAGGTCTTCAGCTTTATTTGTGCAGAATTGTTGAGCAATCAATGGATATCTCTTACAGATTATAAATTTGCTCATTAAAAGTCTATCTTTAAATTCTGATCGTATCAACATCCTTAATTAGATATTAATTTGTTCAAACTTTACCTTTTAATTTAATATGAAACATTTATAGTTTCCAAGGGTTACAGAAGTATGCACATAAATTTAAGGGGAGAAACGATTTTTGTAGTAAATATATTTTTGTGTTGATCAGCATTTAAATTCCATTTCAAATTACCACTCAAGAAAATTATTAATATGATTATTACTATATAACATAGTAGCTCCACCCCTCTTAATATAATTCCTAAGTACAAAAGTAAAGTGTTTGAACTTAGCCACAATAACAATAACTACTTATGCTACAATTCCCAATTGTCATATAATTTTTTGCAGTTGAGTACGTGCCTTGTAAAACAAGTTCGTTGCCTAAGTCTTTTGTTTATAGTGCTTAATCCGTTGTTTTTTTAAGCTTTTCCTTGATGTTTCACACCTTTAAGCTTACCCTCTGCTATGGTTGCATCTTCTGCCGTCACATTAGCTGCAATAAATGCCTCAGGCGCCGCCACTGCCTCTGCTTGTGTTGCCGCAATTGACTTTGTCAAATGGAAATTTTCTGCTGCTGCCTCCGCTGCCACTGCTGCTGCTGGAGGCGTTTTAAAATGCAACAAATGCACAGAAAGCAATAAAACTTGCAAAAATGCAAACATTTTGCTTACAGCAAAATTCTTTATTTTGCAATTTGTTTTCGTTTCAACTTCTTATCGTCGCAAAAATACTATACATTCGCACTCCGATTACGCGTATCAATTTCAACTTTTCTTTTGTCTGCTGCGCGTCTCACTTAGAATGCGATGCACGTTGCGCGTCGGCGCGATGGCATTCACCTGGAGGCCTGAACAAAATATTCTTAAACTGAAACAACAACCGTGTGTTGTGTGCTTTCCGCGTTCTGCGTTAGACAGGACCGTTGGCTAGTGAGGTCCGCGCGTTTCTGAGCGCAAAGCTGCCGCTGAAGTTTGGTCAACAGCTATGCTCGCCACTTGCCAATGATTCTCCATTGCCGATGGCAACGGCAACGGCAACAACAACGACAACTCCAACGAAGACGGCGCAGCCGAAACGCCAATTATTCACACGTATTGATTTGCTCGTTGTGTTGTTGTTGTTGTTTTTTTTTTGTCGTCTTCGTCGCTCCAATCGTGGCCGCTCTCGTTGTGTGTGTTCGCTTGTTTTGCCGGCTTATTGGGGCCGTGTTCTAATGCGTAGCCGTTCAACTACTTAATATCGGCACTTCTTAAACTAGTTCGCGCCCACTTGCCACTGCCACAGGCATCCCGCTCTGCACCGAGTGTGTGTCCATTTGGCCATCCAAGTCCGAGCTTTGCATATAACTCCAGAGAGATGCTAGTCTAGAACAACATCTAGCACTGCAAGAAATTGTCATTTCAATACCTAAAAATGATAAGTAATCAAATGCGCACCACAATTTCTGTTTTTAAAAGTCAACATTAAATATGAAACTCCAACTCCTAACGAAACTTCTTAATGTAAGAAGCCAAATCAATTAATAACGAGCGATGCTATCCTTAACCAGATGCTTACAATGTTAGAAACCATCGCCTTCTCTATTGCATTGCTTCCATAACAAATTAATGCTTTGCTTTACTTATAGTTTCTACTGGAAATAAATATGATTTGAAACAGAAAACTGTATCGTATGTAAAACGAAATAAGCAACCATTACCTATATCCAAAAATTGGCCATAATCTGTGCTTTCAAAACCTATATCCATATTTTGCGTGATTCAGAAATGACAGCATTACTTAAGATTCTGAGTAGCCAACAACATCAATGCAACCGCTAAGTTATTTTTATTGGAAGAATAAAAATAAATGTATTTCATTTAATTAGTAGAACACAGAAAGCCATTAGAGCAAATAGTAATTAATTATTAGGCAACTCTTTTTTTGCTGTGCACTATAAGATTAAATTTCCATTTAAATTCCTTGCCGCACATTTGGTTTGGCTTTTTATTTCTCTTTGCCATTATGTAGACCAAAGCAAGGCATGTTTTCTAGTTATTTTTTGTTGTACCTCTTCTAGAAGAGTACACTTGTTTGTTGACTAGCCGCTGCGGCAGACGTAATGCAAGCTTGCATTCGTTTTCATTGCCACTGAGGCTATACTTATAATATGTTCAATTTATGGTTGGCGTTCATTGAACTGCGAGCTTGAGGATGCCACACAGGATTCAATTAAACAGACACAATGTTAATCAGCGTGTCCCAAATGCCAGCTAAGCTTATTGTCAGGCGCCTCAAGCGTCTCAGAAATAATCAGTTAATCACCAAAGAATTGTTTGAATCAACAATAAGCAAATGCTGATTGATCCGATGAAGTGTCACGGCTATGGTGGCCTCAACCTCTGCCTCGGGCTCTCGCTCTGGATTTTGATATTGGCGACATGACAATTGTTCCCTTCATATATATTTTGCCAACTAATTGTGTGTAATTGGCACTGGGAGGCATTATTTCATGATTTATTGTGTGGCTGTCTACATTGAATGTGAGAAAGCAATACACTTTGAATTCTAAATGCCCGCCTTTGGAAATGGGCCATAAACCAGCTTGCCTAAGAGAGTCTAAAAGCATTTGAGTGAATTAAGGGAAACAGCTTAGTGATGTGACTGAGGTAACTACTTTTTTAGCAGCCAAGTCGGGTCTTAAACCACAATTGCGCTTGCAAGTATGCTTTAATTTTATTTGGTGGTCCACCTTACTCGAACCACAGTTTCTTCCCAGGGCATACTTTCAGGTTATCGAAAAATGGACAAAATGCTTAAGAAACTGCGAACCATTACGAACTCAAATAATGCAGTTCAATAAAAGTCTAGATGGAAAGAGCATTCTTAATATTTTACTATCGATTTTCCAATAAATGTCAATTAAAAATAAATTTTATATATATACATATATAAATTTTGTATCATTTTATTTGTACAAATTGAACAGCTTAAATTTAGGAATCTACACTTTCAAAACGTTAAAAAATAAATACATTCGAATTTTGTGTGTTATGTTAAAGAAATTCAATTCGTTGCGCATAGGAAGAATATTTGGAAGTAGCGTTTAACATTATTTTTAAATCGCTAACATAAACTAAAACTAGCTACTCTTTAAATATTGCAAACAATGAATGTAGAACCCATCGTGTATTTTGTGCATCTGTGTGGCTTTATGCGAATTATTCAATCAGGAATTTCTCTACAGGAACATTAGCAAAGAACTTGTTGATGTGCGTAACCAAAATGGGCGCCCATTGTTCACGAGTGGCGGGAATGCCGACGCGTGTGATTTCCGGCAAGTTCTGATTGACCAGATTCAGGATCATAGCATCTGAAAAAAACAATTTAAATGTTATCTCAATGCTTACCAATTTGAGACTCAAACTCACTCAGATTGCTGTCAGTTAGGATGCCATTCGCTACAATAAATGTTTTGCCAATGTTCACATTGGCATTCAAACGATGTAGGACCACACGCTGATGTCCATTGTCCAACTGTTCGATATGTCCATCCGTCAGTATGGTGGCCTTGATGTTATCTATAATAGGGGAAGTGAATGATGGCAATCTTTTTCACAAATGTTCAAAGCTACACCTACCAATGGTGATATTAAACGGACCCTTGGGCACCAAACGCAAACCACCGAACTTGACGTCCGCCTTGAAATAACCGCCGGCCCTCAGTTGCGGCAAAACTGCGCCCAATTTAATGATGAAGCCCTTGCTCGTAAAGTTGGCATTCACGCTGTTGATTTGCGCATCACTTATGCCATTTATCTCCATATTCTTAATGAGCAGACCACCCTGAATGCCATCGTTCGCATACCGGAAGATGCCCCTTTCATAGTAATAGGGATCTATGGAATTCATATTGTACTCGGGCAGGCCCTTCCGTTTTAGCTGAGGCGCAATCGTCTGTATCAGATTTTGTATGCATTCGCTAATGGTCGGCGAGCTTACACTGCAGGGTGCGATGCCTTCAAGTCCACTGCTGGGTGGTGTAACTGCAAAAGATCAGACATATGATATAACTATTATGGTATACTCATGTACTAAGTATTTTATTTGCATCATCTATGCAGCTATGTGAGGGCCGCTTTCCCAGACAGATAAAGTTCAGCGAGGCATGCCTCATTGCGCGTAACACCTTGACGCTTTGAACATACATATTCATATACGCATGCGCATCCCAGCCAAGCGTATCAAAGTTCACGTGTTCTCCAAAATATTCACGAAAATTACAGTGTCTGCCTTTTCGTTTTTCCATCTCATTGACATCCAAGTGTCATGTCAGGGTGACAAGCGACAATGACGCCGTCGCTGACAAGGTTACCTTGAAACGCAACTACTTGACATGGGTAGGGTTACCCAGGCCAATAAATGCCTCTATAAGCTTATAAAAATAATGACTTGCACATTAGGTTTTGCAGACTTTTTATGATTAGTTATATGCGCAATTAACGCAATATGTCCACTGTCTCGAAACACTCTTTCTAAATTAGACCTAAACAGACAAACTTCAGATAGAATTTCAATACTGGAATTAACTATTAAATGGCTTTACTCAATTGTAAATATTTTGTCTTCAAATGACTGTCACGACTGCTCGATTCACCTTCTAACATCTGCTCCAGCCTTTGTCAACTTTTCTCAGACTATATAATCTTCCATAGACACAATACTATTGCCTTCATCGTGTACTAAAACAAATTGAATTGTAACAAAAACAAAACCTACTACTTGGTACACTCTGAAGCAAATATTAACGATATCTGAAGCTGAAGGACTTATGCCTTTAGCAAGAGAACACCATTGCTTACGGGTAATTAAAACGTATAATAAATAACAAATAAAACGCTGAGAAGTCCCGACCTTAGAAGTCCCATTATAGTTTCATTTTTAATTTAAAGTTCACATTCTGTAGTAGGTCCCTGCCCTCTGCTCCCTGTTTTAAAAAATTGAAGCGTCACATTAAAAAAGAAACTTAAACAATGACACTGAATTTAAGAATGATTATCTTGCGAATAAAGTTATCCCGAGGACAGTTGTTAGTCCAGTGTTTGCAAAATTTAAAAGCGGAAAAGCAATAAAAATAGCAATTACTTCCACTGCACAGCCATGAATCAGGCAATTAAATTAAAATGCGTATTTTATTTTACAAAAAAAAAATATAATCTCAAACATTAAAATATATAATAGGCATAATTGTTGTTTTATTTAACATCTCTTCACATTATGACTGCGGAAATGTTGTTTCAAAATGTCAGGGCAACGAAAAAGAAAAAGGATTATGTCGAAGGACAGCTGCGAGGGGTCGAAGCCCTTTCCGGCGGCTATGCTCAGTGCAGATGTAGTACCGGTTCAGATAGCTGTATTGCTAGCATTAAAGCAGGAAACCAGATTGCATTCAAAATATAGGCCAAAAATGGCATAGCAAATACATAACAAAACTCAATTTGGAGTTACAAACGAAAGCTGACTATTATTAAAGGCACGAGAGCCTTATGTAAAACAACTCGGCTTTCTACTTGCCTAAATTTAGCGCAAAATTTTAAAAATCAAGTAAATGAATGGAATATGGATACAAGAAAAGTGTTTCGAACAAATCATTCATTTGTTTTAGCCAGAAAGGTGCCATTGCTAGAGAATTCCCATCACTTGAAGCTAAATTGTAGCACTAAGCTTAAAGAAATTGATTTAGATATACATGGCAGGTAATTCCAGATACTTTTATGAAACATAAACAGTGCAGCAAAAATATCCATGTTTGACCATAAACGTGGTAATAATATTTTAACATCTGTTTAGCAGCCATTGCCATCGCAAGGTGGCTTTTTAGAAGTCAACGGAAATACTTAATTTGTGGTGCCATTAAAAAATAAATTTCTTGCAGACAATATCTGTGTTTATTTAAATGTAACCTCAACACTGACTACCCCTATTTACATTTTTCTCTTGTGCTGCTGCTGGTCCCCCAATTTAAAACTAATGTTTTGCTTGTTTTTTCTGCCCGTTTTTTTTTCTGCTGACAAGTTCAATGTCAAAGGTGAGGCATGCGAAGCGAAAATTGCTACAACAAAAAAATAATACGGCGTTTAGCTCAAAATGTCAAATTTTAAAAGGTGCTTAAAGTCGCTTTAATTACTGCTACTAAAAAATAAATGCAAGCGAGTCGTGCAAATGTCGCATTAGAGCAAAGTTCGGTGCCTAAGTCTTTCGTTTGCACAAAAGATGTCAGCACAATAAATGTCAATAAATTTCTAGCTGTTGTCACATTTTGCGCAATTAGGCTAGCTTGTAATTGTAAGCTTGGCCCAGCATTGGGTTTCCCTTCCATTAGCTGGCCAGCTCCCTCGCTTCTACGGTCGACATCATTGCCGCGCATTACGCATAGTCGCATTGATGTAGGTCAGTTTTTTAGCTTTTGAGAAATGCGAGCGACCAGCAGCCGGTTTTTTCTTTCTTTCATTTATTTCTTGCCTTGTCGTTGTTGTTGTTGTTGCCGTTGTGTCGCTCTTTTCGCAAGAGCTGAATGAAAAAAAAACATTTTAAATTAATGCAATTGCCAATAGCGATATTAAAATGTTCGCTATACTCGTATCTTGATTTCTCATTTGTAGGCGCGTTTTGTTTGCTTCCTTTGTTGTTGATTCTGTATAAATTTATTAACTTTTATTTATTTTTTTTGCATATACATAATTTGAGTTTGTGCAAGTGAGAATGCATATTTGCACAAGCAATTCATACAGTTTGACAGCCACTGTGCTGTGCGCACTTTCAGAGCTGCTTTTGTTGGGTGTTTTATAACTTTTACCGCAGACTCATGGCAACAAAAACAACACACAAAAATATTAAATGTGTCAAGTTCAAGTGAGGCGTCAAAGAGGTAGCGGTGTTGTTTGCATTAAGTTTGTTGTTTTTGAAAATAAAAAGTGTTAAATATCGGGCGAGGGACAATGGACGCCGGACTTGCTAATTTTCATGTGTGGCACAGATTTTATTGCCACGGGCTGGCACTCTGCGAAGACACTGTACGGCAATTAAATGGCTAGTCTTGTTTTCTGATGATCACAAAGAGTTGAAGGTTGACTTCACTTTGCGCTAAATGAGTCAGCAGATTGAAGTGCGTGCACGGAATTCCAATTCAAATCAAAGAGTTCTCAATTTATCTGTTAAATCTGCAAAATAAAAAGTGCTTTGGTAATATTTCTCAGCTAAATGCTAACAAGTTTCAAAACACAACTACACAAAATAAAAGACATGTTAATTTTAAGTAAATAATTAACTCTGTGTGCGCTTGTTTACCAGCTTCGTTTTAACGGCCACACTTCAAAGAATTCACAACTGCGCAGTGGCAATTGAAATCCATGTCTGATGCCCATGCCCACTAAAAATGTCAGACACGTCGGAAATAAAAACAAATACTACAAATCTTGCGCATAAATTGTAACAAACGCAATTGAAATTCATTTTCATTTCCATTTTTCTCCTAATTTTTCCCCACATTTGTGCGAATAAGAAACCTGCCGCATACAAGAGACTTTGGCGACAAACTCGTTTTCATTTCACTTTTTTTTTTTGAATATCAAGTTCTTGTTGTTGTTACATAATCGCTGCAGGCAGCACTCACTTGCACCAAATTCCAAGCCGTCGTAATCAATTGCGGCGCCAGCACCGTTGGCAATGCCAAGCGGTGGGTAAACGGTGGATGCCACCACCACATACTCCTGGGAGCCACCGCTAAAAACGCTCGGCGTGGCCGCCGCAGCGGCTGCTGCACTTCCGAGTGTGGCCGCAACGGCGATCAAAAAGCAAAACTGTTGCATAGTTTTTATTTTTTTGATTTATTTATATACTTTATATTTTGATGCCAACTTTTTGCACAATTTTCAAATCAAAATACGAGTAAACTCGTTTTAATTGATTTCTTTTTGCGCTTTGACTATTTTGGGGCTTGATTAAGCACACACAGTTTCAATAACAACAACAGCTCGACAATTGTTGGTTGTTTTTTTTTTCTTTTTCGTTTTTTGCGTAATTTTTCAAACCGGCTTCACTTTTATTTCTACACGTATTTTACAGTTTATTGTAGCTGCCGTCGTTGCTTCGTTTTCGTTTTCTCGGTTAACTGCAATTGTTGCTGCAATTGCACACCACACAACTACACAAGCAGAGCCAAAAATTGCCAAACACTCGAAAGAAAAACACTGAAACACAAAATCAGACTTCTGCAAAAATCTTTCGATAACTCGTTGACGCCGCGTCGCTTGCAAATCTTGAAATGAGCTCTGGCTACGTTTATTTATAGTTTTCAGTGCGGCGATTTTTTTCAAAAGTTTTTCCATGTGCGAGCGCCGAAAATATTAACAACAACAAAATCACAAGCAGAATTCGTTTTTCGTATCAAAATGCACGCGCAGTGAAGGCTTTTGGAGCCAAGCTTTTTGGCAACGGTCCAAAGCTTTCATACGACGCCAGCTTAAGCGCTGCTGCTTTTTGAGGAGAACTGTGCGCACAGTTTGAGCAGCACTGGCCGGCTCAATGCACGGCAAAGCGAAACGATGGGGCTTAGAACGGCTTGTCACTCAACAGTTTTCTTAAACAAATTTGTGATCAATTAAACATTTAACCCCACTAATATATATATATATATATATATATTTTTATATATTTAACTCTGCTTGATTTTAAATTAAAACTAAAACTGCCTAAAACTTGATTCAAATAAATGCAAGTACTGTAAATATTTTTAAAGTTTTAAGTATAAATGTGTAAACCTTTACATTTAAATTCATTTACATCTAAGTGCTCCTATTACAAGTTAAATGTCTTAAGGTCGAATCTAATTAACTTCAACAAATGACTCACCGTCTCTAAGGTTGTGTATTAAGAACTCAAACTCATTTGATGAGTCACGAGCGTAGCTGCAACGAATTCTTTAATCTTGCTTAGTAGTGGATGGAATATAAAACATTCGTTGATGCGAAACATTAAAAACTATACGGCACTTGCTGAATAATTTTTTTAACTTTTGAAGGAGACACTTTTTTCTCGATCTGCAATTAAAAACCGTCAACCTTATAATTAAATCCAATTAATTTTTGCTAAATAAAATAAAAAGAATTTACTATGAATTTAATTTAAATTAACTTAGCCCTTTCTTTTAAGTGGCACTCCAGTTGCATTAATACAACAGTATTATGCCAAGCACACCTCTCCGATAGATCATTACTACGTGCGCCATCAATCACACAACTACACCCACAAATCTGCCAATTAGTGCAACAAGGAAGCTGTCAGCACTGTTTGTGTCTGACAACAATGTACACACAGTTTTACAAGCATTGTAAATGGGTATGTGAGCCATTTATTGTGTGTACTCGTACATACATATGTTGCGTTCGCTTTGGGTGTAAATGTAAAATGTAGGCCAGAAATAAATCTTTAGCAATGTGTGTGTTGTTTTTTTTGTGTATTTACCAAGAAGCCATAAAATGTAACTTTTGAAGTTTTCAGCCTGTTAGTCAGTCAGTCAATCGGTCAGTCAGTCAGTCCGTCTATCTGTTTTCAAGGTTGCCAACGTGCTTCACATACCCGCATGTTGAAATGCACTCACAATTCATGCGCATGCGCGACTTTGTAAACGCATTTCAGGTGCTTCTCCTCTATTGTTTTCATAGCTTCTTAGCCATTCTGTAGAGTTACCAGCATGGCACGCGTTTAGCTCTGCTATAGCTGGAGCCATAATATGCTTTTGCCCAAACGATATAACTAATTTAAATGTTAATGTTTTGCTAGCATTTAAAAAAAAAAATTGATTTATGCATGCCACACAAGTCTTGAGGCAGACGACACCGCCGCGTGTGATTGGCATACTCATTAGAAATTATTAATGTACATTAAATTCACATTTCTACAAACACATTTCATATGCACAGCATATAGCGTTTATGAGTAATAATAATAAATAAATACAATAAAAAATAGCGTTGGTTTATACCAGACTACCACAATGCTGGCTTCATATTATTGCATCACGCATAGTATGCTAAATAGTAATAAAAATGCATTATTTATGTCAACTATTCTGTTCGCCAACCTTTGCTGTTTGCTTATGGGCATAAATCTTCGAGTACACATATTAAAGAGCGACAAGTTCGTTGGCCAAAAGGCCGCAGCCACATGACAATATTAATTTTTAAAATTTACTTAACAATTGAGAACTTGTACTTGCATTTAATCGGAACAAATAAGAACTACGAGATTAACAGAAAACAAACAAATGCTATTGGTTTGAAAACTGAAACACAAAATCAGCGATTGAATTCATCTGAAGATATTGAATTAATTATACACATTAGGAATTATTATATAACTTTTTATTTTACAAATAGAAGCTAGATAAAATCATTCATATAAAACAGCTTTAAATACTATTATACTTAAACAATTTTACAGAATTAATGAACCTGAAAGGGCTTTCGAAGTCATATGCATGCATAAATACAAGTATATCTCTTCTGAAATATAGAATCAATATGTATTAAGTAGTGAACGTGATTACAAATCTCTTTCGACATGTTTAACAAAAGAAAACTAAAGTTTTGAAGAACTATCATAATTTAGAAAAGCCTTTCTCATTTAATATATTAATGAATCACTTTTGAATTAAATATCCTCATATCGCACTACAATGATTGAAACAGTTGCAGGGTAGCGGTCAGTCATTCCTTAAAGAGGTGCCCACAATACGTCTAATTAGAATCCAATTCATTTTTTAAATGGCTGACCTAAAACAACAACCTGAAACCAGATTGTAAAGAACATCAGAAAACGTTTTCAGTTACGTTTTGATTGATTCTAAAAGCTAACATCGGGATACAAAAGAGCTGAAAACAGTTTAAGAGGAAGTTGCAATTTAAGAATCCAGCACCAACTTCTCATCTAAGATTTATGTGTCATGCGGCTCTGCTCTAAGCTAATAGACAGTATGTTCATTATTTATACTCGTAATTATTGATAGTCAGCTTTGTATTCATATTTAATAAATGTTTTATTTCCATATGTTTTATTTCCAGTAAAGATATACTGATGAAAAATGTAAATATTTCTTTTGAATCATTAATTAGAAAGCTATTCCAAGCAGCAAATCTTACGTAGACATTTTAATAGATATCATAAAATTCCTCACTAGAATAAAACATCATCGTAGCGTTTTCCTATAATTATAAATATTGCACATACTTACTTACTGTATTACGCTTAATTGAATTAGTTCAGGGCTAGTTAGTACTCGTAAACACTCTCTACTCTCTGCCCACACGCATCTGAAGGTCGGCTTACAGCGCACTTAACCCATTAAAAGCAATAGCCCAGCCAATAAAAAATGGCTTAACTGGGGCATGACTGTGCTTAAATATGTTAATAAAATAAATAAATAAATGTAAATGAATACATAAGCATAACCGGTTTCCAATGTAAACGATAATTATTATGCATAAAGAAGGGCGTCCCATAGGCGTTTGTTGTTGAAAGTCGCTACTGGACTGAGAATCAATTATTGATTATCAAATGTCAATTTAAATTGTACGAGTAAGCAATTGCATTTAGATAACGACGGAATGTTTTTAAAAACACATATACATATATTTAACAGCTGTAGGCAATAATTAAGAAATCACATGTTATATAAAAACTATAAGCTAATAACTAATCCGACTCCTTAATGAACTGATCAATGGGGACATACTCCAAGGCGTCGTTCAGCATGCGCAGCATTAGAGGCTGCCAATATTGACGGGTCTCGGGTAGCATAATGCCATAAATATCGCGCCAATATTGATTCGCAACGGTATTGGCAATCTCATCTACAAGAAAATTGTTTACAGAAAATGAGAAAATTTGTTGGCAAGAATGTCGTGAATGTCATGTGATTTAAATTTCACTCCTAATTTTAATCGGTATTTTATTCTCATTCCTTTTTATGATTGCCTAACTATTAAATATTTTTGCAATGAATTTGAAATGTCAACTATTATTCATTTCATTCAACTATTTCATTTGTTTAAATAAATTGATATTTTTATACATAAAGTTTTCTAATCCACTTGATTTCGTACTTTTTTTGAATTTTAATCCAAACTTTAGTTCGTATTTTATTTCATATTTAACTGCAACCTGTTCTTACAAAAAACACTTTTTTTTAACTTCCTGTAAGGATGTTTTTTGTTTCACAGAAATACATTCTTTCCAATTTCATTTATTTGTGTATTAGTTTCATATTTTTCTTGGAATTTAAAATGAAATATTAGTATTATTTTTAAAAATAAAAATGTGCTAATTTCTCACCAATTGTTAAAAGAAATTCACATTACTTACCCAATTCTGGATCTGCAAATATACCATTTGCCTTGATGGTCAAGTCGCGTATTTTGGGATTTGTATCGATGTCAGTTAGACGTAAAAATCTCAAGCCGTCCTTTTTGTAAATCTCTCCCTCTGTTACAGTCGTAGTTTCCACATCAGCTGCAGGCGCAGTAAATAAGGAACTCGTCAGGACAGAGAGTAATTGCAACAATAAATACTTACAGAGCGTCAAGTTGAAATCGCCCTTAGGCTTCAGATGCAGCGAATTAACTTGCATGTCAGCCTTATAGCTGCCGACAATGTTTATTTTGGGTAAAAAGGAAACCAGGCGTACTTTGATCTTATCACCATCGACCTTCAAGTCCACATCCTTGACCTTGTTGTTGGCAAAGCCGTGGATCTTAGCATTGCGCACCGTAATGCGACCATTGACCGGGCCATTGCTGTACTGGAATGTTGTGCGGTTGAGAACGAAGGGCTCGTAGGGCAGCTGCTTTAGTTCGGGATTGCCATCCTTGAGACGTGGAGTCATTGCGTTAATAATGTTCTTGATGCATTCCCCAACGAGATCATCATCTTCCGCACATTTCGGCACGTCCTTGGCTATTAAATATAAATCCATATAAGCGCTGCGTATGCGCAATATTTAAACGTTTTCCCACCTGTGAAGTATTTGTTGGCGGGCGCTGCAATCGCCAGAGTAGCCATTAATGCCAGCAGCCAACATTTTTCCATTGTGCAATGCATTTTCCCGATATCCTCCCAGACTTGTTACTGCTTTGCACAGTTGGTTGCAATACGCGCCAACCTCAACTGAACTGCAATCTGGATTGTGCGCGCTATTTTATTCTCAAAATTGGCTCAAACAACTGCACGTTCTAGGTAAGTTAGTTTAAGTCTAAGTCAGTTACTAAGTACATGGAGAGTGCAATAGATTTCAATTACAAATCTCTGAGGTGCTCGTACACTGGCAGAGAGTTAAACTTTGACTGAAAGTCAAACCGGCTTTCTGACTCACTTATAAATGTCGTATGTGTTTAATAAATCTTGCAAATTTATAATGATTTGCATTTAAAATTTTAATAATTACCTATTGACAATTATTATTCGTTTGTTTTATGAGCTCGCGCTGAAGGGCTTGTTTGGCGAAGCTTGAAAAGAGTTTAAATATAGGATTGTCATTGTTGGTCCAGCGATTGCGGTTAGGGTTGTCATCTAGATTTATTATCAATAACTAGTTGAAAGGTAAAGAAATGTATACAGAAAATGAATATTATACATATATAAACAAACAAAGTGAAATAAAGATTCAAGAACTTGTTAAAATAGTTTTATAGGCTTTGAAAAACAAATATGAAGGAATCAATGCCAAAAAGCTGAGCATCAGAATAGTCGGTACAAGGAGGGGCATAAACGCTTAAACCCTTCCTTAAACTCAAATGAGTCAATTATGGAACTGTCAATTGACCAAGAAGTTAAACTGTTCGAATTTATTTTATATAATTATTCATTAAAGTAACGGTCAATAATTTATTTAATTTTCTTTCTTTTAAAATAAATATTCTGTGGCTCGATTTTCCTCGGTTTTTTCCAATTTAAACGCATTTCTTGCAAACTGGCTCCCAACACACAACAACAAAAATGTTTAGGTCTTAAATACTCCAATTACTTTAAATTAAGGAAATGTTGGTTTTAGAATGCTTCATAACTCTCTAAAATGCTTTTTTTGTTAAAGTGTTCTATTCAAATGGCAAAAAATTGAGGCCCGCATTTTATCGGTTTCTCATTAATAATCTACTATTAGACACTTAAAGCTTTATCATTAAATCTTACTTTCAGTTAATTTACAACAGTTAAATGTAAAAAGAAATTAGCCTCTAGCATGCTTAGCTTCGGCGCAGAGGGCTATAGAAAACAGACATAAGTGGTGTTCTATTCATGTGGCGAGGAATGTATATTCAATTGATATAAATGTTTGTAAGTAACAAATCATTGTTATTTCTGAATGAAACTGTTAAATTCAAAAGCTTATTCCTAGTTCTTTTTTTTTTCTTAACATAAATTTAAATAAGTTTAGATCAAATAATACAGAATCCAATTGAGTTTTATGTTCTTTTTATTGGTATACAAACTATGTTAACACTTGGAGAGTACAGCAACAACGACAGGCTACAATTAACTAAAGCATGTAGACTGTAAAAACTATTGCTTTGTCAGAATCAAATCGAAGGGCAGTGCGCCAAAGAAATCATTTGCCGATTTCAGCATAAGCGGCTGCCAGGCGGCCAAAGTTTCGGGCAACATTGCCTGATACAGCTGACGCCAGTATTGGTTGATAAAGTCCAAGATTACGTCATCTGTCAGGGATAGGAAAAGAAAACTAGTGTCAAGTGCTGTGGTATTTGTGAAGTTAAAAATCAACACTCACTTAGCGCTGGATCGGGAACCAGACCACTAGCATTGATGCGCATATCTCCAACCCTGGGCTCAGTCTCAATTTTGGTCAGACGCAGATACGTGTGACCATCCCGCTCATAAAGCTCGCCCGTGGGACGTGCACGCATGCGCACATCGGCTGTAATTTATAGATTCAATCGAGACAATTCTCAATGCGGGATCGTTCCACACTTACTCAGCGTAACGTTGAAGCTACCCTTGGGTGTCAGATTCAAGTTATTCAGTTTGATGTCTGCCTTGTAATTGCCCTCAACATACATGTGGGGGACATGTGAGACCACATCCAAGCGGACGCTGCCGTTTCTGAGCCGAAAGTCCACCTTGTCGACGATTCCATCGCTGAGGCCATGCACAACAACATTTCGCATGGCAATGCGACCTTGCAGCAGCCCTGAGTTATAGTTATAGGAGCTCTTGCCCAGCTCAAAAGGATCCATTGGCGGTATGTTCAGCTCACTGATGCCATACTTCATGCGTGGCGTTAGCTTTTGGAAGGCCTGCTTGATGCAATCATTGATGTTGAGATCGTTCTCACTGCACGTCGGTATATCGGCAGCTATTGGGCGGCAACGGAGGAAAGGGAAATACGCATTTCATAAAAATGTGACGCCACTACCTTGACATATAAACGCGAGCGCCATATCGCTTATAATCTAGGTCCATTTAAACATACTTTAGACGAGGGTGGCTCAAGAGGTCTTTAACAACCAAGCAAATTTTTGTTAAATATCAATAACGATTAATTTCTATACTTTAGAAATGGCAATAGACTATACGAGTTTTTGTTGTGAGGTTTCACAAACAATTAAAGCAATCCACTACTGCGATTTTTTAGTCACTTCTCTTTGGAAGAAAAACAAGGAATAAAGTTAAAGCTTAGTTGAACCAAATTCACAGCATATATGCTCCATGGTTTATTATTTAAAACTGGGTAAAAGCTTTTAAAACTGCCCATACATTCATAAATAAGGAACACCTTTTAGAAAGAAGTGCTAAAGTTAAAGACACTAGTCTTCAGAAATAAATATAATTAATAACAAATGCAGTCTTACACCCCGGTGTTTGGGAATTCACTCGCATTCATCTGCATGCGCTACTTGGAAAAATATAAATATATGCATTATGCATAGTCGGCAGAACACATTATGTAAATAAAGGAATAAAGTTCAGCAGAAAAAAAACCACATTGATATTAATTCCGAAACAAATAACTGTATTAATAAGAACTGCTGAAGTGGATGGGCAAAACCAACAATCCAAGCAATTGTTTTTTAAAGACTTTTCAAACCACCCTCGCACGTGTAATTATGTGCTTGCGCGCTTATGTTCAGAACGTGACATATTTAGTAGAATTTGTGCTTTTTTGTTTTATACATAAGTAGTGTGTAGTTTTTTTTGCCGGTTTTAACAGTCGTGCATAATTGCTATATCGCTAGTTTGGCGTCACAGTCGCTGACGCGTCGCGCGCAATTTATTTGTTATTGCTAGTTTGTTGCTGTTAGATTTTGTGATCTCAAATGTTATTGTTTGGAAAAATTCCTAGATTCAATTAAAACAGTTTGTTTGTAGCTATTGTGCTTTGGCTAAACGTCGTTTAATTGTACAAGTATGTATAAATATATTTTATCAAGTTCGTCACTCGAATCTTTTGTAATGAAGGCTTTTTTGCATGACTGTGCAAGGTTAGCGAACGGAAGTGGAAATTGTCAAATGTGTATTTTGGGCCAAATATAATTATCTTCATGTGTGTGAGTGTGTGTCAGACTAAAGCCCAAACTTGTTGCCTGTGCTTGAACCTAATTATGATTTGAAGGCTTATTCTATTTTTAATGTCACAATTACATTTATTTATAGCTGCCAAATAAATAAAGATTTTTATTTACCCAACACAAGTGGCTCACAGCTGAATGGCTTCTATTTTAAGCACTGATTGCTTGGAATCATTAACTACTGCTGACTCTGCAGATTTCATGTTCTTTACTGTTTTGACAGCTATTTATAACCATTTATATATATTATTATTATTTTAAGCTATTTTCGCTTTGTTATATAAAAGCAAGAACCCGCAGACAATTTGTCATATAATTGAAAACATTTTAAATTGCCATGAATAATTTAGCACAATTTTCAAAATGATTACCAATATTGTAAACTATAGGTCTGTAATAGCTATATATATGTATACGTTGCCCAATACTTAGCCCTACAAAATGTCTATGTCTAGAGTCAATCAGCTGCATTTCATATTATAGTATGATACATAAAAGTGTCTACGCTTTCATACGGGAAGGGTTAGAGACTGATATTATTGCCATATTTTTCGCACAGCATCGCGTGTTTTGCATAGCACCTTTGATTCGATTGCATGTTTTTTAAAAATATTCGCGATTATCTCAGCAATGCTGTTGCAGGTGGCATCCAGCAGCTAAACACTTTTAAGGGCACTAAAGAAGGTGTGAGTTAAGCTGGGATAGGTTCTCTAACAATAAAGTCGGAGATGAATTACAATTGCGTAATTAAAGACTAACACCGAGTGCTAAAAATACGTAATATAGTATTATAAAATATATACATATATTCGTACACGAATATACTATATTTAAAATACTTAAATAAAAAAGCAAACATTGTTACAATTGCAACCCATACTTTACTGTCTATTTCCGAGATAGGTCTTACTTATTGTGCGAAAAAACGTATAAGACAAACAAACAAATGTCAACATAAATAAAAATTGCTTTTTTATTTTCATTTCAATTAAGACCTTTTAGTATTCGGATGATAATTATTCAAATATAACATAAAATAATAATTGACACTAAAAAACTGTTTTTGCAAATTCCCACAATCAATTAAAAAAAATAGAAATTGCTTTTGAAACTAAACTAGTCTGAAAGAAAGTCAGACATTAAAAAAATAATCCTAATTCTAAGCCTCCGAACGACTTCAAAAATCTTTGCCATTGCACTTTTCCTGTATATTCATAGCTGATCCAAAGAAATTGACATTAGCAGAAAATACCAAAGAAATGTAATTGCGAATACTAGTAGTTCTGAAGGGCATTGCTTAAACAAATGTGGTTTCAGTTAATGCTCCCAAAACTAATCAGCTATAATATGGCTAGTTTCTATGCATTTAATTAAGAATTGAATTGAAGAATCTATATATACAAAAATCTCGGGCCACAATGTTTGTCATTGATAAACTCCGAAACTACTGAAACGATTTTAATTAAATTTCGCATGTATTTGTAATTTGGTCAAACTAAAATATAGGATAGTTTTTATCTCAATTATTTATCGTTTGGGGACTTTAATCGCAAATTAAGCGTTTTTCAGAAATTTCTACGTATTATTCCATTAAATTGTTTTTGATATGTAAAAATCAGAATAGAGCGTCGAGCTTGTGTTAATTAATTCTTAAAGTGTGCGTGTTTGTCGTTAATAAGAATTATTCAATTATAATTCTAAAAAGGCTGCTAAAAAAATAAGAAAAAATTTTATCTTTTAAATGTGAAGTGTCCACATATATACATATATGTATATATTTCTTTAAACATATTCTCAACAAATTTTCATTGTGCAATAAAATGTTCACACGCAACGGAATGACTATAAATTTATTCGCGACTTTTATAACTGTTTAAAAGTGTGGATTTATATTAAAATTAAACCCGTTATCTCCAACACTTTTAGCTGCAGTTAACCGAACTAACATCTGTGCTAAATGTGCAAATTTTGATAAACCGAAATACATTTATAAGCAAAATACTTCTGAGCCAATTTCAAGACTTGTTTACTAATTGATTCTAACAGTTAATGTGACTTTTTATGCAAATTAATTAGTTGCTAATTGGTTTAAAAGTGTTTCTGCATTGCTTTGTTCAATTCGAGTCCTGCTTATAAAAACATTTGTTTTTTTTTTTTTGGCTAACAAAACGAAAGACTCAAGCCACAAACTTGGTACATATTTCGATTACTTAACACTCAATCTTTAACACATGATTGAAGCTTGTTAATGGAAACTCACGTAACGACTTGACCGGCTTAAACTCAACTGGTGGCAGCTCCAACTCCTGATCGGCGGCAAAGCACACGGCACACCACGTGAGGAATATAAATGCACTTGAAACAAAAGCCATTATATTGCACAATCGATTCTGAGACACGCGATTACAAATTTTCACTTTCAGCTTTTTACACAAATGTTCAATCGCGGTTTTTGTTTTATTGTGATTTTTTCAAACTCTCGCAGCCCCTAGCTCATGCAAATGCGATGCGGCATCTGAAGCGTCCAGGCAGCAGCAGCCTTGTATTTATGGCGAAAAATCAAACACAGCCCCCAATGCGCAGCAGTCGCAAATAATAAGCCAAGCGCGCAGCACGCCCGGCTCACCCGACTCTCAGGGGTCGTCTTGATGCCAAAGCATTGCCGATACACACACAGACACACACAGACACACACAGACACACACAGACACACACAGACACACACAGGCACACACTGACACACACTGACATAAACAAATAGACACACATATGGCATGGAACTAATGACGACGTTGTGTCAGTTATAGAAAATAAAACAATAACATCAGCGAAATACAAACGACATGATTAAATTCCCTCGACAAAAGTCGTGAAGTTGGCGCTACCGCACTGTCTCTTCGTCTCTACGTCTTTCCAGCTATCTGTCACTGGGACAGGGGCGCAGCCGCCCCCCAAAGTTTGCTTAACTACCGGCAGCTGTCCGATACAAGCCAATTGCTGTCTGATGTTTCCTCATCGACGCAGCACAGTGTACAGTGAAGACAGTAAGAAATGCAAATAAAGACCTGCTATATCTATTCTAATTATTATTGACTTCTAATTTTGAAATTGACCCAAAGGTGAAGTAAAATTAGAGTCCAAATTTGATTAAAAATTGCAAATCAAACACACATATCAAAAATCGTACTAAAAGTCTGTGCACGTCCTATGGCGGCAATTATGTATTATGCAGAGCTTGGAAAAAACAACTACCCCACACGTAGTAAATAATAATGACCAAACGTTTAAAAGTGAAATTGCTTTGTTGTGGCAGATTAAGCAGCACGAATATGTCAGATTTTGGTCGTCAATGACTAAGAAATCGGGTGAATCTAATGAGAGAATTGATCTATTCAGCAGCTGGAAAAACGTTGCTTCGAATGCATTGGAGCGGTAGTTTGCAATACAATTCCATTTAATTATTGGCTGCGACACATAAAAACAAAGCAAGCCTATTCTAAATAAATCAGGTGGAAGGATTCACATTCTTTTTAAATGTAGTTCAAATTCTTTTTGTTTATTTGTCATCCGATAAATACACTAGTCTTCTGTCTAAAACTTGAACTTTAATCTATCCTTATCCTTATCCTATCTCATGTTAAAAGAGCATTTTAATAGTTACTTAGTTACTTAATTTACTTAGTTACTTAAATGCATAAGAAAAATTGAACACACTACATTACATATAATATTTAATAACGCTTTCAAATTTCTAGAAAGTATAAAACAAAATGTACATATGTGTCAATATTTATACATTATATGTAAACGTTCAGGAATAAAATTAGAATTATGTTTATGTTCCGACTTTCTCATGCCCTTCTTAGAGAGTTTTTACTGCTTTCAACGGTGCTACGCTACTGTTCATTGGCTGCAGTAATGAGACATTGCCGGTCCCGATTTCTACAGTACGAGTGGGTAATACGCCTTGTCTGGGCTTTTCTGTTGGTCTTTGGGTCTTGAGCTTGCATATGCGAGCCAATAATTAAGATTATTAACTAACATTTTATTCCGTTAACTTTTTATGAGTGCACAGTACTCAGTGGGGGGCTGACAGAGAATAGTAAATTATAGAGCAGTGTCGAGGGGGTCACATTAGTTCAACTATCCCTTAGGCGTGTCTAATGCTGCTTGCATATTGGATTATTTAAACCTGAAGTGGCAAAAGTTTTTACAGTTGGAAATTTGCGGAACTAAGCTGCTTATCGGCTGATCATAGAGAATATTTAGCAGGAAATCTAAGATGGGTATGACGCGGCAATTGTGCGACAACTATAATGAATTTATTATAATTAGCTTATTATATACGCAACGCAAATGAATTAAAAACAAAAGCAAAGAAACAGAAAAAAAAAACCTGTCCGTCAAGAATATCACATATTCTGGAATATTTAATTGGCTAAGCTAGCTAAGACTCAGTTTTGTCGACACCATTAACAATTTAACTTTACACTCTCTCTAGAGAAGATTGCTTCATAATGTGAAACAATTGTTTCTAATTAGTGAAGCGCGCAAAGTTTAAAGTACAAGTAAGTAGAAAGAAATTATCATTATTCAAATGCGATTTTATCGCATTTAATTGAGGTTTCGGGAATTAAAGAACTAACGCCAACGGGCTTTTATTTCTATTGTGATTTACCCGATTGTGTAAAAAAAGTAATATATGTAATCGTACTTGTAAAAGCAAAACTGAACACTGAATTTTGGAATACGTTACTCATACAAGTACTTGAATGGCTCTTTTTTGACACCCAACCACATAAAGTTGAAGAAGTTGAATTGGTAAACATCATTTCGGAAATAATTAATTTTACAAATTTTCCTCTAACTATTCAATTTCGAAAAAAATTACAAACGAAGCCGAAATTTGAAAATACAAATTGTGCTATTCATGGATGAAATTATTTTTTTTTTTTCGTTTAACAAAAAAGGTTATCAATTTAGGTATAAATAAATATTATAAATTAAAACTTATACGATTAACAAAGGGTACATTAGACAAGTGGGACTGCCGGCGGCGAGGACCATATTGGTCCTTGGAGTTGGCGGGTAATTAGAGATCAGTTCTGAGAACGGTTGAATAGTCCATTACCATCTTACTGTGCTTAGAGAACGCCAGCAGAGCATTGGAGGAGTGTTACCAGTGTCGGACTGTGGCAAAGAAGATCTTCCAGCTTTTAAATCACTTCTGAATCCTTCCATTTCATGCATCTATCTTCGGTAGTATTACTCAGCTTCCTGGCGTGGGCAGCGGCTAGGCAGTGATCAATAGTAGTAGTGAAGTTGCAGAAATAATTGTGGAATATTACAAAATTACAATTTGTGAGATACACAGCAATAACTATAAAGAATTATTAATATTAAAAATGTAAATTTATAAAATCAAATTACAAGAAAAATTATACCAAATGAGTATGGGAGCAAAGTAAATAAATTGGAAAAAACAAAAAGTAAAGATTTTCTAATACATATAACAATATGTAATCATTATAAGATTGCAGCTATGTCTAACGTTGTTATCATCAAGGGCGTAGCCAGCTTTTACCAGCTTTTGATTAAATAATGAAAAAACTTCAACAAATCCAACGCAGATCCATCTTAAGGCGAAATAGTGCGTCATAATAATGAACGTGTCGACTTTATATGGAAAAATTTTTTCTAGGGGGGGCAACGGCCCCCCCCCCCCCCCCCTGCGTACGCCCTTGGTTATCATTATGATAATAATGATGATGATTTGGTGATTGGTGATTTGGTGATGATTAAAGAGGAGTTTTAAGCTGATAGAAAATTTAGTAGTAAAGCAAAGATCGAAAAAGCCATTTTTATATGATATTTTACACTAGTTTTTTAAAAACTAGTTTACATTTAAAACAATTTTCACACACTCAATTATTATTATCCTTAAAGCGACTTATAAATTATGCTCCTACCTTAAAACCTCTTTGAAGAGCAAACTAGTTATTGTGTCGTGCTTTGTCTATTATCTGGAACCTTAGGCAACCTTTTGCGGCCAAGAAGAAGTCATTGTAAATCTAGTATACCCTTGTACACATTATGTACAGGGTAAAAATGATACACGCAGCTTCTTTGAAACTAGGCAGACGTCTTATCAATATGTACGACATGATGCACCAAAAACCCATTTCCAGGAACTAAAAAACAAAAAGAAAGAGCAAAACCAAACACACAAACATATCTTATCGATAGACAAAAGAGGCAGGCGGACACAGAGAAGCAATTTAGCTTGCTTGGGCCCCGACAAATGAGCCTCAAATGCTCGGAGGAAAACCAAAAATTGAACAATTCAAATGGAACGTGAATGCGAATGCGAAGGAAAACACGCGTCGCCGAGTATTGAATAGAGTTCGTCTATTGATTCTCACCGCTGGAATGCGACAACAAAAGCTGCGACAATGAGCAAAGAAGAAGAATGGCTTAAAATTATCTCTATCCTCTGACAAACAACTATTGAATGAGAAGCGCAAACAAAGGGCGTGCAGATCGCGCCAAGAGAGCGACAGAGCGAAATATTGCCACCTAGGGCGTTGGACAAACAGCACTAGAGCTGCAGCCACAGCCGCAGCCTCATTAGGCAAAAGACGTTGCTGATACGCACGCAAGAACAAACATGCACAAAGGGCTTATCAGGTAAGTACAGATGCGCAGCCGTGCGAGGGAGATAGGCGTAGTGCGCGCATGCGCTTCTTGGTAAAGGTGCGAGCGAGAAGGAGGATTGGCAGGCCATGAGCTATTTTTATGACCTTGTTTTCGTTTTGCAAAAACATCAATGTTCGAATTTATGTAAACAAAGTCATAAAGTTTCGGACGAATTATGATAAGCCTAGAGACCTGCTAGTAGTGTCTATTTAAGCATCAACCACAATTCAAAAGGACAACAGTCAATCGACAGCAAGAGACAGAGCAACATAATGGCCCTACTAATGGAAACCCACAACTATCGCCACAAGAAGTTCGACGTGGCCCGCCAAAAGCCCCAGGAAGCCCACACAGCTATGGATTTGGCCGCACTTCGGGTTAAAGAGGAACTGCTCTCAGGGAACACCAGCTCTCGCAGCTACAATAGCAGCCGGGATGAGGAGTCCAGCAGCTGTTCCAGTGACTATAGTCTGATCTTCAGCCGGAAGCGTACGGAGCGGGACTCGGAGGTCTTGGTCTGCAGCACCCCATTGCCAAAGCGTCGTCGTCATGCGCTTGGCGAAGACAGCGGCGTAGCCACTACGGAGTCCAGCGAGTCATCATCTTCCTCCTCCCTGCCATCGCCCTCGAGCAGCGAACTGCCCAAAATAAGCGCCGACACACTGCGAGACATTTGCAAATACCATGGCAACATGGTGCGCAAGTTTCCCAAGAAGGACCGCACCCCCAAGGATCAGGAGCGACGTAACAAGAACACCATTGCCTGCCGCATGAGTCGGCGCGTCAAGAAGCTCGAGCATTTAGCCATTGAGGAGCAATACAAGCACTTTAGTGCCGAGCACCTGAAAATCGTCGAGCAGAGCATGCGTGCCACAGCATACTTCAATCATCTCAATGAATTGTCGAAGCTGGAGTCAACAAAGGCTCTTAAAGGTGCGTCAGCAACGACAACAAAGAACTTCAGCATAGACTATTTAATGAGCGGGATCAAGCCCGAATAGCAACCTTAACCAACCATGCTTGGTAAAGTTCTAAAATTATTAATCACTGTGTGATTGGCTTAAATTTAAATAGATATTCATTAATGCTTTATTAGTTAAGACAGTTTAGTTCTAAACCTAGATATCTCGCTTATTTCTATAAGAAATATAAAATAAAAATCAAAAATCTTTTAAATAATTTAAAAAAAAACTTGATTATGGGGCAAATAAAACAACTTTATTGCTCTAAGTACACTAAGAAGGGCGAATAATTTCTCATTTGTTGACGAAATGAAACATAAATTCGTTTAAAGATTAAACTAATCGACTTCGAGATTTTTGGAAAACTTGAAATAATATCCGACATTTTTACAGATCGTTTTTATAAAAAGGGTATACTATATTTGTGCGAATGTATTTAACACACAGAAGCAGTCATGGCAGACCCCACAAACTATATTTATTCTTGATTAGGATGACAAGACGTCCGTCCGTCTGTATGAACGCAAGGATCCCAGAAAGTATAATAGCTAGAACAACCAAATTTGGTATCCAGACTATCTAACCTGATGCACCCCCCACTACTCCGCTTTTAGTGATTTAACTCCCGTAATTCTTGGAATTTTTCAAATTTGGTAATTACATTCAGTTAGTGGCCGTATGTTAAGTTATAGCCATAAATGTAACGTCTGCCCGCAGCTGTAGTTAATTAATATTGTACTGAATATATGCGGTTCTGAAGTAAATTTATGCTGTTAAAACAGAAACATGTCTCCACTTATTTATGTGTTGTATATTTTTATTTAATTTAATTTATTTCAATTTTATTTCAAATTTATTTTTTGATATTTTTGTAGTATTTATATTTATTGTTGGGCTTGCCCTGTGGCGTTCTCTCTTTTTATAAAGTTTATTTTGTGTGTACAATTTAAAATTTCATGAACTTTATTTAAAAATATTAGCAGTTAACTCAAAGTAATCACAGTTTTTTTTAGAAAGGCTAGGCTCAGTTTAAATTCTTCACAATTTCCACCCCCAAGAAATATTCAGAATGTAGCTGTCTTGCCTTAATGGCTTGCCTATCTATGTACGTAACAAAGCTCTGTTTAGATAAAAAAAAAGACAACAAAGCTTCGTTTAGATAAAGTTTAAGTCATCTGCTTGCATTCAACCTTTTAGTTGATGTTCACAATTCAAGATAAGTGTTACATTTGGCACATGAGGAAGTTACATAGTATTTTTATAATACACCCATTCAGACATTACTTGTGTGATCGTCAGTTCCTCTACTACTCTCACGTTTACCCCAATAAGACTCAACTGGTGTGCTTTTTGTGCAAAAGTTACGCCAAAGTACGCCAAAATGCAGCCAACTGTGCTGCGTAAAGCAACAACAGCAACTTCAAAGCGCAGACAAGAAAATTTAATTAACGTGATTTTATGCATGTTGCCCCGGCGCGATACACTCCCTTCCCTTACCCCACATTTCGGCATGTAATTAACTCATTAACTGCCTTTTGGGATTGCGCAATCGCCGCAACAATAACAAAATTGAGAGTACAGTTAATTACATTTAATTTTCATAGTAGGCCATATGATAATGCTTAAATACTTCCCCTATGGCGGTACTCGGAAAATCCAGCCAGATAATTTCCGCAGCCATCGACGCCAAACCTAATAAACCTCTCTACTTAACGGCTCACCAGTTGTTTGCTGTACACTTGGCCAACATTGAAAATTGTATTGCATTTTCGCAGTCGCAACTACAACAATAACAACAGTGGCCGATATTAGTGGCTTACAAGACTTGAACTGAACTTGATCTTTTTGCACCTAGCGCCTAAAGCCCCCTGGCCCTGCCTCGTCATGCGTTCACGCGCTATACCAATATTTGGCCTTAAATAAGCATGTAAGTTGGCTTTAGCTCTGTTTGACGTGTTCTTTGTGGCGACAGACCCTGAGCTAGTTGGCCAAACGAATTGAAAATTGTTTTCTTTGTGTGCGATTCTGACTATTACCTGAGGTCGCCAGCAAGCGGAGCAAGTCACGGATTAGCAAACTTCTAAATCTTTTTTTATTTTGCTGTGTAGCAAAAAAAATACTCATAAAGCAGCTAAATAAAAATTTCAATAATATGTACATCAGGACCATCGTAGTTCTTTTTTACACACACGGGTATACTTAGTGCAAATACAGAAGGATTCGGATGACAAGATGACCAAACTTAGTATCCAGACACGAGTTTGAGCTTTATAAGTGATTTTCCAAAACTCTTGGATCTTTTTACGTAAATTTGACAATCACGCGCATATGTGATTGACACAATCGAGATCTAAATGTATGCTATTAAAACGGTTTATAAATATATAACTCGATGTCGATGAGTTGACACGATACGTACATGATATTAGAATAAATATCCTTTTTCCTGATTGTACATGCATGGCGATTAAAGCTAATGATTAAATTTTACTTTTGATATCTTATTTTCTTTGGTGGGTCCATTACATCTGCCCAGTTAAGAAGACAAACGGCATACAAATTAAAAAAAAAAAACGTTAATCAATTAACATAAATTAATTAATTAATGAGCATTTCCACTCGGCAGATAATGGAAACATCGTTTCAGATATAGAAATAGTCACAATAAATTCTCCAAAATATTATGGAAAATTAGAAAAAAGATAATGATTAAAGAAGTCTGTGTGCAAGCAGTTGTTTTTGTAATGAAACTGCCAAGTAAGCATTATAATTTCAAAACCTTAATAGCCACTTCTTTTCTGATTTACATTTATTTGTAAAATAAATTTTACCAGCAATCATGATTCTAGAATAGATTCTTAGTACTAAAAAAACAGAGATTTTTATTATGAAATTGTAATTACAAGTACGTCAAACTATCTACTTAGTAGAATGATTGCCAACTATTATCTTTGAACTTGTTTTGTACTTCGGCCAGAAAAAATATACACAAAAATAAGTTTCATTTTTCAACGTATTTTCAAAGTACAATGACCGCTATTAAGGCATTTATTTTGTCATTTTAATTGTGAGTTTGCAAGTGTCCATATAATTATTTTACTCAGCACAAATAGTGACTTGTTTTTAGTAAAAACTAGCGTATCCGGCTCGCGTTGCTGCTCCACTGAATTGAAGTGCTTTTTAAGCTTTCCGACATCACATTTTTCTTAATAGCTCCTTCGCTTTTTATGGCTTTGATTAGGTCCTTGATTATAGTTGAGTAACTGTCCACTTTTTTTCGTCTGTACAAAGGATATCCATCGCCTTCTGTTTAAGTTTCTTGGGTCAGATGTGGATGCCCTTTCGCTGCTCTTTTTCGCTCATCCTTTTTGATTTTGTAGTTTTTTTTTACGAATGGATACTTTTTTGTTGGCACGTTTTTGTATTCGATTTTACAATTTTATTTATTTACGAATGAAACACGGAGAAAACAAGTAAAAAGTGACTGCCAAACAAATGGAAATGAGCAGAAATAATCGCGTTGAACAATCGCCACAAAACTTCACAGGCTTACCCACGGTACTATTTTGAATATTGCCACAAAATTTGATTAAAATATATACACCTAATTCTGTTTATACACGGTAGATTGGTTCCAGAAAAAGTCATGCAAAAAAACCGTGTAAAAAAGGCATTGATAATAAGTTATTTTAAATCGTGCTAAATGAAATAATGTGGTTATTCGACATATATACATTTTTAAATTTTTATACCGTGTAAAAACAGATCGCGTAAAACCAGAATTATGTGTATATATATACATACTTCCATTTTTATATATATACACGTATAGATGGTAGTTTATTATTTGAACTACAGTTGTTGTACGCTCGAATGTGACACAACACAAAATTTCCATAATTATTAATCAACCTACTTAATATCTTATAAAGCTTTCATCGAATCGTATAAGGGGTATATTTCTGTTCTTGCGATTGCCTGAAAAGTAAAAACGTTCCTTCCAAAACTAATGTTTTGAACGCTGTAAATTTCGAAATATAGAATAAACCATGAACCATGTAAATGATTAATCTTATATATTTGACTTTCTTCAAACTTAAAAACATAGAATAAATAAAACTTATGCAACTAAATCACATTTGAATGGCTTTCTACATTCATAAATTTAACAAATGGCCTCAACGTGTCGCTCCGAAGATCAAAAGTTGCTGAGAGAGCGCCATTTGTTGCAGAAACTGTTGTTGTTGCTGGGGGAGTGGGAAGCCGGCAACGGCCCGTTGGAACACGGCCTGCTGCAGTAGCTGCCTATAGTAGAAGCTGAGGCGGAGCTGTTGGTCCAACATTGCCGCATGCTGGGCCCGATACTCGACGCATTGCTGCTCCATGATCGCCTCCTGGGTGTGCTTGGCTCGACGATAGAGCAGACAGGCGCGGGTGTTCCGATCCCGACGCTCTTGGGCTTGGGGACTGCGCAGGCGTGGAGTCTGGGAACGCACCATGTTGGCATGATACTGAGGCACATCAGCGGGTGTCTGGCTTAATGGTTTGTCTGTCTTGCTATCCAGCCAGGGTCGAAAGAATGCCTGGCCCTGCTGTCGCTTAGCTGGCAATTGGTCTGCGGTCGTCATTGGATGCTCATCCATTTCCCGTTTGCGTTTCTCTGTAGAAAACTTCTTGTGGCTGTAATTGCTGGCATGCTCCATAATTGATGTTGACACTTTCAGATTTGCTAATCGAATGTTGCACTCCCTGCTTGATATCCTGTTTATATGGCATGTGGCAGCTGCAAACAGGTAGCGCCGTATTCCGTATGCTAATTTTTGGCAGGACGATGACAATTTTTATGACCTGTCACCTCGTCCCTCTCATTAGTGTTTTTACCGCACCTACCTGGGAGGGCTTTGTATTTCCAAGCCAACAACATGTTACAACCCACATGCACACATTTGCCACCGGAACTGGAAAGTTCTCCAGAAACATATTTTTTTATTGCCCTACTTGATATTGGTTGCGTGTGGTCCCAGCGGTTCTATTTTTTTCCATCACTTCTGTGAAAATTTCAAGGATCAGCAAAACAAAGCAGCCTACAACAGACAAAAGGCAATGCCTCGGAATTTTCATTGTGCGCAGGTTTCAATATGTTTACTTGGCAAAAAAAAAAACCAAAGGACCTTCATGAAGGTGCACAAAAATAGTCACGAATTCAACATCTTCCAAGAAGTTCCCATAGTAAAAATACATACATAATAGTTGTTTTAAAAAAGAAAAAAAATTATGTATGCTAAAGTGTTTAATTCGCACTATTCTATAAGCTATATTCATAATTGACTTTATATTTTATACAAAACCATTCTTTATCAAATACTTTTCAGTTTATATATTAATATTTTAAAAAACTGTTATGTGGTTACATATTTTAAAAGTGTTTTTTGTATATCATGCGATTTGTATTTATATTAAATGCCAAATGATATTACAGTTTTGAAAGTTTGGCCTCAGACAACATCGACATCGAAATAATAAACTGAAATTTTTCCTTCAACCGGATCTCATCATACCTTGAGATGATCCAGTAATTATCGACAGGTCTTTAGCTTGAGGGATTTTCCACTTACTTACAACTACAATTTGCATATGTCTATTTATTAATAGACTTGGCATTATATTTATCACTTCATCGTTGATAAATGAGTTCCATTAGCAGAGTTCAAATAGTCATGTCATTTAGAATACTTGTATGTCATTTAGAATATTTGTCATCCGTGCTATCTGCCTTCTACAACATGGAAAATCCAATCACTTATTGATTTCTACTTACATTTATACAATATTGATGAGCAGCTTTGCAATTGAAATAAACACGTTTGTCGCCGATTCTACAATTCTTAGTGGCTAAGGGAAGTCTTTAAAAACGCACAATTTTGAATTCTTTTTTCAAATTAAGTATGTAATTGTTTTATTTGGTTTAAGATAAAACGAATTGCTATTTTTAACTCAACAGTTAGGGAATTTAGATTCAATAGATTGATTCTATAACTACAGAATGACTGCTCAAAATTGTCGAACCCTTTCAATATGAAGGCCCTCATTAAAATGTAGCTATGCTAAAAATTTCCCATTAAAAACGTATTTGCTTAAGCTTTTACGATGTCTTTAACAATTTGTCTGTATTTGTAGTCAACAATAAATAATAATATAAATGTAATAATAATATAGGATATACAATATGCAACATAATAAACCATTGCAAAGTCAAATAAATATTAAAACTAGTTAAGCTTCCAGGGCTTAGCCCTGGAGTGAGTCCAACTATGGCTTAGGCCTATCGTCGAAAGGATGCCAGCACTGGGGTCTGGGCTTGGGCCATTTGCTGCCGCCACTGCTGCTGCTGTTGTTCGGTGGTGAGTGGCGCCGCAGTCGCCGCCACTTGCTGCAGATAGCGGACATAATAGAGACTGAGACGCATCTGCTGCTCCAGGATGAGTTCGTGCTGGGAACGGTACTGCGTGTATTGTCGCTCCAGGGCCGCCTCCTGGGCCTGTTTGCTGCGTCGGTAGCGAAGGCTGGCCAGAGTGTTGCGATCGCGATGCTGCTGCTCCTTTGGACTGCGCTGACGTGGTGGATGGGAGCGCACCATATTGGCATGATATGGCTGGGCTGGCGGCAAATTGCTGGGACTTGGCGATAGGGATTTGCGTTGACTATCAATTTCAGCGCTCGGCTGATCCAGCCAAGGGCGAAAGAAGGCCGTGGACTGGCGACGCTTAGCGGGCGGCTGATCCAAAAGCTTTGCTGTTGTGGCGGGCGCCTCCATCACAAAGATGACGTCGTCATCCGTTGCTGATGAATCGCTTGCTTGACTGCGTTTGCGTTTCTGTGCGGTGCTGAACTTCTTATGCTCGTAAATATTTCCCGATTGCTCCATTGTTGAACTATTAAATCGATTGGTCGTTTGGCGATGGCGATGGTGATTGTGATTGTTACGCTTCGCTGGCTGTGCGCTGACTGTGCTGTCATTGTGTGGAGTGCAATCTTTTATGCAACATTAGGTAATCGGAGGAGAAGGGATCAACATGCGTTTTCCCATCGACCCAAAGGTATTTCCCAATAAACTTCATTCATTAGACGTGTGTCCGGGCCAACTAATCAGCTGGTCCCGCTTACCTGTCCCAGACACACTCAAACGCACAGGTAAGCAGGTAGACAGGATCTCTCACCCGCTTAATCCAGCGGCACATTTACAGCTGACGTTCGTTGCATTCGAGGCGTCATAAACCAGTTGTCCCTTTTGTATTTGGCTGTTTACATCGTTTTCTCTGGAAATACCTGTTGAGTGTCACACCACACGGTTGCCCGAAAGGTCGTCTGCAACGTCCTCGTAATCCTGGCGCTCATATGGCTGCGCTTTGTTCGACTTCGGTTTCCCTTTATGCGGCAAACGAATAGTTTTATTGTTTCGAACCGATCTGCTAAACATTTATGACTTCAGATGGTGAAATCTGTTTCTTGTCAGCTGAAAATACGAAAAAGTCTCCGCTCACCATTGTATACTACTTACATACATACGTATGTAGAAGCGGTATCTTGAGAATTATCTCGCATATTCGTTTCATTCAATGCCCTTCTGTGTCCGCTGTCCATTGAGCCGCCCGTATGCCGTCCACTGCTAAGCGGATTTATTTCAGGAGGGCTTGAGACGGTCCTCTCATGTAAAATATCAAGTGAAGAGGTGACGTCGTGAATAATGTTTTGTTGCATTGCTTATTTTGGAAGAAGAAAGAATGGTAAATTGTTTAGTTAACAAAGACAATTTTTCAATTTTTACTTAAGTTTTTTTGTTGCGAGCACCGGAAAGAATTAAGAAAAGAATATGTGTTCGAATCGATGACACATTTAGTTTACAGCTGAAATGCAGTTTTACAGGAAATTTTTTATGCACTTTATGGATCGGTAGCACAAGAAGAAAGGACTATTGACAATCATATAGGAATTGTATTATAAATTGGACGGAAACCCAGATGTATTGATTTTGTTCGAGGCAACCGGCTTATAAAAGTTAAATATATGGAGCATTACATACATTTTCAATTTGGTCCGAATTTATATCATGATTGTGATTTTTGAATTCTACGGCATTTTCAATAATATCAATACAAGTGTCTATATCCATAATTGGAAAACAGTATTGAGGACATATCATCGTGGTCTTTAATCCGATTAAAAACATAATCGTATACACATTTTTAAAACAAATTGTTTGCATTTTTCATACAAATAATAATACAAATAATTAACTATAATTAGCAAGCCCCTTTCTTTTTAATTTGTATTAACAACATCTATTTCTTTTGTTGTCTTCTGTCCTTTTTCGTTTCCTAAAACTAAATTGTAAAGGCGCCTTTGCTTCATTTGTGCTTTTTTTAAACAATTTATATAGCTCCTATAAAAAACATATTACTACGTATAATTAAAATAAACAAAATGCTGTCTAACATTATTATTATTTAAAAAAGAAACTAAATTGTTAAAAAAAAAATTAGGAGATTCTGCGCCTTCTTTCAAAGAAAATTCCTTAGCAATTAATACGGTTCCGTTGCATAATTTGTGTGGCTTTATCTGCATTGCCTGGTGAAAGCATCTCTGCAATCCCTATGTCTCTACTTCAATGTATCCAGTTGTATAATTGATTCTTGCTAATCTGTGTTCATTATCCCAGCACAACTAAAGCCCATAAAGTATCCAAAATCAAACTGCAAAGCCAAATGTCCACAGAAATGCTTATCTCTTGACGCTTAGATAATCGACGCAGCACAAAATTTCGGGAAAATCCCAATTAATTTCCATTCAGTGCTCCGTTGCGGAGCGTAAAACTTAATGAGCCAGATTAGCGGTAAGGTAGATGGAAATCTGAAGTGCAGACGCGTCGGCAATGTAAATCGATGTGCATGTACGGATGGACGTATCAAAGAGCCGACCGAGGGAGCGTTGAATGTTCTGGTGAAATGTAGAAATACCAGGAAAAGGAGCAGGCAGCAAGTAGGTGCGAGCAGACGGCCAAGCAAATGAAAAATTAATTACAAAAGGACATGGCTGGACTGAGCTCACATAACCTGTATGTTGGCAGGTAGAGAGCAGCCTGTCAGTCGAAATCCTTTTCTATTTATGACAATGCCGACCTTTTGTCAACGAAATATTCCCATAAACATGCGCACCCTGCCATCCGACTCTTAATAATAATTGCTGAGCCATCTTCAGGTAGCCCGACAGATCTCTAGCCACATATAAAAGGCGCAGTTGCGCAGCAAAAGGAGCACACTTCACAAGTAACCTACAAAGCGTCAACAACTCGCTTGAGCGACTAAAGAAACGAAAGTATAAGAGATGGCACCCTCACAAGTGGATTATTTAAATGAGACGTCGGTCGGCTATACGCACAAAAAATTTAAAACAGTATACACGCACAAGAAATTCGGAAAGTGTGGCAAACAAACTGCCAGCTTGGAAGCAGCTGTTGTGAGCACCACAACGCCGCTATTTCGTCCCTATGCTTTGGATGATAACAGATCAAGGAAGCGTCGCCCAGCTCCAGCAACAGAGGAGATGGAGCAACAACGCCAACAGTTGCCACCCACGCCGCCACTAACACCTCCGCAGTACAAGTCACAGCCACAGCAACAACAAATTCCTGCAGCCACACCCACTTACAACCATATACCACTAACAACTCAACACAACATCGCATCTGCACCCACAGTCAATCACCAGGCTTTTGCTTTAATGCTGCAAAAGCAGCGCGCCGTTCTGCACATGCGTCAGCTCCTAAATATCAATCCCGATGCCAATACCTGGCCTCTGGAATGGCGCAATGCTCTTTACGCTCTGCTGCAACAATAACTTCGGCTGGAGATTACTCAATTATCTTGCCAAGCAACCAGTGATATATACCTTTAAGAGTGCGAGCGTGCCTGATTTGGAATAAGACAACGATTGTACAAAGCCCCGAAGAATTTATCCTAGTTATAATGATTGTACATAAATATTTAAAAAATTGCAAATAAACATTTTTAAGCTAATCAATTGTGTCCTAAAACGCCATGGGAAAATACTAATTCATTGAACTAGTATACTTTTGTTGAATTCCGAATCCCTTTCCCAAATAGAAAAGCGTTGCATTTTCGGATTTATAGTCGCAAAAAATGGCTTAATAACTAATATTCTGCCATATTAGATACACAAATGTTTGAAAATGACAAAATTGAACAATTGAGAATTTACAGCAAGACATTGCTTTATATCTGAGATATTACTTGAGATAGATAGGGTTGTAGCCCACAAATTAAAAACCTAGTATAATTCTCAAATATAATACAATTTCATGACAAATAAATGCCGAGCTTCCGGCAAACAAATACACGGCTTTGGAAATATTAAATTGCAATTTCTTTTCGCTCAAAATTCTATTTAATAACTAATCACCTACACAGTTGTTACTTCAAAGAGAGTTATTAAAGCCCAGACGATCAAAGACAGAGCTGCCCTGCCCTTTGGGCTTGTTCCCAATATGGACGCTGGTGTTTCGACGTTGTGCGAACATAGCTCGTTCTCGGGGGCGATCTACTGGCTTAGCCGATGTCATAGGATGAACACCCAAGCGTTTGTGAACCGGAACATCTTGACGCGATAATATCTCATCAGAACGCATGCGGATTGTCTTTCCCTTCACAGGACTGAGACGCGCGACAACTTTTTTAGTGGGCGATGCCTTAAGGTTATAAGTTTTTCGTGTGGCGTGTAGTTTTGAAACTGTGGAACAAACAAAAAAATATTAATATTTATAATTAGTTGCCACTATACAGTTTTGTACCCACCTAAGCCCAGTCTTGCTTTGATGTTCTGCGCAAAGTTTTTATTCCCACGCGGTTTTTCTGTCGCGATTTTTCGCACTTCGGCTGTCGATGCAAACTTGACAATTTTCTGATTCACAGACGGCACACGCATTTCGTAGTCCATTTCATAGTCCTCATCATTCTCACTCTCACCATCATCATAGTCGTCATCAAAGCTATCGTCATCGTCCTCCATACTCTCTTCATCACTGCCGTCACCACCTTTCAGAGGCACCTTTTCCACCAGCATTACCTTTTGCTCCTGCTTTGGCAAATGAACCACCGGCTTCACAATACTTTTGGCTTTTATTATGGGCGAGTTTATTTTGGTGCCGCCACTAACGCGCTGTGAGTTCTTAAGTATGGACTTTATTTCCTTGGCCATAGCGGGGGTGGGGTGTGTTGGTGCCTTATCACCTAGGCGTGCGAATACCGATGAGCTGCTTGATGTGGCCGCCGCTTTAGTCGATGTTAGGTTCTCTAGCTTGGAGACGACGCCTGATATTTTGACGAGCCGGGAACTTGTTTCTGCACTGCTAGAGACAATGCGCTCCTGCTCTTCCTCATCATCACCTGAATCAGCGTTATGGAGACGTGAGAATACATCTGGTTTTTTGCTGGTAGTCACGCGATCCGAATATACTGCAAGAAATAAAAGTAAATGCATAAATATAATTTTCGCAGCAGAATGCATTTCTTCTTACACTGATCCCTTTTGGCCAATATCTGCTTACTTCGCTCGGTAGTACCTAATGGCAGTTTTACTTTATATTTCCCTTCATGTTCAGGGAGTACTCGACGAGCGGGCTTTGCTGGCGCAGGAGATTTGGCCGCTATTGAAGCCTTATCAACCGGTTCAGATATAGCAAGGGACTTAAAAGCTGGCGGCAGCGCAGGCTTGATTGTGGGCGATGCAGCGTCCGTGGCAATGGGTGCATCGGTTATTAGCACTCTGTCCAACGCATGCTGGTCACTAACTTGCTTGGCATGTCGCAATATTGCTATTATATCACCCATCAATGTGATTCCCATCTCCCGCAAATATTCCTTGTTCAGATCCAACAACATGTCGTCCTGTATCCGATTCTCCACAAATATGTGTGCATAGCCGGCCGCCGCCGGTGACGGTATGCCAGCGGCATTGAAGAACTTGACCCAACGAGCTGCAAAAAGTAAATATATAGGTTAAATTTATGTATAGCTTTTGGTTTTCTGGTACGGGCGATTGCAAAGCGAGTGAATGAAGGTTTCTTTTATTTCGTACACACCTGGACTTGACTTTGACATAGCCGGCGGTGACATATACAGCACTTTTTCTACAGTTTACGTCTCTGTTAAGTAATCTTTTCTACTTTGGGTAATTTTATCAAGCTAAAAACCCGAATAAATTTTGCGTGTGTATAAAAAAATATGGGAAATTATATAGTAGGTACACACCGCAGCCAAGCTAAAAATAAGGTTGAAATAATCGAACCGAAGTACGCTGTACACATAACTGATATGGCAACGCCAAACAGCTGTGAAATTATCGTTCCTCCTAACGACGCTTCATAAACAACGCCGTCTCACGTGGATTGTGATTGCCCTAGTTTATGTTTAGCAGCTTTTATTTGTGATTGAAAATACAATGGCTGGTCGATTTGAATTACTCAGCGAGCAAGGTCTACGCTTGGACGGTCGCCGACCGCACGAACTACGCCACATAAAATGCAAAATGGGTGTTTTTGAACAACCAGATGGGAGTGCTTATATGGAGCAGGGAAATACGAAGGTTCTCGCTGCTGTCTATGGACCCCATCAGGCCAAGGGAAAGAAAACGGAAACAAACGACGTTATTATTAACTGTCAATACAGCCAGGCCACATTCTCTACATCAGAGCGCAAGAATCGACCGCGTGGGGATCGAAAATCACAGGAGTTTAAAATGTATTTACAACAAGCGCTGAGTGCGGCCATCAAATCCGAGCTGTATCCACGCTCACAAATTGATGTCTATGTGGAGGTGTTGCAGGCGGATGGCGCCAATTATGCTGTATCTTTGAATGCCGCCACACTAGCACTTATTGATGCGGGCATTTGCCTAAACGAATTCGTAGTCGCTTGCACCGCTTCGTTAAGTAAATCTAATATTCCATTGACTGATATATCAAATATTGAAGAAGTCTCCGGTGGACCCAAGTTGACTGTGGCGGCACTGCCCACAGCGGAGAAAATTGCATTTCTGGAGATGAGCGAGCGCTTTCACATCGATCACCTGGAAACCGTAATAGAGACGGCAATGGCTGGCTGCCGAGAAATACGAGATATACTGGAAGCGGCCGTTAAGGAACACCTTATACACATTGGAAGTGCGGCCGACTGGGGGCGTGTTTGTTAAAATAAAACGTATTTTATGAAATTCCTTAAACGATCTGTATTTGGTTCTAATTGTTAACATCTGACGGTGGCTGCCACATTTCTATAAGCGACGCCAGTTTCACCTTTCGCTGTTCTAATTGCAAGCGCTCGATAAGGCGGCTCAGCTGATCTCCACCCTCAAGAAATCCGCTGATGTTATGCAGAGTTCCGCCCTGTATGCGATGATCTGTGACGCGATCCTGCACATAATTATAGGTGCGTATCTTTTCATTGCGATTAAGACTGCCTTGTTGAGCCTTGCGCGTGGCTTGTTTGCTCGACTCTGCGCTCTGAAGCTGCTGTTGCAGAAGTTTAGCTTGCAGGCGTTTTAAAGCCAGTTCACGATTTTTTAGCTGTGAACGTTCCGATTGTGATTCAACGGCTAGGCCCGTGGGTAGATGAACAATACGGACGGCCGAGTCTGTTGTGTTTACGTGTTGTCCCCCAGCACCACTGGCGCGTTTAGTCTCTATCTTCAGGTCCTTCTCAGCTATATTAATCTGGAAATCAGCTGGCCTTGGTATTACTGTAATGGAAGCTGTGCTTGTGTGCATGCGCCCTGACTTCTCAGTGGCCGGCACTCGCTGTACGCGATGAACTCCCGCCTCATTACAGAGCCACATGTATGCCTGTGAATCGTTGACCATTATGTTAGCATGTCGTAGCCCGCCAATGTCGGTAGTTTCGTAAGCGTACTCTTCAAAGTCCCAGCCCATGTGCTCGAAGTAGTTTGTGTACATTTCATACAACTCTTTGGCAAAGAGCATGGCCTCCTGACCGCCAGCGCCGGCATTCACTTCAAATATAACGGCAGGATAATTTTCGTCGTCGGCAAGCAAAAGCAGCTCCTGCAATATGACCTCTTCCTGTTTGCGTATCAAATCCGTGTACACTTCATTCTCCTCCTCCATTAGCTTGCGCATATCTTCGTCCGTTTCCTTATCTAGGTCATGTTTGCTGGTCAAATTTCGCTCTAAAGCACGCTGCCGCTCCAGGGCGTTAACAACACCTTCTAGGCGAGCCATACGGGCATACGCATGGCTATTGCCGGCTGTATTCACTCGCAATGCATAATATTCCCCACGTAAATTTTCTAAATACTTTTGGAGCTTCTCATTCTCTAAACGGACACTACTGGCTGCTGCACTGGTTTGGCTCGCATATTTTCGCATTAGACTGCGGCAGCGTAAATTAAACAATTTGTGCGTAAACATTTTAGCTTACAAATATTTTAATAATAGTCTATTAAATAACTGCTAATTTTATGGGCTACCAACAGAAGACGCATTATAGAGAGTTGCCACATTGCGATTATGCTGAATTCCAACGCACAAGAGTTCATTGCTATGAAACCGCGCTCGCAATAGTCAAGTAGTTGCTGCTGCTACACCACGAACATAATTATTTTAACGTTAAGGTTTTTGTGGCAAACAAATAAAACAGCATACCACAAATGTGCAATATTTTAGTGCAATAAATATCTAAAGTCAATGCGAAGTCGTACGCCTGCAATAACAACTATCTGTGCACAATTATTTTTCTCTATTTCTGTTTGTATGTATGTCGATTGTGTATCAGTGTTTGTGTGTTTTTCTTTTATTAGTGAGACCACAACAACGCGCAGCTTAAGCTTAACTGGTTCGAAAAGGCAGCAATTAAGTTTAATTAAATTCTAATTGAGTGCATTTATAACATATTCTCGCGCGCCCGTTGCATCTTTCTATTTTAAACATACGCACAGGCAGTGGTACAAAAATACAGATACAGATCAAACGAAATGCCACCGCTGAAAAGCTATTCCATACACCACCATGAATTTAATGCAAATTGCCACAATGGAAATCCGAACACCACCGATAGCAGCGACTACTTCAACCAGACCACAGCAACAACAGCTGCCGTCAGCAGTAGCACCAACAACACACAACGCACAAATAAGCCCTCCTATAGTAATGCCCAGTATCCATTTAAAATGCTGGCCAATCTCAACCAGCTGCGTGAGCAATCACGTTTCTGCGACGTTGAGATCATTGCTGGCGAAGCCACCTTCAATGCGCATCGTGCCGTACTGAGCGCAGCGAGCGCCTACTTCGAGGCAATGTTCCGACCCGAACTCGGCTTAAATGAGGTCAAACAGAAGTCCGTCGTTTTGCATACGATTGACGGTGAAATATTGCACATACTCTTGGATTTTATCTACACGGGCCGTTGTGAGATAACACAGGTGAGTTGTTATTGGGTTTGTTTGCATGATGCAATCTCAAATCCAATTCCATTTGGTTGCTCATTGCAGTCGAATGTGCAGGAACTGCTCGCAGCCGCGGATATGCTCCAACTCAACGAAGTGGTGGACGGCTGTTGCGAGTTCCTTTGTCGTGAGTTGCACGCCACAAATGCATTGGGAATATTACGTTTTGCGGAAGCGCACAATTGCGAAAATCTGGCGAAGAGCGCAATTAATTATGTGCATGCGAACTTCCCAGCGGTAAGTAAATAACGAAATAGAGGATTTTCGGTTTATTTTAAATAAAAAATCCACATAAATGTTGCATAGCCGACATATTTTCATTAATTGAACGAATTTTTTGGCCTAAATGGCCCAAATTTTCTATGGACTTAGCTGCAGGAGCTCTCCAGGACAGCAGAATATTGAATTTGTTAAAATTTGTAAACCAAATGGAAAATCAGACTTGTTCCCGACGGGTATCAAAAACCATTAAACCCCAGTTTCCTCATTCAAAACAGCTTTCAAAGAAAAGGGCGGAGAAGGGCTGCGTCTTTGAAATGATTAAATAATTGGACCTTGACTGAATTTTCTATATAAAAAAAATTAAAACAACTAACTTGTTACAACAGTTGGGAGCGCTGTTTCCGCCCGGGATCGAACCGGGGGCCTTGTGCGTGTGAAGCACACGTGATAACCACTACACTACGGAAACTGCAAATTTTGTCCCACTAAAGTCATTTGGCATTGGCCAGTCAGTGTTAAATGCGACAATTTGGGCCCAATCGTAACAGTTGAATTGATTTTCCCTTCCATAGATAACACTGGAGGATGAATTTCTGGAGACTCCACAGGCACTGCTGGCCCAGCTGCTGAACTCCGAGATGTTGCGCGTGGACTCGGAATCTCAAGTTTTTCAGGCAGCGTTGCGCTGGATTAAACATGATGTAACCCAACGTCGCTGCTATGTCTTTGACATACTCTCGCATGTGCGCATGGCTCTGGTGCCGGTCAAGGTGATTGACAAGGCACTGAAGGATTGCCGGGACATGTCGGTAAAGATAGCGCTGCGCTCCATTTGCCGGGACATAGCCTCAAAGCGTGGACAACTGGTGCCGCTGCGCGTGTGTCCACGGCAGCTGGCCAAGAAGAACATTTACATTATAGGCGGCTCACGTCGTGACACGCCGCGGACATGGAATTCGGCGGATTGCATATTCGAAACGGTGGCCAAGTTCGATATATTCAGGCGGGAGTGGACTGAAACAGCGCCGATGGAGGTGGGCCGAATATTGCCGGGCGTGGCGGCCCTAAATGGCAAGATCTATGTGGTGGGTGGTGAGCGTGGCTCACAGATATTGGCCAATGGGGAGGTGTACGATCCTCAGGACGATAATTGGCAGCCCATAGCACCCATGATTGTGCCCCGATGCGAGTTCGGACTCTGCACCATGGGTGGCAATCTGTTTGCTGTGGGCGGCTGGATAGGCGACGACATTGGCGGTTCCATGGAATGCTATGACCCTGAACAAGATTTGTGGAAGCTCATAGGCAGCATGCCACAGCCACGCTTCAGCATGGGGGTGGTCAGTTTTGAGGGTCTAATCTATATAGTGGGTGGCTGCACTACAACGACTCGCCATTTGCCGGATCTAATAAGGTTTGAAAGAATTTCATAGAATGTTAATTATTTTATTAACAAATTGGTGGTTTTTGTCGTCCAAAAGCTACAACCCCGTCACCAAGGAATGGATCCAGCTGGCTCGTATGCAGACACCGCGCTGCCAGATGGGCGTGGCTGTGCTGGATCGCTATTTGTATGTGGTGGGTGGCAATAGCGTTACGCAGGATATACTCAACTCGGTGGAGCGTTACAGCTTCGATGAGGACAAATGGGTTACGGTTTGTTCGCTTAACGTGCCGCGTGCCATTCCAGCGGTCGCTGCAGCCGATGGCTTACTTTATGTGGCCGGCGGCGATCAGGTGCCTAAACAATATATTTGATTGCATTACTTGGTTTTAACAGGCTGTTATATTTCGTTTTAGCCCTGCGAGGTGAACTTTTATCGCGCACAAATCACAATCAGCGCCGTCGAATGTTACGATCCTTTATCCGATACATGGAAAAATTGTCCAGATCTGCCGGTCAGTCGCTCCGAAGCGGGCGCTGTGGTCGTCTAAATCATGCCCTCCCCACGCAACGTTTTTTCTGAGCCTGCCCGTTCGAGCAACGTCCTTAAAAACTTAACGATTAATGTACTTTTAAGCAGCGAGCTCTCAATAACACTCCGCATCACATAATGTATACGCTAGAATCATTACTCTCTTTCTATAAAAGAAATGGATATATAAAACTCGTTGTATGTGCGTCTTACGTAGTGCTCTCTAACCAAAGATAGACGTATTGTTACGGCTCTAAAATGTTTCAAAAATGTAGCCCAGCTATTCGACAGCAACTCGCCCCAGTTAGTTTATATCTATTAGTTAGCCAGGGAAATCCATACATATGCCTCAGCAGGGCAGCAGCTTCAAGATCGTTGCATTGTAGAAGTTGTGCGAAGCAAAATAAGAATATAATATTCATGGCAAGTGTATATCGATGTATCGTAATTGCTGAAATAATTTTGAATCACGAACTACTAATTCGTATTATTGCATTTCATTTAAACAAGCTGTATGTATCATTAAAACATATATAATGGAAATAATATTAGCGAGCAGAGTTGGTCCGCTCTTCAAAAGAATGCGCCCCAAAATCTTTATAACTGTACGGATTAAAAGTACCAAAAAGAAACCAAACGAAAATCTAAACATTCAACGGAAACAAACTGTATTAATAATAGGTGTATTATCAAAAATAAATTAATGACTAAATACCATTCAAATGTTTGTTTAATATATGTATCTGAATATCGGCTGCAATTAAGGATCATCTCGACACAGAAAAATCTAAAAACTAAGCATGATATGAGGAAAATATTGGCTTCGGTGGAAGAGAATGTGGTTGCAATGTTTAATTGATATAAAATCGCATTGCTTATTGTAGTCAACATTTTCCCAGTCCGTTTGTGACTGAAGAATTCCCTGTAATTAGCTGCTCACGTACTGCCCAATTCTTGACGAATTCTTAATGGTTTGTGTTGAACAGCTCACAAAAGTACGACTGGTAGGTCTTAAATTCTTTACTTCAATCTGCAGTTCCCACTCCCACCATATAAAGTTAAATAATGTATGAAATTTTTATCATATATTTAAACGCTTCATTTGGTATATGATCTACAAATTTCAACTACTTTCGTTCAATTATTATTAATTACATTCTAATCATGATTACACTTAATCGTTAGTCATTAACAACTAATATACACAAGTCTGGCGAGTCTGAGGGATTGCAGATACTGCCAGATATTTTACACGTTGGTAAAATTCATATAAAATTTGTGAGCTTATATCCTACGAATTACAATTACAATGTATGTACCTAATAGGCATGGATGTGACTGACTATATATCTATATATGCACTATTTATTTATAAAAAGTAAGCTAATGTTTTGCGGCTTTTCTGATCCACGTCACGCATTAATATTGCATGGCATTAATGCGTTTTCGTTGCTGCTAGGAAGCTGCTTACTAAGCCTGAGAGTTACATAAATCCAAATGAAAAATGCTTAAAACCGTTCAAGTGTCATTACTTATCTGAAGAGGCTAATGATTTGTTTGTTAGTTTCTGTTGTTTTCTGTGAATGATAATTATGCAATAAATCGGCCTTAAATTGCTAGTAAAGTACAAGAATTTCTTTAGTTGCATGTGCTAATTTACAGTTGCATTTTACGTAAGTTACAAAATATATTTATATATATGTGTATCGAGAAATGTTAGTTAAAAACCATATCACCGCATAGGCGCTGCAGCATTTGTTGAAATCAAATTACAAGTAATGACGAAGAAGGCGAACAATCGGGCGTTCATCTGCCCGCAAACTCGTGGCCGTCAGCCGCTTTAATCGGCGCACCAATCACTACAATTCCTCCTTATTATCGGGGTTTTTCTTTGGCGTCACTGATGCTGTCACAGTGCTCCCACTCCCGCTCCCACTGCTGCTCTCAGTCCCACTGACAGTTTTCACCGTAGTCGTCGTCTCGTTCTGATGTGCATTCTTGGCCAGCTGCCAGCGCTTAAACTCTACCATCTGCATGATCCGCACTCGCAATTGCGGCCTCCGCTGCATAACAGCCTGCAGTTTTGTGAACTCCTGGCTGTACATGAACACTACGGGTATATGGACATCGTCGTTTCCATCGCCAGACATGGCAAACATGGGCTGCGTCTCGCCGGAAGAACCTGGTACATTATCACAGACAATAAGCGCCGTAGCGCCGGCCGCTTGCGCCAAACGCGCTTTGCTCACAAATGTGCAATCTCCCCGCTCGGCCACCATAATCTTTCCCCGCACTTCCTCCGCATTCTGCAGCTTCGCATCACAAGCGCGAAGCGGAGTGGCCATCACAATATCCCCCTCCACGAAATTCTCGCCAATTAGCTCAGGGCTAAAGTGAGAGGGACCAGCCATGAGGGCGATCCAATCCTGTGAGTCAGTATCGCTAGTGTAGGCAACGGCCTAAAATACAGAAAAATCATTACTAAAAGACAATCGGCAATAAATAATACGATCTCTTTCACAAAAGTTGGTCCAAAAAGAACCGCAGATCACAGAATTATTGATTGCACATAAACCTAATTCATTTGTACACTTACCTGTAATTGCGCGAGCTGACCCATGCCCTGAGTTTTGGTTAACTCCAGCATTTCCTGCATAAACTGCAAGCCCATTTCGCCTTCGTCATGGCTCTTAGCCTGTATTTAAACGGGGAAGGAGAGTTTGCAAATGTTATGTCTAATCATCTGATTAAATCAAATCATAATGAACGCAAAAACTTACATTATAAAAACTATGAAACAGTCGCACCTTGCCATCGCCTAACGAAACCATGGTGATGCCCATGTCGTAAACAGCTCGCAAATGATCAGCATTGCTTGCTTGAAAATCGAGGGCGGATAGTCGTTTACCGGTTGTGGTGCGCGGGCACGAGCCCGTAATGAAGTTGCGCAGTGGTTTGCGTACTTTTTCAGGAAAAAGCTTATTGGAACTGGGGCAGGTTCGCATGAAGTCAAGTACGTTGTGCTCGTCCGATTGGCGAAAGCCTGAAATCAACACTATATTATCTATTATAGAGCGCATAATATTTTGACTTACTAAAAGTTGCATTGCCTAACTGGGCAATGGACAGTGGCAACAAATGTGCCTCGGTGGTGAACACGAACTCATCAACATTGATGATTAGATCTTGGGGATCAGAGAAAAGCAAAAACAAATACTTAAACGTCTCGCTGAGCACAAATGAATCCATGCGATCTTCATGCTTCCCAGTCCGCACATCATTGACGGCCGCATAGCCGCAGGCCACCTTTGCATATTGCTGCAGGGTTTTTAAAGCCCGTTTGCCAACTTGCAGATAGTGATGATCGCCAGTAGCACGGTATAGGAAGTATGTTGATTCTATGAACTCGGGTCGCAAATGATGCTGACCCCAATGGATTTGGAAGTCCACAGTGAAAGCCTCCGGTATAAGTGTGTGCATTTGCATAACTTGGTAAAGCATTTCATGTGTTTGAACCGCCGGCTTCAAGTCGCCAGAGAGCACCTGCAAGCCCGGCCAAAAAGCTAGCAGTGAGTCCATAAAGTTTCGTGATTTAGCATGTGGCCGATGCATAAGCACATCCAAAAGCATGGGACCCTCGCTGACGTACTTCATGACCGCATTGTAGTGACGATTGAAGCGAGCCAGATACTTGTCGTCGCCCAGCAGAACATAGGATTTGAATAGATACTCGTAGTAACTGTCGATGCCAGCACCGACACCTGAATCGCGTCGTACCCAGTCTCCGGAGTGAACATTCAACACCGTGCCCATTAGATCCGATCCGCGATGCCGCAACTTCCACAAAGAATCCATTGCAGCGTGTGCCCGCACCTCAAATATAGGGTCTCCGGTCAAACGTGAGAGTGCGGCGAATTCCAACAGGATAGTTCCAGCACAAGCGGTGCAAGTCTCCCGTGATTTCTTGAGCAGCGGATCCTTCATTCCTTGACGCAGGTTGACGCGCGCATGTGGTATGCCTGTCGAGGTATTGAATGCTGGCAACAGTCGATAGCCCAGCTCGCGCGCCATCTCCAGCAACTCTCCTTTGTACCAATGCATTACATCTGCCTGCTTCTGTATATACTCAGAGAGTATGTGCGCAGACAGAAGACCGCCCACCATGCGTATGTTTGTCTCAAACACAGAGACAATAATATCGCTATCGAACTGAACATCGCGTATGACGAGCTTCACCGCATGCTCAAACTCAGCAAAATCCCCCAATAGCACCAAAGTGTCCAACGTATCCACTAGCGTCATAGAAAAGCTAAGAAGAGGAAGAAATTCAGGATAAGTCATGAATCGTTAATGCAATTATTAAATTTAACGTTATCCACAAATTTTGTTGTTATTCAGTGGTAATAATAGACAACCTAATCTAGCTATAGTTTAATTTCTTGATTATTTGTACAAAACAAAAGCTTAGAGCGTTCTTTGAATATAAATGGCATAACGACTTCTGGAGGACTACTTACTTGCCCAATATGTCGTCCATGTCGCCACGTGAGGGTGTCACACCACGATAGCGACCCTTGCAGGAGAGTGGCATCAGCTCATCCGCTGGATAGGCATTCTCCATGTAGGCGTGATACGCATGATAAAACATGTCGCGTGCCTCCTCCCTAAAATGAAGAAAAATTTAACCAAATATTAAAATAGCTCTGCAACATGATAACTCACCGCAGCTCAGCGCGCTCCTTGTGCGACATATTCTGTGTAGGTATGGAGGTCTCGCTGAGCACGGAGGCTGCAAAATAGAGCAGCGTCAGCAGCATCGTGAGCAGCAGACGCTGTTGGTATTGCATTGAATACGCTGTTGAGTCCATGCTCCAGCTGGGCAGGCACAAGTGAGCTGGCTGACTGACTGTATGTTTCAAGTTCAAGCAACGCTAGCTCCGAGCAGTCGCTGCTTGACTTTTGGGTTTTGCTGCCTTTTTGTGGCCGTACCCTCGCCCGCGCCCTTTCGCCGTCGCTGACCGCTTGCTGGTCGTGGTCGTGACGTTGACCTTCACTTTGAACGTGTTGATTTTTTATTTATTTATTTTTTGTTAGCTTTTTTCAAGTGCTTGTTGATTGTTTGATTTTAGCATGTGTTCCTCTTTGGTCGTGTGTTTCGCTTTTTTTAAATTTTAAATGAGCTCATTATTTAAAACTGTTAATATGCAAGAAAAACGGATTATTCAAATATATTATATGCATATACATATACCGCTGAACACTTACAAGGCGACAGCACAAAAATATAATTTGCATATGATGATCAGCGCTCATCTCTGCCGCTGCGACCTAATTTTTTTTCACTTGATTTTTCTTTTTGTTTGTGACACATTAATTAGTCGCAATGTTTCTGACAGTTATGCGGCGTTGGCGGCGTTTGTATCGACAATAACTTAACAGTCTCGTTCGCATTGTTTACGTCGAGTAGTTAACATTTTAATATGTGCAATTTTTTTATTCTTGTTTGCTTTTTCTGGTGCAGCTTTTTTGCTCCAATAACAAAACACCACGACTGCAATACTGCCTTTGCCTGCCTGTCACCGCCTGCTTCACAATAGAAAATATTGTTTCTGCGCCTCAGCATGTGGACGTCACGATCAAGATAAAATGCCACATATGCTAGTATAATTAGTTGACGAATGGTAACTGCGTATTGCAGGCAGTTGTTAAATAATTATTTCTTATCAACCAACTTGGGCAAAAATTGACGAACCACTTGCTATAGTGCGATTTATTTGTACATGTCTATTGACCATCTCTAGGTTTAACAGTGTGACCAAAAATTGTAATCGACCTTTGTGTTAGTGCTGTAAAACGAGTTTCCCTTAATGGTCAAATCAGCTGTACATTTTCATGTTCGCGGCGTTTTTTAAAGATTGCTGCTAATGTAAACAAATTTCAAAATGGTAAATAAAATTTATTAAAAGTCTATAAATCAATTGTTGACCAACAATTTGGTATTCTAGCGCCGCAGCCTAGCGCCCAGTCAACGGCAAGGCGTCAATTTAAAGCCCAATTTGAACTTTGTCTCACCGCTGATAAAGAAGAACAAACGCGCCTGTCAACAGGAGCTGGAGAAGAGGCAAAGCGCACTGCGTGATGCCACAAATGACGACCTTGTATCCGACTTGCCCCCTCTTCCAATACGTTTTACTCCAGACAGTGAATATGAACGGGTTATCGCTAAGATTTTGGCGCGGAAATTCAAAGTTCCTATAGATAATTATGTGGCCGACTATGGCGGCAATCGCTGTTTGGGCTTGCGGCGCACTAAAGTACGACGGGCCCTTCACGATCCGGAAGCCTGCAATGCGCTAGTACTTTACACACCGCCAGCGTACACGGAGCAAGAGCGTTTGAAGATGGAACCGGACGAGGTGCTAGTCCACGTGGTTGTGGATCCACTTTTGAGCAACATCCTGCGCCCACATCAGCGCGAGGGTGTACGCTTTATGTACGAGTGCGTGGAGGGTAAGCGGGGTAATTTCAATGGCTGCATAATGGCCGACGAAATGGGCTTAGGCAAGACTCTGCAGTGCGTCACACTGGTTTGGACTTTGTTGCGGCAAAGCGCACACTGTAAGCCAACCATATCGAAAGCAATCATTGTTTCTCCCTCATCGCTGGTCAAAAACTGGGAGAAGGAGTTTACCAAGTGGTTACAAGGACGCTTGCTCTGCTTGGCTATGGAGGGTGGCTCTAAGGAGGACACCACACGCACCCTAGAACAATTTGCTTTAAACACAGCCACCCGCATGGGCACACCTGTGCTGTTGATCAGCTACGAAACGTTTCGCATATATGCACATATACTCTGCAAAACGGAGGTGGGAATGGTCATTTGTGATGAAGGGCATCGGCTGAAGAACAGCGACAATCTCACATACCAGGCTCTAATGGGTCTAAAGACCAAGAGGCGGGTCCTGCTCTCTGGTACGCCCATACAGAACGATTTGACGGAATATTTCAGTTTGGTGAACTTTGTGAATCCCGAAATGTTGGGTACGGCGGCTGAGTTCAAGCGAAACTTCGAAAACATCATTCTGCGCGGCCAGAATGCCGACTCCACGGATAACGAACGTGAGCGCGCTGTGCAAAAGACCCAGGAGCTGATTGGCTTGGTCAATCAGTGCATCATTCGGCGCACAAATCAAATTCTGACAAAATATTTGCCAGCTAAATTTGAAATGGTCATTTGCGCCAAACTGACGAGCGTCCAATTGGAGCTCTATACAAATTTCCTTAAATCGGATCAAGTGAGGCACAGTCTAGCGGGTAAGTAATAAAGTAGTTTTGAGTTGGAGCAAAAATAATATATTTTTAAACAAATATTAAATTGAATTGGGAAGACTTATTGGATTTCATTGTTGTTAATGCCTAATTTTATAGACAGCAGCGAGAAAGGTTCGCTTACCGCCTTGGCTGATATAACCACGCTGAAAAAACTATGCAATCATCCGGATCTGATATATGAGAAAATCGAGGCACGCGAAAAAGGTTTTGAGAACTCCGGTAATGTTTTGCCTGCCAATTATAAGCCTAGGTGAGTCGCTACATAATTTTTAAGTGTTTATCAATTGCAGTGTATTTTCTTAATTGCAGAGAAATCAATCCTGAACTAAGCGGCAAGTTTATATTGCTGGATATAATGTTAGCCACCATACGCGCAACAAGCGATGACAAGGTAGTACTTATTTCCAACTACACACAGACCTTGGATCTCTTTGAGCAACTGGCGCGCAAGCGCAAGTATACGTTTGTTCGTTTGGACGGCTCCATGACCATCAAGAAGCGCTCAAAGATTGTTGATCGGTTCAATGATCCCAACGAGGATTGCTTTCTTTTCATGCTCAGTTCTAAAGCAGGCGGCTGTGGTTTGAACTTAATCGGCGCCAATCGCTTGTTCATGTTCGATCCCGACTGGAATCCGGCTAACGATGAGCAGGCCATGGCTCGGGTGTGGCGAGATGGACAAAAGAAACCCTGTTACATTTATCGACTGGTTGCGGTAAATAAGCTTCAAATTAGCATCTTAAAAAGCTACTAAATGTGCCCATTACAGACTGGCTCTATCGAGGAAAAGATTCTACAACGACAGACTCACAAGAAATCCTTGTCGAGCACCATTGTTGACAACAATGAGTCCGAAGAAAAGCATTTTACTCGCGATGATCTCAAGGACTTGTTTAAATTTGAGTCCAATGTGGTCTCCGATACGCACGACAAGTAAGTATAATGAAATTAAATGAATACAATGAACTATTCGTCAACTAATTGGGGCTTTTGGTGGGTTTAAAGAAATAATAATTTCCTTTAATTGGGTATTACACAGTGTTATCATTTTCTTTTTGTTGAACAGACTGCATAGATAGTTGTTTTCATAACATTTCTGAATTATTCTCTACTTTCAGACTCAAATGTAAGCGTTGCGTTCAAAATGTGCAAATGACACCGCCCGACAACGATACAGATTGTACCTCACACCTGTCTCAATGGTATCATTGCTCTAATAACCGGGGCCTGCCCGATACTATATTGGCACAAGCGTGGACGGCCAGCAAATGTATTTCATTTGTATTCCATCATCGCTCGCAAGGAGAAGCAAAAGTTGCAAAGAAGATAATAGAGGAGGAGGATGCTAAGCAGGAAGAGCAAGCCATTGGATCACAGCACTCATTTGAAATAATACAGGAGTCTAAATTAAATGGGAAGAACCTAGTGATGTCCCAAACACAACATGACACAAAAGAAACCACAAAAAGTCAGCAAAAGTCTAACACAACTGAAGCAAAAGAAAATGCGATGAAGTTAAAGGAGTCGCAGCATAAATCAAAGCAGGATAAAAAGCAAGCGAAAAAGGAGAAATCTAAAAAATCTATTCCCAAGCAGGCAGAGTCAACTAAGACACAACCCCAAATAGAAAAGCCAACCAATCCTAAGTCGGAAGAAAAGGGTAAAGCGAAAGATCCACATTTAAAACGAAAAGTGGCAGAGAAGTTGGAAGAACACTCTAAGCGGAAACGTGCAGAGTTAGACAGCGATGATGACTTTGAACATTTCAAGGGTTTTCATTGAGTAAACATCAATAATTTCTTAAATTATTTATTGTTTTATGTTTTGTATTATTTGCATTATACGCTAACTTAGGTTACAGCTTATTCCTGGCTAATTAACAATTAAAATTTAGCTTAATGGAACCCACAGCGCGGAGGATGCCTGCAAAAAATTGTTTCCTAACAAAAATTTAATATTTTTCAAAAAGATAGAAAAATATTTGCAATAAATAATTCAAAAAGAAATGTAAAAAACTAAGATTACAGAACATTTGTCTGTAGTCCTCAATTAGGAAATTCGTTATGAATTTAGTCAAAGATACAATTTTTCGAATGCGCTCAGAGCTTGGTTATAACTTGCTATCAAGTTATTTACACACTTATTAGCAGCTTAATGTAAATGTAAAGGAAAAATGTAATTTGCTTTTAAAACCCATGCCCAAATACTCATTATGTTTTGGTATTTCAACTAGGTAAATATAGTATACCATTTCAGTGTTAACACAGACAATAAAGAACACGAACACGTTTCTTGGGCTAAACATCAATTATCTTATGTTCCAACTCAACCCAGACATTGCTTTTCTCTGGGGCCTTTTGCAGCGGTGGCGGATGCTGCTGCAAATCGGCCAAGAAGGTGCTGATTTCCTGATAATAGCTGAAAAGTATTGGGCTATCAGTGAGCAGTCAGTTCAGATCAGTTTATATCAATATCCTTACCCATCCACAATCCAGGTATCGTTGTGTGAGCCACCCACAATCTCTAACAAACGTTTCCGCTCGCTTCCACACCTGTTATACAATGCCCGCATCATGCGTGGTGGCACCAGATTATCAGCAAGCCCCGAAATGAGCAGAAAGGGTACCGAGCATTTGCTAATTTTCCATAAAGAATGGTACTGGGTAATGTGACAAATCATAGATTAGTACTTGCTGTAGATGATGTAACAGGAAGTCCAAGATTTACCTTATTCTTATATAATAAATTTGGTATATATTTCACAGAAGGATGCACTAACTCCACGGCCATGTCTTTGATGCTTGTGAAGGTATTCTCCACAATGGCGCACATTATTTTTTGGCCGTACACTGTATCGGCGGCCACATCAATGACAACAGCACCGCCCAGTGAGCGGCCGAAAAGAATTAATTGCGAGTGATCGAGATCGTGTCGTGTGTGCAGATAATCTATGGCAGCGCGTGCATCTATCCCCAAGCCACGTTCCGTGGGCACACCAGTGGACAGACCATAGCCTCGATATTCCACCATCAGGATATTACAGTGCAAGTGATGATATATGCCCCAGATATTTTGGAGACGATGTCCCATATTGCCAGCATTGCCGTGGAAATACAGCAGAGTTGGCACCGACTTACATCGCTCCTCGGGCTGGCAGATCCAAAAGGCGTGCAGGGTTACATCGTCTGTCGTCCTAATGGTAACGGTCATGTGCGGCAGGTTATGCATTGTAGGTATGGGAATATAAATGCGAGAGTTTGTTGGCAATTCCGGATGATATAAAAGCCAGTCTTGGGCATAATAGAAAACCACTGGAAAGTTAAGGTAGAAGCAAAATTTTAACGCTGTAGTACATACTTTTATACCTTGTCCCGCTTTTTTTTTCAGGGAACTTTAGAAATCGATTGTACGTACGCAATATGATGGAAGCGAAAAGCACCAGGGTCATGTAACCACCATAGAAATAGTAAAAAATAAAGCACAACAAAAATGCGCTCGCAGTGATGGCATAGACGCGTCGCGATGCGGGCAACGCAATGCCCACCTCCTTCATAATGTTACTAAAACGACGCGCGTAACGTATGCTACATGCTGTGTATCCAGCGTTTATAGGCTATTAATGCAACTTGAAGGAACACTAAAGCAAAAATATGTAAATAGACAGGTGAGTCCCTATTGTTGGAATACAAGTTGACGCACGTAAGTGATGGGGGAAACACAACAGCTGTTAGTAGTTATCGATAAATATGTTTTTTTTTTTCAATTCATTTATAAATCGGTTGAATCTGGACAAAGAAAATAAGCAAAATGAGCATGAAATAGCATAACTTTATTCCTTATATATTTATTGCATAATTGGGTTAATACACTATCTGCTTACGAGCTATAATAATCTTGACACCATCATCCACATTAAGCGATCGCTAGAAAAACATACATACATACATATGGACATATACATATCTATGTATATATGTGTATATGTAAACTGATAGGAAGCCAATGTCACTGGCCGTGGCTTGCTTCAATGGGTCAAGTCCATTATTGACTTGTGCTTCCTGTTTCTGAAGCAAATCCTTCGGATTCATTGATTAGTGCATATTCCAGGATCACACGGCCTTCTTTGTATTTTTGCGATTCCTCGGTGGCAAATTCGTACATCCACCCCAACTTTGCTCCACAGTTCTTGCACATAACATCGCGAACCATATGACGTCCAGTAAGCATTACACGCTCCTGAACATTGCTATAAGTCAAGTTAACGACACGCTTAAATAGATAGGCACGTCCTGTAGCGCCAGTAAACCTGGTACTAATGAGTTGGCTCCGATTGGTTAAATTGGTGTGACATTGCGCGCAATCGAATAATTTCAGCCCCCCGAGATGCTCCAGAAATACACGACCCATGTTGCAGTGTAGTCTTCGAGTCGAGTTTATGTATCCTTAGTATTGTGAGTGGGGAAAGTAGCTTCAAGCGAATCTTTTTTGCCTTCTACACTTCCTTGTTTATCCTTTTAATATCTAGTTCCTGGACTGCTACTGCTGCTCTCATAACGAGATTGTAAAAATCGGCCCAAACAACCATCAGAGGTCAGTAAAACTGAAATCAGAACATTCCAACTTTGTAAAGCCTATGGGGTCCAAAAAGAAAACAATTAAACTACATACATTGATTATCTCGTTTTTAAATACCTATACCAATAACATATACGTACGTGTGCGTGTGTTACCTATGAATTATATTTAGTGCGATATTATTAAATCAATGCGAAACCATTTTCAAAATTTTAATTATAACACAAAACAATCGCAGCCCAGATTGCACTTTTCTGTTGTGTTACGAAAAGGTCTGGCAGCCGCGCATCAGTGATGCCTATTCTCGATTTTAAAAAGGTACTAGTTCACCAAATCAAACATGGTAACAATTAAAAATTGTGGTAAATTAACGTATTACAGATGGCAAATCACCCGCCACTGCTTTACGCGACATTCTTACTATACTAATCAATTATGTATCCAATACACGTAAAAAGGTCTTAATTCAAACTTCACAAAGGAGAAAAACAAAATTAAGTAATTCCAAATAAATGACATTAATGCAACACATTTCTGTAAAATAAATTATTTTGGGCAGTTATTTGAATTGAATATGATTTTACTGCTTTTATAAAAGCCAACTTAATTTGCAATTGTGATATATGTATCTACATATATGTATATGTCTTAATATTTCTCAGAGCCGAGATTCAAATCCTACGAACTGGCATGAAAATAGCTAAATTGGCAACACCGCCCCGGACACGCGAATGCAACTCTACGACGCTACTGCAGCCCTCATCGCCATCTTTGTGGTTCCATAAAAAAAAATAAGGTAGACATAGAACGTGAATGCTGTCCACTGTGTTTAAGAAAAGAAAATTTGCAAATTGTAGTAAAATAGCAATATATGCACGTTATAAAGATTTATTTGAACCGTTGCAAAATTGTAAATTTCATGTTTAATGAGCGCTATACGGCAACAATCTGTGCGACCACGAAAGTATAATGAGCCAGGTAAGTAGGCCTTGAAAAAGTTGTGACAAGTGAACGGTCGTGATGAAAAATAAGAAAAACAATGAAATTTCTATATTACCCAAAACAAGGCGACATAACTCAGTTTCATTCAAGTCGTCGTGTGAGTATATTGTAAAAAAATAGTGCTACATGAAATTAATACGCTAAGTTTTGTGGGTGTGGCAGCCAACATTGCCGGGACACTGGCGGAGTCCCCTTTGAGACTCCATCACTTTTATGGCAATTGGTGTGGTATTGAGTGCGGCGTTTTGGTAATATACACTGGAAATCCATTTTCCCAGCAGTGTTTCACAGTTTTCACAACGCCAGAGCCTGGCCGAGACTACTACGTGGCAGCCAATGTGGATTTTATAAAAATCCATTGGGTACCCATTTTCGCAATTTTCATTTAAAAACTGGCTCTTCGGTTTGTTTTCATTGAATGCCGCATAAAATATACACTATTTTAAGCAATTTTCATCTTTTTATAGTGCAAATTGAAAATTTTCATCGATTACGTAATCACATTTTGCATGGTACAAAGTTTTCTTTCGCCAATCCCCTATGGATTTCTGACCAATTTCCATGGGATTTTTACCCGCCAAATGCAAGCCGGCTATCAATTTGCCACATTTACGCTTCTATTTTGTAAAAAAAATTCATTTAAATTTATTTCTACTTGACTTTTTGTGAATTTTTGCCACTTTTTCGACATATTTGACCATTAAAGTCCTACGGAATTGCACCATTCCGGGTATTTTTAACGTACTTAACGGATTTCCTGTTCATGACCATGTGTTGACTGTTTCCTCGCGTTTGGAGTACAGTGCGCCTGCGTACCGAGACTAAACAACGATTTGAAACAGCAAAATTGAGGATATTTACCATATTTCACAAGAATTGTAGCTCTACAGTACAGTTCTGGAAAGGATTAGCCAAGCTAAAGTAATGCTGAAGACAACCTTTATGGTGTAAGTTAGTCACACGGCTTAGTTGGACCTCTAGTTACAGTAACAATGGATTAAATGTATGCCAGGGTAAACTCTAAAACTGTATATTAGCCATAAGTGCATTTCCTTATGGTCTGGTGAGGATTGGGTGCGATATTTCGCACTCAAAGTTGACTTATGTTTGTAACAACAAGATCAAAAAGTGCCTGACATGGTCTGAAACGGTTTTGAAAATTTTAACTTCATAACAATAAAGAAATGGAGCTCCATTGTTGTTGGGCAGGATAATGAAACAGTGTCTGTTGCAATTCTTGATCTTAATAGCTCACTTGTGCCATTACCAACATTCGAGTGCGGTTTTTTCGAATTCCAATGAATTTTAAGAAATATATTGAATGATCACATCTGAAGTATATAGAATTTCGACCGGATTTTTCGGTTTCATCATGTACTATACGCGATAGCTGGATGCAGTTGTTAGTTAATATTCTTCTAACCCTGATCACACATAGACACTCAATGAATCGGCGCATAGTATAGGCTCAGACGAACAAGATGATACACGTGATGAAGCCAATGGCACAGACAACAGCGGCAGTGGCAGTGGCACCGGTAGCTCCGGCTCAGATTCAGACTCGGACAGCTCTTCGGGAAACTCAAGTGATGGTCGTAGCTCGCCGGATCATGAACCAGAGGAAATGGCTAAGTCGGTGGCAGGTTTTCCACCTACAGCAGCGGCCGCACAAGCGGATACAAAGACAAATGGCTTTACGGACGACAATGATAGCTCGAGTGGCTCAAGCGACAGTGATTCCGATTCGGAAGCGGGTGCAGAGAACGATGCTGCTGCTGCCAGCAGAGCTAACAATTCAACACAATCGGCTTCCAGTAAGCTCAACACAAGTCAGACATCGACATCTTCCGGTACATCGGCTCCAAACGAAGATTATGACGAAGACGATGAGGATGATGAAGAGGAGGATTCGGAGAAATTGGCAAACACTGCCAACAGTCAGAGCGCGAATGCTGCGGATGCGGCTAGCGAAGCTAGCGAAGCCAGCGCCGAAGAGGAGGACGATGCCAGTGATAGCTCTGCCAATGCTTCGCCCTCATCCTCCAGCTCCAGCAGTGTAGGTTACCATCAAGGCGTTTACAGCCAACATATTTGTTATTCCCTTTCAATATTGGCAGGAAGACGATGAGGAAGACTATAGGCCCAAGCGTCCCACCCGTCAGGCACGTAAGGGAGCGACAGAGAAACCGAAGCGACCACCGCCTGCAAAGAAAAAGACGAAGCAAACGTAACAATGACTGACCCTTGCCTCTACATTACTTCAACAAAATATAATTCTTTGCAGCTGGGACTCTGATGAAAGTGATGAAAGCGATGCAGATAGCGAGGAGGCTGCGAACACACAAAAACGGAAGCCACCAACGACCAGCAAGTCTGGCGGCAACAAGTCACAGCAGCGGCGCCGCGTGAAGTCATACAGCTCAGAAGATAGTGATGATGATGAACAAAAGCGGTAAGTCTAAGAATTGTTTAAATAAAAGCTTGGAAAAAACAGATGCGACTTTTTAGCTCTTATAAGAAGCAAAGGATAACAATTAGATAAAGCAATAAATTGCAAAGGGGTAAATGTGTTGTAGACAGAATCTGTGTAAAGTGCAAATAGATATGTGAGTGGTAACTGACCTAAATTATAGCTAAGTGGCGGAAGTTAGTATTAAAATCTAGACCCAACCAATCCAAAGTATCGATTTCTGACGCACGAAACCAAACCTTTTTACCTAGATGTGCAACACGACGCACGGCAGCAGCTGTTAGCTATAAGGAAGCATCCGAGGATGAAGCAACTGACTCAGAGGATTTGCTTGAATTGGACTATGATGAGAGTCAAGCAGCGGCGGTGGCCGCTGAAGAGGAAGAGAAATGCGAGACGATTGAGCGCATACTGGCGCAACGAGTGGGAAAAAAAGGCTGTACGGGTAACCAGACCACCATTTATGCCATTGAAGAGAATGGCAGCGATCCCAATGCAGACTGCAATGAACAGGATACTGAGCACACTGAAGTGCAATACCTCATTAAATGGAAGGGTTGGTCCTATATACACAATACGTGGGAATCAGATGCAACGTTGCGCGACATGAAAGCCAAGGGTATGAAGAAGTTAGATAATTTCATAAAAAAAGAGCAGGACACAGCCTATTGGCGTCGCTATGCAGGTCCCGAGGATATAGACTATTTCGAGTGTCAAATGGAACTGCAACAGGAGCTGCTGAAGTCCTACAACAATGTAGATCGCATTATCGCACGTGGACAAAAGCCTGAGAGTAGTAATGAGGAATACTTATGTAAATGGCAATCCTTACCCTATGCTGAATCCACATGGGAGGATGCTACTCTGGTGCTGAGAAAATGGCAACGTTGTGCCGAGCAATTCAACGATCGTGAAAATTCCAAATGCACGCCCTCCCGCCATTGCAAAGTGCTCAAATATAGACCGAAGTTCTCACGAATTAAACAACAGCCCACCTTTTTATCAGAAGGTTTAACGCTGCGTGACTATCAAATGGATGGGCTCAATTGGCTGCTGCATTCGTGGTGTAAGGAAAACTCCGTCATTCTGGCCGATGAGATGGGTCTGGGCAAGACCATACAGACCATATGCTTTCTATACTCGCTCTTTAAGTTCCATCATTTATATGGCCCCTTTCTGTGTGTCGTTCCATTGAGCACGATGACTGCGTGGCAGCGTGAATTCGATTTATGGGCACCGGATATGAATGTGGTCACATATTTGGGCGATGTAAAGTCTCGTGAGCTTATTCAGCAGTATGAATGGCTTTTCGAGGGCTCAAAAAGGCTGAAATTCAATTGCATATTGACTACGTATGAGATTGTTCTGAAAGATAAACTATTTCTGGGCACATTGCATTGGGCAGCGTTGCTGGTGGATGAGGCACATCGTTTGAAAAATGATGACTCTCTGCTATACAAGTCGCTCAAAGAGTTCGAGACAAATCATCGTTTGCTCATCACGGGAACGCCCCTACAAAACTCATTGAAGGAATTGTGGGCGCTCCTGCATTTCATAATGCCAGAGAAGTTCGATACATGGGAGAACTTTGAGGTCCAGCATGGCAATGCAGCGGAAAAGGGTTACACGCGGTTGCATCAGCAACTGGAGCCTTACATTTTAAGGCGTGTGAAGAAGGATGTCGAGAAGTCGTTGCCTGCGAAAGTGGAACAAATCTTGCGCGTAGAGATGACCTCACTGCAGAAACAATATTACAAATGGATACTCACCAAGAACTTCGATGCGTTGCGAAAGGGCAAGAGAGGCTCGACGTCCACGTTTCTCAACATCGTCATTGAGCTGAAGAAATGTTGTAATCATGCAGCGCTCATTAGACCATCCGAATTCGAACTAATGGGTCTCCAGCAGGATGAGGCGCTACAAACATTACTCAAGGGCTCTGGAAAGCTAGTGTTGTTGGACAAGCTGCTCTGTCGCCTCAAGGAGACTGGGCACAGGGTTCTAATCTTTTCACAAATGGTTCGCATGTTGGATGTGCTGGCGGATTATCTGCAGAAGCGTCATTTCCCATTCCAACGACTGGATGGCAGCATTAAAGGTGAAATGCGTCGTCAGGCTCTGGATCATTTCAATGCGGAAGGAAGTCAGGACTTTTGTTTCTTACTTTCCACACGCGCCGGCGGTTTGGGCATCAATTTGGCAACAGCCGATACTGTGATTATATTCGATTCGGATTGGAATCCACAGAATGATCTACAGGCACAGGCCCGTGCCCATCGCATCGGGCAAAAGAATCAGGTGAACATTTATCGTTTAGTCACAGCGCGTTCGGTGGAGGAGCAAATTGTGGAACGGGCTAAACAGAAAATGGTCTTAGATCACCTCGTGATACAGCGCATGGACACTACGGGGCGTACAGTGCTAGATAAGAGTGGCAGTGCTAATTCGAGCAACTCCAATCCCTTCAATAAAGATGACCTGTCGGCCATATTGAAATTTGGAGCCGAAGAGTTGTTCAAGGATGAGCAGGAGCATGATGACGAGCTGGTCTGCGATATAGATGATATACTGCGACGTGCCGAGACTCGCAACGAGGATCCAGAAATGCCCGCAGATGATTTACTATCCGCTTTCAAGGTCGCAAGCATAGCTGCTTTTGAGGAGGAGCCCAGTGAGCCAGCTAAGGAGACTGATAATGGAGGTGATCCAGATGATGAGGATGATAGCAAAGACTGGGATGACATAATACCAGAAGGATATAGGAAAATAATTGAGGATCAGGAACGCGCCAAAGAAATGGAGGATCTGTACTTGCCCCCACGACGAAAAACGGCAACAGCGAATCAGAACGAAGCAGCCAGACGTCAAGGAGCGAAGGGCGGCAAAAACAAACAGCCCGAGGACTCAGCTGACTCCGATTACGAGGTGGGGTCCGACGCAAGCGGTGAAGAGGGCAAACCACGGAAACGCGGACGTCCAGCGATGAAGGAGAAGATCCACGGCTTCACGGATGCTGAACTGCGTCGTTTCATCCGAAGCTACAAGAAATTCCCAGCACCATTGCTGCGTCTGGAAGCTATTGCCTGCGATGCTGAACTGCAGGAGAAACCGTTAGCAGAGTTGAAGCGGCTGGGAGAAATGCTGCACGATCGTTGCGTGCAGTTTTTGGACGAGCACAAGGAGGAAGAGACAAAGACTGTGGCGGCGGCCGCAAGCACGGAGGAGCCAGCAGCCAAGCAGAGACGCACGCGTGCCACCTACTCGGTGAAATTGGGCGGCGTCTCCTTCAATGCCAAAACGCTATTGGCCTGCGAGGAAGAATTGCAGCCGCTGAATGAGATTATGCCGAATACGGCGCACGAACGTCAAAACTGGACCTTCAACATTAAGACGCGTCCAGCCAATTTCGATGTCGAATGGGGTGTCGATGAGGACAGCAAACTCCTTTGCGGTATATATCAATATGGCATCGGCTCCTGGGAGCAAATGAAACTGGATCCCAATCTCAAGCTAAGCGAAAAAATCTTGCCTAATGAGGCTAGCAAGCCACAAGCCAAACATCTGCAATCCCGCGCTGAGTACCTGCTGAAGATTATCAAGAAAAATGTCGAGCTCAAGAAGGGCAAACAGCAACGGCAGCGAAAGCCACGTAAAACGCGAGCCGGAGAGCTTAAGTCTACTGGCAGCACAACCAGCACCGCCACCACAAATGCCACACCCGAACGCAAATCCCGACCCCTAAGCGAATCCCATGCCGATGAAACATCTGCCAATACGGGTGACAACGGTGAGCGCAAGATGCGTCAACGGGATAGCACATCTAAATCGGATGCGATCCATCAAGACGGTGCACACGATCAGCAATCGCCCGTTGTTGAGAGCACAGCAAGCGGCAAAAAGAAGAAAAACAAAGCTCGCACCAAGAAATCCACGACGGCTGACAACAATGGAAACAAACCCATGCATTTCACCGCCAATAACGAACCAAGAGCACTTGAGGTGTTAGGTGACTTGGACCCTAGCATTTTCAATGAATGCAAAGAAAAGATGAGACCAGTGAAGAAAGCTCTTAAGGCTCTCGATCAACCCGATGTTAGTCTCTCCGATCAGGATCAGCTGCAGCATACGCGCGAGTGCCTGCTCCAGATTGGCAAGCAAATCGATGTGTGTCTGCAGCCGTACAGCGAGGCCGAGAAGAAGGAGTGGCGCAGCAACTTGTGGTACTTTGTGTCCAAGTTTACAGAGCTCGATGCGAAAAGACTGTTCAAGATATACAAGCACGCCCTGAAGCAACAGAGCGGAGCAACGACGATGCCGGCAGCAACGTCTACCTCCACGGCTACGTCAACGGGCGGGGGCAATCCAGTTGTGGATGAGAGCGGCAACAGCAAGTCCAAGTCAAAGCGCATTGAGAACGGCATAGCCAAGGAGCAACGCGACAAGAGCGGCAAGAAGAAGAAAAAGGATAAGGACAAGGACCGCGAGCGGGACAATGCTCAGGCGCGCTTTGGTAGCGGCGGCGGTGGAGCAACGGCAGGTGAAAAATCAGCGCGACGTTTCGGACTCGAATCACCACTGAAGCGTAAACGTGATGAGAATGATGCCGACTCGTGTGGTCTGGGTGCATCGGGGGCCGGAACTGGTGGCATCAGCGACAATCTGAAGACCATGTCGTTTAAGCGACTTAACATGGAAAGCACTAGACATGGTAGCAGTAGCAGCAGCGGTGGTACGGGCGGCGCAAGTAACGCTGTCGGCGGCCATGAGGAGCGCAAGAAGCACCATCGTGATGACTACTATGGTAGTGGCTATGATGCCGCCTCCAGTCGACGCAATACTCTCAATTCGCCCTCAACACCTACCAGTCGTGCCCGCTATGAGGCTCTCCCACCACCTAGTGGATACACTCCTGGCGGCAGCAGCGCCATGGAACTGGAACGTTGTTATCCGCGAGATCGGTAAGCAAAAAACAATAACATATGGTTCCACTTTTAAACATTCAAGCTCAGTTTGTAGCTTCTGGAATGAAAGTAAAAGTAAAATCATAAAATGACGCTTTGGAAAGATTTTGCAATAATTATGAATTTTTAACCAATTTTTACAGCTACGGTGCAGACTATAAACGCGAACGCTACGATAGCTATAATCGGAGCAGCGCTGGCGGCTACCATCGTGATCATCGCGAACGTGATCGCGATCGTCGTCCCGAAAAACGCAGGTGAGCACCAAAATAAAATTAAGTAAGATTTATGCTGGAAAGTATTAGTAAAGTTAACTAGACGGGTTCTGATGGTTCTTCCAACCAAATTTAAGCCCAAAAATATTCCCAATTCGTTTTTTTTGAGGTGGGAGCATAAACATTTCAAGCTGGCAAGTCCGTTCTTGTTGCTATGCGTTTGCAGAGTTGCCATCTTAATTGATGTATTTGGCAGTTAAATAACTGAAAGTAGTGCTAATTAATTACAAAACGTAGCTTGCTGTTAACATATATAATGATTTTAATGCTGTTCATATTTCAGATATCCGCCCGCTCATATGCCACCGCATCCCTATTCGTCCCACTACCCGCAGCCCAACTACTACATGCCCAATGGTGTGATACCGGGGCTGGCGCCACCACCTGGCTATCGGGGGGATCCGCGTGGTTATGCGGTAATGCCGCGCGAATATCCCGCGGACTACAGGCGCAGCGACTACGAGCGACGCACACAAACGTGAGACCTGCTCATCGATAAAGGCCCCCTCTCCCTCCCAAATAACTGAACAGTTTTTATTTGTAAATGCAATTGAAGCGGCAGCTTAACTGTATATAAATTAATTTTAAGAGTACATTTATGCGCACGCATTGCAATGCTCGGTGTCTGTGAACCTACACGGGTATTTCTATTAGTTGAATTCATGAATTTTCCTCTGTAATGCATCCGCACACAGCCACACACCCGCACATCTTTACACACATTTATACTGTACGAAGACAAGCTATTTATATATATATATATATATTTTTACTATTGTTAATTTTCATAGGATAAGTCGGTAAAAAGCATAATATAGCAGCGTCGTAGCCTGCGATGCGATTAATATTTAGGAATAAGTGTATAACTGCATTAGGCTTAGAAACAAACAACTTTGTCTATAAACATAGTGTAATATTTAGATTTGGTTCGTTACTTTTTGCAGCACTGTACAGCAAATTATGTGTCAAGTCTTGAAAGCTTTTAAACAAACCAATTCTCATTAATTTTAAACGCAGCATATGAAGTTAAGTAAATGCGTTTTTCTCGTATAGAAAGCGAAGAGTCTTTGCATTCTCACTTTTATTTATATGTATGGCGCCAGAGAAGTTTATGTACTTTAGCTAACTTTAAAGCTATTTATTATTCTAAATAGTAGCTATAAATATATAAATCTATATATATGTGTGTATCTCTAATAAGTGAATTATCGTGTTAACGCTAAAAAGTAAAAAAAAAAATATATATATATATATATATTATATGAAAAATGGATGTGTTCTTTATATTTCTGTGAAAAGGAAAATAATCATTATTAATGTTCAAAATTCAATTCAAAATCAAATTAAGTGATTTAATTCAGTGGAAGAAAGCAACGTCATGTGCACAAAATTGGAACATTTCTTACATACTTATATGGAAAATGGATGTGTTCTTTATATTTCTATGAAAAGGAAAATAATCTTTATTATTGTTCAAAATTCAATTCAAAATCAAATGAAGTGATTTAATGCAGTGAAAGAACTGAGCGCCAAGTGCACTAAATTGGCAAATTTTTTACGTTTCGCGTTTACCTAAAAAAGATAATAAAAACTAATTAAAATAGCGCTTTATCAATTGAACTTGGAAATTGTTCCGCCATGGGAAATGCAAATGGAACCGCTTCGTTCTCAGCGAAGCTTCTGATGCTTTTTTAGTTCTCAAATCATAGCTTTGACAGTCTCATCTTGTTTGTACTTTGAAGGCCCCTATAAAGCTCAGAGTCTGGTAAATTCGCAAATGTAGCTGGACAATATAGGCAAGCAAAGCTATAAGCTTAAGGGGGAATTTAAAAATTACTAAAACTGGACAGAATTTATTTAAAAATTCACATTTATTTGAAATATAAAATATATAAAATTACACTTTTTAAAACTTTACCGATCATTTTGGAAGATTTGCGATTAACCACAGAAGTACATTCTTGTAAATTTAAGGAAATGTAATAAGGAAAATTTGTAAAAAAAAAAAAATAAGTATAAATTATATAGTGCAGCAAGCCGCTGCTTTCCCACCTAATGGAACAACCTCCGTAAAAGGTATGGCTTGCTCCTCGGCAAAGGCGAGAAAATCAGCTCCGTAGTGCTGCATTAGTTGCGTTAGCATGTCTACGTCTGCCTCTGCTCGATGTGCATTTACTGGTTCCGTTTTTAACTCTCGCTCATACAGATTGCCCAGTCTATAAAGCAAACGTGGCGGGAATCGCTTCGTCTTTGAGCAGTTCAAATTGGTGAAAAGCTGACGACGGGAATTAAAATCTTTTGGATTTTGTTTAACTGGGGGCGAAGTTCTGTCATAATCGCTTGGGTCCGCCATTTCCTTGCGTTTCAATGCAGCTTCGGCAGGTGGTGGTTTGGCGCGTTGAGGTGTGGTTTCGTTAATTGCCTGCCAGTTGATTTCCTTTTTAGGGGACGCCTCCGATTCCTGTTTTATCGATTTTTGAGATTCTACTTCAGTCGGCGCTAGCTCCGCCGTCTCAGGCGTTGTCGATCCTAACTTGGGCTCTGGCGATTTTCGCTTGTCGTCTATTTCTAAAAACGCACGTAAAGAATCAACGCACGTTATGCCACTCGGTAACTCCAAATTGAGCTTTGCAAATGCTTGTTTGACAATTGGAAAATCAAAGTACCAGCCATTGTGGGCCACCAAGCAAACGGGAGCGGGCAAATGTTTCAGAAATCCTAAAATCGTATGAGCGGAATTCTCGTTCAGTTTTGATTCGCGTTCTAGCAGATAGTTGCTTAAGCCTTAAAGATGAAATATATAAAGATGCTTGAATTTCCGTTTTGCTTTGGGTTTTTCTCTACGTTATATGAGTCATTACGAACCTGTGGCCTTTTCCGCTTCGGGATGCACCATCATTGATGGTTGAAACAGCAAGTTCAGCTTATGCATGACACGTGGTGACGTTGGTAAGGCCCTTGGCTGAGAAGCATCATTGTCCTGCGTGTTGTCCTTTAAGAGGTCTGCATCGAAAGCGTAAATACATAGCTCAGTGATTCCAACGCGATTGTTGTTGTAGGCTGGCAAATTTGTAGTCTCTAGGTCCAAAACAGCAAATGTGGCTATTTTAGGTGAATTTTCGGAAGCTGAAACTATAGGTACGCTTTGCGCCATTTAACAACTGAACATAAGAACTGTACACAAACAAAGGCACGCACAAATGAGATCGAAGTTTTTCAAAGAAACGAAATGCTGCTTCTTTCTATCGTAGCATTCACAATGCTGAAACAGTGTTGTTAAACGTAAATTGAAATAGTTTTGTTTTTAACGAAAAGCTTGTTCAAATGCAATAGTTAAAATTTAACAACGATAGATTAAGGTTTGAAGATGGTATTAATTTTATTCCATTATTGTGGTGAAGAAAACAATTGTTAAATCTTTTAAGAGTTAAACATTTTACAAACAAGAGATTTTCTGCTGGTTTCTTTTTTATTTGTTATAGGTTTTATAGAATACTGTTATCTATGGCTTGCTTAGTGGAAAATAATTATAAGTGATGTGCTAACTTCCATATACATATGTACATAAAAAAGCACATGGCTAATTAAAATATAGTGTTTCTAAATAAAATATTTTACTTTTCATGTGTATGACATTGCACTTTCCTGTGATATGGCCAGGGATTTTAATAAGCTTAAAATTTATTGTTGTGTCGTGTTAAAGGTTATATTCATTGATATTTAATTAAATTCAACTTGCACTATAAATACTCGCATCATAAATAGAGTAATAACGTTTTTAACTTGATAAAAAATTAACTTTATAGTACTGTATTTCAGCTGTCAATGTGTTTTCCCCAGTCTAACAGTTTTGGGGCTGTCAACCATTTATGAGACATCAGATTATATAAACAAGGAAAAGTCCCGTTATTCAAAGCTTGATAAGAACCTGATAGGAACTGAACACTGTACAATCAAAATAAAAAAACAAAACAAGCTGTTGATAGTGCCAGACATAATCACACCCTGCCCAAATAAATTTGTAAAGTTAAGTTCGTCAGATTACAAATACTTGTAACATTTGCAAATGCATACAATATATTAAAATAAATAAATTAACTTAGACATAGATACATATGTACATCTATAGATAGTTGAGCACGACCATGTCGGCTCATCAGGTCATGCTAATAAAGAAATTGATACCCTTTTGCTCTTTGGGTATTTAGAAAGAAAAGCGGAGGTATCTTATTATATAAAAATAAGTTTATTTACGTTAGAGATTTGTTGAGCTCCGTTAATTAAAATTTCGCGCTATATTCTTGAGTTTATGATATAGCGCCTTCATCGGACCATAGCTTGTGAGTACCAATGAGATCAGCGTTAGACATTTCATCAAAATTTGAAAGTCTACCACACTCCTGTTTTTAAAATAACCCGTCTGATAGCCATAATATTGTGTCGTCAGGGCGATAACGAAGCAGGAAAATCCAATAAAATTGTGGAACGTTTTATTCAGGAGAGGCGAAATTAATTTCTTTATACTAGATGAAAATAAAGCACTAAGGCCGGATAGCATGGCCAAAAGGCAGAGTATAAAAGCGGTAAGGCCTGTGGATAATAATACATAAATATTAAGTTCGAAAGATTGTTTCGAAAACGTTGATCTTATTATAGTTAATACTCACCTAATTTACCATGTGTGCTTTGTAGCAGAAAGCCTTTCTGTATCATTTTAATTAATGCTCCGGCGGCTCCGCAACCACCGCCCAGGGTCAGTAGTATCCAATGTATAGTAGTCTTTGTGGTGCGTTTGTAATGATTCGTGAGCACATTTCCATTATAGTGCACCATAACGCCTTGGGCCATAAAAAATGAAAACTGAAATAAATGTGTAATTTTTAATAAGTAAGAATAACCAGAATAACCGAATATGACGCCATCAGGCCTCACATCTGTTAACTAATATATGCTTTTTAAAAATAAATATAATCTAAAACTTATACATATATTATTAACCCAATGTGAAAAAAAGTTATTTACCGTAGACTTTAAATCTATTGCTCGCCCACTATGATGCTTAGTTTCTTTATTTATTTATTTACTCAGCTTTTGACTGGAATTGAAATTAATTTTCATTTAAATAATTAAATTTAATATACAAGTGGCGTTCCTGCAATTAATTTCGATTTATAATCTGATTTTTTTAACAACTTTTTACAGAAGCTTCATTACTATAATGCTTTCGGAAATTACGGTATAAATAATTGTGATAAAAAATGCTGATTTTAATTTTATAATTTGGCTGATGGTTTCCATTGCTAACAAAAAAAGCACCACCTTTCCGATAGAGCAAAGTACATAGTTCCGTGAGTATTAAACAAAACATTTTTATTTTTTTCGATATTGTACTTAAAATGTATTTTTTCTTATTGAAAGTATGTAGATCTTTTATTTTTTTGATGTTCCCCTATAATTTTAATTTGTTTAACTTCCGCTGACATCAAGGAACATGAATGTAAAGAAAGGAATTTATTTATTGATTTATTTCAGACATTTAAAGTTAATATAAACGATTTTTTTAGAATTTGTTGATCAAATTCAACAGTGGGACCACATAGCCCTCGGAAAATAAAGCAATTAATTCGAAGGCTGATTTCAATTATAGATTGTGTGTGATCGGTGCCATTGCTTAACAAAATTCGCTAGCTTCTTGAATTATTCGAAATTTCATCCAGTAATGTTCTATTTGTTCACTGTGATTCCACAAATTGGCTTTTTCTTGAACTTTTTAGAATGTTTAATCACGATTTATAAGATACCTAAGACTGCAAAGCTACATTTTTAAAATAAATTTGAGATGCAGCTGGTTCTGTAAGTCACTGAATATATATATGTATATATATCTGTATATAAATATTCTTACCCCAATGGTGACAAGCCATGCATGCAGACCGGTTCCCTCCAAGCCTGTGCGCAACGTCAGCCAAGACATATATATTGTAACAAAGCCAATGCATATCTGATTTATCACATTTAAAAAGAACTCCAGACGCAGCAGTTTCTGTCGCGAATCGCTTTTGTACACCGAATCCATCGTGATTCTGGTATAGCGTTGGGGCTCCCTCGCACGCACAAAGGACGGAAATCGTTGAAAAAGCTCTGCTTGTATAGTTTCCCGCTTTGATTCCGATTCTGGCGCTCCTGCAGTCGTTGTACTACCGTAGTCGACGATTTGCGAGCTACTACTGATCGGTGCCAACGGACGCTCGGTCGTCATCATAGCGTTGTAGTTATTCAAACCGCTCGTGGACAAACGCTTATCAGTGAGTTTGAACAATATAATGATTTTTTCATGTTGTACATGCATACACACACATGTATGTATATATGTATAGAAATTTGGCAAAAACAAATAGAATAAGCGAACGCTCAGGCGATCTGATAGTTTGCCCCGGTGGAGAGAGCATTCTCGTACTTACATTAATGTTAATGTTCTCACGATGCTATAACTTTCCAATCAATTATGAATATAGTACTGCGAGAATTTCTTTTTATTTTATGCAGATACGCCCAATATATCTTGTTTGCACAGTTAAATACTAAAGCAGATAGCTAGCTGGCTGATTCTGTATGCTCTCTCACTCGCCACTAATCATTAACTAAGCGCTTAAAATTATTCACTCAATATCAATTTTCATTGGAGAAGCTTTTGAAATGCAAACGCCAGTGTATCGAATTAGAAAAAAAGCAACCGCAAATCGACATGAAGGGCTGTACATGAAGTATGTAGTATATATGGCAAGCATACAATCACGATCACAATTATAGGCATGGGTAGGCAGCACCATTAATCTTGAAATTAAATACCACTATTCTAAGAATTTTCTATTCTATTTCAAAACATTAATAAATACCAATTTTAGTTAAGGTATCGTAATAAAAAAGTTATTGGTACTAACAAATAATTTTATATCTTTATCTTTACTTTATCTTGCGCCATAAATGGTTCGATTAACATAAAAAGTCAATCCTTGTTAGAAGAACAAATTCCAAAAGTATTTCTTTTTAAATAATAAATGGTATATTTTGGAATTCATTTAGTCTTAGTTTAAAACTCTTCAATCAATTACATTTAGTATTATATTTTTCTCAACTGAAGAATTAAATGGGGTCTTAAGTCTCAATTATAAATATTCAATTACATGAAATTTTAAAAAAATTATTAATTAATGACTTGAGTTTGTTTTAAAATGGTTTTACTTTACTTATAAAACTGGTTGTCTGTAGGACTGCCACCTATAAATAGCGCAGTTACACATAAAAGTAGAGCACATACATATGTATATTGACATCTTATCTATGAAAATCCATTGTCTAAAATTGTTGAAAGTTTTTATACCCTGTACACAAAGGGTAAAAGAGTATATAAGTTTTGTGCGAGTGTACATGGAACACACAGAAGGAGGCGTGGCAGACCCCACAAAGTATATATATTCTTGATCAGGATGATAAGCCGAGTCGATATAGCCATGCCCGTCTCTCTGTCTGTATGAACGTAAGGATCTCAGAAAGTATAAGAGTTAATTAGTTAATTAAATGAATTAATTTAATTTATTTTCTTGTGGGGTGGTACAGGGTATTTAAGAGTTGAGCCTGCTCGACTTTAGCATTCCTTTCTTGTTGTTTTTTTTTTTCGTACTTATTTCTACAAATCCATATTAAAAGCCTCCACTTATGGTAGGTCAATGAATTGGCTCTGTAGAATTTCTATTTACGGTATCTGCTGTCTATTAATATTATTAAGTAATCTGATTAGATTACATTTTGAAACGTTTTCTTGCTTCAATTGTGTACGCATGAGTGCCTTTGACCCTAAAACATGCATATCACTTATCGCACATAAATTTCGCACGTAGCCAGATAATTAGAGAGTTTTGACATGGCTTGTTATCGTCTGGACGCAATCACAGGTGACTTGGCACAACTAATTTTGTCGCCTGTATAGTTACTACTAATATTGACCTTAAAGCTGAAAAAGAATCTAAAACAAATTGTTCTTTAATATTTTTAAATATGATTTCGGAATGCTTTGGTAACTCTCTTCCAGACAAATTCCAATGATTATAGCTTAAATATAGTTTAGAATTTTAATGTTTAATTTTTTTTCACCCACTTTGTACTAATTGTGCAAATACTCCCAAAATACCAATACATTGTGCAATATTTTATGCACTTTTTTGGATGCCCATATATGTTTGGAACACCTGAACATTTCTGTGACGCTGAATAATAATGAGTTGAATTATTTTATTTGATATTTTTACAAAAAACGGTTAACATTATTATTATGAGGATGCAGTTATTCTGTTATCCTTAGCATTTACTCTTACAATCGTCGCCCTCACAAATGTCACAGAGCTTGGATTCAATTTGATAATAGTCGGTGGCCTTCTTATTCGTGTCGTAATAATCGTAGAGGACCACAGGTGCCGGTTTCTGATTAGCCACAGCATACGTTTTGTAAGCTTCAATGGGTAAGCACTTCACCTCACCCTTTGGCAAGCTTTCAAAGTAGACTACCAAGACGGACTCGGCGTTCTTGGTTTCAACAAGCTGTAATTAAATAAACACAATCAGTGGCAGATAAAAAGAAATAGTCTCAAGTTTCAACTTACTCGAACTCGCTTGATGTCCTGGATGTGCTCAAAGTTATCATCCACGGTGTAGCCAGAGGGCAGCGAGACTTCCAGGATGGCCATATTGGAGGCCTCTGATTTTCCCTCCTCTACATATTCAACGCAGACCTCAAGCTCAAGTTTTGATGGGGGAGTGTCAGGCTTAACAATTGTTTGTACTTTGAAGCTTGGCTTAGGCTCCTTCTCGACTATGTTGTATTGGTAAGAGATCTGCACCAGTGCTGCCCCCGTGCCTTTTGCATCGAACTCGAGGGACTTGGTACCCTGAGGGAACTCGACTCGTTGCAGTAATAGTCCATTGTCCTCGGTCAGCTTCAGGTTCTCGATTTTTTCGCGTTGACCATGATTCGAAACAGTCACATCCCACAATGCTGCCTCATAGCCTGACTTCTCGGCGAACTTAATCAAGGCCTGAAGACCCACTACTGTATCCTGTGAAGAGGCAAACCCACCGAAGCTGTTGCGCTGAGCCACCAGCCATCTGAGTGCGTTTAGGACGTCTTCGGGAGACTCTGTCTCCAATAAAGTGAGCATTGCGTACGAAGTGATTTCCACGTCGTTGCTCCACACCCAACACCACCAGCGACGGCAGTAACCAGAATTTCGCTGTTCCTTACTTTCCGTCCACCAGGTTCGGTCCTCCTCCTGATTGGCCAAGGCTTTTAGACTGGCTACGTGCTTCGGGGCATCCGCTGCCTTCGCCTTCTGAAGCGCGTATGTCGCAATAGCCTTTGGCAAAACTTCCTTTGACTCTTCGACGTTTGCGCTTAAATAAGCAACAGCTTTATCAATAGCAGTTGGTGTTCCCGATGAGGGTTTGGGCTGTGCCAGCAATGCCAGAAGGGACTTAGCTGTTAGTGTGAGTGCAGAGCGCTGGGAGCCATAGAAGTACTCCCCCGTCTCGGTGAAGCTGCCGTTGTCAGCTTGTTTACTCAGTAAAAACTGGTAGCCCTCTGCCAGAATATTCTCATCGATCTTAACCAGCGGCGCAATCTCACTCAACGAGCGTAGTACATAAGCCGTCAGCCAAGTGGAACCATTGCGTGGTGGGTCCTCTTCGCGCCACTTGCCTGGTCCGAAGGAACTGAAAGATCCATCGTCGTGACGATAACGAAGTATGTTTTGGTAGCCCTGTTCTAGGTTCCGTTTTATGCGTGACTCTAAAGCTGGCGTCAGTTTCTTGATCGATTGCAGATAATTTCGAACAAGATAGTTCGGTACCAGCTTCGACATGGTTTGCTCACCGCACCCACTGGGTAAGCGCAAAAGCTCCTCCAGATTCTTAACAACTGGGCCTAACAGGTCTCCCACCACCGCAAATTCCACATGTTGGGAGTCCTTGACATATTCCTCTGGCAGTTCTAGTTCGAAGGTATCATTGAACTCCCCTACATCCTTCAAATTTATAAAGAATGCTCGGTTGCTATATTGCGTCACACCCTCAGGGACCACCTTGAGAGTTTTGTGAATCGCGTCGCCAGCCACAGGGGATATTGCTGTAAGCTTGAGTAAAATATTTCCAATTATTTTTGGACGCAAAAGGAATGACACTCCCGCTGCTTCGTTAGCGCCAACGCTAATTTTTTGTGTGCGCTTCTGCTCGCCTATGACTTCGTTCGAGGGATCCACAAACTCGTATTCGTCGTCGGGGTTATCCAGCGACACTTCAACGTCCAAGCTCTTCGGCAGATAATTGAAGACTAGTGCTGGTACACTGATGACTTCTCCACGTTTGACCGAGTAAGGCAGCCTTACCGACACGAAGAAGGGTTGGAATGTTTTAATTTTGGTCTGCTCATCAGTCACTCCCAGACCCTTGTCGGGATGCAAAGAAAATGCGCTGCGAAATAAAGAAAAATATGTTAATATGATAATAAGGAGATGGCTCAGAGCGCCTTCTTACCTGAGCACCCAGCTGGTAATGGTGTCTGGTATTGCTTTAACCCACTTGAAAACTTCAGACTTTGTGCTTTCAATATCCGCAAATATCCAAGTCTCTACGAAGTTCTTACGCACAGTCGGAGCTTGTTGTGCGGGTGCTCCTGCAGCAAAGGCAGCTCCCACTAGCGCGGATTCGGGATGAGCAGGCGTAGAGTGAAGAACCATGTCATTCTGAAGGCCTGTTTTGCGCATAGCTTGTATACTGCCGCCTCCGAAAGCTGCGTGGGGTTGAGCTATTCTTAATGTTATTTTGCAAGTAGTTTTACGGAAATGTGATGGCACTTACCATAATACACTGGCTCCGTGCGGTTGTAGAAGAAGTTGGCATTCGTCATGGTCACTACGCCAGTGCGCTCTCCAGGGTAGTAAGAGTAGCCGCCCTGCCATGGCGTGCTCGTGTCATAACGACCTAGACGCCAGCTAAACGAATCCTTATTTATATCGTTATTACTACCTAGAAGAAGTACGCTCTGGTCAACCGCAATTAGACCAACGAAAGAATTAGGCGCAGTTTTAATCTCCAATTCAACTTCTGATCCCGGTTTGACTTCCTCGGGTGCGGTAATTTCAATTTTGTTCTGCAGCTCTACGTCAACATGCATGCTCTCCTCAGCATAACGGAATTCGCCCGTCTCATCCACATAATACACGTACACTTTACAGTAGGGTGCCATGAGGAACGTCGGTGTTAGGCTAATGTTGTATATCTTTTGAGGTTCAGGTAATACCACGCGCTCTGTGTGAAGTACATTTCCACGGCCAATGATGTTGTACACAAAGTAGCTTAAAGGACGACTAGAGTTCAATGTGATCTTGTACTCCTCGCCAAGCTGCAGCCTATCAATGAAAAATGTGTGCTTAACTAACTACTGGTTTATGTTTTCAAGCTTCTACACTTACGACCACTTATCCTTGGGGCGTTGAACGTTGGCCTTGAACCACTCCTTCTCCTTTTCCTCCTCTTTCGGCTCCACTGGAGGATCAATCTTCTTTGGTTCCCTATATGGATATGTTGTGTATAACTCGCGCTGCTCATCTCTATATTCCAATTCTATGCTGTAGTAGCGCGTGAAGTTTTCAATATCGGGTAAGTCTGGCAGTTTGATTTTGAAGGCTGCTATGCTTGAATCATTTAGATGGCTCTCGAAAGTAAGTGTCTTTTTCTCGATCTCGGGGAGTTCGGGCTTATTTTCTTTCTGGCCGTAGTAGCCAAAGCTGTACGTGTGGCGTATGCCCTCCGTAAACTTCGCTTTAACTACGGACTTTGTATCTTTAAGCAATGTGCCATCTATGTACGTGACTTTAAATTTAACTTCTTGCTCTTTGTCGGCGTGGAACTGATAACAAGATGTGTAATCGATGCAGGACATTTCATAGCGATAGGGGTATAACTGCGTGCCGGATGTTTCATTTATCTTCACGCCCGTGAAATCCTCCTCTACGGTGGCCGTGATGTGTGCGTAGGATGCGGATGTGTTGTAGTGCAAGAATTCAGCAAACTCCTTCACGTTTAAGTCGAACTTCGCCTTGCCATTGACCATATCCGCGGTGCTCAGCAGGGTATGACCTGGACGATCAGTGCGGACCGTCTCTCCATTCACTGTGCTCCACATACTGGACTCAGCCAGATTAATATTGAGGAGAACCTTGCCACTAACTGGTTTGCCGTAGGTGTAGCTGAGTAGATATAGTTAATGGTGAAGGGGTTATAGTGTATATGTTATTTTATTTTATTTCACTTACTTTGCGCGTATAATCACCTGCATGTCTCCATCCTTCACCGAGACCTGATCTGTCACGTCCATCTTAATTGTATACTTTGGCAGAGTGTACTTTTCAACATCAAAGTAAACGCGTTCATCATTAAAGCTATTACCAGGTGTTTGCACCAGCAGTATCCATGAGCCGAGAGCTGCAAACTCGGATAGTTCGAACTTTCCTGTATACACTCCACTATTAGTCTCAATGTGCTTGAGCTCCTTTATGCGATTACGTTTGGGATCCTCGAAAAAGATTACGACATCATCTGGAGCAGTACCAGGCCGCAGGTTTTCATCCAAAAATATGACACGGAAGTTTATGGTATCTCCCGGCTTGTATTTGCCCTTGTCCGTCTGTATCTTCACGAACGGCTTGACCTCCTCCCAATTCAGTTTGGTGGTATTTGTGAACACCAAACCAGATACACCCTCGGCTGTGAGATTGTACTGGCCCTCCTTGAGGGGTGGCAGCTTGAACGTCAACTGCTTGTACTCATCGGGCTTGGCCAATTCAACTGTTTGGGTCTCGTTGTGCGAGGGTCCGGTGATTCCAATCTTCAGCTTGGCTGGTTCCTTAATGCCATGCACGGCTACGGCGACGTTGTAGTCGCGATTTGAGTGTATGGTGCCGGGACCAACGATGGTATATTGCCTGCGGAAATAATAATTAAACAAATGAATAATCTGATTTTTTTCTCTTTGAGGTCATTTTCTTATCTGTGAAATTGAATTTAATGACTATTTGCACAATATTGCTGCATACTTATGTACATACATACACGAGTATACTTGTATATGTGCATAGGCGAGGCGATGTTGAAAGAAATTTAGAATATTTATTTTGTTGTCATTAGCAGCACTGTTATATTTGCTGTCACAAGTCAGAGAGCCGCGAGTTCAATTTCAAGTTTATCAGTATTGATTTTTTTCTTGTGTTGAAATGTGTTTTTTATTCTTTCTTTTTTACTCTGAAAAAGTTGTTAATTATAACTGTAAACATTCAAAGAACCTGCCTGATAAACCGGATTATTTTAACATACCCCATGCATATGTATTGAAGTATAAACATTTTTTGGCACGTTTGTGTTATAATTAAGTGCTTGTAGTGCTCAGGATTGATTAATGATTAATACTCGTACACGAAGATAATTCAATAATACTCAAAGGTACTATATATTTTCAAAATGGTGTACGAAATGTCAGTTCTATTTTCTCACACAATTATAATTACTGTATAGTTAGTTATATACAAGTCGAACAGTATTATGTGATATTGTATCATGTAAGCGAATGATACCACTCTGAAGGAGCTATAAAATTAACGTAAAAGTCGCTTATTATATAATATATATTATAATATATACGAGTTCAAAATACTGTTGAAGCGTTTTATTATCAATCAACCTTTTTTCATTCCATCCTGTAATTCAAGCTGGCCTTCAAGCTGACCAGCTCAGCCACATTTATCACAAATATTAACCATTTATAGGGTAACAACAAATAGCCATTAGGGGCATTAAAGTTACAAATTAGGCGTAAATTAAAACTAATAAGAGACTTCAATTAAAAACCTGAAATATAGTATGCTCAAATAGTTTGTTTGCATTTTTACAAATTATTTTCTCAGCACAGTTTAAAACAAATCAATAAAAAATATCTATTAGTTATAAAGTAAAATTTGATAAGATATAAGATCTAAAAGTAAGAAGAGCTTAGTATGTTCGAGTAGCGCAAATATTAATAATCGTTGAATACAAATTAATAAACAACCCGTTGGCCTCAAGCTTCTAACCTTGAGAGTGCAAAAAACCCTACGTGTATGCAAATAAAACTATACTTTTTTATTTTATAATGCTAATGAGACAGAAAAAGACTTGTACTTACCCCTCGCCTTTTACCAACTCCGCCATTTGAAGGAGCGCCACAAGGGAGATGACAGCAAAAACGTCTGAGCGACGCATGTTGGTGATTGAAAAGAAAACACAAAACTTTTTTAAATAGTTCGGTTAAACTAAAAAATCGAAGTTTTGAAACGATGCCACACAACCGACTGAGCCCAGAGCTGAGCGGCTACTGAGCTGAGCGTAGAGCTGAGATTTTGTTTAAAGCCTTAACAGCTCAGCGACGATGAGCGATACAAAAGCAACAAATAAAACATACAAAAGCCTGAATAATAAAGTCAATAAAAGCTGATGTCAATAACAGTGCCGGCAAACAGCGTGAATATATGTATGTATGTACGTGTATATAAAAACCCATTAAGGTAAAGGGCAATCCAGTGACTGGGCGAGCTCTGTTTTGCTTATCACATACATACATAAATTAATCGATTATATAGTGTTCCTTTTCTCAAACAAAGAGCTATCGCGCTAATTTAGTTTAAATAAATTGCTCATCAAATTTCACCACAAGTATGTAATTTCATGAAACTGCAACCCCATATTGCTCAATATAAGTATATATACTATGTATGTACAATCTCGGCAGATGACTTTTATCCAAATTTTAGCAATTGCAAGCTACTTAACTTGGTGAATTGGCTTTTATCTTTTTAATATTCAACAGTTTTCGGTCTCACTTTTCTTTTGTATATTATTTATAAATCAAGTTTTATTGGAAACAGAATTGGAATAAAAATATAATGATATGGTATAAAAATATATTGGCATGAAATCTGTAAATGATTTTATTGTATGTACCCTACGTTCAATATATAGATGTATGTATGTGCATTCAAACAAAAGGCTTGAAAAATGGTTTAGTACGCTGTCGCTTGACAGACAAACATACTCGTCTACACTATAAATATGTATGTATGTATGGACACACGCCTATATGAATCTGTATGTATGTACGTGTGTTAATGGAATTTAATTGTAAGCTAATTCGGACTGGTTGTCCATGTCGTGTGTATTCCCCCCGATCTAATCTTATACAGCCATGCAAACTGCTAATTAATTCTTTTTTTTAGTGTTTATATTTTTTTGTAATTATCACTTCAGACTCTATCTAATGCCAGCTTGGTAGACTCATTTAAGATTTCATTTTGGTTTTCAAAAATGTACACTTTGTCAACACATCAATGACGTCAGACACACAAACAAATACACAATACCCGCAAACAACAAATCACGGAGTCTGAAAAATCATAAAAATTATTTACGTACATTTATCACGCGGGAAATACCACAAATAATTTTCTAAGAATCGCACAGAAAACAACAATATTTAAGTACGCCCCGATGTTGTTATTTTGTATCACAATTTGTATCTGTTGCTGTTTATTTTGGATTCGAAGCTTACAGCTGTGGCCGTACTTCTTGTTTTGTTTACTGTTGACGCGAAACTGATGGGAAAAGCCATTTCTGGTTCACCATGTTGACTCTCTTTGTGACTCACTCGTACTCTCTTTTTATCGTTCTCTTGCGTTTTATGAAATACTTGGGTATCTCTTTTTCTTTGATTGCCGGTCGAGTGGCGTCTGCCGTTGTTTATTTTTGTTTATTTTTGCCCCTCGCTCAGTGGATTGACTCAAATAGCTAACTTTTATCTTTAATATTAGATTTGGAATGCTGACTAGAAAACTATTTAAGTGTCCTAACTATTAACACGCTCAGAATTTTAAATAACCCCCCTAGTCAATTTTTATTTTACATGCTTAAATACATATGTATGTATGCATGTTGCAAAGCCACAACCCATTGTGCGTCACGTAGCGAGTCGACACTTTGCTCTCTCAGCTAACACTGATGACGTTATATTGTTTATTTATATTATAAATATATTTCATAAGGGACTGCAAAACACAAAATCGGCGGACGTATCCACCACTACTTACGTACGTACATATACATATGTATGTAGATGTATGACAATATTTAATGTGAAAGAGAACGAACTACAAAAACTGGATTGGCTTGTAAATCCCCTTTTTTGCGATGGCCATACCCACATACTTACATGCATTAATATTCCATTTAAATATGTGACCTTGGCTCGAATAAATATGTACGTTCATATATTATTTAAGAAAAATAAATGTTTACACAAGGGTTTATCATCTGATTATGTTTTTAATGATTCAAGTTAGTAGAGGGTCCTCAGAATTATGTACATACATATATAAGTAGTATATCCCAGCCAAATATACCTTAGATTAAGTAACACATTTTTATTTGGAATAACTATTTACATGACATGCCAGGAGCGTATTAACTAAGACCAAAAATGTATTTTATTCCTCTTGCTTTTTATTTACTATTTGTATGAAACATATTGCCGTTAAAATTTATTTTGTTGCCATTTGATACAATTTTCCTTAGCATTTACTCTTACAATCGTCGCCCTCACAAATGTCACAGAGCTTGGATTCAATTTGATAATAGTCGGTGGCCTTCTTATTCGTGTCGTAATAATCGTAGAGGACCACAGGTGCCGGTTTCTGATTAGCCACAGCATACGTTTTGTAAGCTTCAATGGGTAAGCACTTCACCTCACCCTTTGGCAAGCTTTCAAAGTAGACTACCAAGACGGACTCGGCGTTCTTGGTTTCAACAAGCTGTAATTAAATAAACACAATCAGTGGCAGATAAAAAGAAATAGTCTCAAGTTTCAACTTACTCGAACTCGCTTGATGTCCTGGATGTGCTCAAAGTTATCATCCACGGTGTAGCCAGAGGGCAGCGAGACTTCCAGGATGGCCATATTGGAGGCCTCTGATTTTCCCTCCTCTACATATTCAACGCAGACCTCAAGCTCAAGTTTTGATGGGGGAGTGTCAGGCTTAACAATTGTTTGTACTTTGAAGCTTGGCTTAGGCTCCTTCTCGACTATGTTGTATTGGTAAGAGATCTGCACCAGTGCTGCCCCCGTGCCTTTTGCATGGAACTCGAGGGACTTGGTACCCTGAGGGAACTCGACTCGTTGCAGTAATAGTCCATTGTCCTCGGTCAGCTTCAGGTTCTCGGTTTTTTCGCGTTGACCATGATTCGAAACGGTCACATCCCACAATGCTGCCTCATAGCCTGACTTCTCGGCGAACTTAATCAAGGCCTGAAGACCCACTACTGTATCCTGTGAAGAGGCAAACCCACCGAAGCTGTTGCGCTGAGCCACCAGCCATCTGAGTGCGTTTAGGACGTCTTCGGGAGACTCTGTCTCCAATAAAGTGAGCATTGCGTACGAAGTGATTTCCACGTCGTTGCTCCACACCCAACACCACCAGCGACGGCAGTAACCAGAATTTCGCTGTTCCTTACTTTCCGTCCACCAGGTTCGGTCCTCTTCCTGATTAGCCAAGGCTTTTAGACTGGCTACGTGCTTCGGGGCATCCGCTGCCTTCGCCTTCTGAAGCGCGTATGTTGCAATAGCCTTTGGCAAAACTTCCTTTGACTCTTCGACGTTTGCGCTTAAATAAGCAACAGCTTTATCAATAGCAGTTGGTGTTCCCGATGAGGGTTTGGGCTGTGCCAGCAATGCCAGAAGGGACTTAGCTGTTAGTGTGAGTGCAGAGCGCTGGGAGCCATAGAAGTACTCCCCCGTCTCGGTGAAGCTGCCGTTGTCAGCTTGTTTACTCAGTAAAAATTCGTAACCCTGTGCCAGAATTTTGTCATCGATCTTGATCAGCGGCGCAATATCACTCAGCGAACGTATTACATAAGCCGTCAGCCAAGTGGAACCATTGCGTGGTGGGTCCTCTTCGCGCCACTTGCCTGGTCCGAAGGAACTGAAAGATCCATCGTCGTGACGATAACGAAGTATGTTTTGGTAGCCCTGTTCTAGGTTCCGTTTTATGCGTGACTCTAAAGCTGGCGTCAGTTTCTTGATCGATTGCAGATAATTTCGAACAAGATAGTTCGGTACCAGCTTCGACATGGTTTGCTCACCGCACCCACTGGGTAAGCGCAAAAGCTCCTCCAGATTCTTAACAACTGGGCCTAACAGGTCTCCCACCACCGCAAATTCCACATGTTGGGAGTCCTTGACATATTCCTCTGGCAGTTCTAGTTCGAAGGTATCCTTGAACTCCCCCACATCCTTCAAATTTATAAAGAATGCTCGGTTGCTATATTGCGTCACACCCTCAGGAACCACCTTGAGAGTTTTGTGAATCGCGTCGCCAGCCACAGGGGATATTGCTGTAAGCTTGAGTAAAATATTTCCAATTATTTTTGGACGCAAAAGGAATGACACTCCCGCTGCTTCGTTAGCGCCAACGCTAATTTTTTGTGTGCGCTTCTGCTCGCCTATGACTTCGTTCGAGGGATCCACAAACTCGTATTCGTCGTCGGGGTTATCCAGCGACACTTCAACGTCCAAGCTCTTCGGCAGATAATTGAAGACTAGTGCTGGTACACTGATGACTTCTCCACGTTTGACCGAGTAAGGCAACCTTACCGACACGAAGAAGGGTTGGAATGTTTTAATTTTGGTCTGCTCATCAGTCACTCCCAGACCCTTGTCGGGATGCAAAGAAAATGCGCTGCGAAATAAAGAAAAATATGTTAATATGATAATAAGGAGATGGCTCAGAGCGCCTTCTTACCTGAGCACCCAGCTGGTAATGGTGTCTGGTATTGCTTTAACCCACTTGAAAACTTCAGACTTTGTGCTTTCAATATCCGCAAATATCCAAGTCTCCGCGAAGTTCTTACGAACAGTTGGAGCTCGTGGGGTGCCTGGTGCTGCACCTGAAACAGCCATTATTCCAATTCGGGGGGTGTCAGCCAAATGAGGGGCCGAACTCTGCACAAAACCCATCTTGTTAACAACTGACAGGCCTTCTTCGAACTCTGCTATACTTATTGTTATTCGAAGTTATTTTTTAGAATCTACTTTAACTATACTTACTATTATAAACTGGCTTTGTACGGTTGTAGAAGAAGTTGGCATTCGTCATGGTCACTACGCCAGTGCGGTCTCCAGGGTAGTAAGAGTAGCCGCCCTGCCATGGTGTAGTTGTGCCATAGCGACCTAGACTCCAGCTAAATGAACCCTTTTGTATGTCGTTATTTCTATCCAAAAGCAGTACGCTCTGGTCAATCGCAATTAGACCAACGAAAGAATTAGGCGCAGTTTTAATCTCCAATTCAACTTCTGATCCCGGTTTGACTTCCTCGGGTGCGGTAATTTCAATTTTGTTCTGCAGCTCTACGTCAACATGCATGCTCTCCTCAGCATAACGGAATTCGCCCGTCTCATCCACATAATACACGTACACTTTACAGTAGGGTGCCATGAGGAACGTCGGTGTTAGGCTAATGTTGTATATCTTTTGAGGTTCAGGTAATACCACGCGCTCTGTGTGAAGTACATTTCCACGGCCAATGATGTTGTACACAAAGTAGCTTAAAGGACGACTAGAGTTCAATGTGATCTTGTACTCCTCGCCAAGCTGCAGCCTATCAATGAAAAATGTGTGCTTAACTAACTACTAGTTTACGTTTTCAAGCTTCTATACTTACGACCACTTATCTTTGGGGCGTTGAACGTTGGCCTTGAACCACTCCTTCTCCTTTTCCTCCTCTTTCGGCTCCACTGGAGGATCAATCTTCTTTGGTTCCCTATATGGATATGTTGTGTATAACTCGCGCTGCTCATCTCTATATTCCAATTCTATGCTGTAGTAGCGCGTGAAGTTTTCAATATCGGGTAAGTCTGGCAGTTTGATTTTGAAGGTTGCTATGCTTGAATCATTTAGATGGCTCTCGAAAGTAAGTGTCTTTTTCTCGATCTCGGGGAGTTCGGGCTTATTTTCTTTCTGACCGTAGTAGCCAAAGCCATACGTGTGGCGTATGCCCTCCGTAAACTTCGCTTTTACCACAGACTTTGTACTTTTGAGCAATGTGCCATCTATGTACGTGACTTTAAAATTCATATCTTGCTCTTTATCGGCGTGAAACTGATGACAGGATATGTAATCGACGCAGAACATTGCATAGCGATTGGGATACAGCTGCAGGCTAGATGTCTCTTGTAACTTGACACCCGTGAAATTCTCCTCCACGGTGGCTGTGATGTGTGCGTAGGATGCGGATGTGTTGTAGTGCAAGAATTCAGCAAACTCCTTCACATTTAAGTCGAACTTCGCCTTGCCATTGACCATATCCGCGGTGCTCAGCAGGGTATGACCTGGACGATCAGTGCGGACCATCTCTCTATTCACTGTGCTCCATATACTGGACTCAGCAAGATTAATATTGAGGAGAACCTTGCCACTAACTGGTTTCCCGTAGGTGTAGCTGAACAGATTAAGAGATTAAAATAATTATACATAATAGCGAAAATCTGATTAGACTCACTTCGCGCGTACAATAACCTGAATATCTCCGTCCTTCACCGAGACCTTTTGCGTTGCATCCATCTTGATGGTGTACTTAGGGAGAGTATATTTCTCCACACTAAAGTATACACGTTCAGCGTATCTCTCCTTACTTGTTTGCACCTTCAGCAACCAGGAACCCAGAGCTGCAAACTCGGATAGTTCGAACTTTCCTGTATACACTCCACTATTAGTCTCAATGTGCTTGAGCTCCTTTATGCGATTACGTTTGGGATCCTCGAAAAAGATTACAACATCATCCGGAGCAGTACCAGGCCGCAGGTTTTCATCCAAAAATATGACACGGAAGTTTATGGTATCTCCCGGCTTGTATTTGCCCTTGTCCGTCTGTATCTTCACGAACGGCTTGACCTCCTCCCAATTCAGTTTGGTGGTATTCGTGAACACCAAACCAGATACACCCTCGGCTGTGAGATTGTACTGGCCCTCCTTGAGGGGTGGCAGCTTGAACGTCAACTGCTTGTACTCATCGGGCTTGGCCAATTCAACTGTTTGGGTCTCGTTGTGCGAGGGTCCGGTGATTCCAATCTTCAGCTTGGCTGGTTCCTTAATGCCATGCACGGCTACGGCGACGTTGTAGTCGCGATTTGAGTGTATGGTGCCGGGACCAACGATGGTGTATTGCCTGTGGAAGCAATAGATAATAAAAATTATTATGCCTTGCACTCTCTGTATTTAAGATTAGAGCTATATTGTTTCGGGATTGCTGCCTAATCTATGGCAAATTGCACAATATTGCTGTGTGTATGTATTGTATTAATGTGCATGAAATACTATAATTCGTCGTCGTCAATAGCTGCACTGTTATATTTGCTGGCAATGGGGGGAGACGCTTGGAGCTTATCAATATTTATTTTATTTTGAATAGCAGCTTGCCATCTCCACATTATTTTTTATTTGAATTCATTCTTAAGCCTAATTTCTTATATTAAAACAAATGCAGTAGAGCTCAAAACGCAATTAGGTGTGCAAACCAGAATTTGATTAAAAACCTGAAACATACTCATTTCCATAATTTATTTCAATTCTTAAATTGTATTTTCTTTTTCATTAAAAATCTCCCAACTAGTATTTTTTTTTTTTTGAAATATTAAAAAAAAAACTTCACTGAGAAAAAAAAAACAGTAATTTAAAGTTCTGCTGATAAATCACTTCAAAATTAAAAGTCGTAACACGTACTACGAGTATACTCGTATATGAGAATAAATTGTAATTTAATGCAAATTAATAGCTTAGAGTAGACTTTTCCTCACCCATCGGCCTTTACCAGCCCAGCCAATGGAACGAGCAGGACAATAAATACGCCTAATCGATACATTCTGATAATTAAATATAAAAAAACATTAAAGTTTAGAAAAACTAAACTAATCTTCGAAGCGAAGTCACACAACCGACCGAGCCCAGAGCTGAGCGGCAACTAAGCTAAGCGATGAGCTGGGATTTTGTTAAACGCCTAACGAAGGAAAAGTAGACAATTTTTTTATATATTATACTCGTATATACAATGTACGAGATAAGTAATCGGCCTTTGCAGAAGTTAACATTCTATTTATTGAAATAGGGCTGGATATTACTTATAGACGTACAATTCAGGTTGTTTATTCGTTCAGTAGTAAATTTCAACAATTAATAAATGTCTTCAAGACGGATTATATGTTAAAATAAAAAGATTTTTTCATTTTAGTTTATTTATTTGCCATAACATTATTCGAGCCTGTGGCTCTCTATATTTCACTGATGAATGCATTCTTTTTTATACCATTGCATATCGTGAAATCAAATTGAAATGGGTAAATTCGAGTTATCAATTGTAATTAATTGATAACTGAAATTATACAATGATAAATGTGGCCTTTCAATTTAAGATATACATATATGTATGTACATATATTCAATATCAATATGGTGTACTAATTTGTATTATAGATACAATTATACAATTATTAAAGTTGTACCCAAGAGGGTACTAGTTTTGTGCGAATGTGTGTAACACACAGAAGGCGGCGTGGCAGACCACACAAAGTGTTTATAGTATATACTTGATCAGGATGACAATACGAGTCAGTATAGCCATGTCTGTACACTCATACAGAGGATCTCAGCAAGTATAAAAGCTAGAATAACCAACTTTGATATTCAGGTTCCCCTAAACCCTAGGCAGATCAAGCTTTTCTGATGCCCCACTTCCCCGCTGTTAGTGATTTTTCATATATCCTGTAAATCCGTTAGAGCTAATGTGTCCTCATCTAAAGGAAGGTTTAGACACAATATTTATGTAAATGTAGTATATTGACTTAATGTATGGTTTTTATTCAAAGTATTAAACAAAACAAATATTTATTTAATATGTAACTTATTTTTCTTTTTGTTGGACTGGCTACAGGGTTTTTAAGAGTTGAGCCCGCTTGACTATAGCATTCCTATCTTGTTCTGGTATTGGTGTCTGAACATTGTTAATACTCAATTAGCTTTAAAACTAATGATAAGAGCTACTATTCTCAATTACAATTTTAGATAATTACCTACCGCAATTAAAGACAGATAGATATTCAGTCGACCTTCTATATATGTACATATGTACTATATAGTTTGACTATGTATAATTCCAAGGCTATCAACACACAAACAGGCTCTCAACAAAAAGGCTCTCAAGCAATTAATTAGCCCAACAAATAATTAGCATTAATTAGGCCAACAAATAATTAAATGTTGATTTTCAAACAATTATGAAATATTTTGGCCTTTCTCTTCGTTCTGTACTATTTCTCTCTTGCACTCTCATTTGATCTGCCTATATACCTCAATTGCTCTTCGATCAGCTGTTCGTTCCAAAAGAGAATATTTGTTAAGGGGGATAAAGAGTGGATTGTAAGTTGTATTGAAAAAACAATGTAAACACACATGATATGTCAAATGGAAACAATTAATTATGAACCGGTTTAACACAAAATGCCAAAAATAAAACAATAAAGTGATATGCGATTATATTTAAGTGGATACGTTCTGGGCAGTCCCAACAAAGCTCCAACCACTGCCGCCTTTTACTCGCTCATTACTTGGCCAAGGTAAAAGAGCAGGTGAGTCATTAGTTCACTAATGGAAGTACCGATTGCTCCACTCGCTCGGAACGTGCGCGTCAATGAAAACCTTAATGAAAGTAATATATGTGCAAATGTTGGCGCCACATTCTGATTCGCGAGAGCAAACAATCAAACGCATTGGAGCTTTGGTGGCGTGCGGGTGTGCTCGTATTAAGTTAGAGTGTAGTGCTAGTGGTTGAATTGATAAAAATACAGATAATACAGAGCACATTTGTTTCGCAAGCGTGACGATGACGATGAGTATTTTCCCAAACTGTGATTTTACAGCCCAGGCGCAAGCCGTCTGCAGCATGTGGGAGGCGTTCAGCAGCAATCGGGAGGGGGACAACGGTACCTTGGAAGAGGCTCTCGGCGAGACTGGGAATAGCTCGGCCAATTGTTCTCAAAATATTCCCATTACACAAGCCATCGAGTTCTATTGGCCAATATCACCCCACACCTACTTTGGAGTCTGCACCGTAATCTCTCACGTGCTCGTCACGGGCATTACTATTGGCATTTCGCGCAAATGCTTTGAGATGAAATTGGCCAAAACCGCAGAGCATGCGTTCTACTGCACGCTTGCCGTAAGTATCTTGAAATTAGTCAGTTCCGAATAAAAACTAATAAGCTTCGCTATTGATTATCTCCTATGTAGTTTGTTTTTTGCATCACCGAGGCATTGTTGCTGCGCAACAGTCTGATTTTAAAGAAACTGCTTAGCCGTCTGGGCCAGGATATGCTGCATTCGGCATTGGGTTTGTTAGCGTTTGCTATCGGTATTGTAGGAGTGGGCGTTAAGACGTGGCAGAAGCGAAAGGTCCTGCGCGAAAATGAAAAGGCTTCAGTCCGTCATTTTCATAGCATGCACGCGCGCTTTGGTAACATACTCATATATAATATTGGCGTTATTGCTAATAAACATATATTTTTCCTACATAGGCCTCTTTGGATGCATTTTTCTGCTGCTTACCACAATTAGCGGACTGACCTTATACTTCTGGCCCGGACGTATGTTGAATATTGGCCATCGCACAGTGGCCTTACTCTCCTTCCTCTTGCTTATGATTTCACAAATGTATAGCTATAATACGGGCTTTGCTCGTCGCAATTGGACTGAGAAGACTGTTCGCCGATATAAACTTGCTACATTTATTGTCATCATTACAAGCATAAATTTTGAGCTTAGACACTGGGTGGTTGATGTTGTGGCGTTGATTCCAAAGGAATTTTTCGATAAAATACTATTAAAGACATAGCTACTAATTGTAAAATGAAAATAAAAATAGTTAACATTTATACCTTTATTTGATACGATTAGATACATAATGTTTTGATTATTTGTTACACGTTCATATACGATTAAGACAGATATAGTTATACACCTAAATTTTTAAAGACACTGCAAAAGGAATACTAATGTATTGGGAAATTAGCAAGTGGTGGTTGTTTTAGACCTGAACCACAAATATCAAATCAAACAATATAAGCATATGAATAAAGGGGTTTTTTTTTGCTTGGTTACCAAGCCCTACAACTATTGGTTTACATAATTAGAGTTCACAATTTTAATTGCGATTTGTTTGAGACGTGTGCATTATGTCCAATGCATGGGGTATGTTGCCGTCCACCGACTCCAAAAGCTGTGTCAACCAGGCGCCCTCATTGCTGAAACCCATGGCCATCATGGCATGTATGGACGCATTTATGCGGTCATCTGAAATATACGAATTTGTTATTATATTGCGTTTTAAACTTTTCGTCCTCTACACTTACCAGTGTGGTAGATGGGAAAGCTGTGTTTCTCCTCGGGCTCCGTCTGATTGGCTGTCGATGTCGATTGGCTGTTGGTGCCAATTGAAGTGGTCGATGTCGATGTACTGACCGTGTCCACTTGAGCCGTTTGGGTGTGTGCAGTGGTCTGCTCACGCTGTTGTTCTTCAGACATATGTTGTCGCAGCAGTTCGCCCAATTGGCTAAAGTCAGGCCCCGGTGGCACCGAGGCTACTGTGGACGCAGCACTAGTGTTGGCCGAATCCAAAGTGATCAAAGCATCAGGGGTGCGCGTATTGGCCGACGAAACAGTATTATCAATCATTTGCCAATCGTTGTCCAAGCTGTCTGAGCTACGACGTGGCACCGACGTCTCTTTCAGTGAAACAGCAGCCAGAGGTTCAACAAGCGATGCTTGTGAAGTCTGCAGCGAAGTTTCAGGCGTCGGTTGGACAGTTGGCTTCTGAATTGACTCCTCAATTGACTTCTTAATTGGCTCCTCAGTTGGCTTCTCGATTGGCTTTTCAGTTGGCAACTGAACAGGGGCTGTCTCTGGTTTTACACTAGCTTCTGTATTGTTGGAAGCTGTAGAGGCTGTCGAAGTCATCGAATTCGTTGTGTTGGTGCGTGTGGACAAATCGACTGCACCATCGGCCGGGTCCAACATTTTAGCAAACATTTCGCTGAAATTATTCAATATTTCAATGCCTGCACGCATATATTCGGGCGGCACCATTTGGGACAAGTTATCAAAGTTAATGACCGGTGTGGTTGGTGTCGTGGCACCCGAGGCTGAAGCTGAGTTCGAGGGTTGTGTTTGCTCTGCGACGCGAGGAGCGGCTATAGGCTGTTCAATTTTGGTGGTCGCGACGGGCTCTGCTGCCGGTGGCGGTGCTGATGGTTCATTGGCCGCAGTGGTTTCTTGAGCCCGTGGCTGAGCGGTCGTATTGTTGGACTCCGTGGCTGCTGTTGGCTGAGCAGCTTGGCCAGCAGTAGCTGCGCTCTCCGGCATGTTTTTCATCATTTCAACGAACTGCGAAAACATACCGCCATGGCGACGAACGTGTCGGCGTTCACGTCGGCTTTCTCTGTTGGTTTCACCACCAGTAGGGGCATCAGCCTGTCCAGCTGCTTCGGTTGCAGCCTCACCAAATGGACAGTGGCCCCTGAAGCGACGACTCGAACGACGATGAAATCCAAGTCCCGGTCCAGATAAATAGGCATCGATAAGCTTGGGACCATTATGAGTGGGCATGCGTACCATCAAGTGGTCCGGGTGCTTGTGTGCCGCCTCGCATCGCTGGCACAGATCAAAGTTGGGACATTGTACGCACTTGTAGCGAAAGCCAACCAGTGGCAGTACACCACAGGAGTCACACTCCACGTTATCGTGTATAACAAAGTTACTGGGATCGTCCGACGCCGCTGCGGCAGTGGGTGCAGCAGTGCTGGCACTCTCTGCCTTAGCCGTTACCGGTGGCTCGGGCGCTGCAGCGACCACGGGAGCGATATGCAAATGCATGTCCTTGAAGCTGTTATCATTCTTGGATAGGAAAATATCGTAGTCAATTTGATTGACGATTTCGATTTCATCATGATCCGAATCTGAGTGGGAGGAACAAGACATATATATGTAAATAGTTACTGATGAGTCATTTTTCTATATATCGAATGAACATTGTGATTCCTTTTGCCTTATCACAGCTGATAGGTAATAGATTAAATATATTATAATGAATCACCTTTGAACACTCGCCATATATAAATTTTATATATACTAAACGTTTATGTATGTATGTTTGTATATAATTGCACAATCTATTTAATACCAAAAACTAGTATGTATGTGCATGTAGACAGTATGTACACATCATTATTTTCAATGTGTGTGTGACATATGTACATACACACACCCTGAAAATTTGATATGCAAATTAACTGCATCGAATGATTTGCTTCTGCCTTGCAAACGCAAACATACATATGTATGTATGTACATATGATGCGTATACAGTAAATTGTATAAATTGTTTGCACTTACCAACCCAAAACGTCCTGATCTCGCACTGGGGCAACTGACGTTCTTGGAAGAGATTAAGTTCGATTTCACGACGCAAATAACCCAAATTACTTGAAGGCATACGTAGATACGCATTCATCTTCTTGGTTGGACCAGTAGCGCCGTGGTAGGTGATTTTTAATAGTTTCTCCGGATTCATTTCGTATTGTTTTTTTTATAGTTTTTAATTAGTTAATTTTTGCTTGTGCTTGTTTCCTTTATCTTTTCACAATGGTACACTGCTCGCTTCTGGTACTGCGTCGTTACTTGTTGTCTGAAGTGTTCGTCGTTCTATAAACACCAGCAATCGCCGCAACTTCGGCTTTTATACTAATTGCCTCGGGTATTGGTGTCGTGTTTATCGGCTCGGCACCTTCTTGAAACTTCTGCAGCAAATTTTGCAAATCACCGCTATTGCACCATTACTTCTCGGTATTAATAGTTCGAGTAGTACGCGGTCTCGGCGCTGATATGATATATATAGAAAAAATGAAGAGTAATGCCAAAGCTGGTCTTGGCCTGACGATGTCAAAACAAACTGCAATCGATATATCGATATTATAAACACTGTGAAACACTGCAAAAAGCTGTGATTTGCGTGACCATGTCGATGTTCATGCGATGACTTTTGTCAACCAAAAACTAAACACTGTGATTTCCAAATATTACCAGATATATCGATAATATAATCACACTATTCCTAGCCAACATAACTCATAACTGTATAAAACGAGTTATTAAAAGCACTCCAATAAATATAATAAAAGTAAATAATTAGTTCATCTAATAAATGAAAAAATAGCATAAGATGGTGGTTTCCTGCTATCCCACATATAACCTATTTTTTGTTTGTTTAAAAAGCATTCGTTAGGTAAACAAGATTGATCACAAATGTTAAGTTCATTCTTCTTCTCCCCGTTCTTCATTTTTATTCAGCAGCTTAGCAATTAAATCAAAATTAAATGTATTAACTTAGACGCGTCGCAGTATCTGCAGAAGCTGCAGAATTCGCGACTTTGTGCTGAAAAAAAATAAGAATTTTACTAATATTCATGCGTAAATAAATAAATCACACCGTGTGGAATTTGTAAGATATTCATTTCCGCCTTGTCCTTGTCTGCTCTCCACATCCTTCTTGGGTGCCGGTATATTAATTACCGGGGCTGCAAGGTTGCTAGACTCGGTCTGGTATACATGTGTGCCGTCCGTTGTTCCCTGCTGCTTAGATTTTTCCATTAGCAGGGCATTGTCTGTAAATGCAGGAGTAAAATATAATAAAAATTATGGAACGCCAATAAAATTGCAAAATCCAGCAAATAAAATATACAGCAAACACGGTTCCTAAGAGTGTAACTAAAATTTTAAGCTCGTACATTTTAGAAGAAATCATAGCATACTTTTAGTTGCAAATAATAATAAAGGGACGTCAATCGATTTTGTTTTTGTCGAAGAGTTATACTGTTTGCCGTTTTATCTTCAAAAAGCATTTTATAAGCATGATATTAAAATTTTAAATTATAACACTTTCCTCAGATATTATATTTACTTTTTAAAATGATCGTTCCGTTAATTGATTAAGATTTGAAATAAATTGATTGATATATCTCTATCAAGTAGGTAAAGTGGATTAGTATTATAAGTATTGCATGACTCCAGCGTCTAGAATTAACGATTACATTTCGGAGACTAGAAGAGCATCGCTCTATAACAAACATAATCTACGTAAACAGCTGTATGATAGGCAGAAGCTTTTGCATCTACATGGAAAGTAACTTTTCAATTTTATTTTATATACACGAATTGGAACTGAAGCTCTTATCATTGTTAGATCTGATTTGAATGATGTCCATCCTCTTTGTATTCCTTGTTAACCTTCAGAGAGTGGTTAATAACACTCGATGCTGGTTGCGGGCCACTTGGCAGATGGGGGTTGGAGCTTTCAGCATATGGTGGATAATACGGCACTGGATAGGGGTACGGCTGTGGAGGCATTCCGTTAAATGGCTGAGGGGGTGTTGGCGGGGCAGTCATGTACGGATAGCCTCCATAGTAATACGGTGGCGATATCGGGGTATAGGAATTGGGATAAGCAGGATATGCAGGCCGGTTGTATTTATCTTTATGATGTTTCCCCTGCCGATAATGATGGCTCTCTCCGCTTTCGCTGCCACTGCTAGCGCTGCTATCACTGTCGGCATATCCAAGATCGCAATATGCCCAAATAAGGACAGTTATAACAAAAAAACGTAGAAGCATGACGCTAATCCTCCTGGCTACGTGCACGTTTGAACTACTTGAGTTGAGGAACTGAACTAATTTAGCAGCATTCGATTAGTTAAACGAGCATACTAAACATATTTAAGACATTTTTTTAGCGCGTGTTGCAGAAAGGTCAGTGCTTTGATAAGCAAATCAAATCAAGCACAAAAATAAAATACATATACTCTTTGTTGGTGGGTTTCACCGGTATTACGCCGTAAAACTTAAGCACAAATTTGTTGTGTTAAGCATATGCATTTTAAACTAAGTAAATATTTTTTCACAGGTTCTATTGGTTATTTGTTTTGTGATTTTCACTTTAATGAACTACATTTTTCTTTAATATAACTTACTTATGTACTGCTCAGCTAAGACATCCAAAGAATAGGGATCGTCGAGCGTGGGAAACTCAATGAAAAATCCATCGAGTCTAACACGCAGGTTCTCCTCCCCCTTCTGCCGCTGATCGTAGTGTATTTGCTCCTCTTGGAAGCCATAGTCATTGTAGTCATCGTACAAGAACTCAAGTAGATCGGAACGGCGTGGGCTGATTTCTCCAGCTAGACGGGCTGGACGCATGGGCTTGGACACAGCCACATGGAATAAGACGATAAAGACAAACAGGCGATTGGTAAACTTACACATTTTAGCGAGACACGACTGGACAGGACCGTTGCGCTCTGAGAGCTTGCAACGAATGATACCAGAGTCCAAGTTCTAAGCTCTGCAGAGCCTGCATGAAAAAGAGATAAAATGGAAACCCGCTTGCCTGCCTGTTTGCCTGCCCAGCAGGCTCAGGCTAGAACAGTTCAATGCACCACAGCTATTGACCGAAGCTGCAAGACTTCCGCATTGTGATCGAGATGCTGGGAAATGTTCATTCAAGCTTCAGGCTGCTGATCAATCACAATTAGTTATGTGCATTTCTAATGCTTCCTTAAAGGAAATTGCTGCCACTTTACGGAAGCCATATAACAATGGTCGGGGTCACCAACCCATTCGTTTTTAGGATTTGTGCGCTAATTGTCGGGCAAACTAACCTAATAACCTAAATCTACAAGCGATCGCTGGAAAATGTAACTTTATGTCAACACAATCTGACCTGTAATGGCAAACACTTTGAGTTTGTTTATAGAAATTGTTAGCGCCGTCAATGGATTTGTTAGCTCAGGTGTGTGTTGTGTTGTCATCCATTAGGTTCAATGACCATAGGAGCTCGCAGTGCACTTTTCCCACAGGAGGAACTTGAAACCGCTTTTCAGTTTTTCGCATTTGTAATAAAAACTGGTTTCTACCTAATAGAAAATTGCTGGTTTTGCGGCAAATCGCGAGAATAGTTTGAAAAGTTGCTGAAACCCTGCGTTGTTAGTGACTTTTAAAAATCTCTTTCGCTCGTTCCAGTAAAAAATATTTCCCAAAACACTCCAAGTACAGAAATATAAGTCTAAGTATTTTTCTTACAACCCACCTTCTTACATTCATACCTAATTTTAAAATTCTACATCTGTTTACATTCAAAATTAGTTTTAAAATTCTATAAGAGTTCTCAATAGTGCAAAAATGATTGAAGAATACAAGTTAGCGAGATTCTTACAGTGTATTCCACATTGCGTTATACTTTTTAAGTTTAGTTAAGAATCTATATTCTCTTCAGTGTATCAGAGGTTGCTTTATTCGATTTAGATCAGAAATAATAGCGTGCCATAAGCTCGGAAAAACAGTTTAAGCTGCAGCACTTCTTATGCTCATTGTTCCAATATAATAGTTTTAAATCGGCTTTGACAGATTATACGACGCGAATTCCACATAACGATAAGTACGAGTATATATCGAAGAAATTTAAATTGAGCTATGGATATACAAATGTATAATGAGGATATCAGAGTTTGCTTCATTGGATAATCCTGAAATACTTTCAGACTTCCCCCTTTTATGCATACATTTTCTTCCTTGCGATCATTAATTTTTCAACGCTCTCTAAGAATTCTCAATCGTGCATGACTGTTTGTATAACCCTCGTGGCTATAAAAAGAATACAAGCCAGTTATTATTTGCCTTTATTTTCCATCCCCCAGCTGGGCTCGCCCCCCGCTCGGTCCGACAAGCACATATCCTTCAATGGAGCGGCGAGCCACTTCCGCTATAGACAGACGCTATTAATTTACATGATGATGCGCATGATTTTCAAATTAAATTATTCGTATTTTTATTTGAATTTGTGTCATTGTTGCTATAAAAAATTAAGTCTAAATAGTATGTATGTTTGTTTGTATGTATGCATGTATTGTGTGCTAAAACTTAGATTTACGCTTTCATTTAGCAGTCTGGGGACTCTCATGCTCAATAGCCTTCGATCTGGCGGCAGTCGCCGTAGCTATCGCGTCGCTGTCCGGGAGCGCAGCGCGCCAATTCACGGATCAAGGCCTCGTGCGATGAGGGGGAGGCTTGGGAGTGGGAGGCATCCGCCAAGAGGTCGAAGGTGAAGCGCTTGGGCTGTGTGGGCGTCGGTTCCTCGTCTAACTGCCAGTTGCGGTCTTGGAAGTATGTGGGCACATCGATGGGTGGGTACAAGGCATTGGCCTCGGCGTTCAGATCTGCCCGATAGAGCGGCACAGCAATGGTCAGCTCCTGACGGCGCTTCTTAAGCTGAGGACGCTCCTCACTGCTCAGTCGATTGGTGTCCAAGTAGCTGTTGCCAAGCAGGGCGCGTGAATTCCGATAGTAGTGGGCGCCCGGCTGCTGCTGATAGCCTTCGAGTAGGCTGGAAGCTGGTGGAGCTGCTGCGGATCCTGCAGTGGAGGTGGCCTCCGCAGGGGGTAGCGCCTGTATGAGCGTAGGCTCGGCATCCAGATGAAAGGGTTTGATGAGCTGTGGGAAGTATGGAGGCGGCAGCACCTCCACCTGCTGACGCTCATCGTCGCTGGCCGAGATGTCCACATGATAGGGAGTGCGTCCCTCGATGAACTCCGGCAGGCTGACCATCGGCGCCTGCTGACTTTCGCCCGCCGTTCCCATTATAGCCAATTGTGGCGTCTGGCCGTAGCCACGAGCTCGCTCCGCCTGCTGCTGCTGAAGTCTTTGTTGTTGCTGTTGCTGCTGCTGATAGAAGGATTTGATGGGCGAACCTTTGAGGCCATGGCGTGAGGCGAAATGCTTGCGTTTGGATTTGCTGGCGTGTGAGGCAGATTTGGTGAGGAGATCCAGCAAGCTGAGTCCCTCCTGTGGACCCGGCGGTATGAGCACAATCATAAAGTTCTCCAAATCGGCGCGAATATTGTACTGCCCCTCCTGTCGCTGATCATAGGTGACAGTCCTTCGGCTCAACGCATTCTCCAGCTCGCCCAGCGGCAACAAATTGTCGTCCTCCTTTATGGGAATGGGCTGCGGCTGAGGCTGTTGTTGGGGCAGCAGTGTGGTGGAAATCAACATCGTCTCACTGCTGATAGGCGGCTCAGTCGTGGACGTGGCCGTAGGTGTGGGCGTTAGCGTTGAACTGCTGCTCGCTACATCTTCGCGGGATAAATAGGGCGACGTCGACGTTGCCGACGATATCGTCGTCAACAGCAGCGAACCCAAAACTAACAATGACAACATTTCCGGAACTCGAAACTCGGAATCTCTAAACTGCTCTTCTCGCTCTGGTTGCGCGTTTCGTTCTTAACACACGCGCCTCAGAATCGTTACTGCGAGTTGCGTGCCTAGCCAGCTTAAGTTAACACCTTTGCTTTGGACAGGTAAGCAGAGAGACAGGTAAGCAGGCCGGCAGGCAGGAAGGCTAGCAGCGGCGACTCAGACGCAACTTTCATATTTGCTGTGAGTCTCTTTGCTGAAGATTCTATACGGCGGCTGCAGCCACAACTTGTCACAGTGGGGCTTCTTCACAATTTTGCTTCAAAGACAACTCTAATCTTAACAACCTGTGCTGAAAAAACAGTTCTAATTTCCCAAATTTCGATTTGACACGAAACTATTTAAATATTTTTGCAATAAATATGAAAAAATTTAGTCAAATTTCATTATCAATATATCTATCGTCACTTAAAATACATATCTTATATTGGAAAAAATATAATTTAATTTTTTCAATGCAAACGTTTTACAATTCAAAAATAAAACCAAAATTTGTCTTTTATGAAGGCTTTCCTTATAAAAGACACTCAGTCAAATACCCCAAAAATCATTTTCAACATTGTACTTAAAACATAACGACAAAATAAATAAATAATTTAATTTTTGTTAAAAGAATGTTTGTATGTTCACATCTTAAAAATGCCACACTTCAAAAATAATTTAAGTGACTAAAAAGTAATTTTCAACAGGACTTAAAAAGGAACGAAAGAACAAAAAAATATTGAAATATATTTTAAATTTTCCTATTGCTAACACTTTATTTCCAGTGTGCATTGACGACCTGTTGCTGCTGCTGCAGCTTTCTTCTGCCTCTTCCTCTGCCTCTGTTCGGTTCAGATCGCCCTTCTCTCTGCTTGCTAGCTGTCGACGCCGACTAGCTTGAGCTTAATTCATATTTCGCTTGCGTTGTTGTTGTTGCCTTTTGTTTACTCTTTTTTTTTTTGTTTTTATGCCGTGCCCATTTCGGATGCGTGACTTGCGTTCAATTGTATTGTTGTTGTTGCTGCTGTTGTTATTGTGCCAATAAGAACGCCACTGTTCGCTGATATTGGTCAGCCGTTAGGTTCTCACAGCGCACAGTGGTCTGTGTTTACGATTTACACGGCAATTAGTTGGTAATGAGGAAGCAGTTTTCTTAATGGCTCGGGCACGTACTCGAATTGTAGGCGTGGCTAATAACATAATGGCTGGACGCGAGCCATTATTAGGCATCATCTATAAATGCTAGAGACAAAGCCATGTAGAGTTCAGCTTCAATGAGTCCGATTAAACACCATTTTCCATTTCCTGAACTTTCTGTCTTAAGCAAATTTGGAAGTTTACATATTGATTTAGACAAATATATGTGAAGTAATTAATAATTTCCCCCAACCGCTATCAATCTTATGAATTCTTTCCAAATAACAACATGTGCTGCTTTTTGCAGTTAATAAGAATGTTCAAAATGTTGCTGTGTTCAAAATGTTCCTGCTGCTGATCTTTAATTTAGATATTAGGTCATCGGCTTGATAAAGTTGAAAAAAGGTTGCAACTGATCCCCAGCTTTAGTGTTATCAAAGCTGTGGATCAGAAAATGAATAATTTGCAGATTGGTAGACTCGTGTATACCCTGCAGGTTTAAAAAATACATATACGAGTATGTGTTGTGTAAACACACCTATATTTTGTAGTCCACTTATGAACTTTAGGATGTGGTAAGGCAATTAAGAAACTAATCAATAAATAAACGTTACGTTATCGTAATACGTACACCAACAGTTGTTGGTACTAACTGGAGTTTTATCTACGATTGCTCCTATGACACCTATTAATTGTGATTTTTTTTACCGACCGTTTCTAAGGTTTCTCTGCGTATGGATTAGAAGAGTCCACATTCTATTGACACTACAGTCTATTTAATTTGGTTTGCTTAGCTGTTATGGTTAAAAAAATCGAGTTGCTCATACAGACAATCCTATAGACATGTCTATATCGATTCGTCTATAACTCTTTCGTTATAGGGCAAAGAAACACACGAAACATATTGGAATTTGCTGTTCTCATGGCTTTTTTATTATTATTTTGAATTGTCTTTTACACAAAGTGGGGGAGCGAGCAAAATACATACAAGTATGCACACGATTTTTATACATACATATGTAGGTATATTCATAATAAGCAGGCCGTTTGTAGCAATTGAATAAATGGGCTTGCTTGTTTATATATGTAAAATATAAATTATGACAATAAAATTAAATAATCAGAGGTGTTCTCGGTTATATTTAAAAGTTTTTTACGGTCTTTTCTTAATTTTCCCAGTAAATTAAACTAAATACTTGAACAAATGAATTGCAATGAGTATACACATAAACTATAAATAGCACAAATAGAATATTCGATTATGTCTAGATAAGATTAAAAAGCTATACGAACAGTGGGCTTAGGGGTACAACAATACATTTGGTGATATGGGTGAAGTGGAGAGGAAGCTGTTTAGGAAGAAGGTGTCTGATTCTAAGTCTTGGATTTTGCACGTTGTGGGTAATATAAAATCTCAAGTCTTATTATATCTACATAAACATAAACATAAAATTTGTATAGAATTGTACACTGGCTTCGTTTAGGAGTTTCCGTTTAGATTTCCCCGAGTGTTTTTGGAACCTATAAATATACTTTTTGCTATCAATTTCTTAAATGTTTTATCAATAAAAATAATACTATTTACTGAGTTTTGTAATACTTTTTGCAACAAATCTCATAGGAGTTCAATACAAGTTCCAAACTACACAGCGGAAAAAATACAAATGTAAAATACAAGACATATAACTGAAGAATATCCTGATCTATTGTTCAGCTAACCTAGATATAAACTTACGAATTGTTTTGACTAAAACCAGCCTCAATTTAAAACGATAAAGAAGGAAACACATACGCACAGAATATTTGAAAAGGAGTAGAAACTGACTGAATGCAACAACCAGAAGCCCTAAAGCCAGCGCCTAATATATGCAAACATCCATGTCCCCGACTATTCCTGCTTCAGCAAGTCGGCCTTTGGATTTAGCTTGTCCTGCTCCTTCTCCAGCGTTGGCACCCGTTTGTGCACCGTAAAGCAGATGCGATTGAAGTGATCACACATCTGATTGACCACACTGGCTCCGTAATGCCAATGGGTAAGGGTTGTCACAACGAGCAGCGTGTAGAGCAGCGGACGCTCCAGTATGGGCAGCCATAGACTTAGGATTAGGGACAATGCGAACATGGGTGTCTGCCAATGCCAGGCCTCGCTGCGCGTGCTGGACATTTGAGCAACAATAAGGCGACACTGCAAACGACGGAAACGAAAATAAAAACAAATTAGCAATCATTAGCCAGCTGGTAAACAAATTTATATTCATTTGCTCGTGGGTTTGTGTGTGTGGGAGCTGACTTCAATCTATTAACGGCTTGCAAATCTAATTAACAGCGCGACTGTTAATATTTTTAATCGTTCTAATCTTTAACGCGAGAGTGGGTTATTCTTCTTATCGGTCTGCATTACTTTAATGGCCGGATCCATCTCACGCGGAAAAACAAACACGCCCCGATCCTTGCGCAAATAGCGATACGCCCGGTGCTGATACCAGCCGTAGATTTGATTCTCTGTCACCGGTAATGGAGTGGGGCGCTTCGGCACATTAACCACACCATCCAAGCGTTCCTCCTGATTGAGGCCCTCCTTGTCAAACACCTCTCGTATGTGCTGCACATCCTCCTTTTTGCAATGGAAGTACGGCCAATCGTGACGCGCATAGAACTTGAGTGCCAACGGCTGCACATACTCGGCGGGCGATAGCATATAATTCTTAATGGCCTTCGCGCCCTCCGGATCGCAGTCCATCAATTGTTTGCGTTTCTTCTCGCGCTCAACCCTCAAATCATCGGCACAAGTGCGGCCGCCACAGCACCCGGGCATTTTGGATTTTTATTTTTATATGTTTCTGTTTTCTCAGTACAATTTTAATGAGTTAAGTCTGGAATCGTATTTGGTAACAAGTCTGTTTGTTAAGGTAAAAGCTCTGCCAACTGTGCTGACAGAACAGATATTTATCGCTAGTGCCGAAATTTTTTGATTTACTTTTGGGGGAGTTGACTTCAATCTTATTTTAAAACATTTACAATAACATCTACATGTACTAATATTTAGGTCTGTTCCCGTTTTCTTATACTTTTGAATGCAGGAACCCCATCAAGATTAGTTCCAACCATTTTAAAAATGTTTCGGTTGCAATAGAATAATTATGTAGCTATAAATTTGAAGCTCTTTAGTAAAACAGAAGAGTATGCGAAATTAGAGAGCTTAACTTTTATAGTTATAGTTTGATAAGCTATTTCTAGTGTTTTTATAGCCTGTACCCAAAGGGTGAAAGGCTATACTAGTTTTGTGCGCATGTATGTAACACACAGAAGGAGGCGTGGCAGACCCCACAAAGTATATATATTCTTGATCAGGATGAGAAGCCGAGTCGATATAGCCTTGTCCGTCCGTCCGTCTGTCCGTCTGTCCGTCTGTCCGTCTGTCCGTATGAACGCAAGGATCTCAGAAAGTATAAGAGCTAGAATAACCAAATTTGGTTTCCATATTCTCCTAAGACCGAGAAAGTACGAGTTTGAGTTTTTTTTCGATGCACCCCCCCACTCCCCCGCAATTCGTGTTTTTTCTTATAACTTCCGTAATTCTCGGAATTTTGAAATCAATTTTGGTAGGTACATCCAGTTAGTACTAATGTGTCCGTGTGCCAAATTTCATCATGATAGGTCAATTCTGAAGAAAGTTATAGCCATAAGTAAAATCGCTGCTCATGCGCTGCCTCTGTCGGCAGCGCTGCCCGCAGCTGTTGTTGTTGTTGCTGCTTTGGTTCAACTTTGTGCTGCATACATACACGCATATAAACACGCATAGGTACGTGATGTAAATGTATGCTGTTAAAACTAAACATAAACATATATTCTAATTTAATTTAATTAATTAATTCATTAATTTTTTTTAATAATTTAATTTTTTTTTAAATTTTTTTTTTTTAATTTTTCTTTTTTTGTGGAGAGTACAGGCTATTTTACTGTCGGGCTTGCTCGACTGTAGCGTTCTATCTTGTTTTTTTTGAATTGCTTACCACCATGAATTGGCAGTACCATTTGGTGTAATAAACTAAATATTCTAAAATGGTACAACTTCTGAAAATTAAAGGAGCGTAGATCCAATGGACCAAATAATATCAATACTCATAGCAATAAAAATAGTTCTGACTCAGACTATAAAACACGCGACGTAAACTTTTCCCACTGACTCATTGTGGCGAGGGACGATAACAAAACTATGGCAAATGACGAATTACATATAAGCATGCCGATAAGGGTCGCTAACAGGTGTTAGGAAGTTTATGTCGCTAATGAAACTTACGCTGACGTTGGAGAAGACGGTACCGCTTAGCATGAAAATGGCCCGTGGATCTGTTTCCATAATATCATTTGGAGACATAAAGGGCCACAGCAGCAATATGACAAAATACGTTAAGAATGGCCAAAGTGGACGTATGGCCTCTCCCAAAGATAGCATACGACCTGTGCGATGTGCGTAGGAACTGTGAAGATATTATAATTATGCTTAGTAGCTGCTAACATGGATTTATTATATTCACTTACTTGTATACGTTGAGGACTACGAGCGGTAGATTGGCCATTGCGCTGACATGGAGCACTGCCTCCATAACGTTTCCCAATGGTATTGTGCCCAGGAAACCAAAAGACAACTCAGATTTCCAGCGTTCGAAGCCGAACAACCATGTAAAACCATACATAGCCGTGCTGCCCCACATGCTGAGGTCATACCCCCAGGGCAAGTACAACACACCGGTGTTGTACTTCTCCCAGTGGGACACGAAGAAATTGAAATAGACCGTCAAACATACATAGTACATTCGCATCGGACGCACAGAATAGATCTGGCTCCGCCCGAATATACTATATAAACATGTGGGGATCAGCATAGCTGTGTACGAGTCTAGGCCATGGTCGAAAAGCTCGCCCAATGGACCCGAGAGGCCAATTCGCCGTGCCTGTTTTCCATCGATACCATCCAGTGTGTAGGCTATGAAAATATTAAGCGCTGTGCAAAGCCAAACCCAAGACGGTATCGGTGTAGTGTCCTCCGCTCCAGAGCTGGCATTAAAATTCCAATCGTAATAGGAGAGCAGCACCAAATTCATAGCACTGAAGAGGAAGCCGAGGAAGGTCATCAAATTTGGCGCAAACCATCGCGGAAAGAACTGTGAGCGGTAGAGAGTGAGAGAAGAGAGAGAGAGCGCGGAAACGGAAATATATATTAAATGGGTGGCCGGGTGTTAATTTTAGTATTGATTTTTATGCTGCGCTGCTGTTGATTTTACTCACCTCGACTAACCAATTCCAGAACGGATGCATAACATATTTGCTTAACGGCGAAGTGTCAATGGCACTATACTGAAAAGCGAAGGCAAAAAACCAGAATAATAACAATATCGTTTTTAAAGTCGTTCCGCTGCTTGCATCCCACACTCAACTTACCTTGTAATTGTCGAAGCCATTGATTTGTTCTCTCGTCAGGTATTTGTAATTGAGCAATTGTCGCATTAACTGATGCATTGTCGGAAACTGCTTTGGGTACTTGAGTCCCTATAAATAATTAGAATGTATGGGAGGAGGGGAGGGGAACACGCGCCAGCAGTCGACAGGAGAGTTTTGCAGATAGCAGCGAGAAACGGCACGTTACTCTTCCCAAATTGTATATCAACACATTTTGTTTTACTTTACATTAAACAATAATTAATTGATTTTTGTATTTTCTATGTATTTTATTTAGTCTAGAAACTGTGTCTTTTCCTCACTCTGCCGCCTCTGCCGGCTGCTTCAATGCGTCGCGTGTTCTTTTTTAAACACACACATATACATAAACACCGACTCACATACACATACCGCCCAGGTACAGCTACAGCTGGCTTAGGGGTTGTTTTGCAACACACTTTGTAAATGTTTATGTACAACTACTTCACTAATTTATTGACACATTTTAATAGAAACAGTTATTCTCCAATTAACTAAAATTATAACATCAATTGAGTCAATGTGCAGCTTTTAAGGCAGGCAGCTCGGTTCATTAATTAATACACCATTCAAAAGTGGCCGTTGCCATCTAATTTAAAGTTCTCTGACAGCGATGCCACATTAATGGAAAGTACAACAGGTATGCTGGGTTGTACAATACTGCAGTAAGCATCGATACTTGCTAGCGCGGGAAAATACAAAACGCAAAAGCTTTAAGTTAAATGGGTATTATTTATTGTAGGACGTTTTAGTAATTCACATTGTGTTAACAAATCACATTGCATACGAAACATAATGATGTACGGATAACAAAACATGTCAAATTAACTACTGATATAACAAAATGTGCCAAAAATAAACTGTAACACAAATGGAGTTACAAATAATGCCGCCGTCTTGCGGACGAGTATGTTCCTACAACATAAGCTCACTAACAAACGTTTAGTTGGTTTTCTTTAAAATCTTTTTACGTATATTGCCTGGACAACCGCTGGGTCCAAGTAAGTGTATCTTCCAACCACCATCAAGAGGTAGATGAACATCGTCGTGACAAAGTGGACAGCGCGCGGCTCCAGTTTTTAATTCTGCAACAAAAATTCATCGCTTTAGTTGTTATATTATGATAGATTTTTCAAGGGCTTACCTCGACAATAGTCCTCCATTTGATGCAGCTCGTATAGCTGCTTGTGCACGGACTCAGTGCATCGAACGCAGACGACATAACTTTCCTTGGCGTCGCATTCGGCTGTGGAAATCGTTTTACGTTTTAAAAATTTTATGATAATTTTTAAAATTTTAACTTACTAGTTAAATGGTAATTGAGTGCAGCCACCTCCAGGACTTGGCTGCATTGCGGGCACTTTGTGAGAAAGGGACACGCCTTCCAATAGTGACGATCCAGCTGGGTAGGATCACCGCCTGCACAGCTCCAGTCGCAAAAAGGACAGCGTCTAGGGAGATATGAGTGTTTGTGCGATTAATACGACATTTAAACTACAAGTAGTAAAGTACTTACATCTTTGGTGTTGTTTCCTCTGTGGACTCCGAGTTAGATGCCGAACCCTTACGCGAGTTGCTGGCAGATAACATGGAACGCTTCAGTTGTTCATTATACTGCTGCTTGCCATTGCATGTGTTTGCGCCGCTCACATAACCATTGCTGGTGCTGGCCACATTGCCCAGCGCCTGTCCACTCTTGCTTTTCAGCAGTCGCGACGAGTCGGCAGGCCCAGCCTTTCCAGGGCCCAGCTGCAGAAATTCATTGGCATTCCGATTAGATGGTGGTGTGGCTGCATCGCTGGAATTATATTTATTGCCCTCCAACAGCTCCTGCTTGCGTTCCAGGTCGAGCTTATCGAATTCGGTGAAAAGCTGGCGATACAGCAGATTGCGACGTGTGATGTCATCGTCTGGCGGCAGCTGCTTGCGCACCAGCCGGGGATTCACTTTGTAGACCAATAGCAGAATCCGCTCGGCCACTTTACGCACTGGCTCTGCGGGATGATGAATGCCCGAACATCCACACTCCGACAAGGCGCGACAGGTCAAGCCGCTGTGCTTGTCTGTGCTAATGCCCTGACTAAGCACCAGTTGCTCCAACATTTGCATGCGACTCAGCGCCAGCCGCGGGTGTGTGCCTGATCCCACGCTGCGTGACAACGCCGGTGCCACCAAATGCTGTTCCGCCACCTCTGGGCAAGCTGCACAGCTCAGTATGGTGTGCTGGGCAAGAGTGTGCACGCGGGCCGAAGGATCGCCCGACTTGGCCAACAGCTCCGGCAACAAACGATCCACACATCGTGCCACTTCACTGGGTGACACGCGACCTGGCACGTATTCGAGGAACAGAACACGCACAGTTTCAGTGGCCTGATTGAAAACTGAAAAGACGGCATCCCGAACAGCACGATGTAGCAAAAGAGCTGCGCTACGAGCCACTTTATTTGGACTGGCTGCGTGCTCATTGCTTGCGGCAGCTACCAATTCCTGCTCCTTGAGAAAGTTGCGCAGCCTCATCAGACCGTCCTCGCGATCTTGAAACTGTCGCGAGTAAAATTGTTCCACCTGCAAGGTATAGAACTAAAATTAAGGTTTCTAACCACCTCTGGAGAACCACTTACCAATTCACTGCCAAACACAAGAATTGGCAATGCTGCTTGGCGTCGCTCGCGCTCATTTAGCCTTGAGCGACCACGATTTGGATCAGCATCGAGGAGCGCGTTACCCTGACACTCCCTTAAAAATTCATTAGTATTTGAACTTAAGAGTTTGATTGAACGAAACGACAACAACGTTTACGTGTACGGGTTATGGCACGAGAAATAGAAAAGTATTACGGAGATCAACCAAAGATATAAAAACATTAAGCTATTAAGGTTACATCTACACCTAAATCCATACACAGTCGAACTTCCGTAACCATTTTCGAATTCAACCAAATTATGTGGAATGGAGATTAGAAATGTTATTAAATTTCAAAAGATTAATCTTGGATCTAATGTTTAACTCCCTATAGTTACATATGTATGTGAAATAATAGTCCGATTTTGTTTAAACTCTAGTCTATGTTGTAAAATAACTTAATGCCAAATTGGGCTTTAAAAACTAATAAGTTAATGGAAAATCGGTCGATCGTTTCTATGGCAACTAAAGATTATAGACTGGCAAATCACTCAAAACGCAAAAAAACTCCTTGGGTATACAAAAATTAATTAAAATTTTAAAAAAGTCCACTACTTATATGCACAAATTAGCTGAATGAGGAAGTTCGACTTCGGCTACAAAAACAAAATAGTATTGATCCACACCACATGCGATGCCATGCAAGAGGTATTGAGTTTTTCTTTAGTAACAGCTACTAGACACCAATTCTAGACTCAATCACAACTTACTGCCTTAGCGTGGGAATGGCACGCTCTTCGTAATCCTCGTAGGAATTGCGTGGCGCGCTCTTGTTGCGACGCCTTAAAGAGCCCTGTCGGCTGGACATTGGGGAGCTATGGCGCGATGGCATGCGTGGCGATTGTGGCAGCTCGTCATGTGATTTGCGCCAACAGGAGGGCGTGGCATGCAGAGCCGCCGCCGGTGAGGCCTCCACACTGGCTTGGCCCAACGAACCATCCGTTGAGGATTTGTCACCCTCCGTGGTGGTGGTTGTGGCGTTGCTCTTAGGACTCATGGCCGCTTCGGCCAATGCATGCGCCACATCCTGCAAACTGGGTGCAATGGGAAGCGTCGGCTTGCAGGCATACACCTCACAGCTTTGATCATTGCTAGTGTCCGGTCCTTGCGTCTCAAGCAGGTGTTGCACCTGTAATTGCTTCAGCACCGACTCCCTATACATTTCCATCTGCTCCTTTCGCAGTCGAGCCGTAGTAAAATCTTCTTGTTGCACGGCCTGGCGTTTTGCCAGCGCATAGCGACCCAACCGCTCGCCCGCCGTTCGCAGAGCAGTCATGCAGAGCTTCAGTTTCCGAGCATACTCAAAGCGTTCGGCACTGACAGCCTGCGCTTTTCGCTGTTCCAACTCCCGTATGTACTGCACAATGGAGTCCTCGACATACATGGAAAAGAGCAGATCATCACATATGGATGCCAGCGCCAGTTCACCTGTGGCCGTGTCCAACGGTGGACCTTCGTTGCTCAGTTGCTGATCCTCCCCGTTGCCATTGTTATTATTAAGCGCCGTCTGCTCCAAATCCCCACCCAGCACATTGACTGCTAACAAAGCAATTTGTTCGCTGCTATTGAACTCATTGGGCTGGGCACCGATCAGGCGCAGCTTCAAATGCGTGCCTCGACGTGGACTGACGGTAACGCTCTGTAATTCCCGGGATTTAAAATTTGTGCTCGAATTATCGGAGAGCGCAACAAAGCCAAGAAAGTCAAAGTATTGGGAGGATGGTGTGCTAGGCATCGACTTAGGTGCATAATGCAGCCAAAGTTCAACCTTTTCGGCTGCGGAAAATTCGAATTATTAGAGATATTCTCACATTGCTTTTCTTAACTTACGTATAAGATACTGGTGGGCTAAAAGTTGAATTCGATAAATTTTGGCCGGTTGGTGAAAACGCATTATGATGTCGTGTGTCTTTAACGAACAATCCGCTGCACTGCGCCAACCGTGCACAGTCGGTCCATGTGTATTTAACTCGCTCGCCGGATAATTGGGATCCTCGTCTGACAATAAAATAATAGTACACAAATAAGGTGAATATATGTATGCATACACATCTTAGAAAAAATCAGATATCAAATGTGGGCTTTGTTTATCAATTACTTTACGGGTAGTTCGACATTCGGCAGCTTAATATTGTATTAAAAACAATTTTCATATATATTAACAACATTATGGTTACATTTAATAACGGCACTCAACTATTTTGAATTTTACAATTGAAGATGGCAGCACTATGTAGCCACAATTCAAACAATATGGCTGCACCACGCAACACCATATGACGTCACATGACGAGAACAACGAATAACGAAATGCTATGCCTTCTAGTTTCTTTGTACCATGATTTTTGTTTACATATGTGTTGTGTATCGGTGTGGGGAAAGGGGGAATAACGCAACAGCTGTTCCGATGGCGCAGCAACACGTCATGCATGTAAAATGCTTGCTTTGAAAAAAATATATATATTTGAAAACAAAGTATAAAGTTACATTGCTGATAAAACTAATCTAAGTGCTTTTATTTTGTATTTACATTTTTCATTCTTCAGCTACTAGTTTTGTTAAACTAAGTTGGCAACACTTCAAGCGTCTAAGGCGCATTGTGTTTGTGTCTTCTTGGCTCATTCGAGTGAGTGCTGCTTTTAGTTAGTTTAGTTGTTCTTTAAAGCGCGTAACACCAGCACGAGTATTGTGCAAATAACTTAATAACATTGACTTAAAAAATGTCGCAGGCCAATAATAGCTCATTGTCGCTGTCTGTGCAGCAATTGCTGAACAGCATCAACCACCTGCTCATATTTTTGGTGGCCTGCTTCTTTTTTGTGTTGGCGCGTAGTCTGGATTTCAAGGATACGGCTATGCATATGTTTATGGTCGGCATCGGTGTGAGTAGATAAGATTAGATCTGATTGCAAATTGATACAATATGTTATGCATTATGTGTGCTTATCAGCATATTTATTTATAATAATGTATGTATATATTTGGACTTAACAGTTCCACGTACTTGTGGCCGAGGCGCTGATGTCACATTATAAATTGAATCCTATAACACGTTTTTTGTCGCATCGCAATAAATCGCGATATCACGGCATTCTGCAGTTGCTGGGTGGTTCGATGGTCTTGTTGGGCTCGTTGGGCAAAATCTCACAAAAGGAGCAGCACTTTACCACTTGGCATGGCAAAATAGGTGCGTGGGGGCATAAACTTTACGGCCGATTAAACCTTAACCTGTTCTACTATATTTAATGTGCATAAATGCTTTTCAGGTCTGGCTGCCACTTTTGGCTGTGCTGCCAGCGTGCTAGGCGGTATCTTGAATTTCCTACAACCAAAGTTTATTCTGAAAGTCTTTCCCCCTTCGGAGTTACGCTTTCGGCATAATTTGTTTGGTCTGCTCACCTTTACACTGGGCATGGCAGCTATCTACTTGGGATACTACTCTAAGTTCTTCACCCGCTTTGTCGACCATCAATTTATACCTGCCATGATGCTTGTCACTGTACTTGTCTATTTGTTGACCATAATTGCGCCGGTACGTTCGCTTTTAAGCAAGCTTAAGTATAGGCGGCAAAAGCAAAACCACCAGCAGGAAACGGCAGCTAAATAAAATTCTACCTCAAGGCTGAGTTAAGAGGATACGAACTGAGTTGAAGGTGCAATATAATAAAAACTGGCCGCCAAGTACAAACTTACTGTAAAGAAAGAAACCAATTTAAGTTGATAAATTCTTATGCTTGGCGTTGTGCCAAGAAATCTGTGACTGCATCTAAATTTGTATACAGTCATTGTGCCATACGAAGTAGTGCAGACAATAAAAGCATTCTTATTATTACAATGGCCATTTGTCAAAATTATAATGATAAACTAAGTCAGTGTCAGCCTAAAGAATGGAGAATGCTGCTTGCAGTTATTTAAAGGTGGTATGCGCATTTTATTGTCCTAAATATGTGTAGATAATACAAAACTAAAATTACTTCTTACAACTATACACATGTACATATGTATGTATATTTTTTTATGTATATGTATGTAAATACAACACTGAATATAAACCCCCTGAGATTTACCTACGCAATTATATCGTAATAAAAAACTAAAGGGACCGTTCCGAGCATTGCACTGCATACTAGGCGTATGCGTACTTTATCGATTTCTCAAGTGCAATTTAGAAAACCCAAAGAGGTTGTGGGTGCAGCACTAAGCCTTCAAAACAACAACAGCAACTAAAATAAAAGCAAATTAAACATAAAACAACACATCAATTTGATCAAATAGGGAAGTTAATGTGTTTACTCTGTTTGTTTGTTCACATGGATGAATATAAAAGTTATGTTTACCTGATGCAAATACCACATTAAATGGTATTTTTTTGGCCATTGCACTGAGAAACGTTAGACAGCAGCACAAGCACGACTACATTGACAATTCTTAAAAAATAGTTTGCAAAACAACCGCGCGCTTCAAAAATCAAAGTTAAAATAAAACTGTGCGTTTCAAATGTGCGAGTCCGGTGATTTCGGACGACAGCGACTGCATCGGTCCAGTGCTGTGTAACATTCAAACTCCCAACAGCTGGTTGCGTGATTACAGTGCTGTGAAATTCAATTGCATCAAAAGGAAAAATTAAGGAACTTTATAAAATGACAACAAATGCTCATAAATACAGCATTTTGCTGCCCACGTACAACGAAAAGGATAATTTGCCGATTATAATATGGCTAATAGTGAAATACATGAAGGCCAGGTGCGTATGGTGGTGCTTTGAGGGAAAACATGTTTAAACTTTTGTCTTTCTAGTGGCTATGACTATGAAATAATTGTTATTGATGACGGCAGCCCAGATGGCACCCTGGACGTGGCTAAGGATCTGCAAAATATCTACGGAGAGGAACGGATTGTGTTACGTCCTAGGGCGGCCAAGTTGGGCCTGGGCACGGCCTACATACACGGCATAAAACATGCCACCGGCAACTTTATTATTATCATCGATGCCGACTTGAGTCATCATGTGAGAGCGCCTAAAAATATTCTTGTGGCTTAATACTGACGTGTTCGATTTCTGCAGCCTAAATTCATTCCGGAGTTCATAAAGCTGCAGCAGAAGGCTGACTATGATATTGTGTCGGGTACGCGGTACGCAGGAACTGGCGGGGTCTATGGCTGGGACTTCAAACGCAAGCTTATTTCTCGCGGCGCTAATTTTCTGTCGCAGGTACTGTTGCGGCCCCAGGCAAGCGATCTGACTGGCTCATTCCGTTTATATAAGAAACCTGTGCTGGAAAAGTGCATTGCTAGCTGTGTGTCTAAGGGCTATGTTTTCCAAATGGAAATGCTGGTGCGTGCGCGTCAGCATGGCTTTAGCATTGGAGAAGTTCCTATCACATTTGTGGACCGCATTTACGGCACTTCCAAGCTAGGCGGCACGGAAATTGTACAATTTGCTAAGAATTTGCTGTATCTATTTGCCACAACTTAATAGATTAACAGAAATCAATAATAATAGGAAACTGCTTCTGGACTTAATGGAATTTAATTTTTGGTTTCTTATTTTTCTTCTTTTGTACATGTGGTAAGTTTAAAGTTTTAAAGAATTTTACATATAACTAATGAATTATGCATGAGAAATTTGTTGCCATATTAATGTGCGTTTATGTAATTTTCTGTTGAAATTGGTTTTTTATATATATATTTAAATTGAATAATGATAACTAAGGATAATTGATTTACGAAGAAGCTCAGTGGCCTTAATCACTCAGCTTGAAAACTTTGTGCTGGTTATCCTGATTGCCATACGAATAACAGTCATCATCCAATGCATCCGTGTAGTTCTTTAGCGCTAGCGTGAGCAGATCATTCCGATTCTTGAGTGCCAGCACTACAAATGCTCCATTGGGCAGTATCTCACAGGTGGATACCTGTGCGGGCGGCTTAAAAACAGCCAAGGATTTTGCTGAAAAATTGTTAACGTTTGTTGTATAGTTTTTGCAAAGATATTTGTCAATCAAACCTACCTGTGTTCAGCTCCCACATGCGTATAGCGCTGTCGCGTCCCTCCTTATCGTATGACAACAGTACCTTGCCGAGCGGATCCAACTTGAGGAAAGTGACGGGCGCATTGTGTCCAATAAGCGTACACTTGCAGTTGCCAGTAACCAAATCCCAAATCAATATTTTGGCATCCTCCAGGCCGGCTATGACACAAGCATTCACTTGCGAGATGGCCAGTGAGACGGTATTGCAGGTGGGCTTCCATTTCTTAAACAATGTGCCGCTCTGCAAGTCATAGACGACTATAAAATTGGGAGTCGGCTCGTTCAGCTCCTTGGCAACGACGCACACGTACGAGCCCTCGTGTGTGATTGCCGACAATGAGGTGATGAAATCGTGGTGTGGTATGCGCAGATCGTAGAGCAACTTGCGCTGCGACAAATGCCAGACAAGGAGTGGGAAAGGCTTTTGGGTCTCATCGCCACAAACGAGTATGCTGTCAATAGATAGAAATTCGTAATTAAATACTGATCCTGCCACATCTAATATTCATTGATTCTACCGTCCATCGCCGCTGACCAGCAGAGAGTTCAAAAAACGATCTTCGCCAGCCTTAAAGGTGGTAACACAGTCCCCAGATTCCAAATTCATGAGGTTTACATACATTCGATTGCGTGAGAGACAGACTAGATGATTCTGATCGTGCAGCCCAAAATATGGCATCTTCTGATTCATGACACCCTTTAATGTTACCTGCAAAGAGCGACGAGTTTCGGTTATCCTTTAATTCGCCATCTGCAGTCACAAAATTGTTCTTACTTTAAATTTGCCCTCATCCAAGTTAATGACTCGTATTTCCCGTCGACATAGCACAGCTGCCTCATAGTTTCCCACCGGGCACATAGCCGTTGGCTGCTGAATGCCTTGAAGCTCGCGAATACGGCAACAGTTCTTTACATCCCAAATGCAAATCTCGGCGCGTTCCGTGCACAACGATGCCACATAACAACCGGGCTGAGGTAGATTCATCAATACGTCGTAGCCCTTGATTAAACCATCGCCCACATCATCATCCTGCTCGGCATTTAAATCCGCATTGAGTATCTCGAGAAAGGCAAACTCCAATTCATTTGTGTACTCCCACCAAGAGCGTATTTTCTCATCATCCTTCAACGCTGGATTTTCTTTAAAGCGCGTTTTCAAATAGTATTTCATCAATGTATAGAACTGTTGGCCATCATAGCTCAATTCATGCAAATATTTGACTAAAAATTGCTTAAGGAAGTTAATGTGCACGTAGCTGGTGTCCCCTTCGCCTGCTAGCCATTCGGCATTTAGTATATCGTGCATGAGATGCTCGGGTCCAGTGGCATGCACCTTATCCGCTATCCACTGAAGGTCCGTGAAGTAGAAGCAGTTAAAGAGTATATCGATTTTGTGCTTCGCCGGATTGTCTTCAATGACCGCACAAAAATGGTGATAAGGCAGTTTCAGATACTTCTGAAAATTATAGCTGCAAATAAAGTGGGAAGAATTACAACAAAAAGATTAAATTTTTTGTGAAATGTCGTTGGTGTTTAAAGAAATGGGTTCTGCATTGATATGTGATTATAAGAAACTTTTCTGGTAAAAGAACAATGAAAAAGACCAACGATAAATAATGGATAAATTTCTAGCTATCAATAGTCAATTCGTGACATTGAAAATCTATTCTATAAATAGTTGTATATTTTGCTTACGTGTGAGGGGTGCTGCTGCCACTGCCGCTGCCGCTGCTTTTGAATTTGCTCTCCTGCCGATCGAAGTAGTCCCGCATCGCTTCATGTACCAGCCATTGCTTTTGGGCGTACTTCGCTAAAACGGCGAGGCCAAAGCTTTTATCCGCTATTCTAATATTCTTAAGACCTAAAAGCATTGGTCCCATAAGCCAGCAGAACTTGGACCAGATCTTGAAAGCGACCTGCGCTTCGAGTTGGGTCATCTTTTGAAAAACGCCCAAGCAATCGCTCTCACGTATGCCCCAAGGCGATAGCGTTACGATCAACAGCAATAGTTCTACCTGATCGGCGGCAAACTTTGTTTCCAGCACTTGAAGTATCTTGGCCGAAATATCCCCAATTTCTGTGATCGGTATGGCCACATGGCCCAGCCAGGCTAGCCACCACAAGGATTTGGCATGGAACGGCGTCTTGCCGTGCAGCGATTTCCATTCTTCTGGCAACTTGAGCGCTCCATTGGCCGCATAAAAGTCGCCACCGCCGGAGCTGAGTATGTCGTGCCATTGCCGTTCAGTAAACTGTTTCATGCGCAGAAAACAGCGCGTTGGTATGCCCAGCTGCGCCAGCGCGCTGAGCATATTGGCGTCCTCATTCTCGTTCGTTCCGTCCGTTTGATGTTGTTGCTGCTGTGGTTCGGTGACAGTGAGTATAAGCTTGGTGGTGCTGCCTAGCTGCAGAGGCAGCCAGTCGAGTGAAGATCCGCGCAGCAGCTCATCAACGCCGTCAATGATGAGCACAAAAAAGCGCTGCTGGCGAGCTACAATCTCACGTATGACCTGGGCGTAGGCAGAAAGTGTCTGTAAGAAAATTAATAAAGCAGGCTCTTTTAGTTTTAGAATTGTTATCAATGTCCGAGATTATGCTCACATGGGTCACTTGGCACTGTTTTCCCGATTCCAGCACACACATTTGGTTGGCAATCGAGCCGACTATTGAAGTCAAGTCCGAGGATCTTGCGGTAAGATTAGCATATCTGTGGGAGGCAAATTTAAATTATTAATTACTCTATCAGACGAAGTTAAAAATAATTTGTTGTTAACTTTTTGACATGATACTTTTTTTATAAAACCGTGTTTTTTTGGAAAACTCTTTATTGTTTATTATGCTGGACCTGCAACTTACCTTAAGACGAGTTGTGCCTCGGGCTTCCAGCGATGCACATTTTCCATGATTTTTGACACCAGAACACTCTTGCCACAGCCACTAGCGCCGGATACCACCAGTGGATAGGCAGTGTTATCCCTTATATAACGTTTAATGTCGTTCATAATGTCAAAATTGGCCGAGTTTTGCGCCAACAGCTTTGAGTAATGTCCAATTAGCTGCACCTCCTCCAACAGCACTTTGTCCACGCCCTGCGTGTTATACGGTATGGTGCACTTTTGCTGATGCTCCTCGAATATGGCCGCCACCGACTTGGACAACAGACTCTCAATAACTGCCGACAGCTCCTCATCCAGTATGTTCATTGTGGGCAGCAGGCGAATGAGATTCTTTTCGCACAACTGACTTTTTAGCTCGCTATAGATGCGTGTCATCCGACGCAATACTTCCACCTCCAACTGTGTAGCATTTTCGGGTACTCGCGAATACTGTGCGCTTGTCTGTATCCAAATGCAGCGCTTCGCCAGCTCCTGACTCATTAGCACGGTATTGTTTATTTCCTGCTCCACCACTGTGGTCATATAGGAGTCCAACTGATCGTCGGAGAACAACCGCAGCAAGACGCCCAATAGCTCATTGAGCTCCCCATTGACTTCACCGTTGTAGGGATCGATTTGCTGGGTATACAAGCGATGGCACATTGGCTGATACGAATTGTCTATGGTATACCATTTCTCCAACAGTAATTTCTCTGTATCGCAAGCTGCGCTTAGCACCGAGGTAAAATCCTGACTCTCTATTGTGAGCGGCAGCATGGGTGTGCCCAGCGTGGAGCCCAAAAATAGTACTGGTATGATGTAGGCGCTGGCGAAGTGCCGTGTGATCTCGCAGAGACAATTAGCCGCCTCCTCGTGTCCGCCTTGGGCCTCCAGCGGTGTTTGCGTCCAGCGCTTAACCTCTTGCAACTTGGAAAAGTCCTTCTTGTGGCAGGCTATAGTTGCATTGGCATTGTCGTTGGCATTGTTATTGCTGTTGCTCTTGGTTCCGCTGCTGCTGCTTGAGGCACCGACGCCGCCGCCGCTCTGAATCTTAGACGTGGCCGCCTCGCTATCATGTACATCGGATATGATAAAATCGAATCCTTTGCTTTGGCACTTGCTCTTGAAATGCTTATAAAGGCTGTAGATGACACGCTTGTGCTTCTTGTACTCTGTGCTGTTGTCCGCCAATATGTATATGACAATTTTCTTATCACGCTCAATCTTTCGCCCAGGCGGTGGTTTTCCCTGCAAGATGCTAAGATTTCCCAATTCACTCTTTCCGGACACATCGCTGGGCGCCTGCGCTGCTTGCGGTGTGGTGCTGTTGGACTCTAAAAAATTAAATTGTAAGACTGCTACTTTATTCATTTTTGTTTTAACGTTCTGCGTTCGCTTACCCTTATCCGCCTGATTGGCTTTATCCAATTTAACTGGCAGCTGTTGCTGCTGCTGCTGTTGTGGCTGTTGTGGGGTGGTTGATTCATTTGCCTGTGCATCCTGCATAGCCTCTACATCGGCTAAGGGCGCTCGTTTTTCATTTGCATCATTGACTAAATGTGAATCTTTTTTATCCGGATTGGTCTCTTGGTAAGGTGGGGAGCTAATAATATTTGTAAATATATAATTACGATTGATAGTGTATGTTTATATTACTCACTCATCTGATTTCTCGGACACGCTGTCCTTCTTTTTCTTTTGGCTGGAGCTGCACACGTTACCCATCGCTAATAAGGCGTTTCAATTTAGTTTCTGCTAAGTTTCGTATTTTAAATTGACTATAAGCTGCTGCGGCTACTGCAAAGGAAAAAGGACAGTTCTTTGAACACTTTAATACTTAAATTAGTATCACAGTTTTACATATCTTTTAACGGTCGCTTTATCGATTAACTGTCATTAACTGAGCTTAACGGTGTATACACACATGCACATACACACACAACAGTATTGCGGCGGATCACACAGACCAGTAGATCAGTGTTGCATATGGTAGTAATTATTGTTTTTTAGCTGTCCGTTACAAATTAAGGTTTATTGACCCTTTGAATGAATTACAATGACAACTTAATGGTTGTTTAAGTACATTAATTATAAATTAGTATGTATTTCATTAAACACTTCAAATAAACGGCTTAACCCAGTTGCCACAGTTTTACATATTTTTTGAGCGCTCGCCTTATCGATTAGCTGCCGTTAACTGAAAATGTCTGGGCTTAAATTTTACGGTGTGTACACATACAGACACACAATTCAGTAGTGGGGCACAAAGGAGTCCCACTGTCCAGTAGGTCAGAGTTACACGTGGCAGTTATTTTTTTTAAATATACGTTCGTTACAAATTCTGATTTGAGTTGAAATTTTAAATGCATTACAATCACAGCTTTAATGGTTGTTTAAATAAATTAGTGAAGTTTTCCACACAACAGGTCAATGCCAACAACAACACATCTGCTTGGAACGCAAGTCCTTTGCGTGTGAGCGTGCGTGTGTTCATTCCTGTCTCAATGCCGAGAGAGATTGTGGAAAGCTCATCGGTTGCCCAACGCATGCTCGCTGCTAAATTTAATAGAGATTTTTTTGCGTTAGCCAAAAGGCTGATTGCTGGTTTGGGGTTGGGTGGTTTTTGGCTCGGATTTATGACCAGCGCTGCCGCTGGATTTTTGTGTACACGCTCGAAAATTGTTGACGCGCGGATGGACTTGGCATATTTCAGTTTTTCATCTGCCTATTTTTTGTCAATTCGTTTATTGAATATCAAAATATTTGAATCGCGTCCATTTGGAACGCATTGCGCGCTCCATTGGTACGACACGCTAAAAATACATTTTATTTTAATATTCATATACGTATATTGGTATAGTTTTTCTTCGATATTTAGTCGCGTCTTATGATTTGTTGTTGTGTAGCGAATATTTTCAATACCAATTAATTTGTTATGTATATTTGGGATTTTCAGTTTGATAAATTTGCACATAGTACATATCTTTGGCATTTATACATACATATATGCATACATACATATGTACACTGTCTGTTATATGTAATCGCCGTGGTGTGTTTGTGTATGTATCGCTCTGTCGCTTATTTGATTTATTCGAATACATTTTCAGTTATTTTTCACTTACTTTTCCTAAGGAATTTTCGCAGGCGCTGCGCTGTGAACGCAGTGCCAAGATTAACTCAAAACATTTTCATTAAATAACACTTGCTTTTATTCTTAATCGCTAAATTAATTAAATGGCCTAGACGGGTGCTTTATTTTTTATACACACTAATACATTTTTGAACAGAACAAAAACAATAAAAAATGTTCTTGATTTGCCGTTTTTTGTACGCTCTAATAGTTTTTCCGTTGTGCGTCGTACCGTGCCGTGCTTTGCGTTTTTACTGAAAATTTCATTGGAAAATTTTCTCACGCTATGCTGGCGAAACGGAAAAGCTCTGCATGCGCGAACTCTCGGAGCTTTCCCCAGTGTTGCATTTTTATGTGGCCAAAAAGATAGCGGAATAGTTAAAGAACCGTTAAAGATGTTGTGAAAGCTTTGAATTCCTTTTAATGGAGTCTTATTGAATCATGGTTGTGAAGTTACTTGTGTTATCAAAATTTCTTTATGCTACCAAAGCTAAAATTAAATTATTTAATTAGAATAATTAATATAGAATTAATAAAGAATTAATTAATATAGAATTTACAGTGTACAAACCCTTGAATAAAGTTCTGATTAAATGAACCTTAGGAAAAAGAAAAATTTATGTTTATTCTCAAGTAACTATAAATTTATTTGGTTTTGACTTTCTTGAACTTAATAATTTGTTAAATGTACATAAAAAGGAAAAATTTAGTAATTTGTTAAGTGGATTTGAAAAGTAAAATTTTAATAACAAAGATATAAAATATGAATAAAAGGTGTGCTGTATCTTACAACACTGGATGTTTCTCTTTTTCTTTTCGTTACACATTTGGAGATAAGAAGCCGCCAGGATGCTGCGCTGCCTGGACAATTGGGTGGCTATCAAGCCGAGAAGATAGAAGAAGAGGGTAAATTTAATTTCAGCTGCTGGCTGGTTGGCTGGGCTGCATTTCGTGTTGTGACGCCAGAGTGTGCAGTTTGGAGGTCCTTAAAAATCCGATTATAAAATTAACAAATAATACACGAACAAAGCAAAAATTACATTTAACTAAATGCGTCCCAAATTGCGATAAATAAAATGCTATAAGTGTAAAATTTACACAAATAAAAACTATACAAAAGTTAAACAACAACAACTGGAGGCCAAGCGTTCAACATGAATCGACTTTTGTTGCAGTGTCTGGTTACCACAATACTTGTCTATAAAGGTGGTTAATGGGTTAAATATTGGCTTACGATTTTGTAGAAGCGATGCATATTTAAAATATAATTAAGTTTATAAACAAATTATATTGGGCTATGAAATTTTTCATGTGAAAAATGTATATGCTGCTTGATTATATAAGCAAGGAGCCAGTGCGCAGGTCCCAAATACTGAGGCTGCGGAAGATTGAGACGAACGGCTGCTGAGGACGCCATTCTCATATGAGAAATGGGTCAATGTTTTTCAATGCAGGCAAGGTAGAAAACGGAAAATGGAATTGGGGCTGAGAGTGTGTTTGCGAGAAAGTTAGCAAAACAAAGCGCAACGAAGTCAGGAAACAAAACAAAAGCAAGAGCTCGAGGGTGTCAAGGATATCGAGGCATTAATGGGGGGCTACTGGGGTTGGAAACAGCTGATTTAAATTCATTAAAACTCTTTTATCCCCACACATACACAGTCATCTCAGTGCCCACAACAGTCAGCAGTGTCGAGACGACCACCGAGAAACCGCAGCAAGATGACGATGACGATGATTGGGATGAGGATGATGAGTCGCTAGAGTCGGATGATGACGGACGTGTTTACAAGAATCCACGCAATTCACCATCTACGGAATGTCCGCGAGATGAGGAACAAGCCACACTTCTGGGCCAAAAATGTTTGCGCAAATGTTCATCCGATGAGGATTGTAAGAGCAAGAAAAAGAAATGCTTATGTGATGGCGTTTGCGGCATGTCGTGCATTAAGCCTGGTGAGTTTTTACGAAAACCATAAATGATTTAATGTTTTAAATTCATTTGGAGCATCCTTTGTTTACTTAATTCTAAAACAAAATTAATTTTTAAATTTTGAACATGTACGTTTCTGAGTGAAGATGATAATAATTTGTAAACAATACTCATTTCACAGATCGCGAATGTCCGGAACTTGCTCAGCCATCATTGGGACAGGTTACTGTGGTTGGCCGACACTTTGGCGCCCGTGCTTCCTACTCCTGTCCACATGGCTATCACGTTGTGGGTAATGAAACACTAATTTCTATTCTCTTGATATTTTGAAATAAATGCTTCTTTTAACTACAAGGTCTACAAAGTCGTCTCTGCCAAGCCGATGGAAACTGGGCGGGCGCCGAACCAGCCTGCAAGCAGAACAGTAAGTGAAAGGGTGTTTCAAGAGTTTAGTAATATACAAATTTTTGATTTGGAAATTCCTTAGTCTACTGCCTGAAACCGCCACAGATCGAGCATGCGCGCAATTCCGCTTTGCCGGAGCAGGAAACTTTCGATTTGGATTCCACAGTGCAGTATCACTGCCATACGGGCTATGTCACCAATGGCTTTCCACGTGCCAAGGTTTGTTTTTAAAATAGAAATGATTAAAAACGTTTCCGATTTCGTTCAAATTTGTCGAAATGAATTTCATCTACAATGGTATAGAAATTAATACGAATTCGAAATCGAAAATGAGAATAGGAATAATAATAGTATCGCAACATTAAACCATTTTTATATTTTCAAAGTGCTTGGCCATTGATGGACAGGCTAGCTGGTATGGACCGGACATACAATGCGAACGTAAGTTCTATCTTTATTAACAAGGATCAAAAATAAAAAATAAGTTGATTAACCATTTAAAGCGCGTTCCTGCGGTCAACCGCCTGATCCTGCCTATGGCTGGCATGCGGGAGAGTGTTATACATATGGCTGTAAGATCACCTATAACTGTGGCACAGGTACCGGGTACGAGCTAGTGGGCAAGCACGAGAGATATTGCCAATCGGATGGTTCCTGGACGCCCAAGGAGCTGCCCACATGTGTCTGTAAGTATTGAATGATCTCGTGAAGACAGCAAGCTGTGCTTATAATTTATTTCTTTATAATTTTCCCCCCAAACCAATCAAGCGGATAGCGCAAATTCTACCACCACCCAAGCATCGCTGTCTTAAATATGGCAGTTTTCCATTTTCCGTTATAGACTAGATCGCAACTACGTTAAAAATTTTCGAGTTAATTGCGTGGTTGATATTAGTTCAGTGCCCTTAGCCACTTGTTAAACCCGTTCACAGTTCTTCTTCTGCATTTAAATTTGAAGCAAACGTTATTACACTTTACAACCAAATTGTTCGTGTTCGAGTTATAAGCAAAGTTGTTGTTGTTGGCTCACTATTGTTAATTAATAAATAAAAGTTACCCCAAATCATAAGGAAAACAGAAACCAAACAAAAGTTGTTTTATTTTCAAAATCATAATATATTTGACGCTTTTCCGCTCGTAGTGCCAAAGATTTGTGGTAACTTTTAGAGAACAATGAGATCTGTGCCTTCTTTTATGAGACAATCTTCTCAGAATTAGAAATATCTCGTGTTAACTGAACGTTTTTCTACATCTAAAGGGGGGAGAGCAGTTCTTATAATATTTTTGATGTTTTCTCAAAGCTCAACCCTCAACTATCTCAATTGTTTCATCTTATTTTCTTCTGTTTATATAAAAATTAATGATGATAATGAGTTCAGGGTAACATTTATAACGTGCGGCTTCAAACTTTATTATCTGAGCTTTAACCCTTATTTCTATCTCTAACTAAAACCTCTTCGAATGGTGCCTCACGATTTTTACACACATTCTACCTACCACATGTCCTTGCCTTCGTAGTGGTTACCTCCGTGGTATGTCCCACGCCGGAGAATCCTAAGAATGGCAAGGCCACATACACCACAACGGCCTACAATTCGGTTGTCAGCTATGAGTGTCGTTATGGCTATACTCTAGTCGGGGAGAGTTCCAGTCGCTGTGGAGCAGATCGAAAATGGAGCGGTACACTGCCCATTTGCAAGGGTGAGGCTTTGGAATAGAGTTGCCTGCAATATTTACAATTTAATTGTTACACTTGTACTCGCAGAGATCAATTGCGGGCATCCGGGCGTGCTATATAATGGCTGGATTGAGAATATTGAAGCAGGCACAGGCCTAGGTGCCAGCATCATCTTTCGATGTCAGCCGGAAATGCTAATCAATGGAGTCGGCTCGAGCGTTTGCCAAATCGATGGGCGCTGGCGTAACCCCTTGCCCGAGTGTTTGGCACCCTGTGTAGTGCCCACCATATCTCAGGGATATGTAATACCGATGGAAATAACAACAGATGAGAATGGCACAACGATTATTATGCCTACAACAACGACAACCACAATTCAACCCCCTACACAGACAATCGGGGGTGTAGAGAAGGTCAAGCATGGCACTGCACTGGAGGTTAAATGTGATGTTAACTACGAATTTCCCGTCTCGCTTTTGAGCCCCCCCATTTGTAATAATGGCACATGGAGCATTATTCCACGGTGTGTTCCAGCACGCTGTCAAAGCATGCCACGACCCCCAAAACACGGTATGGTAATGGCTCCGAAAACAGAGCATGGCATGAAAGCGCGTTTTAAATGCAAGGATGGCTTTAAGCTGGTCAGTCCAGAGGGAAAGGATATAACCGATCCGCACGATTATGTTTTGACATGCTCCTTTGGTAACTGGACCGGGGAAACGCCGAAATGCGATGAGGTTTTCTGCTCGTTCCCAGGCTATATACCCAATGGAAAGGTGCTGCTGGTGGGCAACATGGGGCTCTACGACTATCGACCCTATGTAAAAAAGATCGTCAATAACAAACAAATCATGTATGACTGCGATAAGGGATATGTCCTAGAAGTGGGTCCACCAGGTGCCACATGCGTGGGCGGAAAATGGCGACCCCTGGATCTCCCACAATGTTTACTCGGGCAACACCCCCGTTTGCGATGGAATCGCAGACGTCGGCGACGTTCATTGCAGATGCGGCAACTGCGATCAGTGTACCTCTTGAGGCGACAGCGAGCATTACAGCGGCAGTTGGGCGAGAATATAGAAATACCAAGTGAGTTACGGGAGTTCAAGTCGAAAGATTTCGGCGATTCTCATCATAAGCCCCTCTTATCAACCTTTAAAGTCCCATACTCAACCAGCTAATTACCTCGACGCCTATCTTCCTAACCCAAATTCGGCAACCTTTGACCTCTGTTTAACCAGTTCTGTCCTAAGTAGGAGTGATTATTGATACAACAATCGATAGATCAATAAGGATAAATTATATACCTTCTGTAAGAAGAAGGTTTTTAAAACTCAAATCTTAAAGCTGCAGCGTTTTCTCCTCTAGTCAGACAAAAACTAACGGAATTGGTCGACGCAATTCATTTTAAAAATGTGTATTACAATTAGTAGCTAGCCAAGGCACACAAACTTTTTGATTGAAAATAGCTCCACACCATTCTCCATCAAAAGGTGCTTTTAAAGATGCATTTATTATTGTATTCCAGCTACGACGACTCAAAGGCGAGTGAAGCGCAATCCGAGCGATATCGATCTAGCCTACTCCAAATACTATCAAAAGATTAAGGAACGCTACCAGCGGTATGTGAAGAAGATGCTCGGCCATAGTCGGCTCTATAAGAAGATACAGGTGCAGGATGGACGCTGGTACAACCACTACAACAATCCGGAGCTCGTCATGATGCGGAAGGCGACACATAAGTGGCGCAATCCCGCTACAGATTATGCAGACGACAACGAATATCGCGAGTACTTGGGTGCTATTGTACCCCTCCCGAATATCAATCAGAGCTCCCGCTATCATAGCCACAGTCATGAGACCGAACGTAGTTCCAACGAGACTCCTAGTCCGCAACATTCGATGGCAGTTGAAAGCAAGCATATGAACGCGACCCGTGCGCTCATCGAACAGTTGAAGTCGCAAATTGTGCGTCGTCGGCGCAAGCGGAGTTCCAATGTGCCAACCGCAGCACCTCCGGCTGCATCTTTGCCCGATGCTGATATAGACACCAGTGATGGGGTCGAGACGAGCGGCAAGGGGGCCGGTGGTAAACGCCTACGTGGGCCTTGCGAAGAGCTAGACTGGGATTCCTTTGGCAACATTAGTGTGGTGCGACCCGGGAAGGCGCCAGGTCTCAATTCTGTAGGCAGCATTTTGCATCTTGAGTGCAATGCTGGCTTTAAATTAAACATTAAGGGCGAAAATGCAACAGCACGGTGTATTCGTGGCATTTGGAAGCCAGAGATGCCCAAATGTCTATCTTCACCGTGTCTTGTGCCAGCTGTGGAGAATGGGCAGTACTTTAAAGTGGAGCCGCACACAAAGCAATTAAGCGATAAGCCCTCCTTGACACCTCTATCCACCTATGAAGAGATACAGTCGAATGAGTTCATAACACTCGAATGCGAGGAGGGATTCAACATACAGGTAAATCAGACATTTAAGTAATCTTATCGATCTCCTCTTATATCACAATAAACCTCAATGTGTTCTTTCAACAATTCTCCAAAACTGATATTCCCTCATCTCTTAAATTCCAAATCACCTTCATATTATTGTCCAGCTTCTATATATATTTTAAACCAATAATTAGCCAAAGCCAATTCTATACAAATTATATCTTCGATAATTATAATTTATAATAATACTTAATATGCCCGATTATTCCCACTTTCGGAATTTCTGTAAGAGGAATATGTGTCAACTAAATATTACAATAGGCCGAAAAATGTCCTCAACTTCCTGCCTAGCCGAACCTAATCATTCGCTTTACTGTAGCAGTGAGTCAAGAATTAAATGAGCAATGCTGATTGTTCATTTTTAGGGCTCAGCACAGCTACGTTGCGCTCATGGATCGTGGTCGAATGTGGTCAGCTTCTCCGAATGCACCTCCGTCCCCTGCACGCTACCCAACATACCCGGTGTAATATATGAGGTTAGTCCGTCGATCCTAAATAGTTTTTGATGCTCCCTTCAACGCTCCAGTGTTTTTTAGGGTGGTTATCGTGCGGGGCTTACGATCGGTCACGGCAGTACGGTCAGCGTGCGCTGCGAACTTTCCACAAACTCGAATCCCGTAGAGATGGCTTGTCACAAGGGAGTGTTGACTCCATCCACCATACATTGCGAGTCGGGTCTACGGAAGTCACGCCAAGAACTGGAGCATGCAACGCCAGCACCCCATAGCCATGTCCATACATCGGCAGTGAAGGTGGATCATAATGATTTGGACGAACATAATGAGAACAATACGGATGAGCACGGGGGCGAGGATATGAAAATGTGTGGACCGCCAAGTTTGACGGATGGAGCTTTGGTATACAAGTGGGTACAGTCGAATCAAGCGATTAAGGTCCAGGGATATCACGTTTTCGTTTCGCTTTGCTTTCATATTCTAGAAATGTCGAACATGTGGAACATGATGGTGCCTACGAGAGTGGAACTGAAATTTTCTTTAATTGCATACCCAATGCCGCAGGTGATCGTCAGACGTGGCGGATTATTTGCGATAATGGGCAATGGATTGGACGCTCTTACAATTGCGGTGGGTTTTATTATAAATATCTCCATTAATAATTGCAATACAATTTCTTCTACAGAGAATGGTACCTGCTTATTCAAAAACAACGAAGCGAATGTGGTTAGCTTCTACAATGATTTGGAAATACGAGAAGATGTGGTAGAGTTTCCACCGGGTGCTACAATTATTTCTAGGTGAGCTTAACTATGTGCGAGGTTCAGTTGAAAGATTTTAACATTCCATACCTCAGATGTGTGGATATTGGCAAGTTCTCAATGACTGGCAGTCACGAAAGGACCTGCATACACTCGGAATGGACCAACACAAAACCTATTTGCTCCGGTCTTAATCAAGAAAACGATTACGCAAGTAAGTTATGTAATAATAGCATGCTGACAGCATTTTCAACTCTTTCTACCAGTGGAGAAGGCACCCACCATACTGTTTCGTCATCAGAATGGGCCTATAGCTCAGAGCAACGATGGTAAACTGATTGTCTACCCGGGCACCACGTTGCATATGGAATGTCTGTGGATGCGACGCTTCGGTAATCCCAAGTGGAATGTCAGTCACGACTTTAAGTGGGTTGGGCCTTGGGGTTCGAAGAAAGCACATTTTTCATAGCTCTCTCCCTATGTAGAAACTACACCGAAGGCTGGGTGACCGAAGCCGACGAGGGTCGCGACTCAACGCTGGAATATCGGCTTAGTATTTTCGATGCAGTTAGCGAGGATAGTGGCATATACTCCTGCATGACGCCCGCACGCCATGAACACGCTGTCGAAGTAGTAATCAAGGCCATACATTGCACTGAGATACCTATGAGACGTGGTTTGATCGTAAACACAAACGACACAAAGCTGAGCACACGCGTGCTGTTGTCCTGTTCCAATGGCAATTCTTTGATTGGCGCATCGGAGCTGTTTTGCTTGCCGAGTGGCAATTGGAGTGCTCCGTTGCCGGTTTGCGAGAGTGTCGAATGCGGCGACATTTTGCTGAATAATGTAAGCTCGCCACGGGTTTCCGTGCTGTCCCGCGAGGTTGGCGGTCGTGCGGCATTCTCTTGTCCAACGGGGTACGGTCTGCGCGGCCCATCGGAGGCCTTATGTTTGCCATCTGGCGAATGGGCAACCCCTTTTCCCGTCTGTGTTGAGGTCCAATGCGAAAATCCCGGTGCGCCTCAAAACGGCTATGCCCAGGGCTCGGCACCATATCGCGCTGGGGATGTAGTCCAATTTAACTGCAACCCAGAATATATGATGCAGGGTCAACCTATAATTGCCTGTCAGGATAACGGTCGCTGGTCGGGCGGCTTGCCAAAGTGTGTGCAGGCGTGCTCGTATCCGGGCACAGCGATCAGCGGACGCATGTCCTCCGTTAAATTCTACTATGCTATCGGGGAGAGCATTACGTTTACGTGTGATGCTGGACTAGAGTTGCGCGGCTCCAAGGTATTGAAGTGCATGAAGAATGGCAAATGGTCGAGCGCGATACCTACTTGTGTGACCGTCGATGCGCCATCCACAGGAGGAGCTTCAGCTGGTACTAGCAATAAACATCTGGCCACTATGGGTTAAGGTAATGAAAGACATGTGCTGTCTTTGTCTCACAACTTTTATGAGTTAAATCAAAGTGATACTAATACATATGTACTTACTACTAAACTAATACACACAAGTATACCAACTACTTCAGACCTACTTCTTCCGATTTAACAATAATTACCTTATATGTAATTAAATTTGGCCATCATTTTAATAAAAATTTCGTCAATTTACCATGGAACATATCCCATAAAGGTAACGTGACGAAAAAACTTACATTCCATGAAGGACTTTATTAAAAGCTAAAAATGAGAATTTGCTATAGAAAATGTGTGTATTTAGATATTTGCAATGGCAAATAGACAACCCATTACAAAAATTAAACAGTTCCGCTCCCAATTATATATGTTCATTTGCTATTTTGGCCTTTATACATCTCAATATAACTTTGGTAAATTTGTAATATTTGTTTTCCGTTGCAAAAAAAATATCAAAAATATTCACTGCTCAACACTGTAAGCGACGGTTAAAATCGAGAACAGTTGTTAATATCAGCAACAACATCAGTGCGAGTGACCGACGCTATTTTAGGGTACACACAGCACTAGCAACGGATGGGCAGCGCTACCGATTAGCGTTTAGTTGAAAATCGATTTTAACCATCGATAAAGTGTTTTGGTGGAATTTTGAATTAATTCAAAATAAGTCATGACAATTGCACCTAAAAGCCTTTAACATAGTATGTAATAGAATAGATAGATTTGACATATACAAATAAATAATGTTAAGTTATTTTTACTTGTAAATATGTACATACATCGATGCATCTACGATACCAACATTATTATTTTGTAATATCGATGCATCGGACAACAAAATCGATGTTTTGCAAGTCCCTTATACCAGCATCCCTAGCACACCGCAGTTGTTTTTTCGCGTCCAGATTGGCACGTTGTGGGGTGCGCGTGAAGTTAACGACGGGAATATTTCGTTTTTCGCGCTTTGTTTTTGTATATAATTCGAACTAAAAATACGTATATCTTTGTGTATAGTTTTTGTAAATAACATAATTCATTTACACGCGCCATTATCGAAACAACACAACAATAGTTAGATAGCAGCAGCGCCTACAGCAAATAGTGAAGTGACCAGATCAATGTCATGTAACAGCCAAAACCAATAGCGCAAAATCATTCATAATAGCTCTAGCTGCTGCAAAAACGTGCGTGGTGCGTGCTTGTATGTGTGTGCGTAGTTGTGTTGTGTGTGTGTGCACTCGTTGCCCAGGACGAATTTACATAGCTAAACAATTAAAATTAAGGTGAGTATTCTTGCAACAAAGTGAAAGAGTAGAAATATGCAATGACAGCGCATAGAAATGAACAGCTGACGCATACACAACAATAACAACAGAAGCAACACAAGCAACAACAACAATTATATACTTTACCTTGCCCCACCAGATTGTGTGTGCTGCTGTGTCACAGTCAGCAACGCTTCAAGGGCGATGAACTACAACAGCACAAACACATACAAAAGATTTTAGTTGTCTGCTTTTGTAATTGTTGTTGTTGCTGCTGTTTTTGTTGTTCTGTTTTTGCTTCATGTTAGTTTGCCTTTATTTTCTGCTACACATATTTTAATTTGTGGGCGTTCCAATGACGTGATAACAACCGACACCTTGTTTATTGTGGAAAATCACTGATAAGTCCTGCGTGCCACTGCCAGCACTAGTCGTCGTCTTGTTGCCAATGCCAGTCAGTCCGCCAGCCAGCCAACAAGCGTATTCAGGCACCCCACCACGTTTTGCTTGCGCAGTTGCCTTGTTGGTTGATTTTTTTTTTGTACTGCATTCGACAAAAAGCACGCAGGCCCCGGCCCCGACAAAAGCAACAGCAACAGCCGTTATTACTCTGCAAGCCAGCTAGCAATAACAACAAAAGAGCTATGGACAGCAGCAGCAGCAGCATAAATGTCAGTGTGTTAGTGGGGGGCGCTCTTGGGTCTTTTTATACCCTATAACCAAAGGGTGAGAGGAATACTTGACGACTAACCAAAAAATGTGGGTAATCATTGAAATTTTCTTGGCATAATTATGTTTTTTATATCGTCTTCTCCACATACTAGTCTGGGCGATAAGTGCAACAGAATTTAATTTAATTGATGGCCTGCGGTAGAGTTAGAGATGAGGTACAGGGTATGCAATAATCGGACTCGTGCGACTTTAACGTTATACTCGTTCTTGATATTTTGTTGCCTTGCTTGCTGCTATCTCAATACAAATACTCGCTAGCTCTTTATTTTTCAACGTTCTGTTCACTTTAAAACGCGCAAATTGGGTCAATGTTGTGAGTGCGCATAACAAATGCGTATAATTGCGTTTCGGGAGCAAAACTGGCACGATATCGGCACATTCTAGATGAAACTGGCCCTGTAATGAACTGCTGATTTATGTACAGCAAACAAACAATTATGACGCATTTAAATCGGCAAATGTCATTAACTTTTGCCGTCTATGCCACCGTCCCGTCTATTTACTAGATTTATTATACCCAGTGCTATATTTGAGAGCCACAATATTTACTTTAAGAGGCGGCGCCGTTGGTGTTGGCTTATGCAAACAGCGGGCATTTTCCCCGTTCTGTTTGTTGTTATCAATTCATAAATAAACGCTGTCTCTGTAGCCCCCCATTCATGATGTAACTGTGTGATCGCCGGAAGGCATTGGTACAGTAAATTGATAATCGATTGCAATCAAATCGTCGGTAAGGGAATTCCGACTTAATTAAAATATGTATCTGTTACTTTTTGTGTGGTAGTGTTATAAGTAATTCAATGTTTTATTAAATTTAAAGGTGCTGCCTCATTTATGTCCAAAAACTGTACTGTTACTTTTGTCTTCTTGGTGTGGGGTTGTACCTCTTTGTTCTTATTTACACTAATTAATACGTCTGTCTGTCAACCATTTCGCAACACTGACACCGGCTTTTGTTTGGCCCGCGGCCAATGCTCTTGCTTTGTATAAAATGCAATTTATATGGATACCCATCACATGCGCATATGTACATACATACATACGTATGCAGATATATATGTATATCTGCACGAGTTTAACTTGCTTTACAATTTAATTGACACTTGCACGCCTACACGCACTCAGCACAGCAACTGCAATCAACTGCGCTGTGCTTTGCTCTGACGTGTTCGTTAATATTTGCACATACATACATATGTATATAGGCAGACCGTTGAATCGAACAGCTGTTGCGTATGTTAGCGAGTTCCTCGCATTAATCAGTGACCATAAATGCTGCCTAAACAAAAGCGCATTTCTATATTATCGCTGTGTCCGCGTCTTCTCTGAGCGAATTGTTTGCTTTTAATTCAAATTGACAACACGCTACTAGGTAGACTAAAGGTTGACTAGCCACAGTAGCACAGCCATGGACATTCTTATCTCCGCTGTCGTCACAATGTCTGCAGAGGGCTTTGTGTGTCGCGCTGTTGAGTTAGCAGCGCTTACCTGCATTTAGCTTGAAAATCCACGCGCATTTACGACCTGTCTCAACATTCTTAATCTGTCTCGATGTCTTTATAAGTAATATTAAATGCGTGTTGTTTTCTAGGAAATATTGTTCAGGCGCTGCCATCCATGGTAGCATAGATTACCGGCATTGTAAACAGCAGCACAGCTGCCATTTATCTCATAATGGCCAAGGCCCATTAGCCGCGTTAGCAAGCCCTGCTATCTAGCTGTGATGTTATTGAAGTTGTGTTAGTTTCCTACTCAGCCTTAACGCAGCCTATATGTAGGATTGAAACCCGTATTTATATGTGACGAAATTAAGCTGTTTTTTTTTCATTGCGATAAAATTTAGTATGTATTTATTGTAATTAATGTTCATAAATAATTGCAAGTTTTAAATTGTGTTTTCTACTTGAATTAATTTTGGAAGGCGATACATTAACATTACAAAACGTAAACAAAAAACAGCTGATTTGTAAAGCGGGTGTCCTTCGCGATTCAGTGTTTGATTCCAAATCTATCACAAATTTCGACATTAATATACACTTAAGTGTTCAAAAAAGTATGTATAAGTTTAAAAATATTTGTATACTGGTAGTAAACAGATTTTTTATCAGCAATTAGCAACAAATAATCAAGTTCACATGAGTGTGACTTAAATACAAATAATCACACATATGTATGTATATACATATAAGCTGACTATTGTGTCTGCTTTTAAATGTGCCGGAAACAATTGGCGCGGCAGAATTTGTTGTTTCCCTTTTCTAATTGTAAGCTATTGATCAGTCTGTGACTTTGAAAGCTTACTCGAAAATCCCAACGAAACTGCTGTCCTCTATTTCTTCGTATCACTTTTTTGTTGTCGCCTTTTTGTTTTATAAATAATTTATATGCCTGTTAACGGCCTTTTCGCTGAATTAAATATACCATACATATACGTATGCACATCTGTTGTGTTTCTCACCAACAATAATTATTTAAAATGCCAATTATTTTAAATTATAACCACCTGATTTATGGCTTACAGGCAGGCCAAGTTTTCACATGAATTACTTTGATGAAATTGGATTAAAATTTGTAGAATGCTTTGTGCAGTATGATTAACATACAATTTAATATCGGTGTTTTTGCCGCCCAAAAATATCTAATTTTTTGAGCAATTTTTCATATATATATTGTGAATAACAACCTCCACATTGTTGGTTAAGTAATTTACAAACTTTTTAAAAATTATGCTCTATTGTATTATTAAAATATATTATTGCATTATTTTTAAATGTTAGAAATATGATTAACAATATAGCATAGCTATTGCGTTGAGAGAAGTTCATTGCCAGCCTGTTGGCAAAACTAACGTAGTTCAGCACCCCAGACAGCTTGTAAATAAAAAAAAAAGGTGCTAAGCCATTAAAATCTACAATAATTGCCGTATTGATGGAATTTACAATTGATAAAGATAAAAAATAATTCATATTTGTAGTTTAGTTGGATGTAGTTAAAACAGGATGGGCTGCAAGCTATTAAGGCTATTCTTTACATAAAAAGTTTTGGGTTTTATTTAATTCTTTATATAATAAGTTCTAAATATGTCGAATTAATGGTTTAATAAAAAATACATTTGTAATGTCATAGAAAACATCAACAAAATGAGTTCTGCATTTTGGACGTGTCAGGAAAATATTCTAAATTTTAAACTTTATTGTTGGTTCATTATGATAAAAATGTAATTAGCCGCAAAGGAAAGAGTTTTTCTGTTTTTCACTTTGCAGTAACCCAGTATATTGTACTCTTGTACCTTTCAGATACAAGATGTAACACTGCTAAACAGGATATATAATTTTGACATATTTTAGAAAAAGAAAATATTGTTTGCTATTTATTATTTTTGAAATAAGTATGTACATATACGAAGATAAAGCCCTGCATTTAAACTTAAAATATAGTTTTTGTCCCAAGTCTACTCGAAAAGCTATTTCTGTGACAATTAAATAATTTCCTGATCTGTGATACACCAATACGTTCATACAAATACTAAAAATTCTTATTTTTTGTTAAAATTTCCCCATTTTGCGCACACTTGGAAAATTGTTTTGCCTGTATAAAGAAGTTTGTGTTCAGAAAATAATACTACAGTCAGAGACGTAATAGTTTGCCATTTAACGTTACAATTCAATTGTTTTGAGTCGCAAAAAAAAGACAATTTTATACAAATTGCTTACACAATTTTCAATAATTGAGTACAACTTTGAATGATCAACGCCTGAGGCTCAATTGAAATGCCAAACGAGTGTGTTTTGATAGCAATTTGAAGGGCAAAGCACCCGCAGAGATATTACATGGCCACAGAAGAGTAGTTCGCCAAAACATAGAAATATTCGAAAACAACACAATGAGGTTGTTTGTCTATTTACACGTTTTACAATATGTATTTGTACATATGTAAAAATACTTTTGTGGGCGTGTGTGTGTGTGTGTGTGTGTGCACGTGGAAAAGTTTGTGTAATTGTTTCAATTAGAGGCGCCAGCCAAGCCAAGCTGTATTCAATTGAATTGTACGGGTATAAGGGTGTTAAATATTTCCTGGAAACCCAGAAGTGTATTACTAATAATGTATGTGATTTTTTTAAAAGCATAAATAAAAACCCAGTAAATATAGACTGAATTAAAACAAGAGTGAACGCTACAGCCGGGAAAGCCCGACAGTGATTTCACTTTCCCTGTACCCTTTACCTAGACAAACTTCCGTCACTGATCTATATGCCCACATCAGTAGGAAAAACAAGAAAAAGAAGAGCAAACTTGATGCTGCAGTTTGTGGGCGTAGTACTGGAGTGTAATTTTTTCGCTAATTACTTTTCTTAGAATTTCTCGATTTGGATAAAATTACGTGTGCATGGTTTATAGCTTTTGAAATGTGGACAGTATTGACAAAATTTAGCGTTGAGATGGTGGGGTGGAATAAAAAAAATAAACTCGTGTTGTCTATATACTATGTATATAAATAAGTGTATGTAAATTGCCTAGAAGTTTGGTATATGGTTGTATATATTCTTTATATATCGTACACACACGAGTATATCTCTTTATTTGTTTTCGTTTTTAATAACATCTATCATGGCAATGGCGTCATGGCCTTACAAGTTTCATCACCGAGCGACAACAACGCTCGAAAGAATAACAACAGCAGCAGCACAACAACAACAATAACAACATCAATATACATGCACACATACATATGTACATATTTCAAAGTTCGAAAAATTTTAAAGAAAACATCAGCAATTCGTAAGCATTTTAAAATTTTCCTCTGACTAGCACTCCTGCTGTGTGACTCACACAAGAGAATTAAACCATAAAGAGCGTAAAAATGCTGATCACAGGGAGAGGGGAGAGATAAAGATAGAGAGAGAGAGAGAGACTATGCCTATGCAGAATTTCAACTTCAAAATCAGAAACATTATAATGGTAAATTAAACACAATGCTTCGGAAATTATAAATATCAGAGCGTCGTCACTTCGCACAATCCCGGCGCCCGCATTGTTTAGCTGCTTTGTATTTTTTATAGCGTTATCATACACACATATATATATATATATAGTATATGCATATATATGCACAAAGGGTAGGTATACAATACAGTCAGCGTTTGGTATAACATCCTGTTTGATATTTAAAGAGCTACATAAATATTAAATCAAAATAATGCGTATCCAAGTCTTTGTGTGTCCCAGCGAACTGGGGAAAAACTTAGCGGATTTCGAGGCACATTTTCACAACAAAACATCTGCCTTTAGCAAGAAAGAAAAAAAAACGCCAAATATCACTATTATTATCATGAAATACGATATTTTTTTTTATTTGTTTTTGATTGAATAATGATTTTTCAGGGTCAAATAGAATTGAACGGTTAACGAATTTTTGAACAATTAGAGAACACGAACAGACCCATAATTCATAGTTTTGCAGCTGTTCCTATAAGAGAATGAAATCTGCAGCTCAGCTGATCAGAATTTTTAGCGTTCTTTGTTTTTATTTTTATATTGCCGTAAATTAAACAGGATATGAAATATACTACGTGTAACGATGATACAAAGAGGGAATTAGAATATCAGCATAGAGTATTGCTTTAAACTAAACAATTAATTCCCTAAACATACATATGTACTTATCTATAGTTTGATTCGGATCAAAACCGCATGTCAGCGGCAAAGAACACCCTTCAGCGCATTACTAAACCTTCCTTTAGTATTGATTTTAAAATGCCAAATAATATTTCTCACACAGCTTATTAAACCAGCTATTGCATGTGGTCGGTCGTCTATATCTAATAAACTTACGTACTAGCATACCCATATGTATGTACATATGTATGTGTACATATGAATTATACAATCCATAACAAAAATGTTCTGCAACTTTTCCCATATTTTTCTTTCTTTCTTTCACTCTCTTCTTCTTACAGACCATGCATAAGGAAAAAGTTTTAAGTACACAAAATGAAAACAAAGCAAACAACAAAGAGCATAAGTTAAATGGAGCCACAAAAGAAAATAGTGATAAAACAGGTCAGTAATATTTCCAACAACAAACAAAAAAGCTCTACTATATAATATATATACATGTGTATATATTGGATGCATAAATGTGTATATAGAAACTTAAAGGCCTGGCGCCATGATTGATTTCCATTGTCTAAAAATTTAGCCCATTGAATAAATTGACAGAATGACGTCGCTTCAGTTGAAAGTTGATTGATTGATTGATACATATGTACTCTGATTGAATCAACACGAATTTTATTTTCGGCAACTCTTCACTCTAACTATACTATTAATATTATATTATCTATCGATCATATGCAGATAAAAAAGCCTAAGTGTACAACATTTTTAGCCCATAATGCCTGTTCCAAATATAGAAATGATTAATCAATCGCGACCAGTACTTTGTAATTGCCACGATCAAATTGAAGCTTAAACATATCATTACAGATATTAATGTATAGAAGGCGTATATCGACCTCTTCTAAATGTTTATTAAAGATTATAAGTTTTTCGCGAAAGTGTTAATGAAATTCAAATTTATAAACTTGTCTTCCGATCAATCAATAGATTCAAAAGAATATTTACAAATTTGGGTAATTAATACATTAACTTAGGCCTTTTTTGTTTCCTTTTGCACAGGAAATGAAATATTAAATTTGTGCACAAAATCTTGGGGTTGTTATTTGTCAGAAAGGACATAGGAAATTTTTGCTGGTATTTCCTTGACATTTAAAAAATATAATTATACTTATGATTGTTAACAAACTTAATTTATTTGTTTACTTGTTCAACTAGAAATTATTTTACATTATTAATTAAATATTTGAGAACAAGAAAACCGCCTCAAGGATCTCAATTGACTTATTTGATTTTCTCAGAATTCTTATAAACAAAAAGGAGTGTTAATTTCATTATTCAGATAGTAGAACAGACCTGATTGAATGACATACATGCATACACATGTATATAAGGAAAGTTATTATAAAACTTTATTCGAAACTATTGCTTGTTTGCTTAACAGCAGTTGTGTTTTTGTTAAAGTACTGTCTCTGTTGCAGTTGTTCTAAGAATATACAAATTGTATATAGGACACGCAATTGTGCCTGATATTTCATACCTTATGTGTGTATTGTGTTTCAGTCGCCACTTTTTCAGTTTCAATCGATGGCACCACCTTCTCGTTTTCTATAACAGCGTAACAACAAATACAGACCTAATCAATTTTTAACTTGAACAAAAGAAAAACTTTTGTTGTCACACTCCTGCTGTTGATTGTGGCATGATTTCTTAATAAATTCGCTTGCAAACATTGGCGGGCACGAATTTGTTTAATAATTAATACTAATTGAATGAGGTGCCACAAAAGAATATATATTTACACTTGAAATGTGCGATCGATAAAGAAATAGATAGGCGGACAGCGGAGATAAAAAGAATCCCCGCTGCTGGCGAACTAAATCTGTAGACAAATAAAAATGCCAAAGCTTATCTCGAAAGGTGTGCCTGAATGCCTGCCCGGTAAATCTGATTCGTTGGGCTGGCGTTGCATTTTTATGACAGAATCTTAAAGCAATATCCATATATACGAGTTTGAACACGTTTTGCCGGATTAGGGGGTCTATAAAAGTGGGCTATCAAGAGCAGGTCTACCTGCCCTAAGTGCCTCGAACAAAGTTGAATATTTGAGCAGATTTGAGGCTTTATATTCTCGCGATAAGCAGGTGTAGTTGCCTAAAGTGCTTGAGATTGTTGTTATTGATTATAAGGAATTGTATAAAGGCGGTGCTCGAAATCAGAAATGCACAGAACGTGTTGTTGATAAAATGCTGAAATACTATAATTATTCAGCATACTCACTATATGTACATACATATGTATCTATATGTGTATATATGAAAATGATAATAATTATTTTTAACTTATAATGAAAATTTAAACATTTATAGACATTCGAAGCTATTTACTACTTTCTTTTTATACTATAATATATATTTATTTTAAAAAAGATGTGAATTAAAGAATGATTTTGAGGAATATGGATAGTTTAACAACCATCCTCTAACGGTCTATAATCATAATCTCCCCCAGAAATAAGTCTCATACGTTCATAAGTTATATTTGGTGCTTACCTCAGAACTTGCCATTAATTCTTATCACATACATACGTATGTATGTATGATTATAAAAAGCTTGTCATTGTACGTTATAGGGAGTTCCCCAGTTTTAAATACAACATCGTTTTACTTATCTCCCTCTTGATTTGTTTTCTTTGCAGTCAGTCTATTAAATAAAAAGGATGACAGCAGTGAATATGACCTCGTGCCGCCGGACGGTGGCTGGGGCTGGCTGGTGCTTTTCGGTTCCATGATGGTCAACATTCTGATACCGGGAACCATTAAGAGTTTCGGTGTGCTGTTTATTGAGTTCTTGGAGGCGTTTCAGGCATCACAGACAAAGGCTGCCTGGATTCCGGCGCTTTGCTACTTCCTTTACAGTTCGTTGGGTAAGTGTTCTGTCTAGCCTCACCTCTCAGACCTAATCTGTAACCTCTTTGTTCTAACGCAGGACCTGTATCGAGTATTCTCTCTGTAAAGTATTCCTATCGCACCGTTACCCTGCTGGGTGGTGCTTCAGCCTCGCTTGGCATGATACTCTCATACTGGGCTTCTTCCGTGGGCTATTTGTACATAAGGTGAGTTTTCGTTCATTCATCATTTCATCATTTGTCTTTAAAAGTCTCTTTGATTCCACATCGACTGTTTAAAATGTAAACTTTAAATGCATGTATCGAGCTTGATAATAAATTCAAAATAATTAAATGGTTGAAACAAATTTTGATACCTTTTATCGTACCAGAGTTTATAAATATTATTGAGGATATAAATTATTCAATATCAGTAAATCTTTATCAGAAGTTAGGCAATTGGAAATAGACATCTCCAGAAGCTTGATTCCACGCTCATAGACTGATGACTAAGAAATGGCAAAAGCAGAAATCTGATTTGTCAAGAAATTATGAAGGATAAAGAAAAAATGAAGATGTTTTGGAACGCCACAAATTTTGAATGGGAAAATTCTAGAATTTCTTAGAGGCTGATTTGATTTTAAATTAAAATAATATTTTAAATTAATATTTGTTGCTGAGGATAAAAAGAAAAGGAATAAAAATCTCTGTTTCCTGTTTGTACGCAAAATTGTGAACAGATGTTGTAGATAACTTTTAAATTGGAACTCAAACTGCGTTATTCTTGATATTTTGGATATGTGCTTAAACCAGATATAAATTTGGATTGAGAAATTTCGGATTTTTAATGGAAGAAATGAAACAAACGGGAAGCCTCAGAAATATATGCAATGGATTTAAACTATGACCGGATGTTTGAGGTGACAAAGAAGCGTAGTGTAATCCGGATTACAGAGAAGATGAATTGGAAACGGTATACATACAAACATATATAGTAGACCCTCGAAGCTCGAAATATGCTTGGAAAAGTATTCACTTTGTTGCTAAAAACGGACTCACGTCTTATATTACAGCTATGGCGTGCTGGTGGGCATCGGCGCGGGTCTATCCTTTCCGCCCACTGTGTACATTGTGACGTCTTACTTTGTGAAGCTGCGCGGCCTGGCCAATGGTCTGTGCATCTCTGGCAGCGCCCTGGGATCGATAATACTGCCGCCGGTGCTGCGTTGGCTTTTGGAGGAGTACGGCTATCGGGGCTCTTGTCTGATTATGGGCGGCATAACGCTGAATGTGTTTGTGGCAGCCCTTTTCTACGAGCCCGTCGAACAGCATATGGTGCGAGTGCCACGGGCTCGTCAGGCCCTCGACGATATTCCCGAAGAGGAGGATGTGGGCATAGTGATGAAGTTCGAGAATGTCGATGAGACCAGCACGCCCACAGATGTGGTTGGTGAGAAGCTTTTGCCCTACAATTCGCCACCGTCGCCGCTCTATCTGGATGGAGACGACGACGATAAGCAGCAATTTGTGCGGAGTGCATCGGCCGCCGTGGTTCAGAGCTATGCAAAGGCTGGTGATGAATTCCAACCGCACTCGCGGACGCGCAAAATCAGCACACCCGTCCGCCTGCCCCAACGGAATCAAACTTTCACGCCCGGTCAGCTCAATTCACAGTCCTCGCTGTATGCTGTGCCGGAGGGAGGACGGTCCAGCAATAAACTCACATTGCGGCACACATCGCGGACGCGTCTCGCACGCCGCTCGCCCTCGACCAGCAGTTTCTTGTACATCAGCACGCCCTATCATGGCAGCACATTGTCCTTTCAGCCCAAGGAGTTCAGCTCGCATTTGTCGCTGCGATCGGCGGGCAGTGGGACTGCTGGTGCGGAACCGCCGCTGAATGAAACGGGAGTGGGCGCTGCTACGGCAGACACAAAAAAGGAAGCCTCCAAGTTCTTCGATTTGAGTTTGCTCCGCGATCCCATGTATTTGGTCATCCTGATATCGAACTCAACCAATGCCATTAGCTATACCAATTTTATAATCCTGCTGCCGTCTTTCGGACTTGCTCTTGGCTTTGACAAATCCCTGTCGGCCTATCTGCTGTCTGTGGTGTCGGCGACGGATCTGATTGGACGCATTGGCGGCTCAGCGCTCTCGGATATGGGCCTCATACCAAAGACTTGGTATTTTGTCGGTGGTCTAACCATGTCGGGATTCTCGCTGGCCCTGCTACCCTTCGCCCATAGCTATGGAATGGTCTGTTTTTGGTGCGCCCTCTTCGGACTCGCCTCGGGCGTCTACGTGGGCATTACTGCCGTCATCATGGCCGACATGCTCGGCACCGAACGCCTCACTTCATCCTACGGCATCAGCCTGTTCGTCAACGGCATATTACAGCTTATTGGACCCCCCTTGTGCAATTACTGGACGGAGGCTGTCAACGACTATAATCCGCTCTTCCATACCCTTGGACTGACGCTCCTCGCCGGCGCCAGTCTCTGGATCTTTATGCCCTTCATTGAACGACGCAAGGCCAAAGAGGAGGAGCGTTTGGCACAAATCGACGAGGAGGCCGTGGATGGGGGTTATTAGTTGAAATGGAAAACAGAAGTATGGATATTGAAAAACATAAAACAGTGAGACAGACGGACGTACAATTAGTTGTTAGGCTTTAAATGCGTACAAAAGTGAATATTGAAGTGAATGGAAGTGAAGGAGTTTTGAAAGACGACGGCGCATGGTTTTATTATTTTGGGTACTTAGCGCAATGAAGGAAATGGAAATCGGAAATTGTGGAATGGAAATTGTTAATTTGTTTCTTCCAGCAGCTTATCGTCTTAATTGTTAAGTCTTAATTATATTACTGTACAATTATTGTTTACTTAAAATCCATTTATTTAATAGATTAAGTCGAAAGTGTAGAAAAATGAGATAACTATAAAGTGAAAACATATTTTTTGTATAAATACGCCCAAAAAGAAAAATAACTACAAAAAAAGCAGTAAAAAACAAGTGAACTAAAAAAATCATTGGAGTTTTCTTTAAATTATTATTTATTTCAGCAATTCTAAACAAACGAATTTTACGATCATCTAAAACTGAATATGAAAAGAGAATTCTCTCTGTGATTTTAAAGAAAATTTCTAGTACAAAGACAAAAGAGAGTTTTAATAAAATAAAGAATATTTTATTTATTTATTACATTTAATAATACTTTCTTGTTATGAGACTAGCAGAGGAGCGCTTCCAGAATGGTTAAGATAATTAACCCGAATTTCTAATTAATTTTTAGATAAAACCCGCAACTTAATGTTAAAAATTTCATCACTTATATGTTCAGTATTGCAATTGAAGAGGAGGTCGACCAGATTGTTGAGACTAATTTAGTTATAATCCAAAAATAATGTTCAAGGGAAGATTCCAAGAACCATTCATTTCAGTCCGAACTAGAATAATTAAAAATGTATTCTTGAAATGCGAAACCCAGCAGAGGGATTCCAAACAATTACCAAAAGTGGAGCGCAATGCTTCATCACTTATGTGCTTAGTTTAAGAATCGAGAGGAGAGGAGACTTTTTATTTAACAATGTGCTCTTGCTAAGCGATACACAGAGGAAGGCGTCCAAAAAGATTGATCAACTGTAGCCAAATTCGCAATTTAATATATGTAGATCATGTCCGAAAATCATGCTCCAAACTTTCTCATACTAAGCACAAAATATTAAGAGAACCGCAGCGAGGGGTGTCCACAATTATTAAATTTTAATTTAAGAAAACACCAAAAATTAACAAATGTTCAAAATTGCATCACTTTAGTTCTTAGTATGAGGATCGAAAATATACGCGCCCAACAATATTTTTATATACAAATATTTAATGTTATCAGAAGCACGGAGCAGAGCGTCCAGAATTATCAAATATTAATTTAAGAAAATTACAAAAGACAAAAAATGTTCATAATTCCAACACTTAAGTTCTTAGTATGAGAATCGCAGAGGAGAGCGCCGAAAAATATTTTTATAAAAGTATTTAAATTAATTATTACATTTAAAATGCTTGTCCAAAATATTGTCACTTATGTGCTAATTATCAGAATGGTAGAGAAAGACGTTCAGAATGTTTATATAAATTGGTCGAAATAGTACCAATTTTAATTAAATGAACACAACAATGTAATTGCAAAGACTTTGAGTTTCCTGTTTTCAAGTGAAAACTGGATTCAATGCTCACACACATATAATTTGTTGCTGCACACATAGAATTCGTCGTCCCCTTCAATCAATTTTAAGGAATAATAATAACAAAATGTTGAAATGCCAGATACGTGTATAATAAATGGATATAATATAATAATAACAATACATAAAATCATAATTGCAATTCGATTACGTTTTGTTGTTTATGGCCTTTACTTTTAAAAATCCCTTGGAACGAAGATAACGCACTATAAACGGTGCCGATCCTAATGTTATGCTTAATCTAACAGGTGCGAAGACCTTATGGACAGCATAGGCGACCACAAATGTGCTGCCGGTGGCAATTTTATCGGAAATAGCCTGCGACTCGATTCCAAGGTATTCCAGAACAGGCATAACATTTATTCCACTAGAAAGAGGAAACAAAAACAATATAACGTTTTACAGATTGGTGAGAGTTCTAAAGTACAAAGATATGAAGAATTTGCATAAGCCAATTAATTGGGGAAATCGGAGACTATTTGTATAAACAGGCAATTATTTGCAACAAGGCTTATGCAATTTCTCAATAGGCCTAGGAATGCACATTATTTGGCTTTGTTAGTAATTGGCGCATGCAAATGGACGCTATTTGTTAGGCATACCTGGACACGAGCAAGTAAAAACCGCCCAGCGATATAAGCGAGATGCCGACATGAAACACTACAATGGTGCTGCCGTACTCTTTAACAGCGTTCTTCAGTTGCTCCTTCCTGCTTGGCTTTTTTCCACATGCTGTCTCTGTTGCTTGTTCCTTTGTTGCCTGTTGGGGCGGGGTCGCTTGTGTGCTGTACCTGCGCGCAAATTCTGCGAAACGTGCTATGTACAGAGTGTGTTTGTGTGTGTGAGTGAGCTTATGATTTGATTAATATATGCGCAGCCGCATAGCATGCAACAGGTGGGCTTCGAATGCAACAAGTGCTTTGCTCACCTTTGTTTGGTTGCCGAGCCAGCATAGTGGCGTTTTGATCGTAGGCAGCCCATTCAGCACGTGCGCTGTCACGAAGCGCGCGGTAGTGGGAGCTGGTCAAGTCCTCGGACATAAATTTATACTCCTGCGACCACTGACCACCCGGCATGTTCAGGTGCGAGAATTTGTGCATGCCACCAAATGGTTGGGGCACGTTACTCTGCATGGCAGAGTTTAGGCTGACGGCACCGAAACAGTCATAGGACTGCACATGCGCATCCTGGCTAGAAACCGATTGGGCGCCAAGGCTGTTGTCAGTTGTAATGTCAATCGTTGAAATGGGCGCTTGTGCGGACATCACCGTTGCTGTTATGTCACGAGAACGTTGCGCGGAGAAACGCTGCGTAAGCTCCGCGGCGTCTACATTTTCCGGTAGCGGCAATGGGGCAGCGGCGGCATAGTTATGTGCCCGGGCACTGGTGTGAAGCTGTTGAACGGCTACAACAGGACAGAGCAAATACATACATATGTACATTATTATATACTAGTTGTTAACTGCGTAGTTCAACATTTTTGGCAGGCGACCAGAGTGCAAATTCCAAATGGGATCTCATTAACAAATGAAACAGGCACATATAATATACATATGCATAAACTTTTCCATAAAGAATTATTTTGTTTGCGTATGTGTGCATACGCAAATTAAATTAAATCTACAGCATCTGGCGTTGTCGCCGCTACTATCTGTGATTATTGTTATGGTCTGATTGCGACAATTTCAGCAGTTCAATGAATTTGACCTTTAGACTAGCAATATGTTCAAAAGCGTGTGTGATTTGCAACACAATTACATTATTTCTTACCTGTGTACTTCTTTACTAACTGTACACCGCCCCGCACACCATTTGTTTGCAAACGCGATCCTAAGTATATAAACATAATGTAACGATTGGCAAAACAAACGTCTGTGCAATAAATAAACTCTTGGCGGAAACAGCTGTTGTCAATGGAACTGTCAACTCATTGGAATTTTACTATTGCAGCTCCCAGACTGCCAACTGCCATCAAATATATAACCAGTATTGTCACATGTAATGCGTATTTGAAATCCTATTTAAAAGGCAAATGTATCTGAAATTTAAATTTGCTTGATAAAGTTCTACAACATGTATTTGGAATTTATTTTAATGCAAAACCATTATGCTATTTAGCTTGACGTATAAACCATCTTACACGTAAACATTTTAAATCATTGAGTTCATTATAGAATAACAGATTCCACAGATTGTTCATTTCCATTATTCGAAATAAATGTAATTTCTTCGGCCAAACAATTTGCCGCGGTCCAGTAGCGATGTGAAGGTATTATTTTCAGAATAGCATTATTTTCTTCACATGATTCAATATGTTACAAATGGCCACCAAATTTGAAACGTTTGAGCACCTCCAAAGCAATTTTCCAGTACATAGTTCCCAAGTTCCCAATTTTAATGGGAAATTGTTACAAAATGCATTGCTGCGCAGCTTGTGACTAAAAGAAAGCAGGATTCAGTGAAGCTAGGTTCATTTTATACTGTCATGTGGGTTTTTATATTAAATTTGGGACGATTATAATAAAAAATATCAACAGAAAATGTTAATTTAATCTCTCAACTTTTTTGAAAATTTAAAAGAATAAATCAAACAACATTTCTTAAAAATATGTTTTTCATGTATAAATAACTAAAAGAAAAAGTGTTTGAGACATCGAATGCTTTCCCGTGACAGTTCAAAAGCTCGTGGGGTTTCTGTAAAAGAAAATTTTAATATATGATAGTTTTTTTTGCATTTGTACAAAATAATAGCTTACAGAAGATTTCAAGACGCCGCTTTTTCTCAGCAATTTCTAGTTCCAGAAGTTCGATTTTTAGATCAAAAACTTTCAGTTCCCTCTTATGTTTTTCAGCAGCGTATTTCGATTCGTTTTTGTAAAAATTCTGCTGAATTTTAATCAAAGCTTTTTTCTCCTCTTCCATTGTACACTCTGGCTCGTCGTGCATATTTTCTCGTTCCATCATATTTCCTGCTTTCCTTTGTTTGAGAGGGATATGATTTCGAATTGAAGTTGATTTTGGAGTCTTATACTCATACACTGTAGACTTCTGTCTGGCTGGCGTGTGCGGTGAAAGTTTCTGAAACATTTTCCAATGTGTAACAAACGCAAAATGTAGCATACAATGTACAAACTACCTCTGTCTTAATATGCAAAACTGGTTCAAATAGTTCATCATTGTTTTCTATAAAAAGTAAGAGTTTTAGAGAGGGATGACAATTGTAGTTGAGCGGTACTACCGTCACTGCCATATGTGCTTTGCTGACAACTAGTTAAAGGACGTAAAAATCTTGTGTGATTTTTAGATTCATATCCGTTTGATGTGGTAGTACTACCCAGGGTGGGATATGGTTGCGGTGCTTCCGTGGCGAGTTCCCTTTTAGATTTCCTTTTCAAATTTTCATATTTCTCCTTCAATGTCTTCCAGGAGCGTTCAACTCCAGATTGGGTGACAAAATCTTCCATTATTTTCTCCCATGCGGCCATCTTCTGCCTCCATGTCGCTGCATCCGACTTTCTATTATCTATAATATCCTTATGCCCTTTCGTTAGCTGTATTAGAAGCACCTCCTCCGACAGCGAGAAGTTTTTTCCGCGCACTCTTCTGGATTTTTCATCCATTTTCATCACTTTTAGTTATGTGTTTTGTCAGTTACGGCGTTGCCACGTGTAAAGGTAAAAGTGATTAAATATGTCAATGTTAACTGACATTGTACATACTGAATATATCTATAAACGTGCCTGCATATGTACATATGTAATTATATTTGTAATGGGAATGCAGTAATGAGACATAATATATTATGTAATAATACTCTTATTTTAACGTCCTTTTCTTTTTCAAAGGGCCGTTTCTGCTAAACATCGATTACTTATCGATACGCAATCATTCAGTGAAACGTATCGATTACGCGTTGCCAACCACATAAGATTTGTACGGTATTTTCTAGTGCATTTCGTTTGGAATGATCGCATTTGGGGTTATTTAGCAAAACAATTAGGTTTAATTTGTACAACAACCCTAGTGACAGCGCCTTTGGAAGTGAAAATTGTTTTTGCGATATTGTTATTACACATTTGGTGCAAATTATAATGCGCTCGGACTCGGGGATAACCGCCTACGCACAATTTAACAAAAGTGCCCAATAAAAAGCAAGAAAAGCAATATGTGCGCATCGAGTTGAGGGCGCATATTTGCAACGTGACGCAGACGCACACAAGCTTAATGCAAAAACAAGTCGTAAATACAATAAAGAGTTAATAATTTTGTCACACAGGGAGTGCGTTAAAAAGCACCAGCACCGAACGCGCGCGTGTGTGTGCAACTGTGGCGGGGTGTGCGGCAGCGCTGTTGTGGTCAAGATGTGAATTTAGCTACGAATGTTGGTGCGACGCCCAAAGACCAAAACAAAACCCCACTGCCAGGACAAATGAGGCTAAATATAGCGTGCAAGCAGACAAATAAATACAAAAACATAAAAAAGCGGAACATTTCACAACAACTAATTGCATAGTGTGTGTGTTTGTGTGTGCGCGATTGTAGAAAGTGTGGACGTCAGGCGTTGGTCAGCTCAGCCGCAAGCCATGTCCAAAATAACGCTGACCACCTTAACGCATGGAAGCAGTAGCAACAGCAACAACGACACACGTACAGGCACCCTGACCCATCTTATGGAGGAGCACCATCATCATCACCACCACACAACTACTGCTGCTGCTGGTGGCGGTGCTGCTGGCCTGATTTCCGATGGAGCAGAACGTTTGCGCCGACAAGGCAGTCGGATGCAAAGTTCGCGCTTCGCCTGCATGCGTTGCTGCGGCAATTTCCTTACCTATTTGGTGCGCCTGCGCAGTACGCCCGAGGAGCTCGAACAACGCTACAAGTCCAAAGAAATTGATAAGTCTCTGGAGCGAGAGAGGCATACGTTTCGACGGCAGGTAAGCAGAGCCAAGGGCGGTCGACAGTGCCACTGGGCAGCTGGACATTTAATTAAGCAATTAGCATTAATTTCATTTGGACCCACACAAATGCGCAAGCATACAGACAAAAAAACAAACATATGTACATATACATATATCTACATGTATACATCCGGTTGTGCGCCCGCATGAGTTGGCCCAACATACTAACACATACAGACACACAAACACAGCTAAAACGCTAGCCAGAGACGAATTTTCACTTTCTTGCATTTGTCTTATTGTTGTTTTTGGGTTTGGCTCTGGGTTTTTATTGTTGCATCATTTAGCCAATCAAAGTTTTATATTCACATTTCGACAAAAGGCATTCCATTTAGCTGTGGCTTTTGTCGGTCAAGGTTTTTAATTTTGCACGTACATACTTGTACTTCAATTAGATTATTTATAATGAATGGGGCTCATTCATTCCTTTATTCATTAATTTGTTTTTGTGTGTTCACATATTTAGGTAAAACTACTGCTCTTGGGCGCGGGCGAATCGGGCAAGTCCACCTTTCTGAAACAGATGCGCATCATACACGGCGTCCACTTTGAGGCCGAACTGCTGCGCGAATACCAACATGTGATATACCAAAATGTTATAAGAGGTATGCCACACAATACACTTTATTCCGAATGCAATTCTATTGATTAAAGTTCCACTCCTAGGTATGCAAGTCTTACTCGATGCACGAGAAAAACTTGGCATCTCTTGGGGCAACGATGGACGGGATCAGGATGCTAACGATGCCAAATCAATGGAATGCAATGCTATAGAGGCCGCTAAATTTATAGAATATGCACCGCTCATACAACGACTGTGGCAGGATCGTGGCATACGACGTGCCTACGAGCGAAGACGCGAATTTCAAATTGTAAATACAGCTTTGGGTAGAACTTTTTTTCTGACAACGTATATTAAATGATTGTCTTTATTTTAGTGTAATTTAATGTTTGAAAATTAATTTAATGTACAATTTTAAAGCGATTAATTTCGTTATTTTTTTAGATACGTAAAAATACTTTTAAGAGCTCTCTAATTGAAAACATCATTCATAATTTATATTGAAAACTGAACCAACTATATTTCAGAGCGATTCTGTCAGCTATTTTCTAGACGAAATCGAACGTCTAGCCAAACCTGATTATGTGCCCACACACAAAGATATACTGCACTGTCGCAAGGCAACGAAAGGTGTCTACGAGTTTTGTGTCAAAATACAGGTGAGTGGCTGAGGCAGTCGCTGCAATGTCAGCAAAACTCACATATTTATGTGTAATATTATCATCAATTATGTTTGTTTTTCTTCTTGCAGCACATTCCATTTGTATTCGTAGATGTGGGCGGTCAACGCACGCAGCGTCAAAAGTGGACCAGATGCTTTGATAACTCGGTCACATCAATTATATTTTTAGTGTCCAGTTCGGAGTTCGATCAGGTGCTTGCTGAAGACAGGTTAGTGATCTAATTTTTTAACATATAAATGACCAAATGCGCATAATAAGTTGTTACAATTATTGATGAAATAGGGAACAAACGATATTGGTTTTAAAAAATAGAAAATCGCCTTGTTTTAAGTTAGCGCATTTATTGCTATACAAAAAATGGTTTTTATCTACTATTTAAAATGTAATGCTTACTTTTTCAATTATTCTGATATTATTCGGTTTATCCGCTACCGGTTTCTTTGAATTAAAGCCAAACATTGAAACTTCTTGCTGATGACGTTTTTCACTCTAACGTTAACATTTATAAGTGTGAATAAGTTTAAGTTATAGACAAAATTGCATAACTACAGTGAAGGAGACTTTGTGGCAGATATCCAAGGCAGCCTTTACATGCTGCACAACAGAAATTTGTGGCCAGATCGGAAATACATTAAACCATTTATCCACATTTACACATTACAGAAAGACAAATCGCCTGGAGGAATCCAAAAACATATTTGATACCATTGTAAACAACAACACATTTAAAGGCATTTCAATAATATTGTTTTTGAACAAAACGGATTTGCTTGAACAAAAAGTACGGAATCCAGAGACTGATATACGCTGGTACTATCCACAATTCAATGGGAATCCACACTCGCTGCTGGACGTCCAGAATTTCATACTGCAAATGTTCATGAGTGTGCGTCGCAGCAGCACGAGTCGCATTTATCATCACTTCACCACTGCCATAGACACGCGGAACATCAATGTGGTGTTCAATTCGGTTAAAGACACAATATTGCAACGAAATTTGAATGCACTGATGCTGCAGTAGGATGCACTGAGTGTTGATAAAGGGACGCTTGAATCTCGAAGCTAGAAACTCTGACAATCTATATAAAAACACGAAAATATTTTTATATAAATATTGTATACATATACAAATACTATGGAACAAGTGCCAGCTTTCAATTTTGCACGGTCCGAGCCGCGCCGTCCGTTTCAGCGGCAAAACGCATTGTTGTTACCTTTTTAAATTAGTCGATAAAATATGAAAGGAAATGATTATTTTTTTAGCATTTACATGTATTATGCTGTATGTATTTTATTTAATTTATACATAAGTGTACATAAACTAAAAACTGTGTGTGTTCGCAACGGCCGCTACCTATAACCATAAACGACAGCTAACTGAAAACAACGATCGAGTGTGCCGTTCTATTTTTTATAAACATATTTATTGAATGCAGTGGGCGGAAGCCTCTGCATTTTGCAAATGCTACCAAAACGTACTAAGCTCCGTATTTTTTTTATTTTTTATTAAGCAGTTCATTTTGCTATTACGATGTTATATTATTATACTATAGATCTAGAGCATATACACGCATATACATATATTTTATAGAACCGAGTATATACATATTATAGTTTACACGGAAGGCGAGAGCTAAACTTTAAGCAGCATTTTCTCAAAGAGAAAAGTCAACAAATGTACCAATAAAAATAAAAAACATTTAAAAAACAACAAGAACCAACGTTAATAAAAACTATAATACCAATAATATTCGCATGACTTTTAATCCATTCAACATTACATTTTATCCTAAATCATCTAATGACTTCAAACATTTAAAAACAAGAAAAAATATCAATTCCAACTATAATTCAAATAATATTTATATGACGTAGGCAGTCAATATTCGTGTGATTTACAAAAACAAACATTGTTTGGTAACACTTATTCCTGATCATTTCCAAAATATCGATAAGTTTGGGACATCGATGTTTCATTTTATTTCAAAAACTTACTCAACAAATGTACCAATAAAAATAAAAAACATTTAAAAAACAACAAGAACAAACGTTAATAAAAACTATAATACCAATAATATTCGCACGACTTTTAATCCACTCAACATTACATTTTATCCTAAATCATATAATGACTTCAAACATTTAAAAACAAGAAAAAAGATCAATACCAACTATAATTCAAATAATATTTATATGACGTAGGCAGTCAATATTCGTGTGATTTACAAAAACAAACATTGTTTGGTAACACTTATTCCTGATAATTTCCAAAATATCGATAAGGTTGGGACATCGATGTTTCATTTTATTTCAAAAACTTACTCAACAAATGTACCAATAAAAATAAAAAACAACAAGAACCAACGTTAATAAACACTATACCAATAATATTCGCACGACTTTTAATCCATTCAACATTACATTTTATCCTAAATCCTATAAAGTGATCAAACATTTAAAAACAAGAAAAAGATCAATACCAACTACAATTCAAATAATATTTATATGACGTAGGTAGTCAATATTCGTGTGATTTACAAAAACATAGATTGTTTGGTAACACTTATTCCTGATAATTTCCAAAATATCGATAAGTTTGGGACATCGATGTTTCATTTTATTTCAAAAACTTTCTCAACAAATGTACCAATAAAAAACATTTAAAAAACAACAAGAACCAACATTAATAAAAACTATAATACCAATAATATTCGCACGACTTTTAATCCATTCAACATTACATTTTATCCTAAATCATATAATGACTTCAAACATTTAAAAACAAGAAAAAAGATCAATACCAACTATAATTCAAATAATATTTATATGACGTAGGTAGTCAATATTCGTGTGATTTACAAAAACAAACATTGTTTGGTAACACTTATTCCTGATAATTTCCAAAATATCGATAAGTTTGGGACATCGATGTTTCATTTCATTTCAAAAACGTACACAGATTATTCCGTTTTATATAATAATTCCCGAAACCGAAATAGATCCAAAAACAAATTTATGTTTAATAATAAAGTGCACAAAAAGTTTAATCGAAAGCTATTCATTGTAGGTTCTATTTCCTTAACTAATAAAAATATTTCGCTAGTTCAGTTGGAAACAACAAACCTTTAAATTGTGCGGAAACGGAAACATGCCTATAAACCTATAATCTGTTGATTAAAAAACATTTATAGACTTTGGCATAAGAACGTTCATAAATTAGTTTTTGACTTAAATTATCTTTCTTTTTTTGTATATTAATACTTAATACACAAAGTTGGTATAAAATAATTAAAATTATATTAAAAATTTAAAATAATACATAAATAGGTATTGTCCGAGAATGATAGCCTTAAAAACCGAAATGAAAAAATATAATAATTTAATATTGATAACATTTATTTATGAATTTATATATTATCCATGATCTTTGAATTACGAATTCCTTTCACTATCTGCTTTCCTTTAAGTAACAGTAAGATCTGAAAATTAAATTAATCTGTCTGCTTATAATTTTTTAATTGCTAATAACTGTATCTTATCGGAACAAAGGCCGGCAAGATTACAAACCAACCAAAAGAGTTTTTTTCATCATATCTTTGATATATAAGAGCGATTTCAAGCCCACAAATGTCTCAGTTATAGAACTGAAAGTTTGCGGAAAGGTAGAATACCATTCGAGGAAATGTATTTCAAGTCACTGCTTCTTTTAACTATCCTGATTCACATATCAAATGGCTTTTATAATAATACATTCATTAATGCGAGTATGTATAATTCTATTAATTTGAAAATGGGACCCATTTAAGTATGATTGAATTCTTCTAGTACTAACTTCTGAACAATGCTTTTGTAACAATTTTCCGCTACAAATTGGAAGGAAATATTTGCATATTGGAAACTATGAGAAGGTAAATTGGTATAAAGCAGCCCACAAGTGCCGAGAAATGGGTGGGGATCTGCTAAATATTGAATCGAAAGATGAAATGGATGAGATTCTAAGAACAGTGCCATTAAACCGATACTGGACATCGGCAAATCGTCTTAATGGAGCTAAGAAGTATATTTCCCTAGCCACAGGGCTACCAATGCCATACACGAAATGGAGTCATGGAGAGCCCAATTACGATAGAGAACAAGAAAAATGTGTGCAGTTATTTTACAGTTCTATTGACGCCTGGGAATGTTTGGATAGCTTGCGGTTTATATGCCAAGCGAGATTAAATTAGTCACAGTTCTTCGTATACGAAAAGTCTGTTATTTCAAAGTCTTTTATTTTCTGAATAAATTGGTCATATCTTGTCAAAAATTTCATAAAATTGTTTCGATTACTATCAATTTAATTCTTTTTTGTATCGATGTAAAAAACTAAAATATGCAAGAATACTTATAGGCTAAAAATTAAAATATGAATAATATCTAATATTTCGCTCTCTAATAATTTCTCTCCGACCATTCTTGGCACGATTCAAACCCCAAAGTTATCAAAGACGTTGTTAGACCTAACTTTAAAGAATTATTAATGAAAAACAATAAATTAAAAAATAAAAGAAGGATACTACTACTACATATGAATTCAAAATAGTTTAAATTTGCCAAATTTTTTTTAGCTAGTCCGGCAACAAATTCACCTTTCGAGGTGGCTTAAAATACGTTTAGTCAGAAAGGGGGGTGTGGTTGCCAGTAAACGAATAAATTCGTTATAATTTGCGCTTGAGCAGTCAGAATTCTGATAAAACAAGGTGCTAAACGAGTACTGGGACCCTAGTTTAAATCAAAAAATGTTTTTGCACCGGTTCAATCCATAAGAAATTGTTTCAAATACTTTTAGCTGTTAATCGTCTATTACTTGCATGTTTTACTGGCATACTATTTATTGCATTTTGGAAATACTTGTAAGTTGTAATACACGATGGCGTGTTACACACAGAAATATTGTACTGCCGAATTCGGGAGAAAAAGGTGGAAAAACAATTCTAAGCTATTCATTGTAGGTTCTATTTCCTTAACTAATAAAAATATTTCGCAAGTTCAGTTGGAAACCGCGCCGCAAGATCTTTACTCAACAAACCTTTAAATTTTGCGGAAACGGAAACATGCCAATAAACATATAATCTGTTGATTAAAGAACATTTATAGACGTTGGCATAAGAACGTTCATAAATTAGTTTTTGACTTAAATAATGGTTCTTTTTTTGTATATTAATACTTGACGTCCATAAACTCCTTATCGAAAGAAAGGCCGACAAAAATACTAATTATGTCAACATAATATTTACCTATCATGCAACATTTGCTATATAAGCGATTTTAAATCGTCAGAAGTTTCAGTTTTAAGAAAGCACATTTAGAAATGTATTTCATTAAAATTATCCTATTGGCCACGCTCGTACATTTCTCATATGGCCTTTATAATGATACAGTCACTACTGAGGGTGAGAGCTAATTTATTATTATTTATTACAACATGGCACAATCAAAGGATTAATTTTTCCAGCGCCGTCCGACATTTCAACTACGATTTCGCAATGCTCGTGTAACAATTTCCCCATACAAGTTGGAAATAAGCTGTTACACATTGGAAACTATACTCAGATAAATTGGTTTGAAGCAGCTCATAAGTGTCGCGAATTGGGTGGCGACTTGCTAAATATTGAATCAAGTGAGGAAATGGATGAGATTCTTGAAAAAATACCAACAAACCGCTATTGGATATCGGCAAACTGCCTGGCCGAAACAAAAACATTTATATCCTTAACTACGGGGATAGCAATGCCCTATATGCGATGGGGCGCAGGAGAGCCCAATTTTTGGGGCACCGATTCTTATTGCGTAGAGATAAAACGAACAACTCTAAATGATGAAGTATGTAAATACAATTTGTGGTTCATTTGCCAAAAAAAAATATTTTGAACGGCTCTAAGCTTGATAATAAATAGAGGACAACCAACCTCGCTGTAAATATTTTGAATATTCAATTATTAAATATTAAATAAATTTTAAAAACGCAAACTAAAATAAATATTAAATTGGGTGAGAAAATTTATGATATGCTAAGTACATACTCCATCAAAAATCAAACCGCTGCTGGACATCGGCATATTGCCTGCCTGCTGTAGATAGAACAGATAACGCATAATCAAATAATTACATATGTAGATATATTGCCTTAGGAGACGAAAATTGAGCTTAACCTTTTAATATGCTACCAAAAATCCTATTTAATTAAACCCATATCAAATTGCAGCATTAAATTATCTTATTCTTTTAACAGGAACCACCATAGAAACTGCTTTAACTTCCTTTCCATCTAGTTACATATAAAGTCAGCTATTTTATTTACGTTTTGGTTTGTTTTTCAACTACGTGTTTAATTTTTGGAATGTCTTAAAATCGTCTTAACTGCTATTCATATTTTCAGTTTCGTTAAAATTGCTTATAAATTATAGTTTGAAATAAAAAATAAATACATATTTTTTAAATATACAACAAATGTATAAAATACAAAATACTTTTCCTTCTCTGCAAATAAATCAACCGTAAATGTGCATTGTACAATATTGTTAATATCAGTGTGTAGTTACTAATTATGGATAATTTCCAAGCAGAAATGTGATGTACTTTCGTTTTCCGTTTCAGTATCCGATAATGTTTATAATAAGATTACTTAAATCAGGCATATACTAACACAACACTAGCGCGCACTTTGAATTACAAATACATTCAATGCCGAGTAATAACACACATTTGTAGCATCCATAGTCATGTAGCGGCGAATACCCCGGGAAGTGTAGTGGGCATTGGAAAGTGTCAGGACGTCCCTCAGCCTCCTTGACTAGTATTGTTGCTGCCAACGGTGCCAGAGGCATTGTCATTGTTGCCAAGGCCAAGGCCGCTGCAACAATTGCTTTGCGCGGCCTTTGCACTTAGGCTGCTGAATCCTAGTCCTATGGAGCCGCTGTCGGTCTGCCGCTGTGCCGCCGTCGTGGCTGCGCTGCTACCGTCTTTGCTGCGCGCCTGATCGATGAGTTCAGCGGCTATCTCATAAAAAAGCCTCTCTACGTTCTCCGCTTCTTTCGCGGAGGTCTCTAGAAAGTACATTTCATGTTGTTTGGCAAAGTAATGTCCCACTTCCGTGGGTATTTCACGATCATGTCGATCCGTCTTATTGCCCACGAGAATTTTGAGAACCTTTATGTTGGCGTACTCCTGAATTTCGCGCAACCAGTCGGGCAGACAGTCAAACGTTGGCTGACAACTGATATCGTAAACGAGTATGAGTGCGTGTGCAGATCTATAGTAACTTTGTGTTATTGAACGGAAGCGCTCCTGTCCCGCAGTATCCCAGATTTGTAATTTTATCTTTTCGCCCTCCACCTCCACTGTCTTAATCATGAAGTCCACACCAATTGTCGCGCCCTGGCCCGGAGGGAATAGGCCTTGGGTGAAACGCCGCACCAGACAGGTCTTACCAACGCCCGCATTGCCCACCAGCACAATTTTAAATAGGAATTTGTAGTCCTCCATTGCACCACCACTTTGAAAATTTGCTGTAAATACACACACATATTACATATCTGAAGACACACCTTAGTCAGCGACGCGTAACATTTTGTGTCTTTGCTGACTTACTACTGCCTCTCACCTGTAGCTTTAGTGGTTAGCACACTTCACCAAGCCCAAGGCTACTGCTGCTGCTGATTAAATGCTGCTCTATTTTGGTAACTTGATGACTCAACAACAATTACATTGCCAGCATACGCTATTTAAGGTTTATTTTCGTAGATTCGATTTTACATTTACACAGCTCTCCATTAACGTATCCTATCGTGCTACAACTCTACATTCCAAGCTACGTTTGCATAGGCAGCTATTCATGCTTGTTGAATCAGAATAAGTGCGCTTCAAATTATTGCCTCAATCCCAAACCTGCGTATAAAAATATAAACAAATCGATTGAAATGACGACAGCTAGGCAAAGTGGCAGCACTGGCAGGCTTAACAATTCTGTTGTAGTAAGGCACTGTTAAGTGTATGTTAATTACAATACGTTTTATTAGAACCAATTAGTTAATTTTTAACCGTCAAACAGCAGTAGGGCATGCTTATTAAAAAGCACTCTCGTATTTAAGGATTTAAAGGAGGGAATGATGTTATACTATAACATAGAGGAAACTTTCTATAATTTGAGTCGTGTTCGTGATTCACATCACTTAATGCACCATACTTTTCCTCTTTATAGTGGTATTTTAAAGCTACAAAGAAACGGTCCCTCTAAAAAGTATGTGCACAAAACGTATAACAAACAAATACATTTTGGTTCTGTGGCTAAGAAATGAATCCGTTAACTAATATAAAAAACGTCACAAAATTAAGTGAATATGAACTACAAAATGGTAGTGGGAAAAGTTGGCATGATATGTATCGCGACTCTGCATGGATATTTGTCGGTGGCTTCTCATATGCATTGACAGAGGGTGATATTATCTGCGTCTTTTCCCAGTACGGCGAAATAGTAAACATAAACTTGGTACGAGACATAAAGACCGGTAAATCTAAAGGTTTTTGCTTTTTGTGCTATGAGGATCAAAGGTCAACTGTCTTGGCGGTTGACAACCTAAATGGAATCAAAATAATGGGTCGAACAATGCGAGTGGACCATGTGGCTGACTATAAGCCCCCCAAGGATAACGCTAAACTTGATGAGGAAACGTTGCGGCTCTATATGGAAGGATGTGCGCCAAAGCCTCTGACAAAGCCGTCACATGACAGTGATAAGAAAAACCATTTGGATCATAAGATTAAGAAGTAAATAAAAAACCATATTTTAGCTATTAGGTTTACTCTGTTTCATTTATTTTCACTAGGGAATTGTACAATTAATTGAAATGTGTATTTAATAAAAAATTAGTTTTTTAAAAGGTGAATTGTTGCCGATAAACATCACTAACTAATTTTATTCATATAATATCCTCTTAGGCTCTTTCAAAAGATTAATCGAACACGCTCCAAAAGCAAAATGTTTTGTTCGATTAATAGATCGTGAGTAAACCACAAATTTCGCTTCGTTCAATGTTTTGTGGTCTCTAATGAAAGACAGTGTAGCATACCGATATATCGATAACATCTTCAGAAAGAATAGTTCACCTCTAACACAACATAGCTAGCCACGCTTTACGGAGAAAAAAGATTGAAATTGAAACTATACTGTGTTTAAAAACGTAAAATTGGATAAATAAATTCGTAAGTGATCTTGCGAGTTGCGTGCCAACAATTGTTTTAGTTTCTTTAAACGTGTCCGACCACAAGGGCCAGCATTTTTGCATTTCTGCAGACCCACAAGCCGTGCAAAAAAAATCCAACATGGCCGAGGACTTCGATGTGGAAGAAATGCTCGAGGCACCGTACAATAAAAACGTAAGTGCCAATTGCACGTGAAAATCTCTCTAATACTCTAAGCAACGGTTTGTACAAAATTTCTCAATGAAAAACAGTGCATTATATGTATATTTATACTTTTTTCTACATAGACACCCACAGCGACATGCGTGTATGTATGTAAGTTGTCTCAGACACACACGTACACACATGCATACATACTACGTATGTATATGTATACTAAGTGGCTCTCGTCTCAAATCGATTTTTAACCTAAATTAAATCGGCATGCATGCAATAAAAACAAACAGTGTCGCCTATCGTAGAATGCGTCTGTTTGCCAACGCTACCATTGCTGCCACTGCCACACAATATGTATGTAATTTTCTCTTCATACTTGAGTGAACTATGCACACGCCCACAAATACCAAAAGCGTCTGCACTTGTGTGTGGATGCGTGGGTGAGGATTGCGTGTCGTCTATAACTTGAATGCTATCTGATTTTTTCATCAAAATGCTAGTATACTGGCTTCACCTGGTGAAGTTTCCTACGATAGGATGGTTAACGCGGCTCGTTCGTTATGGGGTGACTCTGAATACGTACTGTTAGGATTTTTTTTAAAAGGATGTGGAACTACAAATTTTACATGTGAAAGTTTTGGGGTTTTTTTGTAGTTTAATGTAATTTTAAACCCAATTACCATAATGGGGGATTATATTAAGCTTTGCTAACATTTATTACCTTCATGTTTTCGCGCATGGTTGCGTTTTGTTTCGATGAACTAAATTTTGTGAAGCAATAAATATCGCTGTTTCCTTTACAAGGCACATTTATTCACACGAATAATGTGAACGGTGCAGAATCTATATAATATATGGTGGTTCAGAGCAGACTTAAATTCAATAGCTGGATATCCTTCAAAATTGGTCCTTAGGCTAGTTCATTTAATCATCAAGTCCAATAGTCGAGATCATTCTATCTTGATTTTGTTGAATCAGTTTTATTCCAAAACTTTTTAACATAAACGTGCTCATCAATTGTGTGTGGAGCTGGGTATTTGGCTCTTCTCTCTCACTTTTTCTCTGCATTAAGCAAATAATAAGATATAAAAAATTAAATTAAATTCAAAAACAAAACACACTTTTACCAATCGAAAAAAGCGAGAATAATTCTTAAGGGTGAAATGTCTTTGCAGAAATCGTATAAGCTCAATATTGTTGCTAGTGATTGTTTTGGTCATTCTAAACACAAAAAACTGGAGACCATTTGGTAAGTTTTGAATGTGCCAGAAACTACGAAACGAAAAATTACAAAATAATATAATACAAAAAAAAAAAAAGAAAAAAAAAATCAAATCATAAAAAGAAAATAAACCGAAAAATATATAGGCATTTGTTTTCTGTATAATTTGTTTTCTTTTAAATGAATTCGTTTTACTGTTCTTGTATGAAATCAATGAAAACTGAACGTGCACTAAATTTCAGATAAACTCTACCTCTTGTCTGGGGCAGCAGGCAGCACTACTCTCACTCACAGACAGACAGAAAGTCTCACAGTCCACTCTACTTGTCAGGAGGTGCTCGAAACGAGCAATGATTGAGCCTTTAAAAAGCCCAAACCAAAAATACAAATATAATGCCAATGACCAAAACTAAAACTCATGTGCTTTCATGAGTGAGCGAATTGAAAAATGTAATAAGCAATTTTTAACTACACTTAAAAGCACTTTTTATATAATATATATAAATATGTCTTATATGTATACCTACTTATATCATGTAGGCCAGGCCCGTCTCTGCGATGTGACACGAAGCGACGCGTGCGTGTGTGTGTGTGTCTCAGTCTTTAGTCAATAAGTACAGAGAGAGCAATGACAGAAATCCATCCAAAGCCAAGTCCAGCTCTAAATAAACAAAAAGAAAGCAAAATGAGTTACTGCCAATATGTGCATATGTGGAGACATTTCGCCGAGAACTCTAAACAATGTGTGTGTTATATCTGTCAGCACAAAAATACATATAAATAAGCAAACAAACAATATATATGCCATATCGAAGCGGGAGCTATCTATATGCCAAATTTAAATTGCAACACAACTACCTACTACTGCAGCATAATATTATTATTGTATAATTATCACTACTGCTACTATTATTGTACGACTTACAACTACCAATACTACTTAAATGCTACTACTCTCTTTTGCTCTATATCGGCAATGATCTGTGTACGTAATACGCAACGATCATTGTTGACTTAAGCATTTCTATTTTATGTACTTGCAGATACCAAAAATTTAACTAATTCACTTTGATTTGCTTTCTCTTATTCAAAATACAACAACAACGTACATAACGTAACGAACGAATCAACAACAATAAAACGTTATGTGTTCCACAAACACTCACAAACCAATCAAAACAATGAATATATCCAATTGTATGTATGTATGTACATTATTGCTTGCGACTTCCTTCCACCCATGTCCACCCAACCAAAAAAAAAAAAAAAAAATACCAAACCTATCTGTAGAATGCCGTCATTGCGAGTAGCGGAGGGCGGCGTGCTCGAAGTAGCAGCAGTGATAGCCATGCCGACGATGATGACCGCTACAATCCGGCCGAAGCCTACCGCGAGGAGCAACGTGGAGTTCGAGCAGCAACCAATGGCAGCAAGTCGCGCACCAAGCGTTCAAGGTAAGCAAAATTAGCCTAATTAATGTTACTAATAACCACTAATGACACCATATGAGTGTTAATTGAATAACAGCCCCCTTACTATTAAATTAGAATTAAAGAATTCACATATCAGTATAAGCTCAGTAATTTTTAGTTTATTGGTCGACAATTATTTAATTTACGTACTAATATCCGCTAATCACATTCTCTCTAAACTGTTTTTTAATATTGGAATCAAAGTTTTTATATGACCCTCTTACGAAAATATCCACTTTAAGTACAGACTTCATAATCATAAATTCGAAATTGTCTTATTTACAGAAGCCGTTCCGGTTCCCGCGATCCAAAATCAAGACGCTCTAAAGATCGTGAGCGCGAACGTGGTTCTGATAGAGATCGTAGCACACGTGACAAGGACAAAGAAAAAGAGCGCATAGTAGAGCGTGAGAGAGAACGTCGTCGAGATGGAGGCAGCGATAATAAGCGTAGTGATCGTGACAAGTCACGACGCAGTCGTTCGCGTGACGATCGTGGCGTTAGGGAGGAACGAGATCGACGGGGCGGTAGCAAATCAATTCAGCATGGGGAAAGAAGACGTAGCCGCTCACGCGACAAACGCCGGGACGGCAGCAAATCAATTCAGTATGTAGAACGAAAGCGCAGTCGCTCACGCGAGAAAAGACGCCAACACAGTCCCGGACGTGAACGCCGTCGCAGCAACTCGCGCTCAAAGGACGGAAAGTAAGTGATAAATACCGACATACTTCTATAATCAGATTATTTTTCAACAACTGGAGATTAGTTTAGTTACATTAACTGGGAATTTGCATAATAATAATACATAATACTCATATATAAGAACTATTAATATTTACTAATGGTATCATCATTCACTTGCAGCAATCGCCGTCGAAATAGCTACTCGCCACGTCCCTACCGACGTGGACGTACACCACCAAATGGTCTAGGCGGTCGTACACCGCCCACCGAACTGAGTCCCGAAGAACGGGATGCGCGCACTGTCTTCTGCATACAATTGTCGCAACGAGTACGCGCCCGTGATCTTGAGGAGTTCTTTTCCAGCGTGGGCAAGGTGCGGGACGTGCGTCTGATTACGTGCAACAAGACGAAGCGCTTTAAGGGCATCGCCTACATCGAATTTGAAGATCCTGAGTCAGTGGCCCTGGCTTTGGGGTTGTCGGGGCAACGACTTCTTGGCGTCCCCATTATGGTTCAGCACACACAGGCGGAAAAGAATCGTTTGCAGAATGCTGCGCCCACATTTACGCCCAAGAACCACACAGGACCTATGCGACTATATGTGGGATCTTTGCACTTCAACATCACTGAGGAAATGCTGCGTGGCATATTCGAGCCGTTCGGCAAAATTGATGTTATACAATTGATAATGGACAACGAGACGGGACGATCTAAAGGCTATGGTTTTATAACGGTAGGTGCAATTATTTTGTTGTATTATTAACAATGGATTAACATTTGATTTTTGTCCATGCAGTATCACAATGCGGACGATGCCAAGAAGGCATTGGAGCAGTTGAATGGCTTCGAGTTAGCCGGACGTCCAATGAAGGTGGGAAATGTAACGGAACGCCTTGATATGAACACCACATCGTTGGACACCGATGAAATGGATCGTAGTGGCATTGATCTTGGCGCCACTGGTCGATTGCAACTAATGTTCAAGTTGGCCGAAGGTGCTGGACTGGCTGTGCCACAGGCTGCGGCGAATGCGCTTCTGGCCACGGCTCCACAACCAGCCCCAGTACAACAACAACAACAAGCACCATCCATAGCAACACAATGTTTTATACTGTCTAACATGTTTGATCCGCGCACCGAAACAAATCCCACATGGGACACAGAGATACGCGACGATGTGCTGGAGGAGTGCGCCAAGCACGGCGGTGTGCTGCACATACATGTCGATAAGGTTTCGCCCACAGGTACTGTCTATGTCAAGTGTCCGAGTACTGCGACTGCGGTGCTGGCGGTGAATGCGTTGCATGGACGCTGGTTTGCCGGCCGTGTGATTACCGCGGCCTATGTGCCGGTGCTCAATTATCACTCGATGTTCTCTGAAGCAATCGGCGCTGTCAATTTAATAACTTCAACGCGCAAAAATACCGACGATTGATTCGGCATTCATTGTGACGATTATAATGATAATGATGTATTGTTACTATTCTTTATATTTTTGATCATAATTTACAATTTATTCAAAGACTATTGATTTATGTGTAGCGCATTCGCAAGCTGAAAACGGGGCACACATACATATAAAATTAGGCATTCCTAAAACGCCAAAACATGCAACAAAAAGAATAATTATGTGAGTAGTTATTTGGGACTCGCATTTTTAGAGGGGGGAGAAATGATAACCTTATCATGATTGGCATTATTATGTTTAAAATGTCATTGTAATTTCTAAAGCGTAATTTAGATCGCCAATACAAAGTAATTTGCAAGATGTAAAATGCTATGTAAACATGAATTTTTGTTCGTTATTTCAAAATAACAAATCAAATAATAAAGATCCAATTAAAGGTGGCAACATTTGTATATTTGAAATTAATAAGTTCTCACAAATAGTTTATAACAAAATCAAATTAAACGGTTGGTGCGTGCATACGCAGTTTGAGCTTTTATTTAAATCCCTACGTGATCTGAACGTGATTTAATCACCTAAAATGGAGAGAAATATTATTTGTTAGTGCGACCATAGTTACAAACAATATTTCCGATTAATCGATAGAAAAGCCGGAATATTAGTCCATTACAAGTAAACTGCCTGGTCACACTACTGTTAGTGCAGATGTCGCTTAAGGTCCAAGCAAATTGGCCAGAAATATTAGTTTAATTGGCGTTAGATTACACGCGCACTCCACAAACTGTATAGTTTTTATTTGTTTAACAATTTCTAAACGATTCTTAATAAGTGACGCGCGCGAGCTACCTAGCACAAGAAAGTATATAAACGCATGTGGCCATTGATTGTGAAAGCGTGAAAAAAAATGGCAAACACAACTACAGCAATGTAGGTAACCCCTAGTGTGTGTGTGTTTGTGTGCGAGAATAACAAGAACAACAATAAAATGCTATGCCAAAACAGTAGTTTGTACGGAAAATTCGATAATCTGAGCTTGTGTGGTGTGTCCGCATCAATGAGGTTGATTTTTCAGTAAATAAATTCGGATGAATATTATGAAATATGAGTAATAGAAAATGATGACAGTGTTTTATAATCAAGCGCACACATACTTACTCAACATAACAGTGAGTGCGCGCCAGACACAACACACACCCTGCGCCCACACACAAATAATGTTACTTCTGACCTCAAAAGGAGGCAGAACGCAGAATCGCAGCATTACGAAGCCAGCTGATTCATACCTTGGCAATGCATTTTACATGTGAACATAGATTACAAATGTACATACATATGTACATATATGCAGAACACTTGAATTAGAAAGCATTCGCATTTGTCTTAATTGACCCTGCCACACTTTGCGGCAACTTACAAAATGAAAATGGCAAAACCTCGGTCGGCGCCAGCGTCAGCAGCGCTGCTTATATAAGTTTACGGTAAAAATGTTTGCGTGTGAGTGTTTTTGTGTTTTCCTTTTTGTATGCGTGCGTATGCCAAAAAATTGAGTACAGTGCTAAAATAGCCAACAGAACAACGACAACAGCAACAAGAGGATGAAACAATTTGTAGAACCAACAACGCAACTTTAACAAATGTGTTTTGTTTTTTTGGCAAGCGTCGTGCCGTTGCCTTTGCTGCTTCTTGTGGCGGCTTCGCATTTATTTTAGAGCATTATGCCATCCATTTAAATTGCTGAAAACGCGCGCTTAACAGTGCGAACGGACATTTAAAGAGCGAACAAAAAAACAGGCAAGAAAATTACATATGCATATGTATGTATGTATACATACATATGTATGGAAATTATTTCATTTATGAGTGTGTACATATGTATGTATGTACACGCCAATGGATGATGCTTCGTCGTCCGTGTGCTGTCGACAGCTGACGTTGTGCAGTCTCAGTCGCTGCGCAGTTGGCTGCAAACTAACGGTGCTGTTGCTGCGCTGCCACCCCAGCGCCGGTTTCCATTCACGATTTTCTTGTTATTTTTGTCGTCGTGTCGTAGCCGTGCGCCACTAAATATATATATACATATGTGTATGTACATACATATGTACGTGTTAAGATTTTCAGTCTATAATATGTGCATATGTGTTGTATTTTTTTGCCATAGTCTTATTACGCAACTGCAGAAGCGCAAAGCGTCGATAAAAGCAATCGCCATTCGTTGCTCACACTCTTATCATAGCGACTTAAATTTATTCGCGATTTGTTTTTTTGCCGAATCCGCTATCACTTACACCTTTGTGTCCAAAGACAAAGCCAACAGAGCGACGGGAAACACCTTCATATCTTTGTATATATGTGTGTGTAAATATGTATGTACATTTGTAACTATGTATGTATGTATATCACATGTTCGGTCTTTTGTGCACTTTTATTTGAGTTAACTTTTATGAACGCATTTCTGACACGCCTCCACCGCTCCACACCACTCCACAACAAACCAGCTGCTGTTCCGTTTTGTGTTTAATTACACATTTGCCTTCACCTCTTGTCCGCTTGATGTGTGGTTGTTATTAGTAGAGTTATTATCATGATCATGTGCTCCCCCTCTACTCAACAAGTGCAGTCACCGCTCGCGTTGTTGCCTCAGCTGGAAATACGCGCCTTCTGGCACGTAGTCGCCGTCTGCCTGTCTGTCTGTGGCTTTTGGCAACACCATTCAATCAAAACTATTGCTCCATCAATTTCGCATCATTCGTCTATCTATCTGGTGTAAAGTTGCGACTATTTTTGAAGGGCTTCCCAAATATACGTATGTAGATCTCCCACGGCGTTGCTCTCATTCAGTACAGTGGAGCCAGCGAAAGGTGTAACGACCAAGATACATAGAGTTATTTATAAAAAATGGTCATAAGACAGTTTCTGATGTAAAAATCGGTTTTAAAAAACCAAATAACTGAACAAAACTCCATAAAGATTGGATGTTTATTTGAATTCATTCTATTACAATCAGAAATTTAACGTTCTCGTAAATAAAAAGCCATTGAACAGGGGAATCAGTACCTTAGATAAACTTTTAAGTGCCCACTAAGTTGGGTTTCTCTCAAACAGAGCTTACAGTCACTTTTTTCGCTTCAATTGGTCTACGTGCACTGTGGCTGTGGCCCAGAGAACTTCGGCTCTGCTCCACCATTGTAGCTGCACTCTCTTGCAGATTTCAGCTTCAAATTAACTCGGCAAAGTTCGTTAGCCTTCAAACCAACATCACGCATTTATCTTTTTCAGTTGCCTAAAATCGGTTGGCATTCGCACAACGCGCAAAGTTCGCTTCAACATTCAGGCAATACCAATAACTTGGCAAAGATAAAAGCTAGTTCTTTGCAATGACAAGTCGGAGAGACGACCGTTAGAAACCGCTTGTTGTGGGTGTGTGTGGATGTGTGAGAGTGTTAATATATTTCACCAAAACCCTTTGACGTTCACTAATATTTATAGTATTAATAATCATCGTTTGCGCATTGACTTTATCAGTAGTGGGGCAGTGGCGGCCCACGAAAGATAACTAACCATAATGAAATCAGCCTAAAGCAAACAAAAGACTGCAAAATGAAAGCGTTTGCCAACCCGGTTATAACTTTCATGTGAGCTGCGACAGCCACAGTTAAATACAAATGTCTAAAGATAACTTCATTATTAACAAAACTAAGCTGAACTGAACATTTGGAATTTGCAGTTAAGGAACTAACAACAGCAGTGGACAATATAAAAACAATAAAAAAAAACAGCGGCTTCTCATCATTTATGCTCTCAACAACTTTGGGGCCCAATGGCGCTGGCCCGGGCATGCCGCTCAGTCCCTCCGCACAGGCGACTCTCAGCAAGCATTTGCCAAAGCTGCAGGCAAAGCGGCTCATGCAACAGGCCACATCGCTTGGAGTGGGAGCGGGGGCGGTGGCGAACAAACCAAAAACCGCTGATGCCAGTTGCCTAACCGGTGAGCTGAAGTCACACTTAAATAAATATTTGCACATGCCGTACAAACATGTAGATTGTTGCTAATGTGCCTAATTTCTTGTTTATCAGATCTGTGCAGCACCGAGAATTTGCCCGAGGTGGAGATATTCTCATTACTGGAGGAACAAATACCCAAATACAAAGTGCGCAATGATTTCCTAACCGATTTCGCGGGCTATGCAAACGAGGATTGGTTTGTGCCAGCGCCTGCCTTGCCCATACCAGTTGAGGGTTTGGGTTTAACTAAGGAGCAGACTAGAGAGTGCCTAAATTATTTTCGTAAGTAGCCAAAAAAAATATACATATATTTATATACATACATATATATAACATGATCATGTAAAGTTTAGGGGTGGATTCTTCTTACTTGCATTGCAATTTAATTGAAATTGATGTACCTTTTTATAGTAAAAATGTCATCCTAGTCCTATTCCAAATTTAAATTGCACTTCTCATTAAACGATTTGATAGACCCGTGCGTCTAATTGTGCATCAATTGTCCTAAAAATATTCATTAAATGAAAACCAATAATGTGTGTTTAAATCCGTTATCACATTAATACCTATTTGCATAAATAACCCAAAAATGTTAATCTATAAATTCTCCCTCTTACTACTGAATATTTTAAACGCCTATATTGCGTAATTAATATTCTGTAGACGCAGACCTTGTATATATGTATACTATAATGGGCTGCGGCCTCAACTAATGTATATATTTTTATTGTTCTTATTGCCTAAGCCGTATATACAACATTACTCGTACAAATATAAAAAAGTGTGTATGTGCTTAGATTTATCAGCACTAAAAGCTTTGAGTTGAAATCAATACCACTAAACTGCCCCGCATTTGAATAGTGCATCAGTTCTTGTATATTTATATAATAATTGCAACTATATTTATGTACTAGAACTTGGAAGGAACCCTTTGTTTGTTTATAGTTCTGGCGTCTGTCAAACTTTCTAAAAAGAATATGAACTTGGCAGCTGCTGCAAATAACTCGTGGTCTACTTAATTTTTTGCTTCAAACGCGAATTTACGCAGCATTTTTAGTCTATTTTATGTTTTTTTAAATGTATCTCTGCATAGGTTGACAAAAAATGAACACAAATTTCTTTTATCTACGCAAGAAACTGACTGACGCCAACGAAGAGATTTGAAATATATATAGAACCGAAATAACGACCACATGCAAATTTTGTATACGTGCTTTGATGCTAATAAATTTTTGACAGAATCATGCGCTTTTGCGACATTTGAAAAATGTTTTTAGCAAATTCTTGTTAGTAATGTTTCTAATTTATTGTAGAGTACAGAAAGTTTTTAAAATATATGTATATACTTTGCGTAATTTATCTTTCTTTTGAAATGTTTACGCAATTTTTCTTTTTCATTACTCATCAAATTTCGAATAGTAAATTGAAGAATTGGGTGCGAAGTAAGGTCAGGCAAATTATTTTGAAAAAAAAACCGTTCAATTTCATAAATATGAAGTATTGTATTGCCATCAGAAACAACTTCATTCTATAAAAAGAAAATAATCATTTCTATAAGAGTTTTTAGATATTTGACCGTTTAACCATATAAAACGATGACAACATTTGATGGCTGCTTGATACTTAAACGTTCAGTAAATTTAATTTTCTTTTTTTTTTTGTTTTGCCGCCTTTATTTATTTGTTAAGTTAAACTTTTGTTTCAAAATCAAAAGCGCGCGCCAACTATTGGTACTTGTTGCGCTTGCCCAATGCTGGAAAGCTTTATAGGTATATAAACAGCTGATAATTTGTATGCCTTCTGGTGTTATCGAAACCGATTTTTCATGTCTTTGGCGTACAGAGAAGCATGTTGCCAGACTGGCAGTGCACAGCTGTAGGCCCCACGCGCGATTGGCAACAACGCCGTCATGTGCGTCAGTCGTTTTTATTTGTCAGCCGGTGTTGGCATTTCTATTGCGCTACGCTGGGTCCGCCACAAATTTTAAAATAAATCGAGCGTAAGCGCGTAGCCTATTTGTATGTGTGCAAAAAAAAATACGAGCGTGCGCGTTGTTTTTAAATTATTAAAGAAATATACAACAACGCCGTTGATGACTTTGAACTAAATTAATACTGAAAACAAAATTACACAAATTTTGCCGAGAAATTGTGCAAGTGCGAAGCTTTGTGTGTGTGCGTGAGTGGCTGCGAAAGCCTAATTGCCAAAAAATTTTAAAAATGATTGGCACTGGCAAACAAAAGCGAAACGTACAAGCAAGCAAAGCCAAGTGTAGCAAGGAATAGAAAGAAAATCATTAACGTGAAATTATTAATAAATCAATACATGCATAAATATGGCATATGGCTCATATTATTCATTTGTTGCTGTTTGTTGTGTGTGTACGTTTGCAAAAACAAAGTGAAGCAGTTTGAAATTTCTCCAACTGTTTGGTGTCCAACCAAAGTTATCGTGCCGTCATACACTAAAATGTATTTTTAGGACACACCACAACAGCAACAACAAACAAAGCAAAAGCAGCAAATGTTCGTGCAAGAAACAGAAAAACACTTTTTTGAATCATTAAGAATAAGTTTGTTGTAAGCGATGGGTATGGACCTGATTAATATAAATATAAATTGGGTTGTGTGAGGGTTGTGTTGATATGTGTGTGGCGGCGTATGTGTATGGGTTGGGCGTCTGTCAGTTCAATTTGTTCTTGCTGGTTGTGCTTATTATGGTGCCCCTGCCCTTATTCGTTCATTGGGATTTACATAATCGTTTTTCCATGCGCTACTTTGTGAATTGCTGCTGCTTTGTCACAGTTCTTGCTGATAAGAGTTTGTATTTACAGTGAAGGCAGAACCTACGTTGTCTGTCCTTTTCTATTGGCCTTCTTGTCCAGTCGATAAGCTCAGCTGCTTGCTTGCGTATGTCTGCTGTGCAATTTTCTAATTTTACCGTTGCGCCGGCTAGAAAAAGCGCTTGGTCAGTTCTTCAGTCCATATTTGCCTTTGTTACCTATCGTCTTTAAATTTCACATAATTATCAAGTGCCGCAGCTCTTCCGCACACACCAATACCATACACGATCACATCAATCAACGTCTCAAGTATTTATGTACATATGTATGTGAACGCGCGTGAGTCTATCGATAAACGCGCCGTTGGTTACTCATCCACCCGAAGTATCTGATTGTCCGCCTGTCCGAGCTGCAAAATATTAACCGCAATACAAATTGTTGATTGTGGTGTTCGCAATGTGTGTGTATGTGATAGCAATATTAGGCACGTTATATGGCTGGCCATTTCCCCCAGTTTTTTTGATGCCACAGACGCTACGGCAAAAAAAAGAAAGAAAGAAAACAGTGTGCAAGCGTGCCGGTAACGTAAAAAGTTTAAGCGGTAAATGGGCAACGAACAATGCGCAAAATAGCTGAAAATTGTGTCATGTGTAAAAGCAAGACACCTTCTTAAATAAACGACAACCACAAATAAACAGCAATGCCAACAAAAACAAATAGCCGTTTACATTTTGTGTGGCATACTTTCATTACGTCATTTCTCAACACTGCGACTACTCCCCTGTTCTTGTTGTTGGTGTTTGTTTACATTTGCTAAAAACTAAACCAACATGAACATTAAGAGATTACAAATGAAAAACAAGTACATGTAGCGTGAAAACGTTTTTAATTGTATTTTGTCATTTGTCATAATTTGTTGCACCTGCTACATATTTTCCCATGAAATGCCGTTTGGTGCATTGAACTTGCTTCAGTTTTGTTGTTATTGCTCTGCAAATTGTGTATATGTGTTGGCTAACGGTTTGCTCTTTATAGCTTGAGAGCCACTGGCCAGCCTGTCGCACGACCTGTTTTGCCAAACTGTGCTCCAATTGCATTTACAATTGGCCATAATCAATAAACAGCTTCAAAAGTTTGCTAATTGGGTTTGTCTTAATTGAATTGCTTGTTCACAAATATGAATTTGTGAAAGTTATTTCAAGAGATGTAATTACCGAAACCAGAAAACCGCAAACAATTTTGTTTAAGCTGGCTTTAAATTTAGTTTTCTCGCAATTTTCCTCACATTTGGCTTGGCGTTTATCTGTAGGTTTGCTTCACCCACCAATTCTTAATTGTCTCCCAACCTTACATAATTCCATTGAGTTTCTGCTCAATTGGTTGACATTTTCTTTCTAATCCATGTTGTTTATTTATTTTTCATATACTTTATTATTTCGTAATTTTCGTTTTTATTGTCTTCCATACCTTTTATGTCTGTGACTCACTCATCATAACTGCATACAAATTAATTCGCTACGTTTTTTGCATGTCGATGAACCTGACAAATTAAGTAACAGCAAAGCAAAAGCTTTTCTTGTTGGCTTTTTATTTTAAACTTGCAACTGCAAGAGGAGTTAAATATATGGATAATAATGAAGCTGAACTTTTCGAATCGCATGATTCATCATTAAATCCAAGTATTATTTACCTAGGACGTGAAGTATTCTTTAAATTTATTTTATATTTAGAATACTTTTAATAGCACTACAATTCGTACAGCACTAGATAAATTATCCATTTTATTAAAGTGTTGTTTCCCATTTTAATCCGAGCTTAGCAACGCTCAGAAATTTCCATTTATGGAGTCAAATTCAAATAGTTTTTGAAATTCGTAGTCAATTGCTTCAAATGGCCCACAGTGCAACGTTTAGACTTGCGATTAATTTGTTTATATACCGCTAATAGTAAATAGTTATTTGTGTTGGCATAGCTGTTGGCTCGAAAACATTTGTAGCTCACCTCAATTTTCTAAGACTCAGGGGTTTGCGCCATAAATTAAATTCTGATGGCTATTATTGAAAGCAATTTCTGACCATCAACCTAACTGTACATTCCGCTCCATTCTTTCGCCACTCAATGCTGCTCATATCCGCTACATTCTACAACATTCTCTTGCAACCCACGCGCACAGCTCAGTTAGTTTGTTCTCAAGTTTTTCCGGCTGCATCAACTCACAAATAAGAAAGAAAAAGTCTACGTGATCCATAGGCGGTTACATAGTGGCATCAGCTTCAACGGCAGAGGCTGGCTAATTTGTAAACTTGTTCATGGTTGGTTTTTCTTTCAAGACATTAACTATAATGCCACGGACAAACAGCGCCAGTCCCAGTTCGAAGCGACAAGTGATTGTGACTAGAGCGGCTAACAAACAAACATAACGCGCTTGATGTGAAGTGGCTAAGACTAAAGTTTTGAAATTATGAATTTTCGGCATCATTGTATGCAAATTTGGAATAAAGTGTAAATAAATGTGTGCATATGCATATGTATTTTATTTGCTATTGTATTTAAAGTTTGCCATGTTAAGACATTATTGCGACAAAGAGTTTTAAAGAAAAAAAGCTAAAATCGATCGACAAGGAGTGCAGGTGTTGGTTTGTGTTTGCTGATAAAGAACACGAAATTTGCAGCTAACTTATCTTAATGCTAAAATTAAATATTTTTAATGGCTCGCCAGTGCCGGCGAAGCTATAAAAGTGCCATCAACTGCGCAAAAGCCCGGCAGAGTGCAACGTGAGTGGGTCGCGTGCGTGTGTTAACCAACACTAGAAAATGCCTCCTTAAGGCAAAGGCTTCGCTTTTGCTGTCAACAACAGTGACATAACCGTTTGACAGACAAATGTTAACTCACATACATAAAACGTACAAAAACACACTCATGTTAAACCTTTGCCGTACAATAACTAAGAACAAATAATTTATTTCGGGAAAAATTCTCAGTTATTTTCTGTAAAAAAGCAACAAAAAGCCAAAAGTTGAGACTGAAGACGCCATTTTTTAGCATGCAAGCCATGCAAAAACAACAAATACAACAAAATGTCACTATACGATGCTTCTAACAGTGTCCCAAATAGTAATAACAACAAATTGGAACAACAACCACAACAACATAGTTCAAGTGAGCATTTAAAGGTGCCTCTGAGCGTTATTCCAGAACATAAGATATTGGATGACTACGAACTGAACTTTGCCGCCCCCCTGACCAATGGAAATGGCCAACTCAATAGTACGCTCGACGTGGACGTTGAAGGGAGCTCATCCAGCCATTCGCTGGCCGCTAAGAGCGACTCCTGCAGTTCTCTCTGGTCGACTACGTCTATAAATTCAGTCTCGTCCAGCTCCACTGCAGCAGCAACATGTGCCAAAACAATAAGCCAAAAGCCGTCCAATGCCAGTAAACATTTCGAGAACACTTACAAGTTGCTGGGCAAGCATTTAGAGTCCAATTGCCAGCGTGCCGCGGACAAGCTACAGCACTTGGCTAATAGTGGCGAAGGAGGTGGAGATGCCGATAGTTTAACGAGCTCCTTTGCCTCCATGTCGGCGATAGTGAATGGCACGGAGCCGCCACCTACGCGCCTTGAACTCGAGCTAGAGGCGGTGGAACGCATGCGTACCATTGTCCGGCAAATGAGGACAGCAGCGAGCAGTGCCACCGACAACAACAGTCCGTCAACAGTGTCCGCACCCATGTTGGCCCTCCTGCATGACTTCGCGGCCAAAGGCCAGCCAAAGTGCATCGACAGCACGCCGGCCACTCCCGCGCCAAGTCCCAGTGTGGGTCCCATGAACGAGCAGCCGCCCTGCTTCGACCTGCCTGCTGAATTGCTGCAGGCAGCCACCTCCAGGGAGCTCATGTACTATGCTGCCAAAAATGTCGATGGCCAAAATTGTTTAAAGGTTGTGCGCAGTCTGCTGACTAACAAAGGTAAGATTCAGGTCGCCCAAAGCCTCATAATTATACAATGAAACAAACTTGCAATACTTGGATATATTTACTTGCGCTATCGAACGTAAAAATTCTTAGAAATCTGTCCTAAGTGGTCGGACCTTTTTCTAAATCCATGAATTATGAATTATTAACACCTAAAATATCTTATAATCTAGCAGCCTAATTCTGCTATTCAAATACCTTTAATAGTTTCGTGACATCTCTTATACGGATATTTCGTAATCATCTTGTCATCTTCTGAAAGTTAATTTAATAGAAATCTGAAAACTTGGAACATTTAAGTTAAAGGAAGGTCTCATTACTGAGAGATTGTTTAATTTGTTTTGTTACGCTTTGGCAAAAAGATCAATCGGCGAGGTTCTGTGAAATTTGTTTCTAGAAATTCAGCCATGTTTAAATTACTCTCTGACCCAGCGCGTTGGCCATAAATACGCGTCCATAAACATTTAGGTTAATCCAATTTCCATTACACACGAACTCATTTACACAACCACCCACACTCTACTATATAGTATGTCCACGTATTATAAAAAAGTAGCCTAATTAATTTTGTTTGTCGTCATAAAAGAATTGGCATGTTTAAGGACATCTGTCGTCGATAACTTTGCGCTTCCCCCCACACAGAAATTCATCAAATAGTCACTTACTAGGTTTACAATTATCGCAATCTTATCAGTGATATTATTATTATGGCTAAAAGCGACTTTGTCTGATTAATGTTTTCTCAACTAACTTCAATTGTCGTATTATTTGATTCCATTTTTTTGCAATTTGTGGTGGACGTGTTTGCAAACACGCATGCCAATTTGGTTAAGGCTTCTATTTATACGCTTCTTAAGTGCGAAACGGAGCATTTCAATATAGTAATGCCGTTTGTAAGGCAAAATTAAAAATAAAAATTGTCAACCCTTTGCAATTAATTGGTATTGAAAGGTGTTGAAAAAGAGGTCGGGAACAGTGATGGCGATGGTTATGCTTTAAAAAAGTTAGAAAAGATATCAAGAAGAATGTTAGGAACTACTCGATGATGGCTTTGAACTGAGAATATAATAAACCCAAGTCCCCAACTTATGAAATATTTAAATTCGATCTCAACCTGTGCTGTTGCTTTCGCCCTAGCCTGGAATAGTGAAAAGAGTAATTACAATGAATAAAAATATAACAAATACTGTTTCCTTTAGTAGCCACAAATAATATCTTCAAAATGACTGATCACGAGCGCTTTAAAGAGTAATAGTAATTCGGTGGGGCACTCACAGCACTCTTTTATTGTCTTTCTTCATTATTTTGTTTTTACCGGACTTTGTATTTGTTTTGCTTTTTACCTTTTTTTTTGTTGCAATCTAGCGGAGTCATTAGAACCTCTTGCCATGTTTATATTTGTACAAATCGTTACGGGGTTTTTCTACAAGCGATCAAACAGCTATGTATATATTTGTATATAATGTGTAATTCAGCTTTATATACATAGAAATACGTTTTAGCAGGTTCATTTAAAAAGAAACTATTATATGCAATAAAAGTTAAGGGGATGGCGGACGTAATGATCTCACCTTACGGCCGTCTCGAAATCGTTGTGATTTTTAATGCTAACGCACTTGTCACGAAAGTAATTTAAGTTTTCTAAGTGGTTTCATTTGGCTCGTCAAAATAATCAACAAATAGAAAAAAACTAATATTTAATGTGCTTTTGTCGGATCATTAAAAAAGATGAATTGAAATTGAATTAAAGTTAATAGTTCAATAATTGAAAGAACTCTCGGAAGCAGCTTCAAATCTACATATATGTATGTACATATATCGTGCATATCTAGGTTTATTTCGTGCTAATAAAGAATTAATACATACATTAAAAATACTTTCCGGGGAATTAACAATTAACAGGCATTGCTAAAAATTAATCAAAAATAAACATTTTCTTAGGTAATATTCCATATTTAATTAACACTCTGAAAATGATATTCCCTAAATGTATCTTATGCTAAGCTAAGGCCAGACTGGCAAATAATTTGCACACAATATCGTCAAATGTTACAAATATGTCAGAAAATATGTAGAAGTTCAAATGTTTTTATATATTTATGTATTATGTTAAAGGATGGTGCCTATACCTATCAAAGCCCCAAATCTAGAAATAGCTATAAAAGAAAAGATATTTAATAGCATTCATAATTAATAAAGAAATAAGAAAAACGAAAAGACTTTGGCATTTGTGGGAAGATTTATTAGCCCATCTGGTCAGAAATTCACCCGGAAATGGTTGATAGTATTGACATCTACATTCGATAAATTGTTGGCGATAACTTTATTTACTGCATTTAACAAAGTTGCAATATTTTTGTAAGCTTAGCAAACTTATTGTGCGGAAAACATGATTGATAAGATAGCTGTAGGTTTTTATAGGAAATATGGCCAATGAAAATCGTCTTTGAAGGGAAAACGTCCCTAAACATTTGATGTTTATGACCAAAAGTAATTTAAAAAGTTAGCTGTCGACTCTGTTCGTGAATAATGTAAAGTCACAGACGTAAAATATATAATAGGTATACCTAATTAAGTTTAGGCCACAAGTTTTTTGGGATTATGGGCTTTCGACACGTGTCGCTAATTTTCACTCAACCAAAAGATTTCATTGCGGCGTTCGACCACTTGGCATTAAAGCTAAATCCCCAGCTTGAGTAGAAGATGGGATCAGCTTGTTTCAAAATCTTCTGAATGTCTGTTAGCTAGAGATGTCGCCTACCTGGTTGACTGTTCCTTTTGCCACAGTTTTACGAGGTTTGTTCCTTGGAAATGCACATTTAGTTGTCCTTTCCAGGTATGCGATATATTTCCATTGGGTTTTTCGCGCATTCCGCATGAATGGGATTAACCAAATCATTGGGAACCGAAAGGTCATGTTTCCGTTTTCTACTTAAACAAATTGTTTTACCTAAAACACACACACACACACATGGCAATAAACATAGATATATACGTGCGTGCTTTTATATCATTATTTGTTTTTGACATTATAGTGCGCATTTTGTTTAATAATTTAAAAAATATTGGCTTTTTTATGTCGGATTCCGCAACCATTTCTTTGAATTTTATTAAGGCGCGCTTTGTTTTTATTTTAAGCTGGCAATGCTGTGCTCTCATTGTGTTGCTCTCACATGTGGATGCCATTTTAGTGGTGGATTCAACAACAACAACAGCAACACATAAAATTCATTCACTCAATTCATTCTTTCAGTAGCGCCGTTGCTGTCGAGCGTCAGTCTGTCGAGTATCTGCAAACTGTAAATTACACAATCTTCAAAAAATCGCAATGCACAATGTGATAGAATTTGAGAAAATTGTCAATATGAAAACTAGAAATAACAAGTTCGAATTTTCAAATTAAAGAAACAAAATTATCGTACAGTAAACGTGTGTGCCAAAAAGTCAAAGTGCGCATATTAAATGAAATATTAAAACGCCACAGCAGGGCAACTGTGCAAGCACATCTACGTAAAACGCGCATTATAAAAGCAAAAAGAAGAAACACACCCGTGTGCAATACATTCAAGAAACAAACACACACATTCAAACGGATTCGATTTGAGTGCGTGTGACCGTGTATAGCTCTTTGGTCTTGGTAACTTTTTGTTGTTGGCAAGCTCTTGGCCGTTTGTTCGTCGTCACGAGTTTGGAGCGCCGGTTGCTTTTTCTAACCAGACATTTTCGCCAAAGTTTAAACACAATTCTTGTTTTGGCCACCTTTGGACTCGTAGATTATTAGCTATTCGAGTTGTTCAGTGAAGTGAAACGCGGGTGAACTTTAAATTTAAACAAAAAGCAAAAACAAGGTAACCCAACATTCAAGTGGATTTTTCTTGCCATCCAGTTACATGTGAGTTTTCGTTTGAACATTTTTGAATGTGTTTGCGAATTTCCAGCCAGTTTTTACTTTTCACCCAAACATTTTTGCAATGGATTTTATTTCCCTTTCACTCGCGCTGTTAGGGAAAAACGCCTTTTACTTACTGTGGCGAGTTTTCTTGTTGTTGTTATGTTTGCTGCTGGAGGACAGGCTGAGCAGAGCAGAGCAGCGCTGCTGTTGCTTGGCATCACAGTCGACATTCTTCCATTTGTGTGTCAGTTTGTACGTTAGAGTCGCCGTTTCAAGAAATTGTTTTGTTTGCTGTGTTGTTGTTTTAAGCGGTGCTCACAGCTATAAATAAGTGGCTGGCTAGGCAAGGTTTTAGTTTTGTTTCAAAAATTGAGTGCAAAAATAAAGTAAAAAAAAAAATACGCATTGCGCACACTCAACACCAACACGCATTCAAATTGTCTCAGACAGAGAGAGCGCGGTAGAGCATTTTTAGCCTCACAGACGACAGTTGACAAACAAGAGAGCCCGACTCGGACTCGTCGAAGCCGTTGTTCAGTTACTATTGTGACTTCATACAATTCGCATAAATTTCGCAATTAATTTAATGTGCTGTTGTTGTTATTATTTTACGCCACTTTATGGCTTTTAAAACTATGTATTGTTGTGTAAAATTGATAAGCTCATGTGACCTGTGAGAAAAAACAATATAAAGAAAAATGCAACAGAAAAATGCACAGACACAACAAAACCCCATCCATCGTTGCCAATGTTAAAAGAGGCAACAACAGAGGCAGATGTTAGCAACCACCAGCAACTCAGTGCCTTTGCAAATTTTACAATGAAAATTGCTTTAAAAATACATTACATAATCTGGCAGAATTAAAGCACCACACACACAACTATTGCTGAAATGGATGAGAGTATTGTGTGCGCGCTAGCAAACGAATTTAATTTTAAATTAAGCAAACATTCGCACATTGCGATACTAAAATAAAGAAATAAAAAGCCGAGTGCTGTGACTAATGCACGTCGACCAACAAAGAAAATTAAAGCCAATATAAATACAAATTAAAATTAAAATCAACACTCAAACCAAAACTATTTTGCACATGATGATGGATCCAAGTTTGGTGGTTGCAGGCAATGTGGCGCCTGAATGTGATGATAATGTTGTTGTTGTGGCCGCCAATAGCTCTCTCAACGTCGCTGCCAACGTCTCTGCTGCCGGCAACATAGCGGCGCATCGATTTTTAGCCAACGACGGTGGTGGTGGTGAATGTAAATCTGAGAGCATTGAAATTACAACAACAGCAACAACAACTTCTGCTGCAACTTGTTTAGAGGATTGCGCCTTTGAGGCATGCCAGCATCAGGCAGCAAATGATGACTGGCGAATGCAGCAAAACGACTTTTGCATCATTGAGGATGAACTTGAGTACGAGGATGAACTCGAGCTCGAATTCTCAACTGCAACAGCAGCTGCAGCTGCAGAAACAACAACAATAACAGCAGCAGAGAGTGAGAGTGAATTCGACGAGGGTGGTTTTTGCTTTGGGGGAGTTCGCAGCAGTGTTGCGACAGCATGCGAACAACAACTCATGCAGAATGAGCAATTGCTCATGGAAGGTACCACCACCACCCAATCCCAAACACCCTCTAAACCCACATTGTCTTTGTATGTCAATATATGAAATTTGTTTTGAATATCACGCAATAAGGTTGAAGTGATAAAAACCAGTAATTTGGAATTATATGATTTTTTATTAACACAAAAAAAAAACAACCTAATTATATAACACATTTTCAATTTATATAAGTATAGTACATATCCGTAAGAAATTTTAACTCAACCGATTCCTTATGTAGCAGAAAACTAATTTAATTAAATGTTTAGATAAAGAAGTATTCCTATTCGTGAATATATCTGTATACTTCTACTTTATAATTAATCATAACATATAAATCTAATTCTGAATGCGTTCGACTTTGCACTTAATTCCAAAAAACGATTGAGATATTCAGTTTTAAAAGCTGACCGAATAGTCGAATCATTTAAGGTTTCAAGAGCCTAGCGATTTTGATTTCTGCATAATTTGGTCGAATTCGTACATGGGAACAGACCAAAGAATTAATTCAATAGCGATATATTGGACAGAGCCTTTAATGTTTTTCTAAAATGATTCAAACTGACTGAAAATTATGTTTCTATGAAATACGAATGTGACTCACACGATAAAGCCCGATATTGACTCAGAATTCAGTCCAGGCAGTAAAGCTTCCTTTATTATAAAGACGTAATCTAACTAATCGGGTATTGTTTATTTTGTTGCAGTTCTATGCGGTAATCGTGTTAGCCAGATGACTCGTGCATACGATGACATTGAAGCCGTGACGCGACTGCTCGAAGAGAAGGAGAAGGATCTGGAGTTGACGGTGCAGATCGGCAAGGAGTTGCTCACACAGAATAATGCGCTCGAAGCGCGTGTCAGTGACCTGGAAGCAGATCTCAAATCGTCCAACGATGATCGGGCCCAATTGGTTCACGAGCTCCACAAAAAGAACGAACTAATAGCGGTGTTAACAAACGATGCGGATGACGGCACAGATGCGGGTAAGAAGTTTTTGTGTGTGTGTTTATACTTCCTTTCCAACTCTCTTCCCTTTCTCCCGAGTAGATACGCCCACCATGTCGAAATCAATAACATTGGATCTGTTACAAAAGAAGGTGAATGCACTGCTGGATGAGAATCGTTCTCTAAAGTCTGAGGCGACACAATTGGCGCACGAGACGGACGAAGTGGAGGAACACGAACGTCGGCTGATGGCAGACATAAGTGCCCAACTAAACGATGCCAACTCACAGTACGACAATCTCAATCTGGAGCTGGAGCGACAGCGTGAAGAGAATCGGCTCCAGCACGAGCAGATAGTCAGTCTGACGGCACGCCTAGCGGAGGCAGAGATGCGACTTCATCAGCTAACGCAGGACAATGATGAGCACCTGTCGCTGCTGAATGTGACGAAGGAGAACCAGAATGCGCTTGCCCTGGAGCTAGTGGAGTTCAAGCAGCGCTACGAGGAGGTGCTCGCCCTGCTGCATTCGGCTCAGGATCAGCTGAAGCAGCAGCGCAAGCGTTCGCAGCCGCAGGCGCGCAGCTCCTTCTTGGGCGGGCTCGGCACCAGTGGCGTTGGCTGCAACATGATGGGTGGCCTGCTGCAGCCGGAGTCACTGCAGTCTGAGCTAATGGAGTCCTCGTTGTACTCTGAGAACAGTCTGGACTCCGGCATATCAGGTGATAGCCAACGAGCTGCGGATCGCATAAGTCGCATGATGTCACAGTTGCCGGCGGGCGCCGCTGGCATGGCTGGTGCCTTCGGAGGCAGTAGCATCTACGGCCAGGCTGGAGGCATCGGCCAAGTGCCGCCCTATCAGCGCGTCTTCGATACGGTGCGCTGTGCCGGCAAGAGTGGCAACTACATGGACAGCGGCAATGTGTCAATGACCCAATTGGGAGCTATGTCGATGAGCAGTGCCTCCGGACCGCGCATGGCATCCATGTCCTACCCGGCGGGCTCGTATTATCGCGGTGCCAGTGGCGGAAGCAGCAACTCCCTCGGCCTCAAGACGTTCTCCCAAGAAAGCCTCAACTCGCAGTCGGACGATGGCTATCCGGCACAGCCATCGGGCGTGCCCGGCGCACCTGGTGCCAAGGAGCTAGAAGCGGCGCTGAAGCGACTCACGCCCGCCGAGGTTCTGGCACGTCGTGCCATGCTTTCCTACGCGCCAGTCGGCACCTACAACTATGATGAGCCGCATGCACAGAAACCGCATGGTGGAGCGGGGGATAACCTACCTGTAGGCGTGCGTACACCAGACAGCATTATGTCCACCGGTTCCTCCGGTATGTCAGCCTCTTCGGCCCATATGTCAGCCTCCATGTCGCATCAGTGGCGTCTTCCAGAGAAGTTGCAAATTATCAAGCCCATGGAGGGCTCTCAGACGCTTCATCACTGGTCGCGCCTCGCCACGCCCACGCTCAGTGGTCTTTTGGACGAGCGTCCCGGTGTAACCATACGTGGTGGGCGCGGGCTGGATGATCTGGGCATGCAGGTCTATACGCTATCCGATGTAGAGGAGGATGTCAGTGAGGATTTGCCGGGCAAACAGTTTGAAACCGCCGGTTCAACTTATACATACACAACGAGCGTGGTAATGCATCCGGACGACGGATTCGTAAATGATTTGTCGTTCCTCTCGCAATCGCAAATGTCCTCGCGAATGGCGTCCACATCGACATCCAGACAGCCCAGTTGTCCTGCCACCCCACGTGCCGGTCTATCGCGCAAAAACTCCTGCTCCACGTTCTCCGTAAATTTAGGACTAGCTTCCATGTTGAACGAGCGTGGCATTAAGGCGGTAACGCCAAGTGCCTTGAATACGCCCGCAGGACCAAACTACTCACCTACAGTGACGCCCTGCAATAGTCCCGAGGGTTCACCGCCACGCGCTGAATCTCCGGAACCGCTCTTCGCCCTACTCTCCTCCGGAGCGGATTTGATACGACGCAAACTGGTGGGCAGTCCCTCCTCGGAGGGACACCTTCAACGAACTCTGAACAAACAGCAACAACAGAAGGTAATGCTGTCCCGGCTGGAGCGACGAGCACTGCGGTCCCTTAAACTGGTGGAGAAGGTGGAGAGCATTGGACTGGAGAACATAATCACAACGCAACCGGGATTGGGCTCTGGAATTGCTAATCGCAGCAGCTCCCCTCTCTCGCTAGCAGGAAGTAGTGGTGGCGGCAGCCTGAGGAGCCTCCATACGAGCAGTAATAGCATTGTGGATGATATACACTTCGATCGCGCCCAAATCAAGGGTGTTCTGCACAAAGGCTTGAATTCGCCGTCGCAATCGAAGGCGATTGGGAAGCCAAAGGCGAAGGTGGCTCCCTCCCAATGCAGTAGCACGAGTGCCTACAACAGCGATGATAGCGACGATCAGGGCATTGTGATGAAGCCAACCACAACGAAGCCACATACAGCGCCAGTGGCAGCACCAGCCGCAGGAGTTGGAGGAACAGCAGCTGCGGCATCGGCCAGCGAGACACGCTTAAAGCAAATGCAACGACAGAAATCGCGACGAAATCTTAAGAACGGCATGGCGGCACAGCGACCCGATTTGGGTACTATAGGGGGTGGCCGTGTGCGTCCAGATCTGGGCAAAGTGGAAGGTGCTGACAATAATTTGGTGGTGGCGGCGGCGGCGGCCAAGACGGCAACAGGAGCAGCCAAGAACAATGACGATAATAAGGCGGCGGCGTCGCAAAGCATTACGCAAGCATTTGTAGGCTCTGTTAGTTCTCTGTTATTTGGCCGCAAAGGTGGCTGGCTGTAAAGGTTAACAGAGGTAAAGAAATAGAGACACGAAGACGACGCTCTTATTGATTCGCACAGTAGTAGTGTGGTTGCAGCGAAAAAGTGACTATAATTTAATTTTAAATGATTTACGATGCAGTTATATTTTTATTTAGTTTATTATATTTATCACAATAACAACAACAATAAGTTAAAAGATAAACCACAAATGTTTCTATTTAGAATGTAAAGAAACAAAATCACGCCTGTTGCCGTTTTTTTTTTTTTTTTTGCTGCACTCGCCGCCACCATATTTTTGATAGATGATCAATTTAATTAAACGTCGTTTAAACGATGTGCAACAGTTTGCCCACAAAAAACCTAAATACACATAATTTTAGTGCTACCATCGCATGTGTTTGTAGCTGTGATTTGTAAATAATTATAGTAAAATGTTAATCTTTAGTAACTATTATTAATCAATAATGCACGTTGATCATTGAAGAAGAGGAAATGGTGGTAAAAATATCTATAAGAGCGAGAGCAGCAGAAAAGCAAACACAACTATACGATCGATGCTTTCCCGGTCAGTTTAAAAACAGTTCCAAAGCAGCTATTTTTTCTTTGAATATTATATATTTTATTTTATATATTATAGATTACGATATGTAACTTTACTTTGCCAATTTGTATTTATCTCATGTGTGTTTACTTAAACGAACGGAATGTAGTCGAAACGAAACATTTTATTATTTTGATAGTTGCTTAGTGCAAACGAGAATAGAAAAGCGAAGAAATATATTTGTATATAGAGGAATGTTATATATTTTTGTATACACACATAAACATGTACGTATTATTTAACTGATATTTTGTGCTAAAAAATGTAATCTTTTGCTGCCCCGCTTTACCTCGGTGCTTTTACTAAACGCTACAATTAAACTTCCAATGTTCTTAGTTCTCGGAAATTTCTAAAAACTTCGCTTAACTGGCTATTCGATGCGCTCGTTTGGCTATGCGAGTTATATTTAAGTACAATTAAATTAAAATGTTTGCATAGCTACAAAATAGAGCGCAGCAAATGTATTTCGTTATTGTTATTTAAAACTTCGCTGCAATGCTTTTGCATTGCCTGTTGATTAACAGCCGACTCACATGTTATTTCACACTCTTCACAGCTAGCTTTAATGCCAACACATACTCGCTGAGAGCATGAAACGAACATACTACTGTAAAGCAATCTTTTGTTTGAGCTTGTAATTATTCGCCTTAAAACTAAATTACGAAATTAACGAAAAATATCATTAACATACAGTTGAATCAAGAAACAATATACGATACATCTGAAATTGGTCCCAACTTTGTTTTTATTTTTAAATTTCTTACAAAAGTGTGTCCTCAATAAACACAAATTTACGACATTTAGGACAACAAAAACGTAAAAGGCACGTAAACAATTTTAGTTGTAATTATCGATATATTTATTTATTATACATGCAGAAGACGGCCAACTTTTGTGTATTATTTATTTATACAAACAATTCAAATAAGGCTGTCGATGGAAAGAAAAAGCAAAGTAAACAAACAAATAAAATTACTTGTTGGCGATGAAATATTACGATGGATGTCCTTCTTGAAGGACCTGACGGCTCGTCACAACCATTGTCCTGTCATTTTCGTGTAGACATGTTTTATTTCCTATATTTAATTTGTCTATGTAATTAAATTACATGCGTAGAGTTATTCATTTATTAAATATGTAAATAAAAGAAAATAAAAATGCGTAAAAATAAATTTTAAATGGATTTTTAATGATTGTGGTGGTTGGTTGTTGAGGGGAGTGGTGAGGTTGGCTATAGAGTGTAGTCATATACCAGACCCATAATAAATAAAAATTCAGTTTGCCCGATGGCCAAAGCGGCTGCGTTTGCTAAAATCCAAAATCTAAAGTACCAGGCGAACAGAAATCAGCAGCAAGATGTTTTTTAAATTTAAACCGAGTTTCAAATCAATTTGGCAGCTGGGCTTCAAACAAATTTGGCAGCCGGGTTTCAAACCACTTTGGCCGTCGGGTTCAAAGCTAATCTGCCGAATTGGTGTGAAACCTGGCTTAATTTATTTTTAATTTTTATAAAAAATCATCCTCCTGCTGAATTATGTTCGCCTAGTACTTAGCAAAGGTGCCAGCTTGCAAACTAAAACCAAAGGCAGCTGCGGCTTTCAAAAAATAAATAAAATCGCCTGCATTTGCTAAAATCCAAAATCTGAGGTACCAGGCAAACAGAAATCAGCAGCAAGATGCTTTTTTTTTTAAATTTAAAAATTAGAGTTAGCCGGGTTTTAAACCATTTGGCAGCCAGTCTTCAAACCAATTTGGCTGCCGGGTTTCAAACTATTTTGGCAGCACAGTTTTAAAACAATTTGCTAAGCTGGTTTGACTCCTAGCTGCAAAATGGTTTGAAACTTGGGTTACATTAATATATAATTTTTTTAAAAAATCATCCTCCTGCTGAATTATGTTCGCCTAGTACTTAGCAAAGGTGCCAGCTTGCAAACTAAAACCAAAGGCAGCTGCGGCTTTCAAAATATAAATAAAATCGCCTGCATTTGCTAAAATCCAAAATCTGAGGTACCAGGCGAACAGAAATCAGCAGCAAGATGCTTTTTTTTTTAAATTTAAAAATTAGAGTTAGTCGGGTTTTAAACCATTTGGCAGCCAGTCTTCAAACCAATTTGGCTGCCGGGTTTCAAACTATTTTGGCATCACAGTTTTAAAGCAATTTGCTAAACTGGTTTGACTCCCAGCTGAAAAATGGTTTGAAACTTGGGTTACATTTATATTTAATTTTTTTTTTAAATCATCCTCCTGCTGAATTATGTTCGCCTAGTACTTAGCAGAGGTGCCAGCTTGCAAACTAAAACCAAAGGCAGCTGCGGCTTTCAAAATTTAAATAAAATCGCCTGCATTTGCTAAAATCCAAAATCTGAGGTACCAGGCGAACAGAAATTAGCAGCAAGATAATTGCTTTTAATTTCAAACCGATTCGGCAGCTGGGTTTCAAACCAATTTGGCAGCCGGGCTTCAAACCAATTTGGCAGCTGGGTTTCAAACCAATTTGACAGTTTTAATTAGAAAATAAATTCTGCCCCTGTATGGTATGCTACACTTTTTAAATATGTAAATTGGGTTTGAAACCCGGCTTGAAACCAATTAATTATTAAATAAATGAGTAAATTAGTTGCAGCGGTGCAACTAGATTCAAATAAATGCAAATTCCGGTGATTTATGTTTATTTGCGGATAAAATCCTACTTCCTGCAGCAAATAAATAAGGAAAATAAAAACGCTAGTTGTATTTTAAAAGTTGTTATATTTGAAATAAATCTGTATAAAATAATTGCCTTAAACCCTCTTCCCATTAAAGATACAAAGGACCTGCTCATGGTCAGCCAGGCCAAGCATACAACATTTCGTCTTGCAGAACCAGCTGTTGGATCAGTTGAACAGCTAGCGTTCGTTTCTTGTTTTTGTTGTTTCCCTTTCCAAGCCCTCAAAAACACCACAGGTCAGGACAGTTTTTAAAATAAAATAATATACAATTAGATGAAAATTAAAATAATAATAAAGAAAGGCTGTTCCTTAACATCATCAAATCAAGATGAAAATAGAATAAGGAATCTTTGACCTGCAAAAGATGCATATACTTAGAAATACTGCAGATTAAGCTAAATGTTAAATATAAATAAAATATATATTTTGAAACCAAATTATTTAAGCTACCGCGATTCTTAAATATATAAATATAAATAAAATATATATTTTGAAACCAAATTATTTAAGCTACCGCGATTCTTAAAGGGCCGATTTAAATATTGCATGAAACCAAGCATTTGAACAGATTGAAATGAAGTTAAAAAAAAAACATCAGAAGTACAAGTAAAATAAAAACAAATCGAATCTTACCGGACAAAGCCTTAGACAATAATAAGCTCTACCTCTGTTTTTGTACGAACTTGACATTTTTAATTTGACAGTGGCAACCAGTGTTGCCAGGAGCAGCTTTGACCAAAATAGTTAGTGTAGCGAGAAAGATCAGAGTTGGGAGGTGGTATGTTTTTGGAAGGCATGCTACGATTTGAATATCTACATTTTATCTCCGATATCTGCGAAAAGATAAAAAGATCATTAGTATTGAGGATTACAAATTACAAACAAATTAGAATTAAATTTAAAATCATTGCCGTGAAGTTGATATTTAAAACAAAGGCCATGTAGTTTTTGTGTTTTTTACACGAATTTAAGAAACAATTTGTTTTATTATAATTATTTCAATAAAACATAATACATGTTTTTGTTTTTTTCTTTCATTATACGCTTAATCGTCACCTTAGCTTAGCGGCTTAATAATGTTACATATTCATAATCATTCCTTTTGTTTTTGTGTTGCTGTTGTTATTATTATAATTTATCAATCATTGTTTACTGCAGTTCTCTTAAAACTTATTTACACGAAAAAAACTTTAAACTTAACACAAATTTGATTTATTATTCATAAAAGTGTGTGTGTGGGGACCTGTCTCTTTTTCTAGCTCTGATATTTAGACTAACGCACTACATAATTTATTGTTGTTGGCGGTGATAAAATCGCTTATTAGAGTTATTATACAATAAACAATGCATACAAAAAATTAAAGCTACATAATTACAAAATTTAATCGTGGGCGGTCAAATGTCCAACTTAAGCTAACAACTTTCAAGGTTAATTTCATTAACAGGTCGATTGATTGGTTGATTGGTATTGGCAAAGTACGAGAACAGGATAAAACAATTATTTAGGCAGCGTTATACATAAGTAGAGAGGGGAAAATGAAATTCTAAAGCAGTACAATTTAAAAAAAATATCATGTATTTACACCTAGAGAAGGGAAGCAGTAAATAAATAGTTCCTAATCATTAGAAAATAAAAATATATATATTTTGATGGTTTCATAACAGTGGTTGCTAACTATGCACAATACAGACTGCTTCATTTTTATACACATTTGATTTTGTTTTTAATGTTTTGTATTGCTAAGTTTTTTGCTTAAATTGTTGAAAATTTTTGTAAATTGAATTTAGAAAAATTGTTAGCCATTTATGTTTTGTTACACAAATGTTGTTTGTTTGTTGTGGTTGTTGTTGAACTTAAATTAATTGCTTGTTTTTTGTTTTTGTTTTTAGATTACAGCTATTACAGTTTACTCGACGCCCAACGTTACGTCAAGTGGGTGTTACGTTGCGTGAATTGGGTTTGTTTCCTTTGCTTTTCTTCTTTTTTTTGTTTTGATTCTATATATCTATTATTTAGCTTACGTTTTTCCCTTTTACGTTGGTAATCATTAATTATGCAGCGATTGGCATTTAATTATTATTTTTTTTAACTTAATGTTAAAACTTTCTTTCCTGTTTTCGCTTATATAGGAGCATAATTTTTTCATACTGCTACGATTTAATTTACTGCGCTACATGTATGTGGGTGTGTGTCTGTGTCTTGTGTGCTCTAAAATGTTTCTATATTATTATTATTTATTTAAGTTAGGCAACGCGTCTACTTTTCCCGTTTTTTTTTTTTTGTTTTTTTGCGAAGCTTACCGAACTAAGAGACGTTGCAGAGACGTGAAATTTGATTTCCGCACTACAATAATAATTGTTAATTATATAAGTAGATAAGAATTATTATGCATAAACTTTAAATATATATCTATATATATGTGTGTGTATGTATATGCATTAAAAATATACATATATAGCGTTGCATTTTCCAACTCGGCAAGCCTAGCGTTGCGCTTTCACTTTTCCCTTTCCATTGCCACAGTCGGTGGTTCACTTGCCGCTGCTCACCACGGTGGCCACAGCCGCTCCAGATGCGACAGGCGCCACTGTTGGCGTTGGCGTTGTTATCGTCACATTGGCCAGCATATTGTCCTTTAGCTGCTCCTCGCTGCCGCTGCCAGCACTGCTGTTTGTATTGGTGGCCGTACTGTTTGTGGTCGCCGATACGGAATAGTCTAGCTTGTAGGTGGCACTGCGGGTGACATCTTCCATGGACGCCTCCTGGCAGTCGCGCCCAAGATGCGTCAGGGAGCCACAGTTGTAGCAGGAAATGGTTTTCTGGGAAGCTGTTGCCACACCTGTAACGGGACACACACCTAACGTCGTCGCCTGGGGCTGCGTTTGGGGTGTGGGCGGCGGTTGCGTCTGCGTTTGTACGGCCGCATTATTGCTGACGGCCGACTGACGCAACTGGGTGGCTGTTACCGTGGGAGCAGGCCCTGGTCCTGGAACGGGCACAGGCGCAGAAGGGGGCGCAGCAGGCACGGATAAATACGGATACGGCAGACTTGCGTGAAAGCCCTGATGATAGATAAGCTCTCCATTGTGGGGTGTCAGCACGGGAAAGGGAAACGTCTGAGGCTGTGCCGTGTGTGGCGCTGCCTGCATCAGCGTCTGTGGGGACGGCGGCGGTCCGCGTGACGTGGGGGCCGCATGAAACGTATATGTCGAATAAGGAGCGCGCGGCGGCGGCTGCTGTTGCAACAACAAAGGCGTTGTAGGCGTGCTCGTCGGCGAGGGACTGATCAGCAACGTTTGCTGTGCATTTCCACTGCTATTTGACTGCGCGTCGCTCACCACGCTGGCCGTGTTCGTCGTATATATTTTCTGATAGCTCTTCTCTATGCCATTCCGACCATTCAGGCTCAGCTGTAAGTTGAGCTGCTGCTGTTGTTGTTGTTGCTGATGCTTATAGCTGAGATGATGCTTCAGCGGCGGCGGCTGCTGTGGCTGATAAGCGGCCATGGGTAGTGGTACGCTGGGTACCATCCCCTGACTAAGCAGCGGCGTTGGCGTTTCCGGTGGCGATAAATCGCCGCAAGAGCCGTTCGAGCTGCCCGGCTCACTGCCCGTTGTGGTGGCACTCTTATTGGAATTCATATTGTGAACATCTTCGTTCAGACCCATATTTTGCATATTGTATGCAATTGAGGAATTCACATACGACCCTGTCTGTTGTTGATGTTGTTGTTGCTGCTGTTGATGGTGCTGTTGTTGGTACTGCGTCATGTAGCCACCAGATTTCATGCGTTGTCCAGGATGTTGATAGCCGTTGCGTATGATGCTTCGCAAGCTCATGTTCCCCGGATTGCCAGGGTTGTTGCCGACGCCTTCTTGGCTCTGCAAAATAATTGTACAATAAGTATGGTTGTGGAAATCTTTGATGCCTCTTTAATGCCCGGATAAAGCATAGCTATAATATATCCCTGTAGCAGAAACACAATTTATTTAGAAAGAGGGAATCGGCAGCTCTATGCCAAATCGGTCGGTTTTGTCAAATTTAGCCCCCGGCATTGCTTTAAAGCAGACAGACAGATTGTAGAGAAATGGGCGGACAGACGTGGCTATATCACTTGGTCTTCATAGCGTTTCCAGGACATACCTCATCCATGTGTTTGACATGTTGAGTGGACATAATTACATCGGCACCACTCATAGGTGGCGGCGTTGTCTCTGTCGACGGTCGACGGACATTTTTCCCACCACCTGTTAATCGCTGATGCATATTTCTATGCTGTTGCAGCGACTGTTGTTGTTGCTGCTGCAGTTGTCCGCTGCCGCGATTGGGACTCGTGGTGCGACTGCTCGATGGCGAAGACTGTTGACTCAGCATGGGTGAACTAGCCTGTGGTGGCTGTGGCGGCTGTGGTGCCACTTGGTGCTCCATTGGCGGCATTTGTCGCAAAGACCACTGCAGATGATGGCCCAACATGGCGTTTGTGTCCCCTGGAATGGTGATATTGGATTGCAGCATATGTGGACCCTCGACGCTGAGCGTTCCATCGCTGCCGGGCAGCAGCTAACAAATAAAATAGTAGTCACAGATGAGCTAGACTAAAGAAGACAATTATCTCAGATTTGAGTTTGGAAACACATATGGCAATACACGATTCACTTAGAATTAAAAAGGGTGTTAACAATTTTGTTAGCTTTTTAATTATTGAACTGATTTCAGTTCAACATCGAGATAAGATATCAGCTTTCTGAGAGTTTCCAAAAACATGTAGACTTTAGTTATTTTGTTAAAAGTTTGAAAGATGAAGAGCCAATGGGAAACTTAATACTGATCAAATTTGAATATTAAGCAACTTGTTTCCCTTTTATTACCTTGGGAATATTCTGTTGAAATATCATGGGTATGGTGGCCTGAGGCAGCACTTGTAGCATTTGTAAATGCGGTTGCTGCTGCTGTTGCGGTGCGGGCGGCTGTGCTTGCATTTGATGCAACGCGTGCTGCTGCTGCAACAACAATTCCTGTTGGGACTGCGGATGCTGTTGGTGCTGCTGCTGTTGTTGGATCTGTTGCTGCTGCTGCATTTGTTGTTGCTGCTGCTGATGATGCTGTTGCTGATGATCCATTTGTTGTGGCGGCAGGTCATCTGAAACCAGTTTATTCTCTCTAATCTTGGCCATGATATCCGTGCATTTCATATGCTGGTGAAACGAAAAGACCGGATGACTGGCAGCCATTCTGTAAACGAGCAACAACTCAAGCAGAGTCTCCCTATCATTCATGCATGTAAAATCCTGTGTGCCCCAACATTCCAGCGTGCGAAAGATCTCATTGACGCAGGTGCAGTTGCAGGCGCGTATCAGCGCCAAGTATAGCGCCATTTTGCGTCGTATTTTTTTATCCGAGGGCTCGCCCTTTTGGCAGGTCAACATATCGGCGGCCAGTTCCTGTGGATTGTTGGCGCGCAACTCCATGGCACGAAGGTCCAGTGAGTCTCGCCTTCCCAATTCCTCCAGGCAGGTTCCCAGGAAGCGCAACTCGAAGGGCAGACAATAGTCGAGCAGTGAACACATGGTATCGATGCGTTGGTAGCTCTCGAGTTTCTTAAACCACAGCAGCACGTCGTTTTTACAAATCATTTCCAATCTTGCTGCTTGCACGCGCGCATCTACCAAGTGTGATCTGTCGGTTGTCTGGCCTGTCTGCCTGTCTCTCTGTTGTTGGTGTGGTGTGGTGCGTTCCTTTTCCTTGCTTGCTCTAGTTACGTGCGTGTGGTGGGTGCAAAAACCACAACAACAACAATGGCAATAATAACTAGAATATCGATAGGAAGAGGAGCAGCTGCTGCTGCATCACAGCCGCAAACGGCGCGTTTTTCGCAGCTCGCCCGTTTTAACCACAATTGGGCAGTCAGTATGCAGCTAATTGACTTTTACACACTTTTCTGTTCGGCTGCACGTCTTATTGCAACTATTTTTTGCTGCTGCTTCTCACAAAGACGACGACAACGACAACGACGACTGCTGCCCACTACATTTGCTTGTTAAGGGGTGCTCAGGGTTCGGGGGCTGCACCACATTGGCCAGAGGCAGAGACTCGCTTGTTTACTCTACACTCGTTACCCTCAACTCGCCGCTACCTAAGTTTCTGCTGTTTGCAACTATTTTTCCCCCACACACACTCGCGCGATGAATACACAATTATGCGTTTACAAATCACTGTGTTATTATACTATTTATGATCCACTCTGCACGCAATATGCACGCTGTGTTCTCATTTAAAAAAATTACGGAGTTTTCCTTTGCGCAACGGCAATGTTGTATGTGTATATGTATGTATAACAAGCGCAAATATCGCTCATCACTATCGTGACCCATTGCAATTCTCTTCACATCCCAATCACAACGAATGCGAATGATAGTGACGAGTCATACAATCGATTTATAGCTGCTCTGATAATCCTGATATCGAAAGTTGCATTAAAAATTTCTTAATTATATCAATTTAGTTTCCTTTCACTTATTTATATAAAAAGGATTGCAAATTCATGTTTATAACACAAATTTCAAATCCAAGTGATAGTAACTAGTTATACAATCGGTATATAACTACTCTATAACCATGTATTGAAAGGTACCGAAAGCTGAATTAAATTGCATGAAACATTCATTCCAAAATAGTTCGTTATTGTTATCACTTGCCTGTAATAATTTATCAAATGGTAAGCACAGATTATTTTGTTTTAGGGGTATGTCCTTGCCCTATTCTCCAGCAGATATTTCACTAGGCCGCTAAAACAATTTGTTTTATTTGTATATTCAATTTGGCCGCCATCATAACGGAACGAGTTGGCAGTCACTTGAAATTCGAAGAAATGCAGTGCAAATCTTGGGGCGTTTATTTTGTTTTTTATTTTTCTCTATAATAATTTTGAATGAAATTGTGTGTTACACTGCTATACTTAATTATTATTGCGCTTAAAAGCCATCCTCATCGTCTTCGGCCATCTCCTTAGCCAACTCCAAATCCTGCTGCTCGCGTTCACGTCGCTCTTCTGCGCTCTCCAAATCCTTACCATAAGATTTAGGCGGATATCGCATAGCCTTTACGCTCTGGTTGTGCAGATTCAGGCAAAACGAGATGCGCTCATGAAAGGCCAACTGTGGTTCGCGAGTACTATAAATGTCTGTGCTCTCCTTGCTGCGCATATAATTTTGTGCCGGATCCAAAGTGGCCTCAATGACACCATCACGTATAGCCTTTGAAACAATGAATTCTGCATCCTCTGACGAGTCAAGCATCAAACGCTTAGCAATATCTTGGGGTGAGATGCGCGAATACGAGAGCCCAATCGAACGTATAGCCGTCTTAATGACATTGTGGCGCAAACGTATGATAAGCGTAAATGTGTGATCCAGTTGAAATTTGGGTCCGTATTGGGAGACTACATCGCCAAAACGTTTTAGATTTCCCAGCCTCACAGCCTGCGTGAGTTGGAAATAGGGTCCTAGGGACTGGCGCAACCCAGCTTGACGGAACACGACGCGCTCCGGAATATTGCCCAGCAACAGTTCTACAACAATGATGAGCTTTTGCACAGTTTGACGAAAACCAATGGCTGCATGCTGGGGCGATTTTCGCAGAGCTTGCACCAAATGCTTATGAGCGTCGCTATACTCGAGCTTGGCGGCCTTAATGCGACCCAAATAGTAGAGGAACCGCGCCCACTCATTGTTGCTTGCTGATTCTGGATACACTGATTTTTTTACCAGCTTGTCTGCCTGATCGTATAGCGAATAGTGCAAATAGTTACGCAGCAGACAATTGATAAGTACGGCCTGGCCTTCAAAGTCGTTGCGCAGTGTGGCGGTGCGTAGACGGGCGTGGAGAAATGCGCGTATGCCTTCCAGTGCATTGTTTAGTTCAGCCACGCGTGAGAAGTAGAAATACGACTTGGCGCCGATCAAGTCTAATGTGCGTCGATTCTGTATGGAGATCTTCGCCATCAGAGCATCGGCGCAAGTGCCAGCGCGTTTTAGATCATTCGCGTCTATTAACTTAACCAGCAGCAGCAGATAGAAATAGGCGTCCACCTCAGCAATGGGAGCCTTTGTAGCGGCCAACTTCTTAGTTACATCCGGCAATTCCGTGGCATCTTTTTCTAGTACGGGCATCAACGCAATAGCCGCCTCACGATCGGCACCGGTTGGATAAATGCTTTGAGCGAGATTTCTGAAAACCACAGCGTCTAGCTTACGACGTGTGTTGGGCAAATTGCGCAGCACACGCAAAATAAAGCTGCCATAACATTCACGGAAAAAGCAATTATTATGCGTATTTACAAGCCCTTGACAATAACTTACCGCGACTCCTTCGAGGCAACAGACTTCTCAATCTGGCGAATTTGTTCACGTATCTCTTGAACAGCGGCAATATCTTGATTTTTCTTCTCGTCCGCTAGCGTCTCGGGTGATGGATCGACATCCATTTCCACATCGTGCGCAATTGGATCAGCTGCATTTGTCATTTTGAACTACTTTTAATTTGTTAAATCCGCTAGTTTTGCTTATTTTCCTTGTTTTATTTGAGCTACTTCCAGTACAGAAATCAAAATTGTCGAGTAATGCAAATGTCTGCTTCTTCTTTATGCTTATCGCAATGACAAGCAGTGTTGTACAATACTTAGCTATGCTGTATCCCCCTAGGCAACACTACATACATTAGCATAGGCAATAATCATATGGAGGAAGCTTTAAATAACACTTTATAGCAATAAGTTACGTGATTTTGAATTAAAGTTAACACAAGCCACAGAGAACCGTACTGCCCGGTAGAAATATGCTGCGCTATCGCCATATACATCTGGCGCGCTTACTGCAACCAGTGTCTGTTCGAATTTTATCCCCTGCTGCCTACTCATCGGAAACCGGCAACGATGATCCGGAGGATAAACATCCAATTAGACGCACACTTCGCCTACTTGGCAACGATATGCGCAAAGTTAGGGACTTCTTTATGCCCAAGATCAACAGAACTGAAGATAAAACGGATCGCCGACCAATGCAGAGTAAATTTCAATTTAAAGGCGATCAGGGCCAGCCGGAAGAGTTCCAGACGCACTGTGATATTTTGGTTATCGGAGGTGGTGGCATTGGAAGCTCTATTGCGTATTGGCTAAAGGAAAAGGCACGGGATGGACTCAATGTCGTCGTAGTTGAAAAGGACGATACTGTAAGCATGTTGTTTCACAAATGCGCTCTTCACCTTATTCTCAAAATTTATTTCAGTATTCCAATTCCGCCACTCGCTTGTCCATTGGTGGCTTGCATCATAAATTTTCGCTTCCCGAGAACATAGAAATGTCCCTTTTTGCTGCCGATTTTTTGCGGAATGGAAAGCAGAATTTTGGCGCTGATATACCACTTAACTACACGCCATGTGGTCATCTGAGACTAGTTAGCGAAGAGGGCGCCGAGGCACTGCAGCGCACTTGCCAGCTACAAAATGAATTGGGCGCACGCAATGAACTGTTGACACCGGCCCGCTTGGCCACCCGTTTCCCGTGGCTAAAGACCGACGGCGTTGCCCTGGCCTGTTTAGGTTTAGAAAAGGAAGGATGGTTTGATCCATGGGCTCTGCTATTGGGTTACAGACGCACAGCTGTCCATTATGGTGCACACTTTGTGAATGGCGAGGTGGTGCGCTTTATATATAAAAATCAACCGGATGTTACAATTGTGGGCGACGAAGCTTCCAATGAGGGGCAGTATAGTAGCCTTGACAAGGTCGTTGTTCAGCTACAGGATGGCACACAACGATCTATTAAGTTTGCTTTGTGTGTAATAGCAGCGGGCGCCAGCTCAGGGAATGTAGCCCAATTAGCGCGAATAGGACGAGGTCCTAACATTTTACAAGTGCCACTACCTGTGGTGCCGCGAGAGCGTTGCCTTTATGCTATCACCACAGACGCACAAAATGCGCCTGGTATTTCAACGCCACTCACAATTGACCATAATGGCGTGTTCTTTAGATCCGATGGCCTGGGTGGCAACTACATTTGTGGACACTTTGGCAATATTGAAGATAGTTCAGAGAATCCTGATGCACAAGCCTTCTTCGAGTCGGCGATTAGACCCACTTTGGCAAAACGCGTGCCAGCATTCGGAAGCGCCAGAATTGTCGACAAATGGTCTGGCAGTTACGACTACAATCTTTTTGACGACAACGGCATTATTGGTCCTCATCCGTATTACAATAATTTGTACATTGTAACAGGCTTTAGTGGACAAGGAATACAGCAAACGCCGGCTCTGGGACGTGCTATATCCGAACTCATAATGGACGGCAGTTTCCGCACAATTGATCTGTCTAGGCTTAGCTTTGATAGAATAATTGTGGATAGACCATTGTACGAGTTGAATAGTATTTAAAATTAAACGTGCTTTATAATTTAAGAACAAAAATGATTAATAAATTGGGCTGATTGTATCATTTGCCAATTAAATGTCATCTATATCTGGGGTGGATTTTTTAAAGATGGTTTGCAAAATAGCAATTTAAAAATTAATTAATATACGTACATGCTAATGAAGCCATGTTGATCAGAAATAGCACAGCAAAAATATTGCACGTCGCGTGTTCGCAGTTTATCTTAAATTTTTATTCTAAAAGGTTTTAAGTTTCAAACATTATTAGTTTTTATAAGTATTCAAATATGTTCTGTTTGCATCTGTTGTTGTTAAATAATGTTTATGCAAATCAAATGATCAACAGTTGCAATCTATTGGTTATTGGTATAAATTGAAGAAATCAATCCATTTGTTGCTTTTGCTCACTTGCTGCCGATTGATTAAAGATGTTGTTGTGGCTATTGTTGTAGTTGTTGTTGCTGACGATGAAGCGACGACGAACTTAGGCGCTGTAAAAAGCTACATTTGGGGGAAAGAAATCAAATCACATTATATATATTAAATATATAGATGTTAATCATCAAACAACAGCAAAGAGAAAAGGGAGGGAAAAAGAGAAATTGAAAAAGTAATTTGTTGGATTATGGAAGGTTTTTCTTTTCTTTTTTCTTTTGGTATTTCACGTTAGCGAAATATTCAAATTGAAGTCGCTGTTGAGTAGCCTTTCAGTAACTTCAAGTTGAACATTTGGACGCCAAAAGCGAAGTGAACGTATAACGTTCGAAATATAAACAGAACTAAAATTGGGTTGCTATTGGAAACCCTTAGAAACTTTGTGGTTGTTCTTGCTGTGTCGGTCTGTTAGCTCTAAGTCTTAATTTAGAGTTTGAAGTTGATTTCATTTTTTATTGGGTTGTTAATTGTTATTCCGTCGCCTAGTAACGTCGTCTGTCTCGACTACGGGAACGCCGACGTTCAGTTGATCGATTACGACGCGTGTCACGCTGTCGTTCACGTTCTTTTTCACGTTCGCGCTCCTTCTGTCGCTCCAGTTCACGATCCTTTTGCCGCTGCTTGTGCTCCTCAATGCGCTTTTGGCGGAATGCCTCCTTTTCAGCAATCTATTACGAAATAGTAAAGCATTTAACTATTTAATTATGAATGATATGACATGCGATCCTACCGCTTCCGGCGTCAATGGCAGCCAGTAGATGCATGGCGTGGCCTTGGTTTTACGAAAAAGATCATCTAATAATCTAATAGGTGGTTCATCCTTCTTCTTTAATTTGTGCGCTGCAACAAAGGAAAAATGGTAACTATATTGTTGGGTCATTTCTTTCAACAAGTTTTATTGAGTTCCACTTACCAGGTGAGCCGCTACGGCTTCGTCCATGCACATGATCGCGCTCACGAACGCCACGTTCCCGTTCCCTTTCCCGCTCCCTTTCTCGAGAGCGCTTGCGATCTTGTCCAAGACGTTCAGTACCACTGCCACGCTCCACGTCACGTGAGCGGGAACCAAGACGTTCCCTGCTGCCACGACGCCTATCGCTGCTGATTTTATCACGATCATTTGGCTCCCTTTTGCCCACATCCCATTCACGCACCGGTCGCGTTGGCTATAACCGAAAATCTTAAGTAAATTTTACTTTATTGTGCCTATAAGTCATTACCTTTTTATCGGTTGCATCCAGGCGCGACCAAGCATTGCTCGACTGCTGATTATCCCTGGTGTTTTCCTGTGCATATTTCGGCACATCATCCTGTGATGTTTGTATTGCGCGGTCCATGTCCGCGCGACTGCCAAAGTCCACATTTAAACACTTCGGATTTGATACCGGCCAGCGCACTCCATGAAGGGCATGACGTGTTTCAATGGCCTCACTACATGATAAGGATTTTGTTAATTTAAACAAAGAACAACTTAGTGGATATACTAGTTATACCCTGTACCCGAAGGGTAAAAAGGGTTTATAAGATTTGTTTTCCTTTAAGGCTTAACCGGTTCTACAGAGTTCAGGAATATTTTTTATTTTAATTTTATGTTTATTTGCCTATTTTTTTGGTCCTATTTCTCTTAAAATAAAATGATAATATAAATAATAACGGAAGAATTGTTGCATTACAATACAACAACAAATCTGTTCCCAAAATACCACTTCTAATTGACATACCTCTAACCGAGAGCTACATTTTGGTAAACAGCTAAAAAGGGGTTAAAATATAGAACATATGAAAGCACTTACTCCTCTGTGCTATACGCAACATAACATTTAGATTTGATGCGGTCTATCCAGAAGCCATTCTCCTCAACTATTTTGCCTGTACGCGCCAGCAGTCCTTTGAGCTGCAGTACCGTAAAGGGGCGGACCAGATTCGTGATATAGAGTACATGACTGGCTGTGTTGCGCGCCGGACTGGGCGAGCGTGTGACACTGGGCGCGGGAGCAATAGCGACGGATGTTTTACTGGAAGCATTTGGAGTCGCTGGCGTTGAATTGTTCGCAATCTTTTCCTTCTCCTTTTGTTGCTGATCCTCGACACCACTGTCACGCTCTTTGCGCTGTGCTTTGGACCCATCCAGCGGTGCTGTTGGTCTCACCAACTCTGGCGTCATGGAACGATCGTTCGAATCATGATCGCTGGTGACCAAACCCTCCTCCTCGGAAGATGACTCCAGCTGCACATCGCTTAGCGAGACTGGCTGCACAACATCTGCTATGATGTTCTTAAGCGAATCAGTCGATATAGCTAACACTGGCGCAGACCTTTCGTTGCCCTTCTTGGTTAACCATTTACGCTTGCGTACGGAACGCTGCGTTTGCACTGATGCGGACTCGCGCTTATCGCTAGCCAAATCGGGTACTGCTACGTCCTGCTCTTGTTGGATATCTGCTGGTGTGGTGTCCGATGTTTTACCTTCAATGCGATTCTCCTTGTGCTCGTCACTTTTGTGTGATTGGCTGTCCTTTATAAGGCTATCGTCCTGTTTCGTCTCCTTGTGTTTTTTCTTCTCCCGTTCCCCGCGGCGTTCTTCTTTGGGAGTTCCCTCATCTGTTACACCGGTGGCGGCAGCTGGTGCAGTAGCCTCTTCCCTTTCATCGACGTCCTCTGTTTGAATGTCTAATACATCAGTTGATGTTTTTAGATGTTCCTCATCCTTATTTGCCGTTAAGCTAATTGAAGGAGAAGGAATTTTTACCTCTTCCTCTACGTTCCGCTGGCCTGTCCGTTCAGCGGTCGCCATTCCTGCCTCATTAGCATCACCACCGCTGCGTTTGTCCCCCCTATGATTATCGTCGTCTCCAGAATTTTTGTCCATTTGTTCGCGTCGCCTAATCGGCTGTTGCCCATCTTCTGCCTCCCTATCCTTACCCGTCTTAATAGTTACGGCTTCGTCGCTCTTCTTCCGCACCGGCTTAGGCGGATTATCTTCACCCTCATTTTGCAGACTGTTGCTGTTAATCAGCTTGGCATCTGCATCTGCTTCAGAACCGTTCTCGGTCTCTTCGGGTATGGAGTTTATGGCGCCTTTGTCACGGTAACTGACCCCACCACTGCGTTTTTTCGGCGTCGTGCGGGTGCGGCTTTTGCGCACTGGCGATGCCGCCGTTCGTTCCTCACTCGAGCCACTCTCTCGCTCCGCATCGATTTCTTCAGGTGCTGGTGCTGCTTGCCCCAGCTCTCCTGACTCATTCTTTTCTTCCAACACTGCATCATCCTCATTCTTTTCATTTTCCGAGGCTTTCAATGATCGCCGACTTCGCCGTGCCGGCATTGGAGCAGGCGATGCCGATTTTTTTCGCTCGCTACGACGTCTCATAGCTGTAAAACCACGCACCTACAACCACACTAACACAAATGTGAGCACTCAGGCTAGGAAATAAACTTAAGAAACCTGCGTCTGCAGTTGTTAAAAGTAATGCACAGCAATTTTCACACGCGTTTTAGTTCTTTTTAGCGATGGCGTCGGCACAGTCGTTCAATATCTCGGTAAAGTTAATTAATTTTTTAAGCGAAAAAAAGCGTCAATCTCGTCAATAAAGCAGGGTTGTAATAATATGGCTGCTTGGTTGCCGCGCAAGCATCGAAAGTCTTAGTATCGATACTTACACCATTCCACTTTGCAGCACTGGCCAGCAGCTGCAGCATTTCGTAATTTCTGCACACATACGTAAAATGGCAAATAAATAAACGAATTGCTTATTTTGGCTTTCAACATGAATTTTAGAAATTTTTGCAAGGCCACACAAGCTATAGTTGTGTCGCGGTTACGCGTGGTGCGCATGCAACATGCTGGCTTAAGTGTCAACACCAATGTAGCGGTTAATTGTAACATTAACAGGAGCAACCGAAACCAATGGGGAAAACAACAGCAACAACAAAGACTCCTTTCCGTATGTCCAACACAACACCAGCAAAGACAGCACGAAAAAAGTGTTCCTGGTACAGGTTTAGTATTCACCACAGCCTTCATGTTCAATCTATTTGGACGCAGCGATGAGGAGGAAGAGGAAACGCCGGAGCAAAAATTGTATGTGTCCATTGAATTTAACTGCAAATTGTATTATCGAATTTGATTTCTTTTTTTATTAGGTTGTTAACCATAAAACGGTCGATTCTCTGCATACAGCGGGAACAGTATGATAAGGCAGAGCAAATGTTACATTTGTCACTACGCATGGCGCAGGATATGCAGAGTAAAGATGGCATCACTTACGTCTACGATTTAATGGCCAATCTGGCCATGGAGCGGGAACAGTTCAAGAAGGCCGAAAAAATATTTGCCGATGTAATGAAGCGTTTATTTGCCGATGGCCATACGGAGGAGAGTCCCAAGGTGTGTTGCAGAGCCTGAAGGCATAAATATACTAACCTTGAAGTAAATATGTATTTAGATTCTGCACATAAGCTCGAAGATAGCTCATATGTCCCAGTTGCAAGGCGACTTGGAAAAAGCGTATCAGGGCTTTACGTGGACACTGGCGCGAATTGCCGCTTTACTGGAGAAAGTGCCACACGATAAAGACGTGCAGGAGTTGTATGGATTGACAAAGAATTGGTATTGAAGGTGTTCCCGAGCTTTTTGTGTTACAAAAAAGCCGAACTTGATTCAAAATTTAAGTTACTCAATGATAATTTTTTAATTATCACCTACCTTCAGGTTCGGACAGTTACTAATGAAACAGGGACGGTACACAGAGGCAAAGAATCTTTTCAAGGAGGCCTTCGAATGTCTAATCGAAGTTTACGGCGCAGTCAACGATGCCTCTGTCACAATATTAAACAACATAAGTGTCGCATATGTTAATGTAAGCAAAACTTATAAAATATTTATGCAGCGGCCGCATTACCCAGTTGTAACTCCTAAAAGCTTGAAAACTATGCCGAAGCCAAGGAACACCTGTTGCACGCCATGGACATAGCTAAGGAATTAAAAGATGTTACACAAGAAGGCATTCTGCAAGCCAATTTGGGACTAATATACTTGCGCGAAGGCCTATTGCAACAGGCGCAGGATGCGTGTAAGCAGGCGTGGCAAATGGGAAAGAAGCATCAGAATCTGGACGCCGTGGAACAGGCCGAGTATTGTCTGAACGAGATTAAATCAAGCATGAAAGGCTAATTAAAATTCGTTTGTTGTATGTATTTAGAAACTTTTTGATATATCCAAAATTTTTTAGAGAAATATAGGGCGCAAATTGCCGAACTCAATAGCGAGTACTTTAAAGCTTACAAAAACGAAATTAATGTGTATATCTACGAAAATCTATTCAAACTTGGCTATAACAATCATCAGCGCCACTCCAGTGAGTAGTGCAAGAATTTCCTTTAACGATTGTTTCAACTTTGTTGACTCCTCCAGCAGTTCAGGCAATACGCTCACTGTGGCTATGTATATGAAGCCTCCGGCTGTAAACGGCAACACCCATGGCGCTGAGCTGTTGTCACCGCTGCCGGCACCCAACAGTGCCAAAGCAGTTCCGGCTACGGCGCCTAGCGCTGTTACCAACTGCAGTGACATAGCCTTTCGTCGCGAGCAACCCGATTTTATAAGTATGGCAAAATCGCCAATTTCGTGCGGAACTTCGTGCAGCAATATGGTAATGGTGGTCACAATACCAATGCTATTACCGGCCAAGTAGGACGCACCAATCGCTAGGCCGTCAGTAAAATTATGGGCGAAATCTGCAGCCAAATTTAAATAGCCCGAGATTTCAACCTCACCTTCATCCTCTTGCTGCTGCTGTTTTGGTTTCGACTTGGCAGGCTTTGAGGATTTGTCAGTGTCATCGCCTTTGCCAGTTTGTTTCTTTTCCGCTTTCTCCTTGGTGGGCTGTTTTGATTTAACTGGTCCATGACTGTGTCCGTGTCCGCCGCCACTGCCGCCCTTCAAAATGCGTACGATTTTCTCAACTGATAAAAATGCTATAATGCCACCCAGCACCCACAGACCAACGCTCATGTCGTGTGCGTGCTCATGTCCATGTCCATCGTGGTCTTCATGGGAATGTGAATGTCCATGGTGGTCGTGCTCATCGTGGCTATGCGGGTGCGTGGCATGCGGTATTAAGTGCAGGAATGCATCGCCCAACAGGCCGCCGGATGCGAAAGCTAGCAAGACTTTCAGGCGTGGCTTCATTGCCTCGCTATTGTCCAGCGGTATAATGTATAGAAGAACGAAGGGCGCAGCACTGATAAGCAGCGTCGAGCCAATCGAATGCAGCCAAACACTGCTCATATCTGTAATAAACGAGATTATGATACTTGATTTATATAGTTTTCGTGTTGTCGGCAACTTACCCAGCGCCGGCTTCGTTTGTCCATGGCTATGCGGTTTCTCGTGGTGATGATGATCATGATCGTGGTCATCATGATCATGATCGTGGTGATGATGATCGTGTTCGTGATGATCGTGGTCGTGATGATGATGATCGTGCTTTACCGGCGGCGCCTTCTTTGGATCAAAGTTTTCATTAGCTTCGCGCGAGTATTTAAAACTTGGATTCTGTCCCCGGCATATGGCAGGCAATGACAGCAAAATGGCACTCAGCAGTATGCCTAGCGCCAACTTTTGAAGGAGTTGGAGCCGTCTGGGCTCAAAATCCGTAAGGTTTCTGCTCATTATCAGCCTTTTCTTTTTAAGTTCTTAAGTATTGTGACGTGTGTGCTTTTCTTTTTACTGATATCGATACCTACAATTCAACACCAATCGATGCTTAGTGCTGCCAGCTCAGCTCTTTGGCCGGCAGATGCATGTATTTACTAACTGGAAGCTGCAAAATTGTAGAAAAATCATTTAAGCATGGGTTGTCTGCTTGCTACTTCATTGCAAAGAACACGTAAGCAAAAAATGCATAAACAGTGCTCAAGTATTGAACAAGTAAAATATATGTATATAGTTGCCTGTGGTCAGTTTGCAGGTAATATTAGTAAAATGTTGCCAGATCGATATAATTGCAAGACGCAAAAGTCGTTACAGTTTCCGTTTTGTACTGTTAAAATAAATATAGTGCCATTAATACTTTCCTCATCTAATTATTGGGTAATTACCAAGTTATCAAATTAATTGTTTCTTTATATAGTTGAGTACTTTTAAACTGTATCTCGCTCTTCCAAAACCTTTATGTTAATTGAAATTAGTATTCAATTTTTTTTAGGCGCACGTCTCGTAAATGTGAAGCATTCTCTGATTTATGTAAACACTATTGTAAAACGTATGTATTAAAGCATACATACATATGTATATGTATGTACGTCTAATTTTGTGAGTGCATAGACTATAAAACCAGATTCATTCGCAATAAATAAAGAACGCGCCGCCCACGATATAAGAAACGAAATAGGTAAGGTTGGTTGAAGTAAATGCATCGATTTCGAATTATTTTGTATTTGTATAATTTGAAGCCTTAATTAATCATTTAATCGCATGTAGATTTGTTTGTTTTCTCGTTACTAGGGCATATACATAGGCAATTGCATAGTTAAACGATGCTAATAACTAGACATGTGTATGTGTCTTTTTGTAGGTGCATACTTTTTATAGCCTTTCATTTTTTTTTTTTGCTTGCAGCTGCCTAAGAGCGCAAGTTAATTGTAAATGCTACTACATAAAATAAAAAAACGTTTTGCAGGCGAGCGTAAAGTTCGTTGGTGTATACAATAAATTAGGGTTGGAGTTGATTAATAGGGTGTTGTATTGTGTGGGGATAATTAGATGCCTGCGTTATTTTGAAATAACTACATATTTTTGTAAATATATGTATGTATATATGTAATTGCTATATGTACAAGCCACTTTGGTTGCATATTGCCACAATCATGTTGCATGGTGCATGCTCCATGTCTGAACGCAGTACTTCTCTCCTTTTTAGTAAAGGTTTATCTTCTTCAATATCGTCTTGCGGCACATGTGGCAGGTTCGCAAAGTTTCGGCACAATGGGAACAGGCGCCGTGGCCACATAGAAAGGCGACATCCCGTTTGCGTTCCATGCATATGCCGCAGTAATGTGATTCCTCGAATTCCTGTACCTTATTCTCCAGATAGCGCAGCAGCTCGCCGGACGGCATCCGCAACTGATCGCCTGGCGATGATGTGCAGTTCGCTTGTTGCACGACCAGCCGTCCGTTGGCGGCCAAACGCCGCTCTATAGCAACGCCGCAGCGTAGACACTTCTTCATGCGTATACTGCACTCCTCGCACGCAATTTGGTGTTGACAGGGCTCGAAGCGCACCAACTGGAGGAGTTCGTTGCACACAATGCACTCCTGTGGCCCTCCAATGGGTGAGTGTGAGTTGCTGTTGTTGCTCGAGGCTGCCACGACGTGTGGTAGTGCATTTGCCTCAAGGCTGGTGCTGGTGGATGCTGCAGACGCTGCTGTTGGTACTGGTGGTTTGGGCGCCTTTTTGCGCGGCGCAACCTGCGGTGAGATTGCAGCGCTATCCGAGTTCAGTTTCTTTGTGCCGGGCGATGCATGATTATTGCTAGATGTTGTCGCTGCCACTGCCGTTGTCTCCGGCTTGGGTATTAGCTCCAATTGCTGCTGACGCTGTGCCACTGGCGGCGGCATCGGTGGTGCCGGCGTTAAGGTAATAGCTGCTGCTGCAGTGGCCAGTTCATCGCCAGCAGGTGGTCCAGCCTCGGACGCACTAATGTCCAAAGCTTGCATATTACGCTGCAAAGCTGCCGCAGTTGTGGCCTCGTCGGCGCCCATTTGGTGGCCAAAGATCAGTTGACGAATGTTGCGATCAGTGATCCATTCAAATATGCTGGCATTGGCGTTGTTGACCTCGACGCGACAGCCATGTCGCGATAGGTAGATGAGTATGCTGTACATAAGGCGGTCTTCGCGCCGCACACTCGTCGTCAACAGGCTCATGTAGAATTTGTGTATTTCGGGCGCCTCGTCCTGTGCAGGTTCAGCGGCTTGCTGTAAATTCGATTTCTTAATGATGCACAGATGCATAGCATTGTCCCCATCCTCGTCCTTGGCATTCACATCGCACGAGAGCTTGACTAGACGCTCGATAACAGCAGCGTGTCCTTGAGCGACGGCCAAAAGAAAAGGCGTCTGACGTCGATTGTTCCGTATGTCCAATTCCGCTTGACCCTCCGTCACGAGCGTCTCTACCACCTGTGCGTGACCATTAAGTGCGGCCAGATGTAGAGCCGCAAAGCCATCGTCCTTGCGCACATTAACCAGCTGCCGGGACAATTGAAGTATGCGACGAGCAGCCGCCACATTGCCTTTGAGGGCGGCATGATGTAATACATTGAATCCTCGATTGTTCTTAATGGTTATATTCAGATTGGGCGCATTGCAAAGTAGCTCAACCACCTCGGTGTTCTCTTTACCGATGGCATCGTGCAGCGCTGTGTCGCCATACGAATCCTGTATATTAACATCAGCATTGTGGCGGAGTAGCTCGCGAACACAGTGGGGCGTCTTCTTGTGCGCACAAATATGCAGTGCCGAACAGTGGCTGGAGTTGAGGAAATTCACTTTGGCTCCATGCTGCAAAAGGACATGCATGGTCTCCGGTTGATTACCGAAAGCGGCATAATGGAGTGCCGAGTCCCCTTCTTTGTCCACCACATTCACGTTCGCGCCCTTGTCGATGAGATATTTGACCAGTTCGACATACCCTTGATGCGAGGCAACCTGAATGCATGCCTTGCCACCACTCATCACATCCACCTGCCCGGGATTCACGTCCAAATATTGACGTACAAACTCCAAATGTCCTTGGGCCGCCTCACGCACCAACTTATCGACTACAGAGGTGCCAGAGAGTCCGGAAAGTGGCGTCATCACATGATCCGTGCGCCGATTACTTAAGTCCATCATGCTATTCGAACGCTCAGCTGCTGTGGCCAGCGGTGAACGCTCGAGCTTAACGCACTTCGGATTCAGCGTCCATTCAAAGCCATCATCCAGCTGCTGTATGCGTAAATCACCATCCGAGTAGACTTTAACTACCTTACAGAGTTTTCCCAAAGCCTGAAAACAATATGAAAATAAAAATAAACCAATGACTTTGAACATGTGGTCTCGCACGCCTTATTCTCCTTCTGATACTGCGTGGCGTTTAGACTTTCTCCTTTCCGAAACTATTCTAATTTAAGTGTTTCTAATACAGAATAGCCCTAAATTTCGATTCTTTAGATAAAATAGTTCCTCAGAATTGTCTATCATAATGATCTGACTATAAAGTTGGATTAGGTACTTACATATCGCATGATATCAATCCATTCACCGTGGCCTTTCTGCAGTTGCTGTACTTTTTTGGCATCATTGATAATGGTCACTAAATCGCCGACACGAAAACTAACTACCTTAACTAAGGCCGCTGGATGGAATGTCCAACGGTTTGGACAGTTTTCATACTGTACGCTGTAAAATCCATATACAAAAGGGTTGTTAGAAAAGCTGTCTAGGGATAAGCGATTTCAGTTCACTTACCGTATATCCCCCTTGTCTGTAATGCGATGCACTGTTCCCAGTTTGGCCAAGTGTTCTATCATTCGTGGATTCCAACCGCCATGTCCTTGCTGTAACTTCATCAACGCATCCACCTCTAAGCACACCTTAACGCGATCCCCCACCGAGAATGTGGGCTTCACCATGGGCGCCACTGGTTGCTGTTCTTCCGTTTGCCCCAACACCGGCATATGTTCCTTATAATAGTGACCTCCACACGTCGCAATGATGTACTTTAAATCAACGTTCCCCTTATGACCCAAGCGATAGACGTTCGTAGAGCCCGTTACCCACTCAACGTTGGCTACACTGCGACAGGATTCATTGTCCCAGCCGCGTATTTCAACAACACGTCCTGTCTTGCCCTCGCCACCGTCCTGATCGTTCCACTCCCAGTCGGGACCGCGCACTACTTTCGATTCTACAAAGATGCCACGCAAAGGAATGCGCTTTCCGTCCTTGCGGGGCGGCACACGTACGCCCAGCGAATTTGGGGTGGTATAGCGCACAAACGGATGTTCTAGATCATGCACATTCTCCCCATAGCAATAAGCGCACAAATGGTAATTGGCACACTGCGCACACTTGAAGACAATGCCGGCTATTCCAGCTTTGGAGCAACCATCACAAACGACGTTTGAATGTCGAACGCCTGCAAACAAGGAAGCGACTTTTTATTTAAGCAGTCTAGATGGATTTTGTACATTACATTCGATAACATTATACAACATTCACTCATTCTCTTTAGAAAAGCGCGTTTAGATAAGAATGATAAAAAACGTAATAATAAGGTCGATTGAATAAGTTACTGTCAAATAATTTGCAAAAAAGGAATGATTCTTCTTAAATAAAAAACATCTTTATCGTTTCAATTTACAAGGCCTAATTGTAGAATTGTATAATAGAAATTATATTATTATTATATTTTGTTTGTCAAGCGTATAGCTCTATTGTTAATGTAAATTATTTAAAAGAATGTTTAATGAGGTCTCGCAGGGCTGACAAATGACATAATTTAAATTAGGTAAGTATAGCCATAAATCAAATAAAAAATCCGCACCAATTGTAATTAATATAGATTAAAGTAATAGCTGCTTTAATAGCAATCTATTTTTAGTCTAAAAGTTTGCCCCGTTTACTCACCAACTTGTGCATTATCCACAATAATCAGATCGTATTGGTTTTGATAGCCCACTCGATAATTGGTGCGATGTCCAGAATCCCAATTGACGACCACAGTGTTTTCCGGAGACTGTTGTGATCCGCAACGTCCTATTTCACAAACGGTGCCAACGTGACCTTCTCCGTCGTCTGTTGCGTGTAAAATGAAATCAGAAATTAAATAAAATTAAGACTGGGCTGTAAAATGCTGGTTTTATTTATAAACGAAGCCTCCAACGGTAAAATGGCGACGTTTAGACGCAGGCTCCCCCCGGAAGTGTACGAATGCATCCGGTGGTAACAGACAGTACACAAGAAGTGGGGAGGGCAGCAATGACTGATTGGAGGATCGTTGTTAAGTATCAGCACACACCAACAAAGTTTCAGAAATGTTAGGGATCTGAACCGTCTGCTGCCTGTTTTGTAAACACGCAAATGTTTTCGTTTTTTTCTTTCCCTCGCTTCGGTAAACTTTAGTATTCCTATTGCAGCAGCGAGCGAACCCCAGTCCCAACCCCATAAGCTGCAATGCAGCGAACTACATAAAACATCTAAAAATAACACATTTTGAGGCATGCAGTCGGGCAGACGACGACAGGGAGCACGCGTCACTTATTTTACTACAGACAGGCTTCCCAAAATAGAATTTCTCTGTTCCTTATTCGAGTTGAGTCTTCAAATGGAACCACTGAGCTAGGTCTTTGGGCTCAGTTCCTTTAGTTACCCCAGTTTAAATGTCTTACATTATTCCGATATTTGCGAAATTGATAGACATCTCAAGGAAAGCATTTATGAAGAGCGATATAGCCTACAGTTGAGTGTCTCTCCCGCAACACAATAGAGATTTGAATACGCTAGGCATTCATTCTAAATATTCATATTAGTAGTGGCGAGGTCGGTTTCATATGAAATTAATTTCCCTTCTGGGCAAATTTGTTCTTCAAAAACTCTTTTGTTGATTTATTATTAAAGTTTATGAATGAACACATGTAAAGATGTATAAATAAACGTGTCTCTTAAATAATTTTATACTTTAATTAAATTATTTAATTAAATATGATGAAGAATCGGCTAAAAATAAGGAATAAGCGATCAAACTGAAAGTACAAAAAGATCGTTTACTTCAAAGTCAACTAGAATTTCCAATTCTATACCTTCTCCACCAGCAAGTAGAATTCGGCTGATAAAGTATTTAAATTTAGACTGAAAATTCATGAAGAATTCTTCATACTTTGTTATAAACAATTAGAGAGCACAAACGTAAAAGTTAAGAAGATAAGTAAAATAAAATGTGAATTCCATTTTGCTTATTTTACAATCTTAGCACAAATTACTCTGTGTGGAGTAACTGCATAGCTTCTTAAATTTTCAAATGTTTACGAAAGAGGCACGCATTTTTAAATTCAAATACTGAGCAATTTGTTATTTATATTAGTGGTATTATTATTATTGGTTCTATTATTATAACATTCCTATTTTTATGTGATTAAAACTATTTACTATGAAATACATTCATACTCAATTCTTCAGAATTAGTTCATTTCCCTTGGGAATTATCTTAGCTTAATACATATAAAGATTATTTTTTATTATATAGAATTGAGACTGTATTGCGGGAAGCAGATAAAGAAAAAATAAGTAAAAACGGAGGGAACACAAAGATATTGAAACGAAAGCCCAGTCGAATTTTTTGTTCGAGGGCGAGTGGAAACATATGGCCATGCCATGACCTTTGCACCCAAACTCTATGTTTAAATAGGGTGTCTATATATAGGATAGCTTGTTACACACACACACTTTGCATGTGCATGTTTATATGCACGCATACATAGATACATAGATATCTTCGTACATACGTATGAAGCAACATTTGGTAAGCATTCTTCGCTGCGACTATGGCCGTTTCTAAATATAGCGCGTCTCGTCCTCTTTATATTCAACGCCCTGCCTGGCCTGCCAAGAACAACAACAATAAGAGGCAACACCTTTTGCCAAAGTGTGGCGTTCGAGTATCTGCATATTTACAAACATGCATACATATATATTTATAAGTACATATGTATGTTTGTATGTATGTACATATGTATATACGTTCATAGCGCATTCTATGGGCATGCTTATAAACAAATTGTGTGCCAAGTTAATTTAATTTGAATGGGTAAACAAAGTGGCCGAAGGAATTATTTGGGGGGTCGGGGTTTCTCAATTTCCTTACCTTGATTCGCCCATATCCAATGGGGACCGCGCACCACACGTACCCCAGCCTGTACGGGGGCGCTCATGGCAGTGTGCTGTTATTAAATAAAGTTTCAATTGTCTGTAAATAAAAATTAACACATTATTCATTAACTGTATTCATATATGTATGTATGTGTTTTGCAGATTTTGTTAATTTAGGTTGCGTACCATATCAGGCAGAAGGCAATCACCCTCCCAACAAACGTCATTCTTGAATTTGGGTCAATAAGATGGACAAAGCTAGCTTTTGTTGTTGGGTAAAATCACATGACTAAACGGAAATGCCAAAAATGGCAAATGTGGACGATACATCTTAAAAATTCAAGTTAGACACACAAATACATGTATTGAATGCTTTTAAATCTGAGTATGTTTGTGTGTTCCTCAACGTGTGATGAGGGATTTGTTTACTATTGAAGGTTGCATGTATTTGTTTTCTTTGAATTGCAAAACCCTTTCGCGTTTATCAATGGGCAAAAGCAAGGCGGTTTTTTTTTTGTAAATACTTATAATGACGCATTCTGATAACACTCTGCTTAAGAATATATTTATTCACTATATGCATACATATGTATATGACTATGTACTTTTTCCACATTCCAATGAAAAATGTTGCTAAAGCGCCAAAGAAACAGTTGCTTGGGGAAAGTGCAAAAAGTGTGTTCATGAAAAAGAAATATGTATATATAAAAAAAGAGACAATGACCGCATTTATTGTTTATTAATCTATTTGTACATATTTTCATGCACTAGTTTAGCTTAGCGTGTGTATTTTGTGGCCAGGCTAATGTTTATATATATATATATATAAATATACATATTTATATATGTAAGTATATAAATGATTGGAGGCCAGCTTACCAATGCAATTACTTGGTTTCCGTCAAACGGGAACACTGCATTCATCACATACACGCACACACATACACCCACTGACGCACGCACTATGCAGCCAGTCACACATTCACGAGTGGACACCCACTCCCCCCTAAATTGCAGACCACACTCGAGCGTGGTTCGTTTTTCACTTTTACGTCACTGCACGCACATTTATAGAAACACGTTGAGGCAAATATACAATATGCAAAATATTCAATAAATGCAAAAGTGTGTTTAAGTTACCCTCTTCTGTTTTCGACGGTTGCGCTTGATAACTTTTGATTTATTTTTGTTGCGTTGTTTGGCAAAATAGTTGCGCTCTTTCGTTCTCCCCAACAATAAACATCAAGTTGTTGTGTCGTATTCTATTAAAAGCGGGGGCGCGACTGTTTTTCACAGTTGCTACCAGTAATTTGTATTTGTTGGCCAGTGTGTGTGTGACAGTCCGTATCGCCAATATGTACGTATGGGTGTGTACATATATGTATGTATATTTTCGCATTTACAATTTCCACTAGCGTTTTTATAACTACAACTTTTGCCTCTCAGCTAATTTCTACATAATTCACTTCTGTTTCGTTCACTTTAAAATTTAGCACACGCGTAGCCGCGTAAAACCTGTTAAATTTAGTTTTGGTTGCCAAATTTGTTAATGTATAAAATACTTCTTCTAGTAGTGTACAAAAATCATCGATACATGAAAACCAGCTATCTCTATCGATGCCTAGGAATCGCTATCGCTGAAGCAGCTGTCATTTGTGGGGACGATTGGCAGGGCCGCTCGGTGCTCACATATGATCTGGTTTTGGTAAGATACGTAGTTCGGTTATCAATTAAATGGAGAAGCTAACGTATGAAGCCGCAGTGAAAAAGGGTATGCTATTTCGTAATTGACCTGTTTATAAGCTTAAAAATACATACACCATAGCTCAATTAGTGGAGCGGAATCCCCAATCTATGCTAGATCCTTTGCGGGTGTCTATGCATGACGAAGGGGACATCCTGAACTTGGCCCAGCAAATTCAGAATGCGGATAAGCAACTAAAGAATAGCACCTGTCAAAAATTGAGCATTATTTTGGAACAAGTAAGTGAATTTATAAATTTACTTCAGTTATATTAAATATGAAGCTCGTTTCCAGATTCGCATGCTGCAGGCTCAAGCTGTAGATATTCTAAAAGAGTCAAGCCACAACAGTCTTTTACATAGCGCGGCGTGCAATTTTACTAAAAAGCCTGGCCATATATATCATTTGTATGAAAGGGCAACGGGTCAAAACTATTTCAGCATGCTCTCGCCGGAAGTAAGATGGAGTGGTTCGCTTTTTGCTCTCAGTATTAACAATAATTTTTACATTCTAGGAGTGGAGCTGTGGCGGATCTGTTGACCCCCATACATACAAAGGAAGTTATAGACTAGAACATGATCTAAGCTGGACGCCAGTGGAAAAAATCAAGCAGCACGATGATAAAATGAAATGGGTGGAAGAGTGCATGGAAAAAGCACTGGCGGGCAGACGCGGCACGCCGATGGCCATAGATTTTAACCTTTCTAGTAACACATTAAAATAAGCCAAAATTTGAGTTGAATAAAACCGAAAAACCAAAACCAATGCTATCGTTGCATAAATCGATGATACTCTGCAGCAAAAAGTTATCGAATAGGTGTCACCACTGCTGTTTTGGTGTCTCTGGAGCAGCTGCACCTGCATTTGTTTTTATCTAGTGAAAATTTTCGTTCGTGTGTATTTCATTTTTATTTTGTGTTAAGTTATTGCCTTCCCAACATGGCGGCGGCTAAGCAAGAGATGTATTACAGCCTGCTTGAGTGGTTCAAAACACTGAACCTAAATTCTCCTCATAGCAATGCGGATGAGCTGTCAGATGGCGTAGCCATAGCACAAGCTCTAAATCAATTTGCGCCCGAATCCTTCACAGGTATATATATATATAACAAAAAAAAAAATGCAGTAAAGATATGCATGTATTTATGTATTATGTATGCAGATTCGTGGTTATCCAAAATCAAGGCCAGCGCAGTGGGCAGCAACTGGCGCTTGCGTATGAGTAATTTAAAGAAAGTTGTTGAGGGAGTTGTAGAGTTCTGCAATGAATATTATTCCTTGCAAGACTTTGCACGACCAGATGCGCAGCGCATTGCAGAGAAATGTGATGTAAATGAGTTAGAACGATTGCTACAACTCGTCTTGGGGTGTGCAGTCAACTGCTCTAAGAAGCAGGACTATATACAGGACATAATGTGCTTGGGCGAAGAACTGCAGAATAATATAATGAGGGCACTACAGGAGCTGGAATCAACGCGCCAAGGCATTGCCGCATCCATGTCTCGCAATTCTCTCAGCATGGCTAATTTCGATGCAAAGGCATTGCAAGAAGAGCGCGATACATTAGCTCAGAAATGTTTTGAAACCGAAAAGAAAATGCTGTTGTTGGTCGATGAGAAATCCAATTTACAACAGGAACTGCAAAAGGTGCAGCAGGAGCTGGTGCGCATGGAGTTGAACACCTCAGCAATTGGCGATGACGGCGTCTCTTTAGGTCCTGTCCAAGCGGGCTCTGTGCGCTATAATGAGCTGCGGCGCCAATTGGAGCTGCTAAAGGAGGAACTGTTGCAGTCTGAAGGTGCGCGTGAGGACCTAAAGCTAAAAGCACAGCAGCAAGAGTTGGAGTTGCTTCACATGCAACAACGCATCGATGAACTGACGGTAGTTTATCAGCAGTCATTATTTTTAGTTTGTATTAAGTTTTTTCGATTTACAGAAAAGCACTGCTGAGTTAACGACCCTAAAGGATGAGGTAGATGTGCTGCGCGAGTCAAATGAAAAGTTAAAAGTCTGTGAAGCGCAGCTGGACATTTACAAAAAGAAACTAGAGGACTATAACGATTTAAAGAAACATTGCAAAATGCTTGAAGATCGCAGTGCCGATTACATTCAGCAGAATACACAATTTGAGGAGGATGCGAAACGCTATGCTAGCACAAAAGGACAAATTGAGCTTTTTAAAAAGGAAATACAAGATTTGCATACCAAACTCGACGAAACTTTTGAAACAAATGTTAAATTGGAGTTCGATAACAAGAATCTTGCTAGCAATCTCAATGCTCTACAACGTGCCAAGGATATACTGCTTAAGGAACGCGATAGTCTTCGCGAGGCTGTGGATGAATTAAAATGTGGACAGCTATCATCCAATTCCGGCAGTCTAACGGGAACAACAATGTCAAAGGAACTTCAGCCGACCGCAATGGTGGATAAGATCCAACGTCTTGAGGCAGAGAATAAGGCGCTACGTGAGGGTCAAGGTGGACAAACAGCTCTAGCGGTATGTACTATCTGCAAATTGTTGTTTTCTACTAAATATGTATTCACAATTGCCCACAGCAACTGTTGGACGATGCCAACAAACGTTGCGAGCATCTGCGCGAGCAGCTGAAAACAGCGAATGAACGTATTCTGTCGCTATCCCATGCTTCGCAAAGTGATGATCCAGTATTAAAGGAGTAAGTGCTTAAATTAAGATTTGTAGTCACTCGCTAATATCTTTTTGGCGTTGCAGAAACGAGTTTGGCAAACAAATCAAGCAGTTAATGGAGCTCAATGACCAAAAATGTAAGTTTATCCTTTATTTTAAGCGTTCACATGACTTTATAAATTATTATTTATAATTTTAGCAAACCAACTCGAGGAAGCTGTCACCCAAAATGCGACATTGCAAGGTAAAGTTACGCAATTGGAAACCAATTTGGCAACACGTGAACAGGAGCTTATGGCATATGATGTGAAGTATCGCAAATGTGTAGAAAAGGCAAAGGAGGTCATAAAGAGCTTAGATCCGCGTATATCAAATGGTTGGTATAATTTATTTTCACGTACTTGTGTATTTATATACATACATCAATATTCTTTTGTTTTTTTGCAGTGCTCGAGGCGAGTGTTTTGGAAAAAGGCATTGATGCCACCGAGGAGGAACCAAAGCCAAAAATGAGCGTCATGGAAGAACAATTAATGACTACGGCATTCTACAGGCTAGGAGTCAATGCACAACGCGACGCAATTGATGCCAAATTGGCTATATTAATGGGATCGGGGCAAACATTTTTAGCACGTCAGCGGCAATCGGCACCGCGAAAATCATTGACTACAATGAAATCAAAGTAAATAGTTGCATAGGTTTCTTTACATGTTTGTATATGTAATTTTATATAGCACAAGTATTTATATTTTACATTTAAATTAAGATTAGTTATTTCGACTATTAAAGGCAATACATACAGTTCAAAAAACATTGAACTGAATTATAACCAAATTGTAGAAGTTTTTTTTAGCCACTCACCTATCGATAAATACGTAATCGATATATTTAAAGACAAGTTGGTAGTGCCATCGTTTCTGGAAAACACAGCTGGCAACCTAAATTGTGTACAAAACTTAATTTTAATAAACTTCCTTGGTCGTGCTCATTTTGTGCAAAATGGACATACCAATAATAACAAAAGTTACCAATTATAAAAATCGGGAAGTAATGCACAAATGGACCGACGAAGAAGTGCGCATATTATTGGATTGTATGATTGAACGCGGCACCATCGGTGTAAGTTGATAATTCTTAAAAACTTGGTGGTATGTGTTTGTATTTATATAAACACTTATATACTTACATATACATATGTATTTGCATTTATCCTTGCAGTTACCTGCAGACCGTGCTTACTATGACGAATTAACTGTGGCATCTAAACTCCCTATAAAGCCAAATGTAACAAGACAAAAGGTGCGTTACTTAAGAAGCACATATCTCAAAACTGTAAGTTGGTTGCAAAGATTAAATGAAAGAGGTGTGCAGCAATGGGAATTGGCCGATGTTAGACGTAAGCTACAGTAATGTGTTAAGTCCGAGAGCTCTATATACTTACAAAGGCATATGTATTTGCAGAAAAAGTACGTGAAATGTGCCCATTCTATGCGCGACTGCGGCACATCTTTGGCAATAAATTGTCAAAGAGTGAGAGCGCGGAGGACAAAACATCAACGGATTCAATTAAGGAGCTGGAGTTTGATGCCTTTTTAGCTGCATTGGATGTCAACATAATTGAACCCAAACTGGACTTGGAGTCACCCGATTTTGAGGAGCTTACTTTGGAATCGACAACAATCACCAATCATTACCTTAGCAACATTAATAACGATCTTGACGACAAATATGCCGAGCGCATTTTGGATGATTATAATAGTCCACCCGCATCAACGGCCACAAATTTAAAGAGCAGCAACTCACGGGGTCAAATCAGCGCTGTTGAGGATGTGGACATTTTGAGAAAAGCGCGCTTGCATTTGGAGAGTGAAAAACTTGAGTTTGAAAGATACAAATTTGATAAAATGTTGGAATTAAAAAAACTCGAAATGGATAGAAATTACGAGCTAAGAAAATTGAAATTGGAACAAGAGGAACGTTTCATTAATTTGAAGCGAAAATATCATGATATATTTGATACAAGTTAATATTATTTTATTTTTAGAAGTCGCTAATTCTAGCCAGAGCAATACCTTGTTTATGTCTTGAGGAGTTAACACCCCAAACTGCCTGATTTTAAATACATATATAAGCAAAATATAGTACTTATGCAAATAAAATAATTAATTATAGATACATAAAGATCATTTAAACATTGTAGTTTTGAATCTATCTGTATACATATTTATATATGTTATTAAAACTATCATTCAGTGAATGAGACTGATTTATATTAACTGAACCTATAAAGAAATCAAAACCACTGCGTAGTGTCTTCACTAAAGTACCTGGTGTGAGAATAGCGGAGGAGGGCTTCCAAAATGTTTTAATAAAATGGTGGTCGAATTAGATGCTTGGGTTTCCAAATTATTTGTAGAACAGCATCCAAAACTTTTTCATTATTTTAATTTTCATTTGAAATATGACGACACCTAAGGGTTTTCATAAAATTTTGGTTAAATTTAGAAAATGCCGTCACTTAGGGGTTTGGTATGAGAAACGCGGAGGAGGACTTCCAAATTATTTGTATTTATTTTGAATAAGCGAACACTTAAGTACTGTGTGAGAATCACAGAAGAGGGGTTAGAAAATATGTTTATAAAACTAGCACAACAATATTTAATTCGATTTATTAATTTTTAAAAATGCATTATTGAAGTGCAAATCGCGGAGCGAAGCGGCCCAAACATTGGCTATTTTGCTTTTCTTACAATAAAATCCAAAACCAATGAAAACCCTTTAAGTATATATGTAGTTATATTATATCTGAATGTTTTATTATCTTTTCTAGAATTTGCATATGACAAATAATCAAAAAAAATCGCTAGCTCTCGGAAAACAGTGTTATATACATCAGAACTTATCTACTGCCAAAGATCTATACATTTTTATAAGAATTATTTTCTGGCATATTTGCGGTCTCATCAGCGTTTTCATCACATTGACGTTCTAGCCAAAGAGGCGCCAGCCGGAGCATGAGTATGGCACCTAGAGGGGCGGTGAATATAATGGCTAGCACTGAAATAATTAGGACATTGCTGGCCAAATCCAGCTGGGCGTCGTTTGGCTCTAAGGCAGCTCGGGCCATGTCTAAGGCAACAGGACCAAGGGCGGCCTGAGAAAGTTAGAAAAAGCTAATTAAAAACCAGTGGGTAGCTAAAGTCGGATGTCTAGATTTTAAAATACTCTGTACATATGTGTAGAGAAATATAAATTTTAACAAAATTGGAAAACAAACAAACAAAATAGCGGGTACACATATAAAGCATCTGTGTGCAAAATACTGTGTCTCTACATCTTATAGTCTCTGAGATCTAAATTTTTATACCGACGGACAAAGCATAAGACCAATTAATCTTGTAATATATAAATAAAGACAAACTTACTTGAACAGTTGCTTTCGGAACACCAGATATAGTAATATAGGCACGTTCCTTTTTTGAAAGATTCCTACCATACGTGGATAAATATGCAAAAACCAGACGAAACTACATCGTAAAATAGAGAAAAATTCAGGCTATAAAGATTTTGAATTAACCATTTTGAACATTTTAGTGAATTACCAAACTCCCGAGTACCACGAGCAGCGCCCCATAACCAATAACAGGACCTTCGAGTGCAGAAAATTTAATTTCCTTGCCAATGAGGGCAAAGGACACAGGTTTCAGGAACTTCCACAGCAAATCCAAATGTCCCGGCACACTGTCCTGCTGGATAGAAATATTAAAATACCTATAGATTAACTTTTTAGTTGAATATCGTTGGGTTATGTATACAGACGATTTTATTAGCCGCCTCTTGCTTCCAACCAATGCCTGCTGTAAATGCCAAAGATACACAGCCCAAGGCGCCAGCCGATGGATATCCAATAACGCGACTACCCATAACTGATAGGGTACCGCCCAGGAAAGTCAATACAAAGCGCAGACTATTTACGTTAGCCTGAGAGTAAATGTTAATTCATAGATGAGACAACATTTAATTTAAAAAGGTGATTACAAGTTGGATTTAAAAACCAAGACTATATTCAAATGCAAATAACGATGAATAACTTATATTCGTGATTTGCTTACCGTATTGCGTGATGGCAAATATCGCAACATCAGACCGAAAAGATAGCCGAAAGCAAGACCAATTCCAATGCCAATGGGTCCTTGTAAAACTTGTTCGGTCAGGGAGCCTGTAAAAACCACAAGAGCTTTAATTCGGCTGCTGCTTTTAGGGCACTTTTGTATATTTTTGTAAGATTTTGAATTTTGGTAAAATCATGAATTGTGAGCTCTTCTTGAATTTAACGACCATTTTTTTGCCATTCATGCTTTAGCACGCAATTCCATACCTGTGGAGAAAATGACGCTGATAATGAGTCCAAACAGAAATATGCTCACGACATCGTTGCATGTTGTCATCGCATATATAAGTGTGTGGATGCCATTGTTTAGGCCCAAACGCTCCTCCTTCAGCTTAAGCATAACCGTAACAACCACATTGGGCGAAACTGCGGTAATGACGAGCCTGCAGATTCAACGGAAGAGTTAGTCCTGGACAAGTAGTTGAGTCAGTAACTCACCCTAAGGCGATGGCCCATAGCCAGGACATGTGTAGCGTAAAATATGCCAGAAGCGCAATTATTGCCACCTCCGCTATGGTGGGGAAAAACGTCAGTCGCATTATCATTATCCACAGCCGCTTAAAAGCACTGCCATCCAAACCCAGACCTGCCAGCAGCATAATATTGACCAAAGCCATTTCCCTGAGTGAGAGATAACATTTATTTGTAAAATCATTGCACCAATACGCGCCCAAAACTCACCTCAAGTACAACTGAAGACGCTCAGAGCCTTCAAAGTTGGCCAAACCGACATTCGTGTAGAGAACACCGAAGAATAGCATACCCAACATATCGGGTAGATTGAGAAATGTAACCAGAATTCCTGAGAATTGTGCGCCCACAAACAGACCAACAATTCGCATTATAACTGTGGATGGCTTGGCATAGTCCTGCAAGAGGACCCATGCCATAGACCAAAGGCCCAGAAATATAACTAATATTGCAACTGATTCCGAAATACCAGGCCAACGAAGAAGCAAGTGACTCCACCTGAAAACATATAGTAAATTTTTGATAGGAAATGAGGCAAGGAAAGAAATTAACTCTTCTCCAATTATTCTTATTATTTCTTCAATTGTAATAGTTTTAGCAACAATTGTTTTCATTGAAGATGACTTTTAAATTTCTGTGGGATCTATTGCAAAGAATACAAACTCATTTATATAATAATCATCTTGTAAATAAAATTAGAAAACTGAAAGGTCTCGCAATCGACGTGTAATGCAGATCAGGTGTATATTTTTCAACTTACCATTTGGGGGCCTTGCAATCTTCATCTCGTTCGGCATAAACTGTTGTGGAATTTTGTGTCACATCGTCACCATTATTTTGAAGTTTTGGCATATCTAATTTAGTTTGGGTGTCATCTTCCTTAACTGTCGTAACTTTATCGCCATAGTCTGCCATTCTACCACTATCCGTAAGTACTTTGTTGTGCGGCTTTGTTGGTGTGCTGTCTTTAGCTGCAAAGTGGCATGCCGATATATGGTTTTAATTCTAAAACGGGTTCATTCATGAGCAATTACCCCAGTTCTTCTTACCTTCTTATATATTAGGTTTATTTATAGTGATATACTAAACATATCCTGTTATTAAATTTGATATTTCTAACAACGATTCACTGAATATGCAATTTAAGTGTTGCATTGGATCTACACTGGATTCTTTATTTATATTAGTAAATTAATAATTACGACTTTCATCTTTTCCCGTTATTGACACTAGCCTTGGATTTAAAGAATGCGTCGGAAGTCAAAACTATTTACATTTTCTGATTGAGAAAAGTCAGGCGCTGAATTATTACGTCAGTCAATCATCAACATCCAGTTTAAATGGAAACACAACTCAAAAATTTTTTTCCAGTGCCGTACAAAAATCAGCTCGAACAAATCGCCAAAAAAGTTTGTCAACATACCGTTCATTTGACAAAGGCATACTGCCCCAGTCCAGGTAAAAGAACGCTAAAAGATACTTTTATATGTATTTTTCCCCTTAGATACATACATCTTTTTATTTTTATCTTGTTCTAAAAAAAAAATAATAATGCTCTCGCATTTATTAGCTTGGCAGACAAATGTGTTTAGCAATTTAAAACTGTTAAATTCAAGAATAATTTTTTTATTCTAGCATTGCTGAGGAAGAATAGCTTTCACACATTGTGGGAGAAAATTAGCTATCTCATGCTGATCAGATCAACCTCATGTTTTTATGTAAGAAAATATGTTTTTCAAATCTAAAAATCTCTAAAATCTCTGTGCAACAATGTAAACTATTTTTTCTAAGTAGTCAGTTGTATATTTAAAGGTATCCAAATAGGGGATTCGTCATTGAATGAATAAATATACCTTTTTCATTCAGTGTTGTAGCAAGTTGGTTTCCAGTTTCTTCGCACAAAGCGTTTCTTTTAGGCACTCCCTTGTCTAATAGACGTAGCGATTCCGACTTGATATCGCCAAGACAAATATCATCTTTTGTATTCATTATTTCACTTTCGTGATGTATTAATTGCAATGGCGAGTACTGTTGATTTTGATTTAGCGATATAAACAGACTTTTGGAGGACTTATCAGCCGATACATTATCGTCATCGCCTACAAGTATTCATTAATGAATCATTGTCACAGTAATAAATTCGTTAGCTTCTGGCAACTATAAATTATTAACTGTATTTATTGCCGTGCAATTAAACTTACCGGAATCAGTGCTCATATCAACGAATCTTAACTAAAAGCACAAGCCAAAACGTGCCTTTTAGTGACGTAATTAACACAAAGCGTTAGCGACCGAAGAAAATGTAAATAATAGATGTCAAATATAATGGCACGCACAAAAACAAAAGCAGTACAAACAAGAACTAAAAAGCTCTATTTAACTGTTTGGCAACAGCAGACAAATATTTCAGCGCTATTATTTATGAAGAGGGCGACGGCGACGGCAACGGCAACGCTCTTCGATTATTTCTAATTAACAACAAATGCCGGCGCTAACAAAAACAAAATCTATGTATGAAAAGAGCACGGGCAGCACGCTTACAGCGTGATTGAAAAAGTAAAGAGAGAACAACCATATATACAAACATATGTATGTAAATGTGTGTGTATACATACAGTTATACAAATTCTGGACTTTGAACAAAACTATTGGAAGCAAACAAATGCAGAATGCTACAGTCTACCGATTCTTGTACCTCCTATACTTTCTTCAACAAAACAAAATAAACAAATTCTGAAAAACTTAAGCTAAAAAATGTAATGAAATAGTTATTAAAATAAAAGGATATATTTACACAAAAGAGCCAACTTAATTCTGGTAGAGTTTCTGCAATGGACTGATTTTATTTCTTTGTGATCGTAAGCCTTTTTCAAAAAAAATGTACAGTCCGTTAACATAAATTCCTTAACAGCACAATCTGTGGGCTATAAATAAAAAAGTGTAGCCTAACTTTAGGGCGCACATTTTCTTCTCAGCGTAAGAAAACAAATTTTAAATGTAATTTGATTCTTGAACGGATAAAAAAGAAACTAGGGGCGACCTATGTACATGTATATAATAAATGTGAAATAAATTAAGCAGCGAATAAACTTATGAATACATTTTTCGCTCATTATTTATTCAATAAAATAAATTTAGAAACTGAATTCCAATATTCTTCAATTAAACTTCATTTGTTGGCCAAAAATAATAATAAAAAAGGATTATAAAAATAATATGTATTAAAAATAATAATAGTAAAATAAAAATAATAATAATAAAAAATTAAGCTTGTTTTAATATTTTATTATTTTTAAAAATAACAATAATTAAAACAATAATTATGAAAATATTAAGTTCTTTTCAGGGCCCAGTACTGAATTATTTATGGCTACACATATTCGCCTAAATAAACAGTTAACAATTGTCTAGTCTTCTTTCAGGACACTCTAACACAAATACCATTCGTACAGATCAAAAACACAATATCGGTGTTTATGTAGCCTTCTGTTTTTTGACAATAATCGATATTATTCCTTAGAAATAAACAATTTATTTAAGTTAAAAGTTTTAAATTGTAAAAATACCATCTATGCATACGATACTGCTTAAATTTGCTTGATCTGCTCGAAATAATTCTAAAATCTACCTGAAAAATATGCTGATCCGCAAAAACATTTCTCATAAGTTCTTGAGTCCTTTGGGACTTGGGAATTTCCAGGGATTTATTACAATGTAAAAGAAAAGACAATTTTAAAGCGTTTTGATTTATAACGGCCATAAAACTAAGAATTTTCATTGTTGGGAAAAAGGACACAAAAGCACCCCTTAAGGTTTTGACTTTACTATACTATGCATTTCCAGAAATGTGCCCATTATAAAAAGTGTACAGAGATGCAATACATTTTATAAAATCAATATACATAGATCATAAACAATAAAGTATTTTAAAATCAATATACATAGATTATATATATTTAAATAAGCGTGTATATCTGAACAACCAAAATCAATTGCCTTCAAGTCAAGCGTGTACAGAATTTAGACTAAAAAGTATCTTCAGCGTTGCGTCGTCAATCAATTAGAAATCGCACTACCTTCTGTGTTTGTTTCGTTGGCGATGTTGGCGTCAGGCAGTTGCGCAGGCCGTGCAAGACAGTGTCCAAGCGGTCGAGCGCGTCCTGCAAGCTCTCCGCCAACACACCCGCATCCTGCTGATTCTCACGTTCGAGTACAGCCTGTTCGCAATGGTGACGCAATCGTTGCGCCGCCCGCTGCATCACCAACAGCTCCTGGTGGGCCAGAATCGTAAAACTGGAGCTGTCGACATCCTCTGCGTCGTAAGTAAGCGAACGTTTCGCATATTGTGCCAGCTTGTTGGATAGATTCGGTGATGCACTAGCAGGGGTTTTGGAGGGCGTGGAGGTACGCTTCGCTGGCGTGTTGTTGGTGCTGCTAAAAAGTCGGCGCAATGGTTGCTTGAGTAGCACGTCCTTCATGGCACTCAAGTTTAGTGCAATACGACTGGAATTGTGGGGCTCATTTAGCGTTTCGTTTAGATCAGCATCGATCGCCTGCCAATCTAGCTCCACATTCTGGAACACGTTCTGCACACTAGGCTGCTCCTGTCGCATCATGTCCAGCCAGACGCTCAAGCGGGCAATGGGCCACTCGGCTTTCAACCCTTGCCTCTTGTCCAATATGAGTATTACCGTGCGCAGTAGTCCGAACTCGTCGGGTGTTTGGGTCTGACGGAACTCCAATAGCAGGCCAAGCTGACGACAGCGTTGTGTGGCCTCCTTAACCTGTACAAAATGATTCATTTGTTAGGCACGTATCTCGTTAACCATGTTCGATGGCTCAGAACTCTACTGCGGAATGGGCCGATCATCGGTCAAATCATCGGATAGCTTTTGGAATCGTAGAGCAGACCTACGTCAAGCTAAAGAGCTTATCGGCTCCTTAGCAAATAATAGCATGTATCTTCCCTAGATGAACTTTCAACTGTTGGTTGCCTAAAGCACAGCTTTTGGAATCGTAGAGCAGAACTACGTCACGATAAAGAGCTTATCGACTCCTTAGCAAAAAGGAAGACGCTGTATCTGGACCTTCGAATGATGAAAGCACAGCACATAACTTATGCGATTGTCAAGCCCTATTCTGAAGTACGAGTAAATATCTTCGCAAAAAGCTAGCGAGAATTGCCTTTTCGTGAAATTCCCCCTTTAATTATAATAATAAATACTTACCATCAGCTGTGTCTTGTGCAGACTCTCCTCGCTGGGATTCAGCATAATGCGCTGAATGTCCTCCAACAGCGTGGACTTTTGGGCTGGCGTGGAGCAGGCAGCTTCTTCATTTGGTCGTTGTTGTTGCTGTGCTAGAGCCAGGCGCTCCGTTTCCAATAGCTCACTGTTGCATTTATATTTGAACTGTTCCAATTCCAGGCACTGCAGTCGCTCTTCAAAATCGCGAGCGTGCTGAGCGCGTTCCTGTTCAATGCGCGATAGGGCGGCGCGTTTTTCCGCCTCTAGCTCAGAGCGGAGCTGCTGCTCCTGCTTCTGCAGGATTTCCTGGTGGGCCAATTGGAAATCCACGAGCTGTAATGAAATTGTTACTTTAATGCGTAAAGCTTAGACTCCTCCATTAGAAAACAGTAGACATACCTGTGCTTGGGAGCGCAACGTGCAAAAAGGATTTGAGATGCGAAAATAGTGGGAGCCACCAATCACCAAACGATCACCATGGAACAGCTGCTGTCTTTGCTGGAGTAGCTCTCCATTCACATAGGTCTCAAAGTCCTCGCTGCCTGGCGTGACAAAAAGCTTGCCGCCACGTTCGTGCTCAATGAGGCAATGTTGCAAGGCCACAAGTGGACCGTCCAGAACGATGTCCGGTAGACTGCCGCCCGAAAGGCGTCCACGTCCCACTCTCACCTCACCCGGCGGTAGTAAATAGAAGAGTGTGCCGCTCAATATGGGATCTGCCGTCAAATTGACGAGACAAGCCTGTTTCTGCTCGGCCGCCAATTCCAGAGCCAATCCTTTGCGTTTCAATAAGCGTAGCTCCGACTTCCGTTGATCCTCAGCCTCCTGCAGCTTCTCCATCCATGATTTCTGCGCCCTATTCAGCTCGCGCTCTCGCTCGGCCAACTGCTGACGCAATGCCTCCACCTCGCTGTCATCTACAGACGTTTCGATAATGATCTTACGCGGCACCGGGTTGCTGTTGTTGCCCGAAAGGCGTCGCTGGCGCTCATATTCGTTCCTAAGCGACTTCAGGCGGTCCACCTCGGCTCGTAAGTCACGAATGATCTTATCATGCGGCGATTCGTTGACCTTAACGCGATTTACAATGGAACGTGCCTTGCAGGCATAGCGTAAAGTCGCCAAAGTTTCCTCCACATGCAAACTGGCTGGCGATATTGTGGCCAACATAACTGTTTTTGAATTACCGCCGAGGTTTTCCTGTAATCGAAAATATTGAAATGTTGTTGTAGGAGTACGGGTTAGTCTTGTGAAATACTCTTAGCTTACAAATCCAAAAATTAACAGGATGTGGAAATAACCGAACATTCGTAAATTACTATTAAAAAGCAGACATCCTCAATTACCGTCCTAATTGATTTGATTTAATTTTATTTTGTTTTATTTTTTATTTTTGAGGTTAAATGTTTGCATGAAAATATAAATTTCGAATATTGTCTCATTTCTCTATATAGCATTCAAAGTGATTTTTTGTTACGATATAGATTTTGATTACTAATTTCTATGACGCGTCAAAATTCATTATCACTAATTAGTACCTCCCCAAAATTTGTTTGTAAAGTTAACCACAAAATTGTCATACATATGTATGCATGAAGGTACAAAACTAGTTATTTTCTATATATCAAGTAAAAAGGCAGAAAATGGATAATCTCCTTCATTTTTTTCCATGCTGTTTGCCCTTCCATTATTACGTATTTCACAGGTCGTCGTATTTAAGAAATTTGTTGGCAACTGTTTTGCTTTATTATTTGTTCTATTGCCATTTTTCAAATATATGTACATACATATTCAAAAAGACAGCCTAATTATTAAAGTTCAGAAAAAGGATTAATATACATACATATGTACATATGTATGTATACACTATATAATTGAAAGAACTAATTTATCTTGAAAAGCACTTCTTTGGATAAGTTGTGAGTTCAAGCAATCTTAAATATATCTGTATGTATTTACATACATACTACATACATACATATTTAGATAGATGGATGTGAGTGTATGCACAAAAATTCCATTGAGTGAGGAGCCAAACATTTGTCTGGGACTGTAACCATAATGCATAGCCCATAAATCTCTTTGTATTTACCCGAGTTTCTTATCAAGAATCAGCGCAAAGTGCGTTTGGTATGATAGCAACGGCAATTAAAATAATTAACTTCGAATAATCAGAAATTAAGTACAAGTCGGTGAATACTACATTCCTAAATACATATTTATGTGAAAATACTCAGACCATCTGTGTCAATCTTGAAACAAGCAGTAATGTACATACATATTTACATATAAATGTATGTATTGTATTATTTATGTATGTACATATGAACAAGTGTTCTTAAGTTGACTTGACAATAGATTATGACCTCCAAAGATAACCGCAATCGGGAAGCTCCCTTTGCGCCCAACAAACTTCAAACTAGCGGGATAGCCCCTTATCACACAATGTAACAAAGAGAGATAGCTAGTTGTTGTGCCAACTAATCAAATATATACATACATATGTATGAATGTATGTACACATACATATATGCGCGCATATACACACAGAATATGAAAATTGGCGAGTGTATGAAAACACTTGTTTGATTAACGCGCTGTTGAGTATGGGTATGGGCATGAGAAAAATGGGGGATAGCACAAAAGAAACGACCGATTTATGAACTGCGCAGCGGCAGCGACGACAGCGTGGGTGCGTGATGCAGGGTGATAGTGTGAGTGGGGCTAAGAGAGGCTAAGTGAGCTAATAAGTGGGCGTGTGAGCAAGCACACTGGTTTCAGCAAAATTTATATCAAGGAAAAAAAGTCTACATCCTCATATATCCTACTTCACTTTAAATGTACATATGTATATATTTTTCTGATCGGCATTAAGGTACATTAAAAAAACGCAAAAAACATGTGACGATTTAACACCGACCACGTCATCATAATTTTGATGGATGTAATATTTGAGGTTGGGGCGATATGAAGACAATTGCGACCACAAAGACCCTTTGTTGCGTATTTTTAGAAATTTACGGGTTGCTGACACCATTACTAGCTATAATTAGTGACGAAAATGAGTTTCAGTAGAATGTATGCACTCCCACTTCAAAAAAATTTGTCACGACCGAAAAAAAATTAAAGAGTTTCTGGGAACGAAATTAACCACAAAGAGTTGCTAATTAGTTCGATTGGTACAGAACAAATACAAACAACTTAATTAAATGATGAAGTGACGTTTTTTGTTATACGTATTAATGATTTATTATTATATTATTATTATTAGCACCGTGTTTACGTAAATAAGCCAGTTATTTAACCTCAAAGTAAATAATTATAGCACGTCTGATCGATATCAATAAATGATTTGGTGAAATTCCCTTAAATTAATCTCAAAATCAAGCTTTAACTGCAAAATACGCACTTGCCTTACACTCAGTTTTTGATTTTGAAAACTTTCTGTCCTCTATTGGCGGATGTGACTGCTGTCAGGTTAACAAAACTTTGCAATGAAATGGAAAAAAATGATCACATGGCCACGCGAATTACTCTAAAATTTCATCAGCCTTAAGTTTTCCATATGTACAGTCTAGACCATTTATTAACAAGTATACGACAATAATGGCCTCGAGTTATATATCCGACATTTGACATTTATCAAAATCCCACAGTTATAAGGTTACGAATGTTTAATAAGGTTCAACCATTTCTGTACTTCTGATTTAGCTTCAGCAATCGCCACGCTCGGCCGGCATACAGTCTAGACCAACCATTAGCAAATATACAATAATTGCCTCGAGTTATACATATGACGTGTCTGTGACATGTATCCAAAAACTCTAAGAGTAAGTTATAAGATAGCGACTGTTAAGCATCTGAATACAATATATTTGCATCAGTCATCGGGGCTTTAGCAACTGTGCGCTAATAAGAAAAACTTCCAACGTTTTATATTTTCCATACACCGAAACAGTTTTTTCTCCAAACATTGGTTAACATTAATTAAAAATTTAGCTTGAAGGGTCTCTGAATCATATGAAAACACTGGCAAAATGCCACCAAAAACATTCAGAGCCAGTTGGGTGAGCCTGTTCCACTGTGCTATGGCCATGTAGATAAATGTGTGTGCAAATTTGTTGTATAGAGCACGAGATGGAAAAAACAACAATCACATATACAACACATTCAAACAAAAATATACACGCACCACTCATGATATGGCACACAAAGCACGAGTGTGGTGGTGAAAAGACACGAAGCGGCATCGGCTGTCTACAAAAATGCAGTAATACGACCGTTTGGCTTTCAGTTTCATACGAGACTTCCAACTGAGACGTTCTCGTGCGCAAGACAAAAGCAAAGTTGAGGGAGATTTATCCAAGTGTATTTTGTATTTTCTAAATGCATTTCAAGTCAATGCAAAATTAATATAAACTGGTTTGCATCAATATTTTCGTTATTCAAAGTAAAGGAATAACATCTAAAAGACAAAAAATTTAAACGTAAACTTTTACGTGATTTGCCAGAGGCCGAGTTCATTGAACGATTTTTTTGCAACGCGCAACCTGCCACATGAAGCAAAAAAGAATCAAAGTATTAAGCAAAACAAAGTGAAACGACCTCGCACAACGTACCCGCGCAAAAAACGGACAGCGGCGATATATACAAATAATAGAACACATACGTAACTGCTACTAAAACGCGACCTCCATTTGTGATCGCTTCACAGAGCAGGAGAGCTGGTACGAAAAGGTCAAAACAACAATACAAAACCAAAAACAACAGAACATCCAACATGGACGTTTGGGGCGTATTTGTTGGCGACTCGGCACTGTCTTATGGTGGTTCAGTCCGCAGCACTTACTACCGAGACTACGAACAATTTCCCTATGGCACACTGGAGCACAATACCAGTCCATATGCTGCGAAGGACTCATACAGTCGTGTCCAAGGTAAATATTACCCCGAAAACAAATACAACTTGCGAGCATGTTTCAAATCAGTCAGCTTTTGTCAACTTTGGGAGAAAATATTTGTGTATGTATGAGCTTTGGAATTAGCGCATTGCTAAAAAATTACTTTATTTATACAAAAATTGTTCGTACAAACATTTTGGTAGTTTTAATGAAAAATGGCGTTAATCATACAATTCGCGCGTTAAATATCATTAACATAAAATGTTTGACGTAAGCAACCTCACAACCGTCATTCGCCTTTATTCTACGCACGTATTTGTGTTTTGAACTTTTTTGCCACAGACCAGGCCCCTCTTTATTCATGCATTCACATACATGCGTACATATGTATATGTGCTAATGTACTGACCGCATTGTTTGTTGTTTTTGCAAGGTTTTAAAAATAGTCAGAGCAACAATGTACATACATACATGTGCATACATAGCGAGTTTATATGTGCACGCCTTAAAATGCGACATATGTCTGCGTGCTGTGCAAATATGAAAAGAAAAAAGTTAAAACTCCTAAAATACTTTTGCACTAACTTATATACTCGTATACCGACAGGCGAACAGGGTGCTTCAATAGCTGTTGTTAGAGTATCGCTGATAAATTTGTATTTATATTATTTTGTTATGAAAACATTTACACGTGATTTTCCACATTTGCATATGTACGTACTATGTACATACATTGTGTAAGTATTGGGGTTGCCAAATGATAATAAACAACAACCCACACAAAGACAATAATAACAGACTCGTAAAAATGTTGCTATACATTTCCGGCATTTTCAACATGCCAACAACATAAAGCAACAAAAATACAAATAAAGATAAAAAGATTATTTATTTTTTTACATGCAACGAACAAAGAGGTGGCATTGTAGAAGTTCGTTATTTTTAAGTATCTCTTGGCTTAAACATTTTATGGAGCTCGCTCTGAGACGTTGCTGAGTAAACAAAGACAGCGATTCTAATTGATATGCCAACGAACAGATAAACTGACTCACACCTGGACAGAAATAGAAAGAAGCAGAAGGGAGCCATTGCCCATACCATAAGAGGTACAAAATGGAGAGCGTCGTAGCACCGTGAAAGTTAAGGCGCAATAAAATGAGGTGGGGTTACAGTGATGGCACGTTGTTTGTGTTTATCTGTTAGCGAGCACATGATTAATTTTGCACTGATTGCGCCATAATAGACATACATACATGTTTGCATATGTATGTATGTATAATTTTGATGTGTAATGTGAGATATAAGCAACCCCTTATAGTCGAAGCTCAAGGTCATTTGCACTTCAATCTTGCGCGGCCATCTTATCAGTAGATTATGGAAAATAACTAGATTATAAAAGGTCTAATTTAAGAACAAATAAACCGCATGAGCATATCGTAGTGGGGCTTCTATTTATAAAACGAGCACACTCGATAAATGACAAGTCTTAAGTAATAATCAAATCAAAGCGGAACATGCTTAATTGCCGCTGACAGCAAAATGTCGCGACAAAAATCGGCTCAAGTCGGCTATTCAAAGCGACAGCTAATGAACAAGCTATGCGCTTGTCTGCCCCGAACCATTCATTATTTAGATAGGGTCAAAAACGCTGTGTATCTGACAGAACGCACGTCATCAGTCAGCTGTGCGTAAAAGTCAACCTCCAGCATAGTGTGAGAGTACACGTGCACTCAGACACGTAGGCCAATGTTATCGCCGTCTGTCAAAAACCACCCAAGGTCTGGTTGCTTGTGCGCGTAAACATTTCCTAGGTCACAAACATATGTACATCCATACATAAATATGTAAATGCAGAGACATCTATCTAACATTCCACTTCCTATCTTTCTTGATTCATTGCAGAAAAATGCAAACAACTGAAGACGGAGCGACAACTACGTAAGGAGTGTCCCTTCTGTAAGGAGCACAAGAAGCGTCCACTTATCAATTACCTGCGCAAACGTGAGTCTCGCAAGCACCACGACAGCATTTGTGAGGACGAGGAGGAGCTGCACGAGCACGAGCAGCTGCATCATCAGATGCTGGCATCTGTTGTGCCCACGCAGCAGAGCTGCAAAGTGTGAACGTGCGGGAGAGCAGGCAGTGGCGACGTCGGCAAGCAGTCCAAGCAGACCAAAACAAACAACCAATAGACTGGCCCACAACAATTTACAATGCCATATAAATATACATAGAAGAAAAGCAAAGAGCAACAAATCTATTGAAAAATCAAACAAAAAATGGAAAAGTATGCTTGGAGATGCGCGCCTATTGGGGGCAACAAGAACGACAACCGCAGAGAACGAGAAATAAACCAGCACACACTGAGAGACCGAAAGAGAAGCAATGTTATACACAACTGTACTTCTGTTCTATGCATTTTCGTGTAAAATGTTACACCACTACCATTTACAACAACAACAACTAAAGTACACAACAGAAAAGCAAAGAGTTGACATTTTATAACTCGCCCAACCAGCAACGTAATACCAATTTAGAAGCCGTTTAATTCTTTTTACTACGCCGCAGTTTATACACGTATAAAGCAATAGCGTAATTTGTTTACACACATACACAGCATGTTAACCCTAAACTGCCCCCAGCGTAGAGCAAAACAAAAACAACAAAAAATGGGAAAAAATAACAATAATGAGGGAAGCAAAATTGCCAAAAAGCATAAATATTTTTCCATATTTTGCGTAAGAGACTGAGTAAAAGAAAAAGCAGCTAAAAATGTTTTTGCAAATATTGTATGCTTTTGGTTTTTGATATTGATTGGGTTTACAGGAAATTTAATTTATAAGACAAACAGTGCTTCATTGGCGACAAACAAGGTTTTCTGTTTTCGGATTATACTAATTACTTTGGACCCTGTTTATATGTATCCTTGTCTATATTAGACACCTAATAATTATAATAAAATAAACCTAATAATGTTTAAAAATGCGCAGTTCGGTTCGAGTTAAAACTATTAACAAAATTGTATTAAAAGTTCATCTTTATACCTATGTATGTATGTATTGCTTAATTAAAACATAAATTCTACAAACACAAATATCAATATTTGAATGTTAAAAACTTGTTATACAAAACGTTACGTTAACCGGACACGAAAAAATCAAATACATTGTTGACAAAATAAAGCCAACTGTGCAGCTTCAGAAAAAAGTATATTTATTGAAATAATATAAATGTAACTAATAGTGATTGAATATTGAATTGCCTGCAGTTACAGAGATAATTATTTTTATTATATTATTATAATTATATACACTTTATGTATTTATGTTAAAGAAGAAAAATAATGTATTTAAAAGAAAAAACAAAATATGCATACTAATCAATAAAAGCGTTATTGGTATATACTTATACAAAAATATTGCAAATACTTGATGTTATTGGGAAACATGGGAACGGAGAATACTTGACACAAGCACAAATAAAGAACTTACATAATCCATAAGTAATCATTATGCCGTAATATATTTACAATTCCAGATAGTATACTGAACTCCACGATAAGCTTCCATATCTCTAACATGTGCCAGTTGATTGACAATTTTTCGTTAAAACTAACACCAACGAAGGCTATATATTCGAACTATCGGTTTTCAGATTATAGATCGATTTTCGCAATTAACAATATTTGCGGTTGCATAAAAATGGCTAAAGTGTTGATGTTCTACCTGATCCTTCAAAGGAGCTTGCTGTTTTTTGGGCTATACACAGTTTTTTGATCACAAAACGAAGACTATATATTGAAGCTATCTGTCTTTAGGGTATTGACATTTTTAAAGCAAAAGTAGGGCGAATAAGAAAATAATGTCGTATTAAAAACACTTCTCTGATTTTCATGGCCATGCGCTGATTAGGCATATAACTGGTTTACAGATCCAGCTTAATCAATGAATTTCTACTGGTATTCCCCTTATTGGGCTTATCAAATTGTGGTAGGCTACTTAGGTGTTATTGCCCCATTATATGTTTCTTTTCTTATTTTTCACACGCGCCATTTTCTACAAATTCAAGTTTCGTGCGAGTCGCTAATCAAGACTTACGGAAACCTTTATGTCTGGCACTAGCCTGCTAATTAGATCTGTTAATTAGTGTCGCAGCATGGAAGCCAATTTTTCATATGAATTTAGGCCCAAATATGCTGTGTTTAAAGATTTAAAGCACTTGGAAACAGAAATTGTTTGAGGCCATTTGATAAAGTGTTTGTTTGTATTTATAGATAAAGCGTTTATACGGTGCACTTAATTTAGCCAGTAGTTAAGCACTATTTTTTTCCACCAAGCGGGTTAACTTTAATCGCAAAAGCATTTAAACACTTTTTAAAGCACTTGGAGGCAGATTATTATTTGCGAACCTTTTTGATAACGCAATTTTCATTCCTTATAAAATATTAGCTAAGTTGGATCGAGACTATTTTTTGTAGTGCTCAATGGTTAAACTTTAATCTTGGAGCTAACTTTTTACTGATTTCCCCTTTTTCCAATATATAAACATGTGCATATGTATTTTCCTTTATTTTAAGAAAACTATATGTACTTGATATCCTCAATTAGTTGAAATGCCTATTAAAAAAGAAATTAGAGATTATTTCAATCTTCATTTCCATAAAAAATAATTCATTGATATTAGTCAGAACTGCTTCTTTCAAAAATATTTACTTAATAGGAAAAAGATGTTACAATATCAGGCGATTGACGAAATTGTGACAATTAGGCAAGAGTTCTCTCAAAATAGTTACTGTGATACAATTATATTCGTTAACATTGTAATACAATCTCTATTTCATATTATTAGGTGTCAAATCATGTAATTGAAGGTTAGTAGAATTAGAAAGAATACTTAAGCTCAGTTTTGGGCGATAAACAGCACTAAAGAGAGTAATTAGGCGCGACATGAAGTTTACAGAATTTTCTATAAGTTGTAGAACGAAATAAAACAAGCTAGTTCCTTAATTAAATAAATAAATGAACCACATTCTCAACTGAATTAGAGTTAACTTTTGACACAATAACACGTTTCCGCGACAGCCATTTAAGTACATTAAATTGAATTGTTATTGAAGCCAGCGGCAACGAATATTTTTCCATACATTTCTAAAGCACTTAGGGGTCCAGCGACCAACTGGTCCCGCCTGTTCGACTCAACACATGGAGGAAGGAAGCCATAAAAAATTGCAATTTGTTTATACAATGGAATTGATTCATTTAAAATTCAATGTTAACTAGTTTATGGTGGATGTGGGGACTAGAGCGTTTAATTGCATTTATTATTCTTATCGTAGGGCAACTATAAAGATAATCTCTTATAAGCGTTTCCAGCTGCTTTAGAAGGTAATGTAAATGAATCAAGGGTTTCTTTTCTTTTAGTTTTTGATATCGCCTCATGACATACAATTTTTCCCACCTGCCAATTAGCATTATTTACGCTTTGGCATAAAACGTGCGGATTAGGCTTATTTAGTATATAGGTGTGTGTGTCTATATGACAGTCGATGCATATTAAAATACTAGTTCTAGTCATATCGACCTGATGACGTAATGCTAATCGGCACGCTTACTGCCACATTAGGCTTCGCGTGCCACTTGAATTGGAACGAATCGGCTAAACAATTGAATTCAAAATAAAAGCTACAATAGCAAGCCTAATGTGTCGCTTTCGTATATCAAGGAAGTAGTATCTGTTATAAAAAAAAATTATCAACACCTAAGTTGGATCTGCTTTGTCTGAAAAAATCGTGACAGTGCTGCAGTTGGACAATTTTTGTGCCTTGGGTTTCTAAAATATTGATGAAATAAGTTTAAAAAGTTTAATGTCCTAACCGAAAACTGGAATAGGGCTATACTAGTAGAAAATTTTCAAAAATTATATAATTTTCCCTTCTGCTTTAGAGTTGAGTTACACCACTTCTTTCTTTCTAAGAAAAATTATACAGTTTTAGCATAAAAATAAAGTAAGATAAAGCATTAGATTTAATTTGTTTAATATCAAAATGTATAAATAGGCACCAGAAATTATTTTAAAGTCAGTCTTGCTTTAAAAGGCTTATAATCTGCCAGTGGTGTTGTACAACAATTATTTCATTGGACTCTTTTCCTGCCTATCCCTATCAACCCATTATATAGAATTATTAACATAGCTAAATAGCCGCGACAAAACGATCTAAAATAGATGACATTTAACTGCTGTTTCGCAAATGTGATAAATCTATTTTTTAGTAGCAATATTTAATTATACTAAAACCTTATTAGTTTATAACACATATTATTTTTGAATACACATATTTTTTATGTTTTTTTTTTGCTCTATTTTTGACATTTGTTCTAGAAACTAACCGAGATCCGATAAAATGCTTCATTTACAACCAATTTGCGGTGCCGCCTAAAAAAACAAGCTGGGAAAAAAGTGCTGTGCGGTTTCTTTAAGCATTTTTTTAATATTTGCACACGAAGCCACAAAAAACATTATTTTTATTGGTGCCGCTGGCTCGACTTAGAAAGTGAGTTTCAGTTTTTAATTGCAGTTCAAGTTGAAGGGTGCAATGTGAAGGTTTACAAGAAAAAAGTTTGTTTCGAATTAAACAAAAAAAAAAATTGAAAAATATTTTACTGAAAAAGTCAATTTATTGAAAAATCAAAATGCTGCAACGTCTGCTACGTAAACTAAAAAAGCCTGGCCTTGTCGCCACACCGAAGCAGGGTAAGTGTAAACAAGCAATGATTTTGTAATCTACATACAATCATCTAATAATTAATTTATTATTGCAGCCAAGTTCAAAAAGAATTGTAAATGTGAGCCAACAACTTGCAAATGTATCAAGAAAAGGCAACAACAACAACATCGCTGGCTGCTTTCGCAACTTCGAAGACGGGGCGCTGATAACTTATCAAGCGTAATATTATTTTAGAGCAGAAACAAAACAAACAAGTCATTAAAATCAATTTAAATAAACCGAAGATGACATACCCTATTGAATTCATTGGTGGGTTTAGACTTCCAATACATTTTTTTAAAACAGCTGTTTACCGATCCTACATGGAGTTTTGTAAAGTGTGACCACAAAATTTCACAATCACAGTGTCACCAATATACTTGTATTTAATTCCGGATTGATTGGGTTTGATTGAGTCGGGGTTGTTTAATTTTTTATTAGTTCATTAAAAATGATTATTATTAAATTTTAATCGGTGAAGACACACCTGTTATGATTTCAGACATTCTGAAAGACATGATATTAAACTGAAAATGGTTTCCTGCTAAGATGAGATGTCAGATTAAATATTTATATTTGCTTATTTCACTATGAAACACATTGTACGTTTATAACAGAATATATACCTTAAGAATTAAGAAACATCTAATTCAAAACACTTTTCAAATTATATTTTTCCTAAATGTATTATGAAAAATGGGCAATGTGCTGAGTTTCTAAAATTTACAATTTGATAAGAAACTGTGAATAACAAATCTAACTTTAATTTGCACCGAGTTATCTACAAAAGGTATATAACAAAAATAATTGTTGGTGGAATCTTAAAAAAACAGCGCTATCTAGTCAAGCCCCTTGGACTAGTACAACGAAATAAACGGTTTGGGGCTATCTACAAACAAAGCTTCATATCGTACCAAGAACAAATAAATAACCATCAACAACACATAGTGCTATATGTTTATTACGTTGTCAGTCTATCCCAATCAAGGCGTTCTAATCAATACCTGGCGCCTCTTACGAGAGATTAACAAAACCTTGTGACACATAACTTTATTATAAACTGATGTTTATTTTAAGTTTGATTGGATTGGTCTTGAAGTGTTCTCAGAATATGACAAAGTACATGGATCAAGTTTTCTAGAGTGTTCCACTTTATTTGCCAACAACAAGTCGAATACTTTAGTGGCAATTTTGATTCAACGAACACTTTAAACAAGACACAGCAGTAAACAAACGACGTATAACTCATCAGTTACTACTAACTTTGACAATTTGTAAATCAAAGTGCCTCATACTTGTACTTCATACTTGACATTTTGTAAATATTTGTGCAATTATCTGTTGGAAATACAAGTTATGTGCTTCCATCAACATTTTGATGGACAAGTGGAGAAAAGATTTGTAAGTGAAATACAACTTGGAATTACGTCTTGTGTAATACGAAGTCGATTGAAAAACTAAAAAACGTGATTTATTAAATATAGATAGAATATAGTATATGTATATGTAAGTACATACAATTTTTACGCAAGCAAACAAAAATATCAAAAACTATTTGGAAACACGTACTAATAATGAACACAAAGGGTATTCTCTTTGATAAAATCAAACTTAAAACCAAAACTTCTTTTCTAAAGCAAATAAATTTAGTATATGTATATTAGTGTTATTTATAGTGCATCAAAATATTCGAATGCTTCATTAATAGCTGTGCACTATTTTGTATAATGGATATATGAACGATCGTTAAAAATACCCTATTAGCTGAATACTTTTTTTAAATACAATAACTGAATTAGAAAATAAAGATAAAGAGTCCTTTGATTTGTTTTTGATTGCCATTTAATCGAGGAAAGGTTTAAAAGGGAAAACAAATTAAAAGCTTCCCTAGAGTCGCTGGAATCCGAATAGTTAAATCGAACATACTCACTTTGTATGTAGTGCAGGAAGTCTTATAGGCTCTTGAGTCAACAAATATAATCTTTGATTTATATTGACAAATGCAGGCATGCATAAGTCCACACGTGTCCCACATATCAGGCCATCAACTTGGCTAATCAAACAAAAAAATATTGAGCAAATATATTCCCACATATGTCTGTACGATAAAGGAGATTGGGGCTCTCGTCGTAAAAACATAAAGAGAGACATAAAGTTTTCTACGCCGCATGTTTTCGTTAGATATTTTCTAGACGCTAGACACAGTAAAGATTAGTGTATTTTTGGGTTCGGTTAAGAATTTTGTTTGTATTAATAGCTCTGTGACGTATTTCCACATAATTTCTGATAGAGGCGAAGGAAAATAAAATAAATAACACGAGATGGTAGAAAAAATAATTATTTATGACGATTGCGACAGGGAATTCAAGTGCCGAGTACAGATGGCTGATAAGGGTTTATGTAAACAAAGACAATGCCAGAAGTAGGCTGATAAGGAAATATATATATGCATAACTCACCCTCAATAGCCAAGTGAGCACACTCTCTCTATATGGCACAAATGTGGAGGGAGTGGAGCCGCTAGCTACTTTTCTGCTGTCCGCCAGCGCTGCTATCACTTTTCCCAAGGTAAGGAGGCTCTTGTTAATGCTGACGCCCTCCCGAATGCGTTCGCCATTAGATCCCGAGTAGCTGATGCGCTCGCTGCCCGCCAAATCTACCAAACTGATCTTGCTGCGACGAGTCGATAAGATTGTGTCCGAGCCCGGGTCCAAATTCACATCAGCCCCATTATTATTGGGCCTCAAATCGGTCAAATTCAAGACTATGTTGAAAATGGAATGCGAACGCGAGCTCTTATCATTCATGGCGGTCGATGCGGTGGCTCGCTGAGAGTTACCAACGGCCAGCCAGTTGCGCAGAGCAGCGTATGTATCCACGGAGTGTACGCTGGAGGATATTAAACAGTCAATTATGCAATTCACACACGTAGGTTTTAAAAACTACAAACCTTAGATCCACCACGTAGGGTCCCCAGATGGGATGCTCCCGCACCTTCAGAGCCTGTCGTTGCATTCCTACGTCTGGTTGGCTTGCTACCGCAGCCTGTTGTACACAGAGCAGATCGTGTATCTTTTCGTTGTAGATCTCAAAGTAGCTGACTTCGATTTCTACCTGCAGCTTGTGCTTAACCATTTCGATGCGGCGAAAGAGCTCATGGCAGAAGCGCGGTATGATGCCTGCCTCTGCGTGTGGGGCGTTGCCGTCGAGTGCAGCATCATCTAATGCCTCGATGCCCATCATGCTGTAGGATTTGCCCGATCCGGTCTGTCCATAAGCAAACAAACACGCGTTGTAGCCTTCAAAGGCAGTGTCTATCAGCGGCTGTGCGGTCCCCTCGAAGACTTTAGTCTGACAGGCGTAGTTCTCGAGCTCGGGATCGCAGGAATAGTACACCTGATCGTAACTGAAGAAGTGTGTTACGCCCGCCGAGGCATCAGCAGTGGTGCCCGCCTGTACAGTTAGCTCGTTGTTGTTGCTATTCACGTGGACTACATTGGTTATATTGCGCGTGCATTCCAGAGCTTTCAGCGGACGCACACGGACTGCTACAATCATGTTGCTCTCCTCGGCATTGCTGCTCGATGACTCCAGCAGCGCGTCCTTCTCCTTCACCTTGTTGGCCGACTTTCCATGTGTGCTGGGCGTTTGTTGATGAGCTGGCGTCGATCTCCCAGCATTGGGGTTCCGATACAGGGACGACGGAGTGTAGCATGCATTAAGAACTGTAGATTTCGGCACTGGGCCGCTTCGAGGGGTGGAAACTCCGCCGGTGAAGGCCGTATTTAATAATTGTTCCGCTTGTATGCTATGCACCTTCTCCGGGCTTCGTTTTGGGGTCCGAGTAGCCAACACTTTCCGTCGTAAGCCACCCGCACTTCCAAACGTTGTTACTGATGCGGATTTTAGGCCCGGTGTGCTAGTGCCACGTGCTCGCGCCTGAAATTGGTGAATGCGTTGCTGCACAGGCGTGCTCTTGTTGCTCATTTTACTTAGTTTCTAATTGTATTTTATTAGTTATTCGTTAAAAGTCTAATATTTTCGAATCGCCGCGCCGTTTGTTGTCAAAATTTTCATGCTAGTGCGGGACGTTATGGCGTCAGTACGTGTCGATCGATAACAACGGCGACTCTTAGTTGTACACGAAACTGTTTTTAAGCAGTCTGGTACCTTCGCATTCAAACTAGAGATATATGTGTATGTATGTTGCATCGGGCTGGTCACGAAGAATAAAAGGTGGCAGCGCTACGGAAGGCGCCAAGAATTTATAAAGGTACTGCAGCGCCATCTAGCGGTACCGAGCGAGGCACCATGGTGGCAACTGCAGCCACGCAGGCGCAGGGTTGTGTCCCGATGGCACCTCAAAGTGGGGAAACGTCAAGGCCGTGATGAACGGATGCGCAAGGACGTAAAAATCCGCAGGCATACGACATCCGGCCTATAAAAGGCAAGCCGCAACACGCCATTCCTGTTTTTTGGGGCGACGGTGCAGACCCACGAGGCAGTGTTTTCTTTTGGTGAACTGGAGGCCGTGCTGAAACCTGCAAAAGGAAAGGAAGAACCAGAAGCCGTTCGAAGATTTTCCGGCATATCGCCAAGTTTTCGGACAGCGGTGGAACCATACACAGCAGCTGCAGCGGCCGTCATAAGTAGCAGCACGAGCCGCATCGTAGCAGGAGCAACAGTGACAGCAGCAGATCCAGCACCAGCGTCTTCAACGACAGCAGCAGATCCAGCACCAGCGTTTTCAACGGCAGCAGCAGCAACGACAGTGGCAGCCGGAGCAAAGGCGCCCACCCAAGAAGTAGCAGCAGCAATAGCGGCGCCACCACAACGCAACAGCAGACACGTCCGTCTGCGCCATCAGCAGCGGAGGATAGACAAGCCGGTGAGTCCGTTCCTTGGCCACGCGCCGTGCCTATTGTTCGCGGTTGAGCAGCGACATCAGGCAGAGATCCCGCGCGCCTTACGTCGTGTCGTTTGTATGGGCTGCGCCTGCAGGGTCCCACACGCCGCCCATTGAAGTTTCTGCAAAAGAAAAAAAAGGAAGATAATACAAAAGAAAGAATATATACAGATATAATAAAAACCAAAACAAGGCAGAAAGTGGCACCTAAACAGAGCTTGGCGCTCTATTTAATTCAAAAAAAAAAAGTTCACACTCTTATACACACTTATATTGTATGAAGATTGCCAATTGCAGTAGCGCGCAGTGTTTTATATGTATTCTTATATTTCTATTGCGCCCATGACCGTCGAGAGCTCTCGTTAGGATTTGGTTAGACATTTTTCTATAAATTTTTGTACCGCGCATATTTTTCTCATACACATACACATATATCTATATACATATTTATTTGCCATAAGCATACTTGCATGTTGGCGCACATAAAGAACCGCATTGGCCGTTGGCAAGCCTTCTTTATTTTGTTTTTATATAAATTATTATTGTTCCATATTTACATTGTTTTCACTCACACTCAATCACACTGAAATATATGTATGTTTGTAGCCACATAAACTGAAAATTAATTGTTAATTTTAATGGTCGCACCGTTGGTGATGATGCATTAAAGCAGCATCAGTAGGGGCGGGAGACTCACCTGTGCCATGGAATAGCCCAAGCACGGTCCAAAATAGGGTATCCAAGAAACATTTTGGCTTTGGATACAGGCAGGGTGGGTACGCCTGGGATAACAACAGCAAAATCCCACACAGTTGTCCGATGCCACAATTTCTGTCCGTCCGCACGTATATAATCTCCTTTTACAGTCACCCGTATTCGTACGGATGGCTTGAGGGAGTTATCCGTTTATTTGTTTTTGGTCGCATTACGGTTCTTTTAGTTTATGTTAGTTTTTTTTGGTTTGTTTACGTTTTGAATTCGGTTTTGTATATTGCGCGTCGAATTTATTGTAGTGATGGCATTTTGTTTATCGATGGAGGAACCGTGTTATCGGTTATTGTACGACTCACGCGGGCATAGGGTTGGAACCACACACCCAAGGAGAATTCCGATGAGCCAGCCGGCGTTGCCCAAGAGGAAAAGCGTAGTCGTAACAATATGGCGCCCAACGTGGGGCCCGAACCCACGACCCTGAGATTAAGAGTCTCATGCTCTACCGACTGAGCTAGCCGGGCTTTGCCCAAGAGGAAAAGCGTAGTCGTAACAATATGGCGCCCAATTTTGGATGTTTGAATTTTTAATGCCAAGGAGTAGGTGGAGTTGTTTAGGGCCCTGTACCACTTTTGGGGAGGAGTCTAGGCAGCCGCCGTACGCAGGCTGAGAATTTAGATAGGAAAAAAATAAATTAAGCCGATGGCTAGGGGCCGACGATCGGTATGGTAGGGACGGAATCCCTTATAGCACCAACTGCAAGCGTGTGTGACATGGACAGTAAGTCACGAAGGTGCGAGTATGAGCCCTTCGTTTGCGACTGCCATTTGGAACGACGCTAGGCAATGGGTACTATGGGGGGATTCCAATGCGCGTCTGTTTTGTTATTTCGTTTCAGTGTTCTTTGTTGTAATTCTTGCGTCAATTCGTTTGTGCACGGTCGCCGTGGTGTCATCGTGTTTGCCTGGTGGACGTAGAGTACCGGTGGCCCAGGATGACTAGGAAAGTCGCCTGCGATGCACCGCTACGCACGGTGAGCCAGAGCAGATGGTGCACAAAACAGAATTGGGTGTCAAGAAGCAACCATTTAATTTGTTGGCTGTCGTTCATCGCCGTCAAGGCGATAAATGTAGCAGCGAACAAATATAGCAGGATTGTGGCGTAGGGCAGCTGTACAGGCGTAGATATTATAGGAGCCGTGTTTGGGTTCCGGCGGAGTGTGAGTCTCAGCCCCTATATACAGAAGTTTAAAAGAAAATTTGTTTGTTTATTGCTTACATTTTATTAAGTCTGTTTGGTTACGTTTGGTGCATATACATATGTTACATTTGTCTTGTGGTTGAGCGTATATATATTTTTTTTTGGTTTCCGTGCAAAGTTGGACGTGAATTTATTTAAAGATTTGTTTTTTTTATTTTTACTACTATATTCATATTTATTTATTCCAATTCACATATTTATCTATTTATTGTTGTACCTATTTATTTATTTATTTATCCATCATACATATTCAGCGTACATATATTTTCTTGCCCATTTGTTTTTGTTGTTTTGGGCGTTTGCAAACATTTTCATTGTTTGGAATACATACATATATACAATTATCCAATTAATACGATTTTTTCTTCGGGGCCTGCTTGAAAGCTGAACAAATTCATAATCCAAAATATAAATAAATATTATAAAAAAACAGAGCGTATTTTTTTTGGATTGAAATGGAGAAGGATTCTGCGCGGGCGTATAACACAAGGTCGAGAACTGCCAGAAATGATGATCTGGAGGAACACCTAGAAGGAGCCGTAGGTTTTTCCACCGGTGGCCTCATGCACACTCCTCCGAGGCCGTCCATAGCACCAGCAGTACACTGGGACGCCGAGCCAGTAGTCGCGTCGGTGGTAGAAGCAGCAGTGGCCCAGGCGAACGAAACATACCGCCAATCGCAAAAAGAGGGCATCAACAAAGTGTTGCAGGAGGAAATCCGAATGGGGTTTCAAGACTTGATGGGCGCGTTGAAAGAAGTTTTGCAACCGCGAGCGAATAGCGGCGATTCAGCTGCAAATGGAGCATGGCAACCGCCAGTCAGCCAGAATCGGGGTGCAGTGCCAAAACGGCCGCATCAATACCAGGCTGAACCTCTAACACCAGCAAGAGGAACTTCGCGTCCAGTAGCAAGGCCAATGGCAGCTAATTCCTCCAGTGGAGCTGGCAATAGCAGCAACACAGCTCGAAATTGGCAAAATCCCGCAGCACAATCGGCCCGTCGAAGAAGCAACAGGCGTAACGATGGGAGTGGTCAGCTGGACCCGCCTCCTCCGTATGTAGCGGCGAATGGCAGATCCGGATGGTGCCGCGTCGAAAAGTGGGACATCGTTTTCAGCGGCGATAAGGAAAAAATGGCTGTTGAAGACTTCGTTTTCCAGGTCGAGTTCCTTCAGAGGCAGTGTCGCTGCGCATGGTCCGAAGTATTAAACAGTTTCCATCTGTTAGTAACTGGGCACGCTCGCGAGTGGTACTGGCAGTACGTCAGGGACCACCGGGCAGACAGCTGGCCAGAACTAAAACGGAGCATGCTGTCCCGTTTTAAAGGCGCCGCCGATGAATTCGAGCGCATGCGTCAATTGCGCGAAAGACGGCAGAAGGCAAGCGAAAGCGTTGAGGAGTACTTCCATGCCATGAGGAAACTGGCGTCGCGTCTCCACACAGCACCATCTGAAAACGAGATGATGAAATATATAAAAAAAGGATTAAAAATAGAACTAGCTCGTTATGTGTATGCGATGCGCGTGTACACGGTAGACCACTTACGTGACGAATGCGTAGAGGTGGAAGCTATGGTCCAGCGGCGAGAAGGCGTGTTCCCAACACGCAGCGGCACACGTTTTAGTGGCGGAAACCGTCCACCGGCAGTGGAGGAGTTGATCGACGACACTAACGGCGAGGAGTCGGCGGATTTCGGCGTAGTTGAAGAGGCGCGTTTGGCAAGGCGTCCGCAACACGCGTTAGTTTGCTGGAACTGCAGACAAGCCGGCCATAGTTTCCGCGACTGCATGTCACCGGAAAGGCGCGTCTTCTGTTATAGGTGTGGCAGGCCCGACACCTATAGTCCAACCTGTCCCGATTGCACGGGAAACGGCCGTCGGAGTGCGGAGCAAGTGGGCGAATCGCGCTCGACACAGGTGCCCACCAGGATGACAGCGGAGCGGTCCTGAAAGAAGAATTTCATAAGAAAAATACCCCATATAGTAATAAGTTGAAATTTTTACCGTACGAGGAAAAGATGCGGGCATATCTGGAGGCGCGTAATAGAATTTTTGCCCAACATCAGTTAGATGGGATGAGGATGGTGACAGCCAAAGTTAAAAAGGCCCGA